GTGTCTGAATGCTTTTTTTTTTATTGTAATACGTCTTTTTTTTTAAAGAAAAGCATGTAAAAAAAATAAATCCGAGCACTGTAAAATTGATTTATGGGATTTAAAATCTTTGGTTTTTTTTATTTTATATGGCATATACATAATGGTGAAAAAACTTGGGGGAGGTGCACCTAATTAACATGGGATGGGAGAGATGCTGTACCTTCACTAGGTCCCCATTTAAATTATACCTTTGACATTATAGTCATTGAGCATATTTTATATCCAATGTTATATTGTTGGTTCTTTCAGCTATATTAGTGCTATATCTTACTACAACACTAAGATATAGCGATGACCATTCCACAATGATATATCATGGTTTTATATTCCTATCATACCTAATGCCATTGTTTGGTGCCGTTTTGTCCGATTCGTACTGGGGCAAATACAAGTAAGTACGTATGATGCTGAAGCCTGAACTATATTATAATATACTCGTAGGTGTAAAGTACGTTCATAATCAAAGCCATTTCCCTATTAAATAATAGTCAAACAACTTATTGAAGATTTTTGGCATGATACAGCATACTCTCTACAATAGTATATTATAGTAACACCAATCATATTATTTTAAATGATTCAGGACAGTGTTGCGCCTATCAGTTGTTTATTTTGTTGGAAATGTAGTGTTGACCGGCGCATCTATGGCGGACACGTTTAGTCTCGATAAACAAAGGTAAACGATGATTTTAAAACTTTTATGAAAATCTCGCGTTGACGATGTTAGCTTTATTGTCAGTAAAATGCTGTCAATAAACTTGCGACTTCTAGATTTTGGTTTTACTATGGTGTGTGTGTATGTGTTTTATTTTATAGACTAATTGCAATAATCGGACTGATTCTAATATCTATCGGAACCGGTGGTATAAAACCTTGCGTGGGAACGTTAGGCGGTGATCAGTTCAAATTACCCCAACAACAAGACGATCTCAAGTATTTTTTCAGTAAATTTTTTGTTGCCATCTACATCGGTGCGTTTATTTCCACTTTCTTGGCGCCCGAACTGAGAAAAAGTGTACACTGTTTTGGCAAAGACTCGTGTTTTCCACTAGCTTTCGGTGTACCAGCAATTCTCATGTTTACAGCTATAGGTGAATGACATTTCATGATTTTAATTGTAACGATCCCACCATTTTTTTGATACGATTCTCCATTTATCATTTGTTTTTTATCCAAGTGAAATAATACAATTATTACATTTCATTAACCTTATAATTCTGAGTATCAAGAGTTGTATTCTTTAACACGGATTAAAAAATACTCGAAATTACCTCCATGATTAATCATTATATGTATATTTTATGTATTTTTAATCTAGTATTATCTATATCACATAATAATATTGTTTATGGTTTTATTTCAGTGATATTTGCCCTTGGCAGAAACATGTATGTACATAAAATGCCAGAACACAATGTCATATTTAAAACGTTATCGTGCATTTTCGTAAGTGACACGATTATTTTATCAAATGGTCGCCCTTAAAAAATTATAAGTTTGTATTTAAATTTCGTGATTTTTAGTATGCGCTGCGACAAAAAATATCTTCTCCAACTCCTGTCAGACAGCATTGGATACAATATGCCAAAAGCAAGTATAGCGAGAGGGAAGTGTCGGACACGAAGGCTGCTTTGGATATTTTATTGATATTCACTGCTTATCCGATATTTTGGGCTTTATACGAACAACAAGTAAGTCTCGATTGATTCGTTACAATTTGGCTTTACAAGTATAATATATTGTTACCTATTTCCCAAGAAAACCAGCAGTTTTATACGATTTTCTTAATTAAACGTGTGTCGTGTTGCATCAACTAAGATTCTTGTAATCGTAGGAACTATACAGGTAGTCCTTTTTGCATTAACATAAGAAGTCCGATTGGACTTTTCCGTTAGATGCTCAAATGGAATAAGGGAAATAAGAAGGTAATATGTTGTGTACTTTTAAAAAAGTCCTGGATCAGGAAACCTACAGAGCGATCATTGGACCTCTCTATTGAGTGTATTCTTGAAGAATTTGTCCTTAGAGATACCACAAGGATTTCCAGAGCTATATTAAAGTGATTACAATGTTTGTTTTTAATGTGACAGGGTTCGCGATGGACTTTACAAGCGACACTGATGGACGGTAGAATAGACGGTCTCGATTGGTCCATCAAACCCGACCAGATGCAAACCGTCCATCCGATGTTCGCGATGTTTTTCATATTGACTTTCAACTACACCTTATACCCAATTTTGGCCAAAGTTGGTATTACAACACAAATACACCGAATCATCTTCGGCTTTTCGTTGGCCGTCGTGGCATTCGTGTTCTCTGCGATTTTACAATCTTTTATATTTGTAAGTACCTGTAAATAGGTATATAAATCTTGAACTGCTAGACATTTAACGGCACGTCTTATCGTCTTTTGTCTAGGGAGAGAGCACGGTTATACCAACCGGCGAAGGGCGGATTTTGTTCTACAACGGATTCGACTGCAGCGTAACCCTTTATTCTCCTGGAGCGCCCCACAACAGTACTTTAAAAGCACTCGACATGCTCGACATCAAATACTCACAGAAGTCCAGTAAAATTGTAGAAACATTCACATTGAATTTCGATCCTTCGTGTAACCCGTCCGGACATAACACTCAATTCGAAGCTAACGTCACAGTTGTCAGAAGCAAAGTATTAATCAAGATTGATCGCTAATTTTATAATTTTGAGTTAGCCCTTAATTTGTCTACATTTATTTCTCCACCACACGCTTATCGTAAATTCCTCATCCGTCATTCGATCTGTCATCTATTTTATATTTCATTTCCTTCTTTTCTTTCTGCATGCTCAACACATATCGACCAATTATCCTGCATTTATTTTGCTACTGGTGCCACTCACAAATTGCATAATCATTCTTAATTCTATCTAACCCTATAACGCAACACATCAACCTTATTTTAGCTATTCATATTTTCCTTATGGATGTGAACTTAATGTTGAGCTCATACTCACACTAGATATTTTTTAATCCCTCCTCACACACTCTTTACATTTGTTTTCGCTTCTCATAAAAGCCCATTTTTGCTTACTTAAATTCACTAAGACTTAATACTGCCCCTATAACTCTTCAGAAAATTTCTCCCTGTCTTTTTTAGACAAATTACATATACTGCATAAAAAAAGCTGTATTTATTTTGTATTTCTTATAGCTTTTTATGTTTAGTCTGTATCTTATTTCCTAACAAGAACTGTTACCGACAATGTAGTCTTGAACCGCATCAATCAACACGACGGTGACCTATCCAAGTCAAAACACGGCGATTCTAAGCTTAGGTATATTCATCAAATGTACTATAATTAAATTATAAAAAATTAGCTTTCACTAATTGTCAATCACTAAACTACTCGATTTCAGTAGAGATTAACATAAACGTTAACATAGTTAGATTGATTAACGGGATCACAATTTTTTACTACTTGGATATTATATTAAAATGTATTTTAAATATGTAATTCAGAGTGTTAACCAGTAAGAATATTTTTGAAAACGAAACGTTTGAATTAATCAACAAGAATAGCAACTCAAGGAATCCTTATAATGTTAATTTGTATACCGGAGGATACTTTAGGGATGTCAATTTTGGAGAGTAAGTTAATCATTCTGAAAAAATTATTTGTACCTGAATAATTCATAACTGTATAATATATCATATCCTTTTTAGCTATGAATTAATTCATGATGATGAAATCGTATGTAACAACTTAAGTTTTACACCGACCACTTTCTATACTCTAGTTTTAGTTCAGAGAAACGATGGTAAAATGGTGATTATTCCTTTTCTCAAATAGTCAAATATATAAAAGCATAATTTATCTATACCTCTTGGGCGAAATAACTTAGTACTTTATTACTTTATATTGTGATTATTATAATATGTATACTAATGAGCAACGAAATTATTTAAAGGATGTAAAATTGTTTTCAATGGACGAAGGAAGATATATGCACATCTTATGGCAGTCGCCACAGTATTTGTTTATGATTATTGCCGATGTAATTTTTGTCGCTACGTCTATTGAATTATCTTTTACCGAAGTAAGAATTTATTTTATTAAAAACACAATCATTAAATATTGGGTTTACAATTTATTTTATTCAGTGTCGCGTCGCCGCAAACTCAGGTCGATTTATGTTTAGTTATCAACTCCTACATAGACCTAGGCAAATCGAAACTTACTTATAGTATAATGAGTAAAATTTGTATTACTATGTTTTAGGCGCCGCCAAGAATCAAATCGTTCATATCGGCTTGCTATTTGTTAACCCAATCAGTTGGTAATTTATTGGTAATAATAATAGCTGCAATATCTTTCAAAAGTCAAGTGAGAAATATACAATTTACTTTTGAATGGCAATATATTTTTGATAATTTTTATTGTTTGAAATTTACTGTCATATAGGTTCATGAATATCTGCTGTATTCCGGACTGATGTTTATAGACACGATTTTATTGATTTACTTAAATGCTAACTACAAATACAAGAATTTTCATGATAATGACATAAAGAATCACGTTGATAAGGATCAAGACGACAAACAAAATATTACTAGTTAAAAACTTGACTTTTAAAATGTTGTTCTCTAATTACATGTAACTAAATGGAGATCAATATTTTATCGTCTAAACATCAACAATAACACACTAAATAATATTTTGTTACAAATGAGATATTACTAGGTATAGGTATACTTTTTATTAAGTTAAATTAATAAGTTTTGTAAATATTTACTTTATATATTTATTGATTATAAGTACATCTTTAAACAAGCAATTCTTTGAAAATTACAACAGAATTAATAATATGCTAATATATTATAGTTTAAAGAAGGAATAATTATTATTTATTATATATATTTATGTTATATATATATATATATATATAACATAATATGTCAATTAGACTGTGACTGAGACAAATATTTTTTTACTTAACCCTTCCCCCCTCAACTCATATAAGAGATACATAAAATTTCAGATCCTAAGCTAAAAGCATAGTTAGTTTAATTATCACGTGTAAAATACGTATACCCAATTCTCGTGATTTAAAAGTTCGGGATTTAAATTTTTTTTATCTACGTGATTATTTTGAGATGATAGTATAAAAGTGTCCTAATAAAAGTTTATAGCACTGCTACTGTATTAAAATTGCATGAGGTCTTATCGGTCATGTATTAAAGTGACACACCTGACGGTTTCATACGTCAGGAATAGTTTTCAAAATGTTTCGAGAGAATAAGCAACTACAAACATATATTTTTTAATCGGTAAAATGGACAAGTTAACTATTGTTGAAGAAAAATCGTTGATAAGTAGTTCAAAATGTTTTTAATATTTCGACAAATTTTTTTACGATAAGTATTTTATTATTTGACACATAATACACATTTTTCAGTAAAACGTTCATTTTGGTGCACGAAAAAATGACAAAAAAAGGTATAAGTTTTTAACATAAGTGTAAACAATTTTTTTCACTAGAAACATACATAACGTTCAACAAAATAAAGTATTAAGAATTTAAAAAAAAAAATTGTTTAGTTAATTTAAGCTTAATTGAAAATTAACCTTTTAATTACGAATTTTTGTTAATTACGTAATTAATTTTTAACTTAGGATTTTGAAACTCAAACAGTTATACTCAACGCGAAAAATACTACAATTTAGATGTGCTAATGAGGATTTTTGACCAAAAATGTTATAATTTAAGTCATTTTTGGGTTTTTTGAAAATTTTTAGTCAATTTACTTAAAACGCGTTGAGCGACCAGTAAAAATTTTTTTTTTTATCTCAAATTTTCATCAAGTCTCTTTTTTGATGTATAGAACAAATTTAAATGTTAGCCCATTAACATTTCGAAGATCGATTTTTTTTGCGCCACCCTACTACCTACTAAACAATTTTTTTGTTTTTTCAAATTGCATTCCTAATACTATGTATAGTTGTCAAAATATGTATTGACAAATTATTTTAAAATAGAATTTTAGCTTTATTAATGCCATTAATGTGTACGTGACATTGATAATTTTCGTTTATTAAAATTCTTTTCTTAAGGTTTAATTGGCATCAATTAGCTTAAGAGCTCCGAATACGATATTAGAGCATGAAACATTTTCATTGAAAATAAATTAACAATAATATCCATTCTAAAGTAATTTGCCATCATTATTTTAGCGTATATTCTGTTTTTGAATATTAATATATTACTTAGTTATTATACTAAAAATAGAATAGTACTTTATATTTTATAGATAAATGTATATAATAAAACCTTCCTAAGGTAAACCAGATAATTTAAAAGCAAGGTTTAATTTAACACAAGTATTTTTTAATTTCACTATTTCCTCGGTAATAATAGAAATCTAATATACTTGACTTCTATAGTACATGTATCTTTGACAACAATTAATTAGACATACTACATTGACATTAAACCCACCTTTACAGTGTTAAAATAACCCAGTTTCAAAGAACCCACTAGATACAATAATTTGTTATGTATAGCAAATTGCTGATCGAACATATCAGTCCAGTAGATGACCTATGACAGCGGGTATACAGATTAAAAAAAAATTAAATCCCATCGTTGTAATATTTTGAGCTTCTATATACTATAGAAACTGGGACTATATGAAGTACTAAATGAATACTATAGAAACTGGGTTTCAAACGAATTAAACACTTTTAACATATAATATTGGTATTATTTTTATATCATTGGGTTTAGATAACTTTTCTAGGGAATAGTTAAGTACCCAATCGAAACTATAAGCCAATAATTTAATTACTTAGTTATTTAGAACGTATTTACGCATTATACATTAAAAAAAAAAAAAAAGAGCAGACTGAAGATTAAAAAAATATTCTAGCGCCTCTTAATTAATACCTACTAAATTATATTATATAAACACTTATCAAATTATTTACTTACATTTACTTTAAAACACGTGTATATCAATAAACACAATTAAATAAGTAATCATTTTCCGTTATTTTATCTAATGTGAAGAATTAGATACTTATTTAGACCATCTGTTATTTAAGACAGTTGTATAAAAGTAATAAATAGACAATAACTTATTATTATTCGAATAAAATGTATAGTAAAAATGTGTAGTGATCACAAAAGTTTCATTAATGTATGAACCTAGTACCAACATAATATATTGATTTTAAACAATTGCAAGTTATGGAGCCATTCTATTCTGAAACAAATTTAGTAAGTAATTTTACATAAAATGTTAACTATTTACATAATTGTTTTGTCAAATATTACCTATCTTTTGCTTCTTACTAAATTGCACTTTCGGTTTCCCTTAATTATTTGGTTTTTGATTGTAGTTTTATTTATATATGAAATGTATTGAGTGTAAATTTTGTTACTTATAAAAGATAAGTCATTTTTTAGGGTGGTTACTCGATTTTGAAGAGAGTAATTTTTTTATTTTGGCCTTGAATAAATTACTTTTAGCGTACGATTTCTCATCTAAAGACTTTGTGTTATAAATAAATAATAATAAATACTAATCAATTATTATTAATTATTACTAATAAATCGGCCGGATGTTAAAAGACAACCATGGTTAAACCAAAATACTTTCTCAGTTCGCCATTTAATCAGCGAACGAATATATTTAATCAAGCGTGTGTAAGTGTATAAATAAAATAATATTTGAATTTTATTTTAGAAATTTCCACGATCCATTTGGTTTATAACTGGGACTGAACTATGCGAACGGTACAACTATTTTGGACTACGAAGTAAGACTTTCGTCATTTCATGTTTAGACTGAATACAGTAAATTCTCAATATTATTACGATATTTTGGATTATTTTTCAATACTTAAAAATTCTCTACTTGGAATCTTATGATTCTTAATAAAACTTGATGACTAAACAAATATGAATAAAAAATGTATTTAAAAATAATTATTTCACCGGCATTAAGGACCTAATAAAAATTGTTGAAAATTCTCCCACCTTCGCTTTGTTGACTTTTAGGTACACTAGGTACTGGAACAGGAGATTAAACGTTAATTATAGTTACCAACCAACATCAAATCACTAATTATCGGAAATTTATTGTAGTTATTAATGAAAATTGAACTTGCAGATGACTCACACTTCTATTTTTTAAAAGCTGTTTTAGTTCTATACTTGACAACAATTTTGAACTATAGTGGCGATTCCTCGACAGTTATATATCACAGTTTCATAGTTCTTACATTTATAATGCCGTTTTTTGGTGCCACTTTATCTGATTCGTACTGGGGAAAATTCAAGTACGTAATTTAATTACTATTCAAATAATAATTATATCTACAGTACACAATGCATTATAGCTAATCATGCAATAATTAGCATTAATGCATTTTTAGAAATAAAAAAAAATTATATAATAATGCTACTATAAAAAATGTACAAGTATTTTATGAAATCATGCAATATAATATAACCTTATCATTGAAAAATCGTTTTTATTGATTAATAAAAAACATTTTCTATTTTGTTGGAATCCTAGGACAATTTTAAGATTTTCAATAGTTTATATCGTAGGAAACACAATACTTACAGCAGCATCATTAGCATCTATGTTTAGCCTAGACTTCCAAAGGTAAGAATAAAAATAAATTGTAACCCAAAGATGATACATTTTAAAAATATTAAACTAAAGTTTTTAACGAATGTTCTTTTGTATGATATGAATTTCTAAGCATAAGATGTTTCTTTATTCATTATAATTAAGTATTAACATATCTAAACGTATAGAACATAGAGCATGTTTCTATAAATAATGAAATTTTTGTAATTTTTCGTTAAAGATGGATCGCTATTATGGGATTGATATTGGTAGCTTCTGGAACAGGTGGCATAAAACCATGCATGTTTACATTTGGAGGAGATCAATTTATAATGCCAGAACAACAAAACCAATTTTTGATTTATACTAAAATGTATTTATCTGCAGTTCAAATCGGCGGATTGGTCGCATCATTTCTAAGCCCCGAGTTTAGGAAAAATGTACATTGTTTTGGTAGAAATTCCTGTTATCCATTAGCGTTTGGAGTTCCGTCTGTACTTATGCTTATAGCTCTAAGTAACTAGACAATCAGTCATAGAAACCTTTAAAAAAAAAAAACAATCCAAAGCTATAATGTTGGTAATTTTGTATTTATTTTTATACCGTGTTGTATTATACTTATACAAAGTCTTTGGATTGGGTTTTATAAAGAGATTTCTACTACTTTTTGTAATACATTTCAAATTTTATAGTGATATTTCTACTCGGAAGTAATAAGTATAAAAAAAGGAAGCCAGATTTCGGAGGTGTACAAAAAACATTCGCATGCATTTTCGTAAATATATTTTCGTAGATGTTTATAATATTATGTCAGTTAACTGCCAGAACAATTATACTTTCTAACAAAGTTATTATTTTATCTTTCAGTATGCCTTACGTAAAACAATTACGAAGACTTCTTTAAAAAACACTCATTGGTTAGATCACGCGAAGAGCAAATATAGCGAAGCTCAAATATCAGATACCAAAAAAGTCACTAAAATACTCTTGATATATATAACGTATCCTATGTTTTGGGCTCTTTATGAACTACAAGTACAGATATTTTGAGTAACATTTGTTTATAGAATAATGTACATATGGGTCAAAACGTCAAATACGAACGAACGTTTGGAGTGACCCCCTCGGATTTTTTTAAAATCTGCATGTCTGTTAAGATGAAAAGAATGTTCTCGACATTTTGTTTCGATTATTTTGGCGACGGTCGTGTAAAAGGTATTTTGAGTTTTTATCTTGACCTCTTTTTTTATCGTTATTTTATAGTGTTTTCAGCTACCAAAAAAATTGTTAAAAAACAATTTCTTATTTCAGCTTTCTGAAAAAAATATTGATTTAATTTTTCGAGTAACCGTAAGTCATAAAATTGAGTTAATAAATTAAAAAGTTGGTTTGTTCGTGTTGTCCAAAATTTAAGAATTTTTCTGATATTTTTTTTCAGAAATCTGAGATAATTTTACATAAAAGGAGTACATTTCAAATTGAGTTCTCCATAAAAACGCCCAAAAAAACAAAAAAGAGGTAAAATTTTATTAAAAAGTCGAAAAAACGGAAAAAACTACTACAGTAATCAAAATAGTTGAAATAATTGTGTGTAAAATTAAGATGATTTTCCGTATTTAGCGTTTCGGCCCATATATATTAGTACTATTGAACACCTTTGTTAAATTATTACAAACAACATTAACAAAAACAATATTAAAAAATTATTAAAACTTGAATGGAGTATTATATCTGTTAATTCTTTAGGGATCTCGTTGGGTTTTGCAAGCAACTCTCATGGATGGGCGAATAAATGGAATAAATAATTGGGAAATCAAACCTGATCAAATGCATACTATTGTTCCGCTCTGCTCCGCTGTACTTTATCTAACTTATGACCATGTCCTTAATCCAGCAATGAAAAAAATCGGTATCGAACAGCCATTGTTAAAAATCGTGATCAGCTACTTCTCCGCTGCTTTGGCCTTCATGTTTGCTGCGTACATTCAGTTTAAAATATTTGTAATAGATTTGAAAATTGTATTCACGTACAAAAATAATACGATACTGACGAATTCTAATTTTATAAGGGTGAAAGCACAGTGATATCTGCTGGCGAAGGACGTGTTATTATTTATAACGGATTCGACTGCAATGTCCGTATAAACTCTCCGTCACAACACAATACTTTAGAACCACTTGATATGATCGAATTTCAATATGAAGGTATTTCGAATGAAATGTATGAAAACTTCAAGCTGAATTTAGATTCCTCGTGCGGGACCCTCGTAGACGATATTGAAACTTATGTAACAATTAAAGAAGGCAAAGTAAGATAATTAATCTAGGGTCTTCAACCCTAATCCTACTCAACCTAACTCCATGTATATTATTACAACATCCAATCACTTCTTATGCGACCTGCCTTCCTTAAAATAGGCCGATAGAAGAATAAGTATGTCTTAACCTCTACACACTAACCCTATAGGTATTCGTTTTATTATTAAAAGTTCTTTTTTACAATACGCCTGAAGTGTTAACCATTTTCATCTATTTAGTTATTTCGCAATATTTTCTGATATTGGTGACACTTGCTAACTTTAGTTATTCATAATTCTATACAGTCTAGTCATTCAATACAACCACCTTAACGTCAGGTATATTCTATGCATATTTCTAACATCACTCTCATTTGATGTCCAACACTCACTCCATTCATCATTGTTTTTGCCATGCTACATTTTTACTTCAATTTTTTTTACCGCGTATCTTCTTTATTACATGACACCACTATTAACTTTTAATCTCATCTAATTATACTATATTCAACTTGCTACTTTCTTCAATTCCTCTATAGTTATAGATAGAAATGGAACCTTTATTCTTTCGCATAATAAATTCCAAATACAGAATCGGTGAATACTAGTTGCCTCCATCCCTAGATAGCCGTCAATATTATGTACTAGTGCCTCCGAAATACTATCCAAATTGCCTATCGTGTTCTTTATTTCTTATCATAACATTTTGGATCAAATAGTACTAGATGCCTCCTGTGCCAGGTATTTTTCATTCGAGTTGTCTCCCAAGGTTATCCGAGTTTCCTCCCAACGATCCATTTTTATGCCAGGTAAACAGTACTTCATAATTATATTTATTTTGTATCGGTGCTTACCTTCCAAAAAGCTTTGCATGTTTTTGCTGTTTGAGCCCCATCGTTGTACATCTTTAACAGTTGTTTTTGAAATAAACCCCATAAGGAGCATCGCCATGACCTCTTGCATTTTATTCTATTTTCAGTCAATTTCATACCACTTTACTCGATTAGAAAACAAAGCGATATTACGCCGAGCTAGCCAACAAGATAATTTGTTTAAATCCAAAAGTGGGAAACCTAGTCTCCGGTAAGTATATTTTATATTATTTACACAAATAACAGTTTATTTTTAAACATTCTTATACAATCTGAATGATTTTTGTTCAGAATTTTTGTCGATGGAGACATGGCCAAAACCGAATTGTTTGTATTAACTAACACGAAGGAATATATTTCATATAGGTATAACATCTCTTCCGCATCATTGACAAATTTTAAGCAAGTACTCCACGGAAAGTATGTCGGCATGATGGATTCTGGTTTTTAATGAAATTCAACTGACTAATCTATGCTTACAGATATGATTTAATTCATAACGGAGTAGTCATACAAGCCGATTTAAATTTCATACCAACGACATTTTATACACTTTTAATTCATACTAACAACCAACGAATGGTATCGATAAAAATATTAATTTATTTAAAGAGCTATTATTGTGACATTCTATGAATTAATGTACAGGATTCAAAATTATTTGCAACCGACGTGGGAAACTATATGCATATACTATGGCAGACTCCTCAATTCATATGTATTCTTATTGGCGAAGTGATATTTTTAAAGACGAGTGCCGAATTCTCTTTTCTAGAGGTAACATCTACATTCTACTCACTTACTTCGTTGTTACTAACATAATTTTTCTAAAATCATATTTTTTTAGGCTCCACCTAATTTAGTAACATTTGTATCTGCGTGTTCTTTGATAACAAATTCCGTTGGCAATCTTTTAATCGTTTTTATATCAACGTTATCACTGGAAAATCTAGTAAACTTATCTTTAAATATTATAGTTATTAATTTATTTATAAGCGATGGCTATTTTTAAAGAGAAAGAAGTAATTTTTATTTTTTAATTGATGGTAGAAAAAACATTCTGCTTGTTATTTAACGACCATTACCAAGCCACTCTGATCTAACCTATTTTTTGCAGGTACATGAATATATATTGTATTCTTGTATGATGATCGTTAATATGGCAGTGTTGATTTACTTGAGTTCTAATTACGTGTACAGCACATAGCCGACAACATAATGAAGTAACAATAAACTCGAAGACGCAATCGAGTCAAAGCAAGAAACAGTTATTATTGTTATACTACCAATTTGTTATTTACAAGAATTAGTGATCCTTTGCAAAAATGTGTGTAAATTATAGATGTGGGTGGATGTAAGGGTAATGCAAATTGTGATTGTTCTAACTGCAGTACCAAATTAGGATCTGGATTTCATAACTAGCGAACAGCCCTCCCTACCCGAGTAACCATAAATTCATAATTTCAGCTTAGTTAATTTATATTATCATTCTTCAATCGTCATTTAACATAATTTATGGATATCGAATTTGTTATCCAAAATGTGTTTTTTTTTTTATAATCTCACCTCAAGTTACTTTTTCTTTGGTTGTCTGTGTCAGTTTGACTTATTTAGTTTTAATAAAAGTAAATCTATTTTATCTTTGATGCGATAGCAGAGAAGGTATTGGTTTAATAATGATGTGTTTTTTTTTGTGTCTGAAGACCCGATAACTTATTTCCCTGTAAACCAAATCACTTGGCTGAAAGCGTATTCGGTTGGTACTTTGGTAGGTCAAAAGTTGAATAAATCAGTTCCTTCACCCCCAAAACCTAAAAAACCCGAAAAAATATGTGACTGGTTTTTCAACCTTAAACTTTGATATGATACTATAACTTAGCGAAAACCAATCAAATTAAGTCGACATTTGTATAGAATATTTATTTAATAACATGTATCTATCCACAAATTGCCCTAAAACTCATTTTTAACGATATCCCCGCCCATGGAGAGTAGGAAATTGTTGCAATATCAGGATTTAAGAGATAAAATGTAGTTTGGAGATAATTAGTCAACATTCTTTTTATAATTAACAAACCCTAAAAGTGACTAAAATGTGGATTTTGAAGACTATTATGGGTTTACAAACTTAAAATTTAGTATATGAAATATAAATACAAAATAAGTATACCAAATAAAAAACAACATTGAACATTTAAAAAAAAAATGTAAATTACCCTTCCTCCAGCTCTCATCCCTAAAGTAAGTGAAAAAACGGGTAGCTGATGTCAAATTTGAAATCAATGGCCCCAATAATTTCACTAATTTTGAAGCCTGATAGACTAAAATCTAGACTATAAACTTCAACGCGATAACAACCTTTAATTAGTTTATAATTTATATACCTTATAAAATCTATAAGCAATTTACAAAATTCTTACATAAACATAATATTCATATCATATTATGTATTTAAAAAAAAATTATTGTATGCCATTAAAACTGGTTCATTATTAGTTTTGTTGTTATGGATATTTAATAAGTATAACTTAGGTGAGTACATGTTTATTTACAAACTCAAAATTATTAATCCAAAATAAATATTACTTAAACAAAATTGTGAAAATATTTTAGGAATTTTTAAATAATTACAAATAAGCATAACAAATTTTAATAGTGTTTTAAAAAAAATTGGAAATCAGTCATGTCACAAAATCAAAGAGATACAGGTAAAAAATTGTTTGTAACAATGTTAATCATAAATGATAAACAATTCATATAAAATCTGAAATTAACTAATTATTAGGTACCCACACTTTAATGTTTTTTCACATATATTGAAAAATTAATCTTTGGTCATACGTATTGCTAGTATTTTAAGTAACTTAATTAAAATTATGTGTAACTGTTTTATTTAAAAACGGTACAGAGGTGTACAAACATGTATAGGATAATACATAAGTGTTATTTAACAGAAAACGAAAATGAATTACTGAAATCAAAGTATTCAATAATGCAATATGAGTGGCAACGTCAACAAGAACTAATTGGACAAATGCTTGTCCAGACAAAAGAACTCCGATCGCAAATTAAACGACAGACTGAGTTTTGTACATTAGTCGGATCCACTATAGGTTACTTTTTGTGGAAGGCTACTCAAAAGCCGGATATAGTTCATATGATTTTGCGGGAGGTAATTTTTTTTTACTATTAATACTACGGAAATGTTGTGAACATATTTTTCTTGAAATCATCTTCTAATACCATTTCTACCGTGACGGATATTTAAATATATATATATTGTAGTATAACCTATGTACCTCCTCTCCTCTCCTCTCCTCTCCTATGTCTCTCCTTTAACGAGATTGCAGTTTGAAAAATAATACGTTTATTATGGTTTTATAACAATTGTCATTTTTTATGGGTAATTAATCATTCTAACTGTAGGATAAATGTGCGAGGTTGACCCAAATGATAGTGCACGTTTTGAAGTCGTTTAATGAAACTTATCGAGTAATTCCAACTGCAGACACAAATGAAGTACGATTCGTGCTTAGCGTCATTGGACTGGTAGCCAATTTGTCGACAACGGATGCGGGCAGAGAGATGTTTTCAAACACTGAAAACGGTAATAAAGTGGTGAAACTTATTATATGTATCTTGTCTCGCATACCATCTCCGTCTGGGAACCATTTGAAAAAGTAAGACAATCATGCATAATTATTAAACTTTTTTATGGGTATTATCAGTGCCGAAGTCAGAGAGAGAACACTAGGGGCGCGGCCCCTGACCTAACCGAATTTGTTTTTTAATAATATTCGTGAGCGGGCACAAAACAGTCGACTGAAATATATACTAAAAAATTATAGTGTATCCAACAAGTTTCTGGCGACGGCACTGAGTACTGTCCAAGCAATTAGGTATTTTTGTTTTCAATAGATACTTTATATTATGGATTAAACGGTAAGAAAAGGCTTACAATACTTATAATATCATATATTAATAACTAAATTATTATTATATATTATAATAATACTTACACAATTTATTATAAATAAATTTCCCGCGTGCCTCATTTGTAGGGTCTCGTATGCAGCGCTATACAGTATAAGCATTCATCCAAACGCTTCGTCGTTGATGGAAAATATCAATCTAATTCGCACGCTAAATGAAGAAATCACAACTACTGCCGATAAAGAAGATGTACCCGATTTGCGACTGTTCGCACTTAAACTACTCAAATCACTTACTCGTAACGTTGACACTATATCAATGTACAACATACTTGAAAATAACGTAAGCTTTATAAGTTGAAACATTTCTTCCAAAATAATAATCAAGTCAAGTAGTTAATAAAACATAACGAATGCCGAGCTATTGATATATTAATATGTTACTTACAGCCTCCATACCCGGGAAAATGTGTATAGGCCGGCCCATGGCGCTACACTATTTCATAAAGAGCCCTCGTAGATGTACACGTGTTTTTTATTTCTTTGATGTACTATGTATACAATATTATTGAATTAATATTTAATTTTTTAAATAAGTATTGGATTATAGAAATATTTCACAACACTGCTTATTGCCCAACTACTATAAAAACAGTATGCTTTATTTTAAGTGACCTTGACCCAGCAGCTATTAAAAGGTTATGTACTAGTTAAGGCAATATCTTAGCTACACGCGGATGAGCTGAGCAACCTGGAATACGGTTAAAGTGTTATTTTCCACTTTTTTAAAGTTTTTTCTTAATAAAAGACTAAAGATTTTTGAGAAAATTGTATATGTAATAGTTCCATTCTAGATCAACCTTCGATCTAATTTTCAGACCTAAATCCCTAAAACTCCTTCTAGAGGAAAGGGTTTATTATATTTTTTTTGATTTGTCAATGTTTATTGATAGCACTGTGTTTAAAGAATATTCTATACAAATTTGGAACTAATTCGACTATTTCTTAAAAAATTATAGAGCGTTGTAATATTAAGTTGAAAAATATGTAAAAAAAAAATTTCTCGTTTTTGATGGGGAGGGGTGACTATTTAAAATTGTTGGCCCTGTAATTTATAAAGTACCTTTTAGGTACGATTTATAATCTATAGATTACTATAATCTATAATATTCTTGCTACACGAAGAAATCGGTTCAAAGGTTAAAAATATATCGTGGGTCCCGACACAAAAAAAAATTAAATAAAAACACATCATTGTAAATACAATACCTTCTCAGCTCCGCATTGAAGCTAAAATAATAAAGATGTCAAACTATTTAATGTTATCACAAAGTATGTTGAGTAATAAAAATTATTACTTCACGTAAAACAACTAAACCGACCCTTGTCCAACAGCTCATAGTGTAGTGCCACAAATACCTCCTCCGATCCACAATTTGCACTATTTCGCCGGCCAATGGGGAAATTTTCCGGTCTTCTGATCTACCAATCCGCCCATGTTACCTGCACATAATAAATACAAAGTCTCAAATTCGCATCAATTTTAATTTTCAGATAACTCTATCAGAAATATTCAATTTGACAGCAGCTGTGGACTCTGAAACAGTAAATACGGCTCGAGAGTTATTAGATAATTTAAGGAAAGTTAAAGCACAGTACGAAACGAAAACTAATGTATAAAAATTAATACAATATAAGATATTAAATATTAATAGATGAAATTATATTACATACAAGTTTTTTTATCAAATGTTTGTAATTGATTGACGTTAAAAACTGTTTAATATTATATTGGTTATTATAATTATTCATTATATAATTATAGTATAGTAATATTATTATCAAATCAAAACAATGACCAGGACCAGATTTAGTGATATTGGTCCTCGTGGGGAATAAGGGAATTTACAAAATTAAGGTCTAAGGCTAATCCAATAATGACTATGTATAGCTCTAATATTTCCCGTTAAAATTTGGGTTTGAAAAAAAAATTGCTGTTAATACTTAAAAATAATCAAATTTGTTGGACAATTGTTTCGATTTTAGAAAGGAAGGAATAGGTACTTTTCAAAGTTTGGCAGTAAAAAGTAATTTCTGGATGTAAATTCTGATTGATGATGTCATGTAAATAGTTATTAGACACCAATACCTACACTATTCGAAAACACCGAAAAAGGTTAGATTGATTATAAAGTATGGGCAAATTTTAAATTACAGATAAATCTATCAATCTATCTTCCATAGAAAAGTAATGTAAAAATCAATAATTTGAAATTTAAAAATCTAAGCTCAAAATATACATAAAATACCTACGATAATTTTGATAAAGATGAAATAAACTTTAACCGTTTTAACATTTAATAAGAATTTAACTTATGACAGCTGATGACCATAATTTTTAAATTTTCTTGAATTTTAGATTACTGGCCACCGGCTAAAATACCGATATTGATCAAACACAATGCTCTTTCGTGTTATCATCTAGTGATAATAATTGTTGTCAATATTTAACACATAGGCAACAATAGGTATACTACTGGTCATACACCGACACACTAAATTGAAATTATTATAAAAGTTCGTTTATGATTGGTGTTGTTTAATGCCACCTATACCATCATTGATTTGTTAGTCAATTGTTAATACTTCGCAATGTGTTAGTGTTCATATGACTACTATATTATTTTCTACAATTTAAATCATGCAGTAGTTCAATCTCGCATCACTCACGTGCCTTGCATTTGAGATTAGACTATACCAGTCTGGGAATGGACATTGATCCGATAATAATATCAACAAGTTTAGAAGCTCTAATCGGTAAGTCCTACTTAATATTTGCCATATTGTGTCGGATTTTTGTTATTAATTTCGTTGAAAATCGCTCACGGCGCAATGCATGAAAAATTTGTATAAAATATTAACAAAATTGGTCGCCATATGTTCCAGAGCTTTGGGACTGCCACTAGTTATTGACTCGGTGTACCAGTGTCCCGAAGATAATTTTAGGGTCTCCTACAAGGATTAACGGCAATTTCAAGCCAAAATGTACACTATATTATGTTATAACTACAGCAAAAGTTGATTAAAATTTTTGACAGTGTGATAGTCAGATAGCTTAAATGATGTTAACCAACGTTGTAATTATAACAAATAGTGTACATTTTGGCTTAAAAACGTTTTCAATCCCTGATCTCTTATATCACGGTGTCTAAATGTATGAAAATTGTTTTCAGAACACCAGTACACCAAGTCAAAACTTGGCGACAGTCCCGGTTTTCCAAGGTATATGGCAACCCTAGTGATTTACACATATGTATTCACAAATGTGTAAAAAAAATAAAATAATAATATGTATAAGGAGAAGGAGTGGGTAAGGCGGCAGTGTGTTTGCGCTTGGTGTCGCCGGTTCAACACTCAGTCACAGGCGCTCCGTTTGCCGGCTTTAACCCATAACTGATTTAGTCTCATTTATTCTTAATAATTTAATTAATGTCTTCTTTATACATTTTGTTTGGTAATGTTTATTGTAAAATTATGTTTTTTTCTTTTTATTGATACCATTTATAATTTATATTCTGTAATTTATTTATTTGTATGCTACACTCTTGCCTTCGGGGCGTTAAATATTTTAATATAATTTTTACTATTGATATATTATACATATTATGTATATGCTTTATCTATAATGATTATTGTACAATTTTAAAATGTAACAGTAGTTAAGATTTCAGATAAATTAAACTAAAACATTATAAAAAAAAAAAAAGGGAGATAAAGAGTCTAAATAAGAGAATTTTATGTAAACATTTAAGCCAACTTAAATGCGCAAAATAAATGTTTTGTCAAACTAATTCAATAAATATATATAATTACATTTAACCCCTGCATGATACGAATGTACCTAACACTTACACAGCAAAAGGTAAAATAATATTTGTATATTTTTAGTGTATATTTAATTTCTTTTATAAATTGTAAGTTTTTATTTTTTATGTTCAGAATAAAATTTTATCTTGAACATGTTTACGAACTATCAATTTTATTTTATTTTATCATATATAAAAAAAAATATTGTTTTACAATATTGTTTAATTTAAAAAAAAAACACATTACTATACATTTTTATTGTTTTCTTTTGTTAACTGGAGTTTTTAATAAAATTGACTATGACATTTCTTTAAAATTATAGTTTACTTTATTTTATAAGTGTATGTGACTAGTATTATAAATAAATAAAAAACAATGTTCTATTAACTAATTTTTAAATATATGTATTTCGTTACACAGCTAACCTTCTTACAAAAAGTTTACTAATCTTACATGCAAATGTACAAAGATTTCAGTAATATGGAAACCTTGTATTCAATATCATTTGTTCAACTGGGTAAAACTTAACAAATGTAAATAAATTGCTTCACTAATATTTAAGTTGGAGGTGTCTAATATTAAATAAATACATTACAGCTAAAACTGTATCATTCACCTTAAATATTTCCTTACCTCACTCTTCATGTGACTATGTCAGAAGAGGAACATCATTATCAAATTTTAAATTTTAAAAATAATAATAAAGTTGAGAAAACAGAACTTTATCTGTCCTTTATTTAAGTGAAATCAAAACTAATTGAGTTCTAAAATTACAATATTTAATTAAAATCATTATTTATTTACTTAGACACTTCAATTAATTGTATTTATTCATTATTAATGATTCTTAGGTACATGTTTTACAAGTTTTATTTTATATACATTTTTAAATATTATTTGTTTTAGTTCCCACTCTTGTATACAATTGCTACTTAAAAAAATGTCTATGATGGATGCTACTGAAAAGAAAAAGAAAACAACTACCCTGGTCAAAGACAAAAAAAGGTTCTATAAAAAGACTATTGCCGCATTAAAAGAAGCATTTGAACCAAATAAAAGGATAAAGAGAATAACATTTGAAAGAGTAAAAAACCATGGGAAGAAAACTTAGTCAGAACAAGAAAAAAATGATTAAACACCTAGGGTAAATTTTTGAGACCTAGTCTATGAACGCTTATTCACAATAGATTTTAAATAAATCTTAAGCTCAAATTATTGAATTTGAAGCTAAGGGAATTACAGAGAAAATAAATGATAACTGTTATGAAAAATTAGAACATTCTGATGACAAAAGAAATTTTAACAATTTTAAATAATCTGAAAATTCCAAAGACAAGCAAAGTAGCGCTGTTATATTAGAAGATGAAAAAAAAAACATGATTTGATAGCTGCTGTTGTAAGCGTCTTCGGTCATGTAGACACTGAAAAAACTAAAATATTAGATGACCTAACCTTAGTATGACAAATTTGCAGGATGGCAAGACTAGGTGAGATGACACACCAAATAAGAGTTACGAATGTATGACTGCAATCAAAGAACAAAAGGCTGTTAGTTGTTGTGCAAAAACAAGTTTTTAATACCTGGTTGGGTAGGCTGGACAGGGTTTAAACACTGCGTTATTCTAAAAACCCAGATCCTAAATCGTATGTGTTGTAAATATTCAATCACAATTTTAAAGAAAGAGACTTATTAGTGAGCAAAATTTCTAGACAGTCTATTAGCGCAAAAAAAGACCATTTTAGGGATAATTTACTCAAAACAGATTGGCAGCTCATGGTTCAACTTGAGAAGATGTTTAAAAGTTTTAGTATATTTTAATTATTATAGTTTATAATGTTGTGATATTTATATTTAAAAAATATATTAAATGTTTTTTTACTTGTTTCAAATTGGAAATTGTTCGCTTGTTCATTTTTTTTTTTTTTTAACATTCAAAAATAAATATTTTTATACGAACATAAGTGTAATTTATTGAATAATTTATAAGTACTTAAACAAAATCTGCATTTTTTTTTTTTTTTTTTTTATATTTATATCTAAATAAGAACGAGCAACAAGAAATAGTAATGAAAGATTGGACAGCCCTGCTATGATGGCGTTCAGTGGATTTGTACAAAGAGATCCAGTATGCGTACCTGTTGCAGCTAAGTTTATTCTAGCCAAAATTCATTCAATGCAAGAATGGGAAGCGTTGCAAGCTCTTCATGTATAAGTTAATTTTAAAAATAAAAACGATATATATATATATATCTGATCTGTTTTCTTGTTCTAGTTATTGGACATATGTATGCAAACTGGTAGTACCACTTTTCAAGCCGAAGTCGGGAAGTTTAAATTTCTCAACGAGCTTATACGTTTAGTATCACCTAAGTATACTGGTATTCATACTCCTGAATTGATAAAAAATAAAATAGTTGAGCTCCTTAGTAAATGGGCGTCTCAATTTCCTAAAGAAGTAAAAATACAAGATGCATTTGATATGTTAAAGAAACAAGGTGTCGTCAAGGTAATTAATACAATAGAAATGTCCGAGTTAAAATGAACAGTATTTAGTACATGTATAACATGTTTAATTTGCTTTTACTATAGGATTTAGTGTGTGTAAAATTGCCAACCGTGTCTAACACGAAAGCAGATTCTAATAAAATGACTGTAATGAATGAAGAGAAATCATTGTTATTGCAAAAATTACTAAAAAGCAAAAACCCTAATGACCTTAAGGCTGCTAATGAATTAATTAAATCTATGGTTTATGAGGTTTGTTCGAAATAAATAGACACCTAATTTTTTTTTTTATAATTCATTTTGATTTTGTTTTACAGGAAGAGCAAAAAAGTAAAAAGTTAAGTAATATGATGATTGATATTGAAATAGCTTCAAACAATGTAAAATTGTTATCAGAAATGCTTAAGTCCTATCAATTGGAATCTAGCTCATCCTACGATTTAGAACTCATTAACGAACTACATAATACAATAAAACAATGGGAACCAAAAGTTCAATCTATGTTATCCCTTGAAATTCCTGAAAATGAAAACATTGTCAGTATGTAGATAAATTTGACTAATTATTTTAGAAACATTAATAGGCTTGATTATTACGTAATACACGTGTGTTATCAATACAGTATTTAGTAAAAACAGCATTATAAAATATAAATTAAAATGTTTTATTATATTTGTTTGAAAAGTTGTATGCTGCCCTTTTGTCACTCTGCTAAACAGGAAAAATAACTGAAATTTTGTAGTTTATCTTTTTGAAAACATTTTTGTTTATATTATTTTACAGTATCATAATTTTCATAATTAATGAAAATTTAACTCTTAGCGTTTTTCAGGACTCTATAAACTTTTGAAACTTGATGAAGGATTGAATATAGTATTATTTTAAACTATAGTAACCTAAAAAAAAAAAAGTTATCCAAAACTGGTCAACATATTTTCCAGCAAATTATTCTTATTTTATAATTGTATTATATATATACATTGTCATTTAAATATTAAAAACTGTGATAGAGTTCTGGAAAAAATAAAAAAGATAAAAATTTGAATATTGACTAATAATGTAAATGACACAAACTAAAAATTATATTTAACTAATTTAAAAAAAAAAAAAAAAGAGTGTCGTTATTAGTTACCTTAAACTAATAATCCTGTACATTTTTTACCATCTTTACTTAGCAGCTGTGATTATGTATATAGCAAAAAGTTTTGACTACTGGCATCACAAAACATCGTTTTTTTTTATAAAAAGTTTTTAATTTTCTTTAAAATGCATATATTTTTATGTGTTTTGCATAGACTTGTTTGTTGAATCTTAATAAAAAAAAATGTTTTTCTACTTATAGAAAATATAATCCAATTAAATTACGAAATAAAAGAAATTTTTAAAGCGTACAGTGATATTGTGGAAAACCCAATGAATAACAAATCAAATGACCAAAAAAATATTGAACATTTATTGGATCTCAACATGCTATCCATTTCGTCAGGTATAATATTACTTTAAATCATTTTAAATATCTCAAATATGTTATTATTAAATTCACAAAGTATGATTATTTTTAGAAAACAAAGACTTATTAAGCAACTCAAATGATATGGATAACACAAATTGCACAATGTCTAAGAAAACTGAATTAGATGATTTTTTTCAAATTCATAATCCAGTCACGACCTTTAATTCTGTATCTGATGGTATGACTACTATGATTGATTTAAATGATAATATTTCTGCTTAATTTTATCATTATTTTTTTTTTTATGTACTAAATAAATAGCTATAAATAAATCAAGCACAATTTCAAAATCCCACCACAATGACTCCAAAGATGCTTTAAGTCTTAACTTATTTGAAGAACTTAACAATCTTGGTAGAGATATGCTTAACAAATTAAATGATGACATTAAAACTGAAATGTATGTATTTTACTAATTTAGCTAGTAATATTTTATTTACTTTATTATTACATTTGAGTATGTAACATAATCATTTGTACGACTCTTAATGTTTTACAGCACCTCAGATATACCTTATTGTGAAAACAACAACTCTGTGAGTAGCAATGACTCAAATGATGAACCACTTTTGGATGCCGACGAAGAATTGATGACTGAAAAAATAATAAATGATGAACTTCAACTAAAACCCCTTGGTGACTTGACTATTAAACTTGAAGAAATAATTCCTTGTAAGTGTTTTATTATCTCTGTTATTTAATTTCAATAACATACATAACCTCCATGACCGGTTCCAGGTGCTGAACCAGTTGTTATAAATGTATTCAACAAAAATGAAATTACCACAGATCTACATTTAGCAGCAAACAAACCCAGAGATGATATTACTGTTTTTGTTGCAACTACAAAAAGCAGGAATAAACAACCAATAATTAATTTTTTATTTCAGCCAATTATTCCTGAAGTACTACACTCATATAAACAATTAGTTTATAAATATTAATTTTTTTTATTTTATTGCAGAATTGTAGATTACGTGTTTTACCACCATCAAGGACTAATTTGTCGACTTACAATGCATTTTTACCTCAAGAATCAATTATCCAAATAATATTAGTAGCTACACGTAATAAGGTACATTATATTTATATGATTTACTTTTAATTTATTTTTTTTAACGTTTCTGTATGACTTTATTTTAGGAATATTTACCTATGAAGTTTGTAATAAGTTATACAATAGATAATGAAATGTTTACTGAATTTGGTGAAATTGAGCAACTCCGTGTTTACCAGTAATCAAAAATAATAACAGCATTCAAATATTTATTGAAAACTAAATCTTTAATTATGGATTTATTCCTTTTAAATAGTTATGCCAAAACATGTCACAAAGTTGTTACTACTATAAGTTTTAAAAAAAAACTATTTTATATAAAATATGTATAAATTGACTTAAATAGATTTCAATAATGTCTTAATGTGATGCGCAAAGCAAAAAGTGATCCCTTGCCCACATTTTTTAAACTTTAGCTTGTGATACTTTATAAAGCTTAATTGATTTTTGAACAATTTGAGTTTTGGTACATCTTAGTAGCTAAAAAAATTACTAAGTTATTGCAATATAAAGTTTGACCCTTTTTCTTAGATCGAATAATACTAATTTCTGCTATTATTTGACACAATTTGATGTTTTAATCTATATTCCAATCCCAAAGACTTCAAGGTATGATTATTGTTACTTCGTAAGAAATGTTTACATTCTACTTTAATCAATGTTTTTCTCAAAATCAACTTTGCTGACGAGTGGTCCCTTTTTGCTATCTGCATCACATATTATATAAGTATAATGTTTTTTAGAGAAAAAAAATTCTTGTCTTGCAAGTTAAAAAATTAAAAGATAAACATATATTTTAATTTTTATAAGATATTTTTAAACAAACGTTATTTTTTGTATAGCTATAAAAAATGTTTATTGTGATAATAATTTTCAAAATTAGCAATTAATATTTTAATTTTCAAAATCGATAAATAATATTTAATTTTTAATCAATATTTTAGTGTTAAAGCTATTTTTTTAGAAACTATAAAATTTGTGAAACTGAAAAAACCAAATATTTTAAAATAAACTGTAATTAATGTTCCTAATTATTTTGATTGCCATGTTAATAAAATTGGAACTTAACTGTTTTTTTTTTTTTAAGTTCTATAATATGTAATTTGTCTTATTTTATTCTAGTATACACAACATATGCTACCATATTATTTTAATTATTTATTATTTAGTGTCCTAATATTTTTAAAGTTGTTTTTTTAAGACAAAAAATCATTGTATATTATTTTTATTAATGATTATACTGACTTTGTATACTTTATATATTCGTTACATTAAGTAAACTTTAAAAAAAAACTAGTCTATTATATTATAAGTAATACTATTTGTATTTAAATACTTTAGGTAAGAATATTTTTCCATATTTAATTTGTATGGTGTATTTCATTTTATTAAAATACTTTGTTTATAATATAGGTAGTATTTTACATTTAAAAAAGTTCATTATATCAAAATTATATTAACTTATTAATTTATGTGCCTACATATTGTAATTATTATTTATCAGTAAAATAAATTGAATGAATGAAAATATAACTATTATATGAAATGTGGGTCATAATAATTTATTACACATTAGCGTTATTGACCAACATTAACATAGAGTGGATAAATTAAAAATCGTAATTATACACTATACCTACATATTAAAATGGTAATTTACACATAATTTTATTTAATTAGACAATAAAGGTTATGTTTCCTTAAGCTCATTACAAATTGTAATGAGCTGAAATTTTGAATGTAAACCAAAACTCTTACCGACTATTGCATGGGGGAGGGTAACTTTTTTTATGAAACTTGGTGTTTTTTGAAAATGATTTAAAATTTGTAATATTATTACTTCAATTCCTTTTTAGTTATTTACAACTCTTATCAACTTTGTCAAGATTTTTATCAACAATATATTATATATTGTGTTATTTTGTAAAATGATAAATAATATGTCTTTCTTTTTTTCGCAATTTGGTATTAAAGAAGTAAATGTTAAATAAAACTTATTTTTAATGAAAAAGTATTTATTCAAAATTAGTTATCAACCATTCATTATTGATTATTCACATGAAATAAATAATAATCTGCTATGCATCGAAGCTAAAAAAAAAACTATGACCACTGAGTGCATTGGTCATAACTATGAATAGTTTTTCTTTTATTGTACCCATTACGGGTACATTCGGCGTCCCGTTAAAACTTGTGTTTTGTTTTATTTATTTGATGATAAAATTGTTTTAATAATGATACATCCTTTTATTTTTAAATTTATAAATAACACCAGACATTTACTTTTACTAATATAATTTAAACTCAAATACATTTTAAAAATGTTCACGTTGTAGACCTGTGGTTGGTGTTTGTTACTTGTTATAAAAGTGGTAACAAACATCTTAATCAGGTAACTTGAGGTATAATAACTACATGTAGTATAGGTAATAAAAACTTGAGTGAAACTAATGTTACCATCAGGTACGACAAAAACAAAAAAACATATTGATAGAAAGCTATTTAAGATATTTACTAATGATGGGAATTCGAAAATCCGGATTTTCACAAAAAAAACACTATTTAAGCCCTCAAAAATCGTATAGTTGTCAAATGTGTCTACAGTGTAAAGCAATGTACCTAAGTAAAATATTTTTTATGAAATTGTAAAAAAAAAAACACAACCCTAAAAAGATAAATTACTTTTGGATTTCGGGTTATAGAAATCCTAAATACCGTTATCCGAAAGCAATTTACAGTCAAACTTAAGCGTTTTTTTTTATTATCATAATACTATTTTTCTTAGATACACAGCTTTTTATTGTAATAATATTTAAAAGATTTTTAATTGGTTTAAATAACGTTTTTGTGAAAATCTGGATTTTTGATTTCTTATCACTATTATTTCCAACTATCCACATATTAAATCCTTAGCACTGTAAGAACCTGAAAGAAATTATTCAATTATTGTACATAATTTCTATAACTAAATCGACGGATATAAAGTAGGTATTATTTGTAAATTTGTAACAGCTGTTAATACTTGTTTTATAATTTCGCGCGTTTTTTTATTTACGTTTCGTTATGCGTTGTGGTTAATGTGGTTACCCTTATACATTGACCAAGGTATACACAATCGGTTCTAACTTCATACTGTGTAGTTCATATATATGTATATGTACGGTACACACACAGCACACTGTCTGCACTCTGCACTCCGCCGTTCTTTCCTCATAAGTTATAACAGGGCGCGAGCGTCTCATGTAGTTATTAAACACGTTTTTTGTGGAACATGGTTCCATGTTTTCATTTTCTTGTTTAATGCACGTTTTTTCGTTTAATTTTTTATTGAATCGCGTTCGGATTTAGTGGATTATAATTTTTCTTCATCTTATTTGGCGGTGCTATTGATAATGGTAAGTTCAATAATAATTGTATTTTGTAATTTATATCACTTGTCCTGTTTACATTGGTGATTATGCAGTTCAGTTCAGCGCTACTTTGAAATTTTCAAAATCATTGTATTTCATTCATCTTGAATTTCGTAAATGTATCATAGGTAGTAAAATAAATTGGTTTCTCATGGTATATTTTAGTTTTAGCAACGTGTGTTAAATAGATATGAATACATCGTGGGAAATGACTATTGGCTAATGGTTGTAATAATTATATGCTGGGATGGATAAAGTCAAGTGTAATATTTGAGTTGCATAATCACATTCTTTTCAATAGTAATACATAATTAACTAGTAAACATATAATTGTAAGTCCGTGGCTTGAGTCAAACTAATATTATTTGTTTTGTTACGCAATTTTTTTTTCCTGCGTTATCCTTTCATCTCCAGTCAAACTGATAATGGCGGACGATTTTGACATAGAAGCATTGCTTGAAGCCCCTTATAACAAAAAAGAACCAGAAACTCTACCGAAAGACAGTAACGGAACTGAAGAGAAATCTCGTAAAGAAAAGTCTCATAAAAGTCGCCATCGCTCTAAATCTCAGTCTCGGGATAAATCTCGAAAACGAAGTCGTTCTAAAGATCGTAAACATAGACATAAGAGTCGTTCAAAAGATAGGCATCGTAGTCGTTCTAGAGATCGACATTCACGTCGACGGTCTAAAGACAAGCGTACTCGATCCAGATCTCCTGTTAAACTACCCAAGTATGGACCGCCTTTACCCCCACCTCGATATGGTAGAAAACAATCCCCTTTAGCGTCTAAAGTGCCACCAGCTAGTATGTTAACTCCAGAAGAAAGAGATGCTAGAACTGTATTTTGTATGCAACTCTCGAAAACTATTCGAGCAAGAGATTTAGAAGAATTTTTTTCGTCAGTTGGCAAAGTAAGAGATGTTAGAATGATAACATGTAATAAAACTCGACGGTTTAAAGGGATTGCTTATATAGAATTCAAAGATCCTGAATCTGTGCCTTTAGCTATGGGTTTAAATGGGCAAAAACTTCTTGGCGTTCCTATTGTTGTACAACCCACTCAAGCAGAAAAAAATCGAATGGCTAATTCTATGCCTAACATGGTACAGCGAACTCATTATGGACCTATGAAACTGTACGTAGGTTCCTTGCATTATAATATCACGGAAGATATGTTAAGAGGTATTTTTGAACCATTTGGTCATGTGGATAATATTCAGTTGATGATGGATACTGAAACTGGAAGATCCAAAGGATACGGCTTTCTAACATATCGCAACGCGGAAGATGCCAAAAAAGCACTTGAACATTTAAATGGATTTGAAATTGCTGGACGTCCTATGAAAGTCGGACATGTAACAGAAAATCATTCTATGTATGATAAAACTGCGTTTGAAGTCGATGAATTAGATAGAGCTGGGTATGATTTAGGAGCTACGGGTAGATTACAACTTATGTATAAATTAGCAGAAGGTACTGGATTCCCAATTCCTCAAGCTGCTGCTAATGCTCTACAAGTTGCCTCTGGTGTGACACCTGCACCAGCGGCACCCGCTGCCCAAGTGACGCCTCTTATCGCCACTCAATGCTTTTTACTGGCTAACATGTTTGATCCAAACAAAGAAGACATGGCTGAAAACACTACTTGGGAAAATGAAATTAGGGATGACGTTATTGAAGAGTGTAACAAACATGGTGGGGTATTACATGCGTACGTGGATAAAGCATCACCACAGGGCAATGTCTATGTCAAATGTACAACAATCGAAACTGCTCTTGCATCTGTTGCGGCTTTGCATGGAAGGTGGTTTGGTGGAAGGGTTATCACTGCGGCATATGTACCTGTAGCAAACTATCACAATTTGTTTCCAGAAGCTTCTTCACTTACAAAACTGTTGGTACCAACTAGAAGTAAAAATTAAATATAGATATGCGACAATTATTTTTTAATTTTTTTTTTTTTTTTTAATTTAAATCGACAAATTTAGCATTGTTACATTATTTTCTACACTTAATTTAAATAACCTGCCTCAATAATTTTTCAAATTATCCTTTATAGAAGGGAATAATTCATAAGTACCCTAAATAAATATTACTACCATCATTAAAAAATACTACAAGAAATATATAAATTTTCTAAAAATCCACCATTTTTCCTAGACGATGTGACTAATATCAGTAGTTGAAACACTATTTTATTTATGGTCGGGTTAAAGTGTTAAAATAAGTATTTAGGTTTCAGTTTTAAAAAATATATATTTATATATTTCTTTTTTTATTTAATATTTATATATATATATATAATTTTTTTGTGTATTTACATCTGATTTAATTAATTTCATTAGTTGGCACAGTATGTTAAACGTTTAATTTTTTTTTTTTCTAGTGCACTAATAATTGTCAAATAATCTTGTATTGATTTATTTGTAATATATTATACAACTATATAAAAATAGTTGTTACTATTTTCTATTCATCCTAGGTCAATGATGATGTTACCTATTCTGATTTATAAATATACTTATGAATTGATATAACCCTATTACAAAATATTTTTATATTTTAATAAAATATAACCCGTATTCAATACAAAAAACCTTTCTAATGTGGAAGGTTTCCTATATGATTTAATGGTAGTAGAAACTATAGAAAGTGTACATATTCAAATTACCAATGTATAAAATCTTATTTTGACATTGTAACCATGTATTATATTAAGTGAAATGGAACATCCAAAAACCGGATGTGAAATATTTGATTATGTATGAATAAACTATTTTCTTAATTTATAATATGTTTATTTGATGCAACTTTTCCTGTTTCCAGTATCGTTAATTTAAAAAAAAAATTAATTTGCTGTGTTGTAAAACAACAACTAATGTAGAGGTATATAATATGTTGTATAAATAATCGAAAATAACAGTAAAACATTTTTGAGAACACTTAATAATTTAATCAAAAATACTTAAAAACATTTCTAGACGGAATATTGATCAAAATAGTTCTATTACTTTCTGGTTTGTGCCAACATTTGTATGTACTTAATATGTTTTAACATTTTTAACAGGCTTTTTTGTGGCTTGTTTAATCTAGGGAAAAAATATTTAATATAATTGTTTTATTTGCAATAAATATTTTATTTATTGCATATAAATTTTTAACAACTGTTATAATTTGTAACAATCTAATTTTATATAGATTAAGGAATTAGAATATTTACCTACATATAGTTGTATCATAAATAGCTTTTTCTACACAATATATATTATTAAAGTATCATAAAAATTATACCAGAGATAACACCAATCTTATTAGTGTAACTTAACTCTTATAGAAGTTATTATTCATAAGCAGGCTCACTATTTTGTAATAATGTGTTATACAAATTACAGGATTGTAGGAAATATAAATTTTTGTCAAATTCTTATGTATATTCAATTATTATTCATTTTTAATAGTGTAATAATTTGTAAATAATATTTATCGATTAAAAAGATGATTACTGTGTTGATAATTAAAACATACTTTACACCACTAGTTTGGCATAAGCTTTAAAAATAGGATTATAGAAGAATATTCTTTTTAAATATCTTCGTTTCCACAGGCAAAGTTAACAATCCTTTACGAGCACGCAACCGGTTTCACGCTGTTTAAAGTTAAAGAATTTGAAGACATAGGCTCGGAACTTGCACAAGTTGAAAAGGCTGTACTCGACTTACAGCGCTTCACAAAAATTGTCGAGCTATTGGCATTTGCTCCTTTCAAAACATCTGTTGATGCATTGGAGGCAATCAACAGCATTTCCGAAGGTACAAAACAACGTGCAAATGACGTCTACAAATGCATCTACTCTGTCGTGATTTCATCAAGTTGTTTATTATAACGTTCTTAGGTGTGTTGCCAGAGAGTCTGCAAGTTTTCTTAGAAACCAATATGCCTAAAGTTGGAAAAATGTCAAAGGTATTATTGGGAGTTTCTGACAACAAATTGGGCGCAAGCATTAACGAAAAACTAGGACTCAAGATACAACACACAGGATATGTGCTTGAAATATTGAGAGGTGTGTTTTGTTCAATTCTCATTTTGCTTTGGCTTAGAGCTAAACGCTCAAAAAAAGTTCATCTTTTTTTTTTTTACTAAGTTTCTTGCTTTAATTAAATTTTAATGTGTTTTTTTTAATACAAAATATTACATTACAAATGTTTTTAATTATTTATTTATTTATTTTCAGGTAAGTTTTTTAAATTATGCTATATTATTTTTAATTATTAATTATAAAGACAAAATTAATGTCGGGTTACATAAAACAACTGTAACGATTCTTTTAAATTGAATGAGCTAATCATAGGCTGCGGTTTAACATTTAAAAAAAAACTCTAAAAATATGTTATATGACTTATGTAACCCGGCATAAGTTATTTTAACTTTATGTTGACATTAATATTGATTTCTGCAGGCATTAGATACCATTTTCCATCTCTTATGAAAGGCTTTGCCCCTAAATTAGAAGGTATAGCTCAATTGGGTCTTGGCCATAGCTACTCGAGAGCTAAAGTAAAGTTTAATGTCAACAAAGTCGACAATATGATAATACACAGTGTTTCCTTGTTGGATCAGCTCGACAAAGACTTAAATACCTATTCCATGCGTATAAGGTAGTGTTAAAGTAATTTCATAAAATTAAATACAACAATAACCCATGTTGTATTTCTGTTCCTCAGAGAATGGTATTCCTACCATTTCCCAGAACTTTACAAGATTGTACCAGAGAACTATTTGTTCGCTAAAGTGGTGCATTATATCGGTGACCGTAAACAACTCTCCGAAGAAAGATTAGATGGCCTCGAAGAAATTATTATGGATTCTGGAAAAGCTGCTGCTATTCTAAGTGCCGCCAAATCTTCAATGGGTACTCGACTAATAATTTTTTTGGTGTTTGGTCGATAATCTAATATTTGTACATATTTGTTTAAAGGAATGGAAATTTCCCCTGTTGATTTAACCAATGTGCTGATGTTCACTAAACGTGTCATGTCATTATCTGAATACAGAAGAAGTCTGTCAGAGTATTTAAAAAATAAAATGGCTACGGTGGCTCCTAACACTGCCGCTCTGATCGGTGAACAAGTTGGAGCGAGGCTTATATCCAAAGCGGGCTCATTGACTAATTTGGCCAAATGTCCTGCGTCTACCGTCCAAATTCTAGGTGCTGAGAAAGCCCTGTTCAGGTATAAACTTACAATTAAATTTACGTAACTTCCAAATATTTAATTTACATAAATTTTATTAATTTAAGGGCAATGAAAACAAAGACTAGTACCCCAAAGTATGGTCTTATTTATCATTCAACGTTTATTGGTCGTGCGGGTAGACAGTTTAAGGGCCGAGCTTCTCGATTCCTCTCCAACAAATTAAGTATTGCAAGCCGCATCGATGCATTTGCTGGTAATTTAGACTTTAATTTAAATTTAAATTTTGAAATTATATATGATGTAATTTAGTAGAAAAAAATGTGTTAATGTTAATTTCAGTTTATTTTAAAGTAAAATATAAATTTGTTTGTTGTTATTTAGATAATCCTTGTAATATATTTGGCCAGAAAATGAAGCAACAGTGTGAGGATCGGCTAAAATATTTCGAAACTGGTGAAAAACCGCCGAAAAATGTCGATGTTATGCACGATGCTTGCTTAGAATCAGTTGTTTTGCAACAACAAGTATGACTTATTATAATACATGCAATACATGAACTGGTTTTATATATGTACGATTTATTTTTTTTAGAATGAGAGCTTAAACACTAGTGTCAAACGTAAAAAACCCAAGAAGGACAAAAAATCTAAAAAGAAGAAAGGGGAAGTAGAAAATGGAGAAGAATGATTTTTTTTTGTTTTCCATTATTGACACATTATTAAAACTATAACTAAATAAAATTTTCATAAACTGATTAACTTGAATAGGTTTTAATTTTTTAATTTGCTTAAAAATTGTTGTATAACAGGTTTTTTATATAATTATTTTCAACAAAATATGAGTAAAACATTTGTATCTGCTGGGTAACCATTTAAGTTCATAAAGGTACCCAATTGTTATCAAGGAAAAACATTTTTTATTTGTAGTATGCCTGTTGAGTACTTTTATAATAGAAAAAACATTTTATAGATTTGCCTTGTTTCATAAATAATGTACGCATGTACAAAAAATTAATACTTACTGCAATTTCAAAATGACTAGTCCAACTGTAGAAGTTCAAAATTAAATTACTACTTATATAAGTAGTAATATATTATATAGTTTATGAGACAATTTTATTAAATAATACAATTTAGCACGTTTGTTCAATAATAACTTGACAAAACTTCATTAAAATGATAATAATTACAAACTAAAATTATAAAATAATAGAAAGATTTTTTAACAATCTCATATTTACTGTTGAATAAAAGAATTTGTTTTATGATTGCGCAGCTACTAATGATAAATTTGATTCAACCCATAGATTTGACTTTAAACTATTATAGTTCAAAATAACTGTGTTTTTAAAAAGATGTTGCACACCCTATATTCTAGCATTAAAACTATCGCAGATTGTGTTTTACTCTGTGATGATTTTAGAGCTAAACTACTTATAGCAAAAACGAAAGATGACAATATTTTGGAGACAATGAAAATTTTTGTTAAGTAAACCTAAATTTTAAAATAACATTTTCTTTTTTACTTTTTTTAAAAAAAACTAACTTTTTTTTACGTTATTGTTTTCAAAATGAGTTCCATTTTATAAAAGGTGTTTTTGCTCTTAAATCACTGTTGAGGATGCTGTGATAGTCATAAAAAATAATTAACTACCAAAGAAGTCCTGAATTGAAAAAAATACGGAACTATATATAGTATATAATAATAATTACACATACAGTTTAACCTTTTAAATTAAGATTTTATTGCCTAAACTTAGCAAGTATAATGTGCTCTTTAAGTGTAAGAAATACAGAGTAGTTAAAATAAATTTAAAAAACCCGTCATTTTCTTTGACCACGCAGTTGATATTTGAAACGTAGTTTATGAATCAGCCAATTAATTCTTCTGTGTATAATGTTAAAAATAATTATATATGAATTAAGTAATTATTTTAAAAACAAAAAAGTATTTATGATATTAAGTATATTATTTTCTTTTAAAATGGCTAATGGAACTATATTTACTAAACATACGGATGCCAAATTTTTTAAGAGGGTCCCCTCTATAGGTTTTACCCATCTTGAATTTGCTAGGTAAAAACGTATGTTGCTCATGAATCCAGATATAGGTTAGGAAGTAAAATTCGTTCAATAGGGTATAGAATGAGGGGCTATAACTCTCCAAGAAATAAGAATTAACCTCAAATTTGTTCATCGCAATTATGTACATTTTTTATATCGAAAAAAATTATGAGCTATTTTTTTAAATAACATCTATATTTTTTCTTGAAATTAACATACATATAAAGACACAGAATTAGTGTAGGACTTAAGATTTGTAGATTTTTTTTATACAAAACATCCTAATTTTTGTTCCAAGCTGTTTACAGCTTTGGAGACTATTTAATAAAACAAATTGACGTGCTAGGTAAATTCTAAGCCCGGTCAGAATTCAATTAAAAACTTTTTTGAATAAATTTTAGAAAATTATTCAAATGTATAAAACACATGTTTCTAAATAAAATACTACATATGGTATGTTTTTTTAAACGATTTTATAGGCGACTTCAACAATAACGACGTGCTAGAATAATTCTGAGACAAGATGACGATTGAGAAAAAAATTTATTTTATTTTTATACCAAGTTGATTTATTTTTTATAAGCATCGTTTTTTAACATTCTCTCTTTTATTTACAGTTTGATATTATATTTTGTTTATTTTTCTTAAGTTTTTAGATGACCCGATTAAATGTACTGCAGTTTATGTATAGTACCATGCGGGCGAAACCATTCTTAACCCGCGGGGGTCTTTGGTTAGAAAATGTAAATAGGGACCACAGCCCCTGGTGATCATTTCGCTCATGCTACCCATCTGGCCAACAAGCTAGTATGTGGGCTTTAACTAGACATCCTTTCATAAATGAACAATAAACATGCATTAATTATTAATATTTGTAGCAGTTGATCTTGAATCCTTGCTTGAAGATATGCCAGCAATAGGCAAATGTGTGCTTCTTATTGGAACTTAATTAAAAATATATATTTATATACCAACTGATTCAGTTGTTTAAATACCTACGCATCGAATCTAAAAATGAACGGGCAAGTATTACGGGAGAACGGAAAGCGTCAATTACAACAAAAGCGTGGTAGTTTTTCTTTTTGGGGAAACTTTGCAATCGCTGTTTGAGAAAAAGCAACACTGCGAATCATTGATTTTTCAATCATGCGTTTTCTCGCAACTTGTCTACTTCGCAGTTATCATATTTTCCGTTCTGCTATTTTCGTTTTCGTCAACTTCGTTATAAATAATTAAATTGCGTTTAAAATACAACTTGTGGACTATAATTATTTAGTTCTAAAAATAAACTCGTGTATTCATACATAAGATAAATAATGCAATATAGTGAATAAAATTTAGTTTTTTTGTTTTATAGTAAATAACCACTGTAGTTAAATATACTAAAACAAAATATGGCAACTTTAGAAAGAGAAGAATCGTCTTTGGAGTCGATGCCTGTCGTAGGTTTAGATTTCCAAGAGACTATGAATAATTTTCGAATAATGTTCCCTACATTGGACGATGACGTGATTGAAGCTGTTTTACGCTCCAACAAAGGATGTGTCGACCCTACAATTGACCAGCTATTGACAATGAGCAACGATTGCCGAACAGATTTTAAACCTAGCGGTTCAGTGTCAACCGATGCAAAACCTCAACACGCATTCATTGATCCAATGTAACAATAAATATTAAAATACAAACAATTATTTCAACAACTTATTAATAAGTTTTCACTAGGTTGCCAGACGTTCTGCATAATCTGACGCAAATTAATGAACTTACAAAACGTTGGAATCCTCCGCTGTTGGGACCTCTGCCGAATGATTTTCTCAGATTGACGGTTAACGGCCACCCACAGGTGATAATTAGATAATTATAAATTTGTTAGCATGCATACAACTATTACCAAATATGATATCAAAATTCAAATATAATAATAATATATGTCTTGATAAAATAGCTTTCGGACAATGAGTTAAACGATGAGCAAATCGCTATTTTACTTCAAAATGAAGAATTTTTAATACAATTAAAAAGAAATGAACATTTTCTTACGACCTTAGAAAAAGGTGCGATAAAATAATAAAATATTAAGAGTGAATTTTATTAAAATACTTTGTTTTTTAACAGACAGTCCTATGGAAGAACAAACATTTTTTGTGGCAAATAATGTGCAAAGCGATGACGACGCTGCGTTTAAAGAAAGGTTAAAAAATATGGGGAAAGGTAAAAGAAAGTACAACTGAATAACACCATAAAAAAAAGTCATATACAAATGATTATTATATTGTTATTTAAAAAAAACTTATTGGTTTTTATGTATGCAGCTTCTAGAAAAAAGTTTATACAAATTGCTCGAGTATTTACTGGGAAAAAGAAAAAGAGTTCAGCACGCAACATACTAGGCCAAGGCGACAACCATACTAAAGATAATTTATTTTTACAAGAAGAAGAACATTAACAATTTGAGCTAATTTTATAAATTGTGTTTAGTAGGATTTTGTTCAGTTTTTTTTTTGCACTTAGTACCCCCATCGATTTATTTATATCAGTTAAAAAGTAAGACATAAGCATTCGACTGATTCGAATGAACTATAAAAAGTTGTAACGTTTATAAAATAGTTATTTTATCTTATTCCGTAAAGTATTTTTTTTTTTTTTTTTTAAAGATGTAATAATTTAATGTTTTTGGATTGACTGAATTTTTACATCTTAGTTAATCTTGACCTAAAGTAAAGTTTTAGACTTAAAGGTCTTATTAATGTCTAAAATTTAGTTAACTTTATTTTTTAATAGATTTGAAAAAATGAATGTAAAACTAAATGCCATAAATTAAATTTATTAGATTAAGGGCCATCCTTACGTTTGTGTAATATATTGTTAAATTTTTTATGTTGTTTGCACACAATCATATAAATTATTATTATTATTAAATATATAGTTTAAAAATAAAATACCATTAACAAAAACCATTTATTTGTTTTAAAAAAATAACTGTTCCAAGTAATCTTCGAAATCGTCTTCTCTTGGTTTTTCGTCCTCTACTTGCAACTGTTCGCTCCAAACATTATTATTAACAGCTACATTATTAGAGAGAAGAATATCACTCGTTGTGGTATCTGGTTGTTCTTGATGGTCTGATATTTGCTGGTGTTTCAACGATTCAGACTTCTCTTTTTTAATTGATTTAGGAGTCTTGCGTTTGATTTCTTTCTTTTTTTGTTTATAATTTAATTTATTTGAACAATCTATACAAAGTCCTGTAACACCAAAAATATATTTTGAGATATTTGTTGAGTACAGTTAACCATTATAATGTATATGAATATATTTTTTTGTTCAACATTTTTATGTTGATTAACAGCTTTTGTTTGCGACCAAGTTTTAAACACGACTAGTTTCTAAAAGTTTACTCGGTTAAGTTGTCCCGCACAAATGTATAAAAATAAAATTACAAATATCTATTCACAAAACGTACATACTTAGCTTAACTAATGTATTCTTTTTCTCTCCATGTTCCATGTAGCCAAAGTTTACTTCCCATGTACGTAAATTTTGTGACTCATTACAAATTCTATTCCCACAAATAAACTGACCTTTACCGCTGATCATTTCTTTTTCTATTTGCCAGCGCATCGCTACCTACAATCAGATAATACAATATTACTATAGGTAATCACCAATCCTACCAAAACTACACACATTGACAAGCAAAAAGGTTTACCTTGGACTTCTTATAAAGACTCAAGTCACAAATACAAAACTCTTTGAATAATTTGTCATAGTATTTCTTCGCCAACTGTTGCTCCCATGTGACCGCTTCATCATCTTCTTCCCATACAAACTTATGATTCTCCTGTACAACATCGATGTCACGTTTTTCTCGTCTAATACATTGTTAAAGAACTGAATTACCATCAGCATTCTACAAATCTTAAAATTACTTACTTTTGTTGGTCACGTCGTTTGCAGTAACCTAGATATTGATCCAAGAGTTTCTTGTGCAACTCAAATGGTTGCAATTTAGACAAACCTTCCTTATTCATTCCTTATTATCGTTTAGACTTTAGATCATGTCCATCACAAATGAAAACACTCTTGCAATATTGAAGAAATTTGAACAGAATAAAATGGTTTGTAGAAGAATAAAACACTTTTTCATAATAATTCCATAACAAGAGTGAAGAAATATACAAAAACTATGTTATTGTTTTTGAATATTTAGTGATAACGTATAGTAAAATTTGATAATAATAAAAACTAAAAAGTTCATTCCTAAAAATATAATGTTATCTTAAATAATATGTTAATTTTTAAGGAGTTATGTATAGACAATATCTTAAACATTTTTAAGGATTTTTTTTCAAGGATTTAAAATTTTTGTGGAAAAGATTTATGTCAATATTTTTGACCGACATACAATTTTAGTTGAGTTTTAGAGGTACCTATAGTATAAAACATACCTGTACTCGTATAAAACACATCAATAATTGAGTCCTATGATTAAAATCGTATAAAAAATATTTTAATTACACGCCACCCTTATGACTATATCATATTTATTTATTAACACATATTGACGGTGAATTAAAAAAATTTAATCTTTTGTAAATGTTTTGTTTTCCGGAATCGTGTTCTTTTTTGTGGCTTTTTTTTGTTCCCATTTTTTCACCCGAGCTTGATTCATCTTTACCGACAAAACAGACCTCTCGTCGTCCGCATCATAACTTCTCGTCTGGTTCATATAGGTCGCTTGTTTGTTATTGTTGTCTTCCGACATTCGTACCTCGAAATTTGGTTACTTAATTTTATATGTGGTTCTGAATGATTTTAAACGTTAAGTTTATATTTAATACTAAATTAATTTTTAAAACGCCTTAAGCATTGTGTAGATATTTATTTTTACTAGTAATCAACATCGCCATTGCTTGGCAAACATCCACAGTAAATAATTTTTTTTTTTTATAACTATTGGTTAATAATTGTAAATATAATTTTTTTTTTATGTTTTTTTGACAAATTGTAAATTTTATCAATATTTTAGTTGCTTAGCCAAAACCTCCATTTTTCCCATTTACAAAAAAATATAATTTTTATTTACATTAAAAAGCTGTAAGACTTTCAGAGGCCATATAATCCATTCTTTTTTTAAAACATAATAAACTTCTGTCAATGATGCACAACTACATGTGTTATGTTATTTGGTCGACACTTTTCTTATTATACTTGCAAAACATAATACATTTTCTGTTAATATTTTTCCAATTTATTGTTTCAACCAATTTCAATAGTACAAATTATATAAATAATTTAATACTGGATTAAAATTATTTTTTAAAAATTTATTTTAATAGGCGTTTTGACATAATATGAAGTATGAGTACTTAAATATATATGTATTGTACTTACAAGCAACAACCATGTATTTTTATTACACTTTGTTACAGAAAATTATTTTATGTACATACTATAAAATTTGTCGTAAAAAAAAATGTTTATTCTTAAAAACAATTATCTAATATTCTTTTTTAACAAAATTATAAACAATAAATATTGCAAAATAAAATATTTATTTAATTTGTAGTTAAAAAAAAATTACATGCATAATTTTAAAAATTATATTGCAAAGATAAAATAAAACTAAAAATACAAAAGATCAATAAATTAACACAGTACCTTTATAAGTTATAGACAAATAAAGAACACACACGAACACTCACACAAATTTGTTCACAAAATAATAATATCTACACCCCAGTCTGATCTAATTTATATGAGTGTCAAGTAGATAAATTATAAATGAAATTGGCAATACACTTTTAAATAATTAAAATAGTAATAATAAAAAGAATTATTGAGAATGGTAAAGGGTTGAATTGACTGGCACATAAAGATAATATGTATATGGTTAGATTACATAATATAATATCACTATACACAGCTTAAAATTATCATTGAATATTTACAAACAATGTGGCCAGTCTGTTCAACAAGAAGAATAGAGTGATGATAAAATTTACTATTCGAAAGTACTCCTTAACATCTAAATTTAAAAAAAAAACTGTTTTATACAAATATAAATTACCTAAAAAATACATAAAGATGTATGTATTTATATATATATTATATACACAAAATGAGGTATATGTAATTAACCCTCAGTATTAACAGTTTCTCTAGCATGGTGTGTACGGACATGCTTGTTGTGATTAGATTTTGAACTGGTGGTCTTTCCGCAAATGTGACACGTGTGAGGTTTTTGTCCAGTGTGCGTTTTTAAATGATCAGAGAGATAATAACTGCGATGAAATCTATTGACAGAAAAAAAATGATTATAATAAATAAATGGAAATGTATGTTTTTCAAGGAATCACTTTAATTATCATTTTGAACTTGTAATGGGAATCTGAAAATCCGGATTTTCAAAAAAGATGCTATTTAAGCTATTTAAAAATCACAAAAGTGTTAGATAATTTTACAATATAAAGCAATATACTTAAGTAAATTTTTTTTGATAAATATGTAAAAATAAAACAAAACACCAAAATGATAAACTGCTTTTGGATTTCAGATGTGTTGAAATCCGAAAGAATTTCATAGGCAAAGTTAAGAGTTTTTTTTTTAATTTTTATCAACAAATTTTACTTAAGTACACATCTTTATATTGTAATGATATTTAATATTTATAAGATTTTCAAGTGGCTTAAATAGCGTTTTTTGACAAATCTGGATTTTCAGATTCCCATCACTAATTTAAACACATATTTAATTAACAAATTAAACATTATGTTTACAATAATAAAGTATTAATATAATTGCTTGAAAACAACTTAATAAGAAGATTACTACATAATCAATAAGATATTAGCATAAAAATGTTCTAAGTAAAAATACTTACTTTTTTCCACATTCATTACACACAAACGATCGATTGCCTTCCTTGTGTTCAGCCATATGTCTCATGCAGTGTTTTTTCCTAATAAATTGTTTACCACATTCGTTACAAGTAAATGGCCGTATGCCGTTATGTGCTCGAACATGAGCTTCCCATTCGTGTTTCAAGTAAAATGCACTCTTGCATTGGGTACACTTGAATGGCTTGTGTGAACGAGACATATGAGTCCACTGATGCATTCTCAAATTCCATCTTGTTCGAAATGCACGATTACATATATTGCACGAAAAAGGTCTCAAGTCTTTATGAATAAGCATATGCGTGGCAAAAGACTTGCGTAAAAATGTACTATTACATATATGGCAAGTCATGTTCTCAGCATCTCGATCTTTTGTTGGTAAATATGTCGGATCATGCGAGTGTCGTATGTGTCTAGTTAAAGAAGTAACATGTACGAAACGCTCTGAACACCAAAGGCATTGTTTAGGTTTGACTTCATGTGTTTCTTTATGCCAAATCAATTTCTTCAATGATGCAAACACCTAAAATTATTTTATAATTGTTATATTTCATACAAAATTTAATATAAACTTTATTACTTCTCCACAATGGCAGTAGAAATCTTTTTGAATTCCCGTAGACAAATGTAACTTGCGTATGTGATTGTTGAGGTTGGCTCTGCATCTAAAGGTGAGATCACAGCGATCACAACTATAAGGTTTAATATTGAGATGCCCATTGGTGTGATCTTGGAGCTGAACACGGCTTACGAAGGATTTATCACAATGATTACACGTGTAAGGTCTTATTTGAAGGTGGCGTTTTAAATGAGTGGTCAAAGAAAATTGTGTTCGGAACTGCCTTGTACAAAAACTACATAATAACGGGTGAACATTTAAAATATGTTCTCGAAATTCTGTGATCATTGGAAATACCGTGTCGCAAGTTGGACACCAATTGTTCTTATCTGAAAAAAAAAAAAATTATACAAAATAGAAACACGGTTTGAAAAAATAAATAACGGACATTGAAGTACTGTAAAATTATACTAAGTTCATTTAGTGGTACAAAATTTAATATATTTTAAAATATTGTAAAATTAATGTTATAGACATTGAAAATAAACAATCATTTTTCAAATTAAAAATACAATACCATAACGTTTGAAATACATTTTTCAATTGAAAAAAAATTTAATTGGTAGTTAGAAAAATTAGAGGTAATTTTTTATGCCAAGACATGGCACAATTTTGAAAAAGAAATATAAAGATTAATAACAAATTATTGGATGTTGATATTTTTACCCTTTAATTTTATTAACTTTTAATGATTAAATAAAAAATTGGAAATCAACGCACAGGAGGATGGCAGCACATTTTTACAAGATGATTTCACCACGGAAAACGGAGCGCTTGTGACCGAGTGTCGAACTAGCGACAATTAGTGCCAAACCACTCCGCCTCCTATTCATAGTTTGATCGATTTGGCTACACCCTTACACAATATCAGTATAGAAATAAAGTTTTAACTTAGATGCCAATAATTTATTCAATGAACTTTAACTAATATAGACAAAAAACTTTAAGCAACTTATGTTTATATATATATTATATACATATATATGTAAAGCAATGAACGATTGTTCAATAATAATGAATATGTACACGCATAGAGTGTATTATTTTTATGGTTTAGGGTTTAAATATTCATTTCTTTACTTGAACTAATATTTTGATTACGATATTAGATATTTACTTTAGAAGACAGAAGTACTTTATTACCTTTATGAGTATCAATGAAATGCAATGTCATTTTAACATAATCTTCAAACGCTTGGCCACAAATACCGCATTCGACTTTCATGTCTTGTAGAGTAGCTTCGACTTCTTCATTTTCTACTTTTAAAAATGGTTTTATATACATTAAACCTTTTTTAACGCCTTCCTCGCTTTTATGTTCTTCGGCTATATGTGCCTTTCGATTCTTGGCACCATTAAACTTTAATTTACAATATGGACATGTTAATTTTCCTATTAATGGTTTAAATTCTTTTTTTTCCAAAATTTCTTCTTTGGGTACTTCTTCTTCTTCTCTATTTCTTAGGCTTAACAAATTTCTCGCTGCTGTACTAACTTCATGCACTGTATCTTCCCACGCCGTGCTGGTATGCGGCTGAGATTCATCAGATGTCTTCATGGTCCATATGGAAGCGAGTATTGGCTCGGGAGGTTCTAAACTCTCTTGACCCGATAGTTCGCCGTGGGCAGGCATAAGTTCATCGGTTTGAATATCTATAGTCAGTTGATTTTCTTGATTATTTGAAGAAAGATATTCAGGATGTAATTCCATTGTAGTTAGAGTACTGTACTGAGGGGGATTTAATTGTGGATCGGGATCAGTGTGTGAAATACGTGCATTTTCATTGGAATAAAAATACCGCGACATGTACTCTTCATCTTCTATGTTAACATTCGGTTGAAATGGTTCGTTATTAAAATTTCCTACTATAGATGATTCAGTTGTTTCTTCTGATTCTTCGTGGTTTTGAATCGATTCGGTAGAAACCCCTTGAAAGCTTGTACTACAATCTTGTTGATCTTCATACTCTGGTGAAAAGTGATCTCCAAAGGACTCGTTATTATCTTCAATATCAATGTCTTCTTCAAAAACCTCTCTAAGTTCTGAAAAAGCTTGACTATGGGAACTTTTGGGAGATGAACAGTTAACAGGGCTATTTCTGTCATCATTGTTAACTTGGTCGTGTGTATTACTAATAGAAGCTACTGAATGATTTGACGATGAAGAGCTACTGTCATCTGAAAGTGTTTCTTCAGTCTGGTCTACTCCAACCTTTGAAAAGTTTGGATTTTGATTTGTCAATGAGAGCAATGCTTTTATGACGTGTTTTTTTGGGTGAGTGTTTAAATGAACTGGAAGGGATATGCCTGGACGCAAGTATAATGTGCAAACCGGACAGCATGATTGAGACTCTTGATTCATATCTCGTCAATAAAAATATTCAGTCTACAACAAAAGGTAATAATATTAAGCTCAAATTTAACAATATTAATAGAAGATTTATTAACAACACATAAATATGGCAAAATATGATTTAATAATTTTATTCAACTCGTATAATGTTGTTAATGCAGTTTTATTATGTGTATTATTATTTATTTGTATATTTAGTATAGGTTATCTACACAGCATGATGGAAATATATATTTAAAAAACATTATGATTATTTAAAAATATTCCAATTGAAAAGAGATTATTTTTATTACTTTATACACTTTAAAGTAAATTAAAAATGTAATTAGGAAAACTGTGTACCGTCAACATAAAGATAAGAGGGAGTTGCATCGGGCCGAGTGACTATACATTTGATGTGCAAACAGGGAGACCGATGGATTGAAATAAAAAACTGAAAAAATGAAGAGGAACATTTTGTACTTAATTTGCATGACACAAAATATGTCACTTCATAGGATTAAATTCAATAAAACTATTTTTGTTTTAATAAATGTTTAAGTCATAATAGTTTTGTACACATAATTTCAGTAAATTATCAGTTTTTAATATGAATGCTACTGAACATTACGTTTAAATGTCAGGTATTAAAAAAAATCTTATAACTAATCATTCTCATACAAATGACTTTTTTTAATTTGGTAATCGCATAGATCAAATGTTAAAATATATATTTGGTTTCGAGTAATAACAAAATCAACATCGACAAGTTTTAAAAACGATAACTACCCAGATATGTATGTGTACAGGACATTTTTTTAAAATAAAATCTTATAAATTTTCATTTATTTAAAAAGTATTAAAGACTACATTTTTTTAAAGACCTTACATGCATTTATTTAAATAAGTATATACGTATGAATGTAGTCATGCATATATATATATATATATATATATATATATATACATATGTGTGTGTGTGTGTGTGTATGTATGAATTGGCTAAAAATATTTTTTAAAAAAATGAAATCAAAGTAATTCAATTTCTAAAGAACTAACATATCAACCGAATATAAATTTGTAAAAGCACGTCGAGGTCAATGTTGAAGTTAGGCTTACCCGATTATTGCTCAATCGTTTTGGTTAATTTTACATTGAAAGTAGGTTTACTGCAATCTCAAACCAATAAGGGCAGGGTGTATACAATCGAATACACACAAAAGAAGCAGCAATAATAGGGAATTCATGACGACTATCAAACGATGAAATGTTATAGAAAAAAATGTTTGGCCTCAAAGAAATAAGGGCAACGTTAATTAGTTTATATTTATAAAATAAGTAAATGATAGGTTTACCTTAAGATGAGGAAGATAAAAAAATATATATATTTGATGGCCGAAATGGCCACAAAAACAATTGCCACTTAGCCGTTTTTACTAACTCGTACGTTACAGCAATCAAATATTAATAATTAAACTTAAAAACTATAATGTTTTTATTTTAATAAATAAATATTTCATTATTATTTATTACAATTATATTTTACAAAATGTACATGATGGAAAAAGAAAATATCAATAAGCATGCAGTGTTGCCACATTTCCAAGGCCAACGTGTCCAAACAAAATGCAGACATGCCAAACTGTCTAGATTTACAATAATTTAAATGAAACTGTGATTCTTGATAATTACACAAATATCGAAATTCCAGTATAATTTATATTATACTGGATAATATTATATTTAAGGCTTATATAAATAATTATGAATCTATTTGTATTTTTTTTTTTAATATGCTTTTATTTTTTAAAATTACTGCATTTATCGAAAAAAAAATTACGGTTATTGTTATTCTAAAATCCAAAATGCATGTTAAAAAAAAATATCACTACGTATACAGGTCACTGAACTCAAAAAACTCTTTCATTCAATATAGAGGTGAGTTCATATATAATTTCGTTACTGTATCCCAGAGGGCGCACGACCCCTCGAGTCTACTCTTTTTAGTTAATCGTTTATATCATCACACGATTCACGAACAATTCTTAAAGTAGCAATATGTTTTTGTGCAACCGATGAGTAAACATAGTTAAGGTAGCAACAGTCAACAGACAATAAGTTATAGTGATTTTAAGCTTTTCAAAAATGCATTTCTGTGAAAAATAGTCAATATATTCTGACACTGAAATACATTTTTTAATTTTGGTTACAGTACTGGGCAATTTAATTACTTTCTCGTACAATTTAAAAATGTTCTTTATTTCTTGTCTATAATAATATAATGTACCTATAAATTTTTTTTTGTGAGAAGACATAATTTTCTAATTTCTCTTCTATAAAACAATCACAAATTAAAATGTTGTTTATACTGAAATTGTACAGTGATGTATTTGTCTAATATTAGCAGTTAGAAATTATGTGATAGCACGTAAATAGAATAGTAGAATAACAGTTCGAATTTAGCATTTTATTTAAGATATATAATGTAAATGCAAAAATAATAATTCACACACACGCACTCCCTAAACATGTTTCTTTCAATTTCATACATAGACCTGAAAATTTACATGATTTGTGTACATTCAAAGCCAGTTACATTTTTTAGTTGTTTTATAAAATTCTAAATTTTTGTGTAGGTATTTGGTAGTGATAGATTGAAAATGTATTAAAATAAAACATGTATACCTCTCTCAAAGTAGAAAATCTTAATTACTTATAACCTATTTCTCAATCTTTTTTCAGGGGCGCCATTTGCAGGATAGTTATTAGTCCCCCTATTTTTATCTTTACTTTATTTGCTCTACCAAATCATTTTTAACTATAAAGTTATTACAATAAATAAACTGTTTGTAATTAAGATTAAAATTTTAAAAAACGGTCCATTTACATTTTCCCCAGAGGTTCATAAATTGCAAAACCATTTATGTCTTTATGCTTTTTGCAACAGATTTATAAATGTAGCCAGGCTAGCACATAGAGCATACGTTAGCTACGTGTAGCTTATTTCAATATGGATTTTTTCCCATCAACAAGCAATTTTTTCAGTACCCGATTAATAAATAAAATATTCTTTAAAGACTAACCACGGTCAACTTAAAAAAAATCTCAGTAATATTTTATTAATACAAATAAAACATTTTTTTTTTTATTTAGTGCTGAATTTTGGGTTATTAATTAAAAAAATCATGAACATATTATTATTGTAACAAGACAACTAGTAAATACTGTCATTTTTACTTACTCCAGATTCATCTGTATATTAATATAGTTATTACGATTAATATGTAATACCGATTAACTATTTTAAATAGAAAGTTATCATTCTTAAAAAGTTATATAAAGCACTGATGCAGACTAAGAAATTTTATTTTATTAAAAAAAATCTATATGTTTATGATAAATATATTTTTAATGGTATTAAGTATGAAGTGTAATGAATAGCCCGTTAAACCGTATTATTATTTTTTAATAATTATAAAACAGAAGTCACAATGTCTTATAAACTAAACTAATAAAAACAAAATAATAAATAAATATTTTCAAACAAAACAAAACTAATAATTTTAATCATTACATACTTAAAATATGTTCATGTCAAAGAAATTTTAAGAAACCCATTCAGTTATCCTTGTAGTCAATATTCAGTCTACACATTTGAATTTGGATATTAGTAAAAATGTAATTTTCACTATTGTTCAATTTAGTATGAATTACACACAAGTTGTATAATGATGGATTTTGTAATAATTATATAATATACGATGTATATATATTAAAATGTGAAAATGCTTTTACAATTTCTAGTTGAAAAACAAAATTGTGATTTTAATACTTGCATCTACTAATTTCTTTAAAAAATGTATTTTGTTGATGGATTTTTAAACTACCTACTTTATCTAAAAAGTAATACAAAATTAACTGTTCAGTTATAATAGCAAACATAAAATATATTTCTTCTGTATATGTTTAATGTATGATACAAAATAAAATATTAAAGAAATTAAACTTCATTACAAAAAAAAAAAAAAAAAAACAATTATGTCAAGATTAAAAAAAAAACATTTTCTTCCCACTTGAATATTAAATAAATAATAATTAATAATGTAACTTGTTACGATTTTATTATGATATAAGCATAGCTTAATATAACAGTGACCAATTTGACGTTCAACAAAATGCGAACATATTATTTTTTAGATGACTGGTGTTTAGTGAAACATATTGATGTTAATGAATAGGAACTACAAGATAAGAAAAGTGGGCTTTTTTAATATATATATTCTTTTGAATCTAAATATGGTTCCAAAAATGTATATAAAAAAATTCAATAAATTAATTAAAATTATAAAATACTATACAAATGTATATTTTATTACATAAAATATAATAACTAAGGAAATCTATTAATTTTGCTAAGGATTATTATAAATTCTTTTTATTTACATTGTTAAAATTTAATTGGTATGGATGTGTCGTTAATGATTTCCCACTTTTAGATTTAGCAATCTAGCTTCCTATTTTCTTGTAAAAAAAATCTGAATGTTTTTTTCAAATAAACATGTTCCATAATATTTGTTTTTATTCATCGTGGGCTTTGTTGATAATAATCGCATCTTGACGATCTTCTTGCGGTAGTTCCTTATCGTCCCAACCCCAAATACCATTATGAGTTCCATCACCGGTCCGATCCACTCGCTTGCGTACCATGTCCATAGAAACTGTTTTCATATCATACGCCCAACCAAATTTGGAAAAGAAGTCAATAAATCCAGTTGTTAAATTTGCACGGTAGTTGCCCAATTCAGCTGCTTTGTAGTCCCAGGGGAATACATGATGGTAATTGTGCCAACCTTCTCCCAGAGCGCCCAAAGCAACACCAATATTTTCAGATGGGTTGATAAATCTAAACAACAAACAAACCATTAGTACCTCTTGCTTTAAAACATAAATTTATAATAACTTTGGTCTATTCTTACAATGAAAAATAATTTATTTTGTATTGATATATGGTTATTTAGTTTAAATTTAAATGATCCTAACATCAGCCAGAATAATAGACAATGAATAATTAAAAACAAAATATTTAATACAAATAACTTAATAATAAACTGAAAAATTATTCAATTTTTAGATATTTTTTATTTATCACTTCATCTAGATAAAATAAATAATAATTGAACAAACAATACCAAACTCTACCGACAGTATGGAAATATTACGACTATCCAGATTATATTGGAATAATGCAAGATATTTTATTTTACAAGTAAATCTGCTTTATTGAAAATAATAATTAATATATTGAAGGAGAACTACCTTTTTGTTTGCTTTATGCAACTCGAGTTATTATTAAATGAAGCTTGTTAAAATGTTAAATGAATAAAAAATAAATAAAAACAACAAACATGTAACTGTATTAATGCCTTGGTCTAGATCCAAAAGAAATTATAAACCCGTAAACTTTAAATAAAACCTCATTTTTAAGATAAGTCTAGAAACTGTAACTTGTTATACTAGATTAAGTTAACTATTGTCAATATTTTAGTCACTGTTAACAACCAACCGCCAATGACTCCGAAACCACAGCATATTTTAATTAAAAAAATTAATAAATCTATAAATTAATTAATATATTCTCATTAATTTGAATAAAAGCTAAAAGAGTGTCGAAATGAAAGCATTATTAAAGTAAAATAAAGCATTTTTAGGACAACTTCGGTTGGAAATAACCTAGTTGTTTATTTTTTTTTTTAAATAACCAAACCCGTCAAATTTTTTTAGGTGTACATAAATCCTACATTTCTTTTTATTTGGGTAAACACTAAAAAGTTTGCAAAGTATAAAAATAATACGTATCAGTTCTTTTTTGGCCAACTTTGATTTTAATCTTATTGGTGAACAAATTAAAATAAAATTTTAACTTACTTATCGTAAGGTCGGTCACCCCACATATGAGCAGCACTATTTACAAGCCATGTCATATTTAATGTGAATGTATACCGGAACATGGTAGCAACAAACCACGCGTTGCCCCAAGTTTCACCCCAACAATATACAGGTACACTTGTCGGTATTACAAAACATAAGAATGGCATCAGATAAAGGTAATATCTGAAAAAAAATTTAAGCAATTACTTATAATGGACTATTCATTTTAAAGCTCATTAAAAAAACACACATATACATATATATATATATAATAAATATTTACTTCATTTGAAAATTAACAACAGGATCACGATCTAAATCACTCATATCAATACCGCGTCCCTTTTCTTTAATCTCCGGATGCTTGCGACATAATAACCAACCGACGTGAGAAAAGAAGAAACCACGCTTGGCGTTATGTGGATCAGCATCGGTTTCACTGTATTTGTGGTGCATACGATGATCACGTGACCATTCGTATATGTGATTCTAAAATAATACAATTTATCGTTGGTAAAATAAAAATATACTACAACAAATCAAAATTAAACATTTAAATGTAGAATACCTCAAAAGCAATAGTGTTGAAAACCATAAGAATAATACGTAGCGGAAGTTTTGCTTTGTACGATCGATGAGCCCATAATCTATGTGCTCCGGCAGTTATTCCCAATCCAGACATCTGATATAATAATATTGCTGTGAACAAAAAGTAAATATTATAAGTTATAGGCAAATTATGCAATTTTAATTGACACTAGAAGGACTATGGAAGTATACACAAAAGATTTAAAATTAAAAATTTGTATTTTATTGAGTATAAATTTAGTTCAAGATCCAAAATTAATAATAAATAATTGTCAAGTAAAAATTATTTATTACTAGTATTTTAGAATTTAGTGTTTTGAACAGTGTCTTATTTTAAATTATTTGGACAACAACTTATTGAATATAATTATAAAAGAAAATAAATGGTTGATTACTAGTTTTGAATGGCTTTTAGTGCTACCTTCATTTATAAGAGTAGGTGGAGGTTATCTGTAAATAAAGTATTGCAATGTTTTTTCAAATCATGCCTCTGCTTTGGCCTTAAATTTTATAGTTTTCAATTGTCAAAATGTAATAAACAAACTATTCTTATCTAATTATTGACTTTTCATGATCTCAGTAATTTTTGTTTATACAACCAAATGAAACATTTAACTTTTAAATGTTTATGAGATCGATATTTATTTTTATCCGATTTCTTTCACCATTTTTGGTTATAGGATTTTTACAGATATTTTGAAATTATAGTAATATCATGTTCTATTCAATTTTAATTAGCATTATTCACGAAAATGGTTAATATTATTTTAACACATTAGATTGCTGGAAATAAAATAAAAAAATTGTAGGTATAAAACTTTTTTCAAAAAAAAAAATCTGTAATGCTCCTAATTATCTAGAGTAAGAACATATTATTTTCTAGAAACTCATTAAAGACCTTAAAAAAGAAAATGGAGGCAAAAAATTAACTTACCCCAAATAGATGTTGGTATTTTTGCAGAGGCAAACATGAGATAAGCTCCATAGAGTGCAGCTATATGAAGGTAGGCAAATAAAGCGACATTTCGCCATACAATTTTACGCTGGTATCTAATTGGTTTGTATTTATCGTTCTCAACAGTTTCGCCCTCTGCAATCTGATTTCCATCGCCTACTACATTAGGTTCTGTTTGTTCTTCATTGAATAGAACACCAGGCGCGCCGACTGGCCGCTTGGTCATGTTAGGAGCCATTTTACTGTATTATTGCTGACCAACTGAAAACAAAAAATCGAAAATAGCGATTATTTACTTGTGATTTTTATTAATAATAATATTTTAATTAACAATCATATTAACACAAATAGCTGTAATTTATGTTATTTTACATAGACACGCGTAAATAAAGTCATAACTATTACGAATCACATTGAAAATTACATTTTTTTAAATTAAAATTACCGAAGAGAAACACGAAAAATACAATAGTACTAACTAAAATATACAGTATGTAAACGAGTGAATATTAATTACCAAGCGACCGATTAGATTTTTTTATTTAAATAATTATCGAACAGGCGTTATTAAAAAAAACTGTAAAAACATCGATACAAATTATATAATATTTCTCCCGCGACGACTGGCGAATTTTAAATTTTATGACTAATCCAATTATTACCTTATCATCAAGTACTTAAGAATAATAACTAATAAGAACTATATAAGAGTTCGACGAAATAGATTTGAGTTTAAACTTGAAAATGTCACCAATTCGGTGGCTTATCGGCGTTTGCTAAGCAGTTGAATTGCGAATACATACATCGTTGAACAGGGTGAACGAGCCCTAAGAGTTTAATAATAAGAAAAAAAACCCAATGTTAATCACGTTCTCTCTACTTTACTTTATCGATCATTTATAATAATAATTATAATAGTTATAATAATAATATAGTTCACCAACATTGTTTAATAATAACAATAATATTATAAGTAATCTATACCGTACGCCGTTGTGTTGTTGTGCGCACACTTCATTGCTAATCGCGCGTTAGTGGAGAGAAAAACAACACACTATTGATTCTATAGATCAAATTACTTAATTGCACAACCACACAACGACGTTTAACAATCATCAACAACGAAAAAAACAATAAGTACTAAACGGTTATAATATAATAACTGTCGACGCAAAAAATGAAAAAAAAAAAACCAAATAATAAATAACGCCTAATTAGGTGTACCGGACAGAAGTTTTTTTGACGATATTTGTTTCCAAGCTGCCTTAACACACACACTTTGCGCAGCCAGAATTCGTACTGTCATTAATAATTACGCATACACACACACGAACATGAATACGAATGTCTGTCATTTATTTACTCCGTTTGCATTATGAACAGTACCGTTGTTGTCAAGGTCATGAGGTACAAGGGTTTTCGACAAGTTTTTAATATGCAAAATCAAACGTAACGCGCGATACGATATTCGGAAGCACGCGTCCAGCCTATTTACCGCTGTCGTTCGTGTCACATACATACATATTAAACAACTACAACAACAAGTGCAGTTCCTGTGGTACCGCATACAATTTTAATAATTAATATTATTTCCAACGCCGAACCACAACTATGCCCCCTCCCCCTCAAGACCAGCGCGTTTGTTGATTATTTTTTAATTAAAACAATAATTGCATTAATTATTTTTTATTACCTATCGGGAATCGCGCTTAATTTCTACTTAGGTTCTTATCTTGCAACACGAGACTCGCCGTCGCTGTATTAAGAAAATATATGTTGTAATAGCTTAGGTTCTACGGATCGTCCCAATGGTACAAATAAAAAGGTGGGAATACATTATTGGTTAAGGAAGGTAATTTTTATGTTTTCATTACAAAGAGCTATCGAGTCAAAGATTAAATGTGACATTATTGGCAGGATTTATAGAAGTAGCAGCATATATTAACAATTAATAGATGATCTATTAATACTTAATAGGTAAAACAATGCCGATTTCAAAATTATCGATTTCATGCATAATATACAATAACAACTAAAGTCCACCTACACTGCATATTTGTTTCCCGGTTGATTATTAAGTTTAAATACGGCGATAACATAAAGCAAATACTAGAAAAAACGTGATTTGTTATCGAAAAGCTAAATTGATGAAAAGAAACATGCAGACCAGACACGTTTTATACACGTGAAAAATCCGACATTTCCTTTAACTCCGTTTAAATTAATGTACAATGTATGTAACAACATGATGTATGTAACGGTGTAAGAACGGCTCATAACGGTGTTATATGTATATATATATATATATATTTTTTTTTTAACAACTCGGTGATAATACGTTCTAATAAATATCTATTATAACTAATATTATTAAATGTCTAATTATGATATACCTCTATTACAGTTCACAAAGTTACACATTCCAAAAGTACAGAGTTAAGGCGCATTTCGTGCACATTGCTCGTTTGACTTATGGAGTATTTATTTTGAAACTATTTTGATCACAACGGAAATCTGACTAATGCTTCAGTAAACATTATTTTCTACCTTCTGCGATACTTCAGATCGTACTTATTTATTTTTACAAATTAAAAAATATCACAACGTCACGTTGCTGCGTACACTGTCATTATTCTAAGGCCAAACAAAATATCAAGTTTTACAGTGCCATCAAGTAGGCACTTTTTAGTTCGTCATTAGTCAAATAAATTGCCAATATTTTCTTTAGCGGAAACGAATGATCGCCGGGCATGCATCAATGATTCAAAACGTAAAACCGGCTGTACTCAAAATAGGAAAACACCGACAGTACACAATATTAATTTATCATCCGACGATAAAATGAATGGGTTTAATCCGCAACGTATAAATATTAAATTAAATAAGTACTAAAATATTAATCGTGGCTACTTTAAGTACCGACTACACACGTGACTGGTAGGCCAAGCGTCTAGGTGCTTATTGTTTTGCGACGACGTTCGTACAACAAAACATTATTATACAATCATACGTAATATATACTCGTATTGATGATAAACAGTTATAGATGTGTTGAGGCTATATTTTTTAACGGACAAGTTATAATCCAGGACCGGATTTCCGACAAGGCCATCAAGGTGGCTATATAACTAAAGGGCACCAAGCCTCGTTGGTTTGAAACAATTTCATAATTTTTAAAAATTGTATGACCCCCTATTGTAGAAAACACATGTTTTTTGTATGCCTAGGAGGTCGGGAGTCCAACAGATAAATTCACAATTCACCATTTGCTGAAAGGAAAACTAAGGAACATTGAAATACACTAAGTGCTAAATTACTAAAACAAGTCATCCATATATCAAAATAAAGTCCATTATAACACGGCGACAAAGTAATATATTTATAAAAATAAACAATGTTTTCATGGCTATAAGCTCTCCTCGCTCAGTTTGATTTTAACTAGCACAAAATCGAAAAAAAATAACCAACAAAATTCAGCAACTCGTTTACACGCACTTTACTCGCTTATACCGAATTTTAATTAAACAAAAAGGGCACTTCCCTAATTACTCTCAAATAAACCGTTATTTTTTTCGATTGAAAAATAGATAAACGCTACTCTACCTAAAAAAAGGCAATTGAAAATAATGTTCTATGTACAGAAAACGCGTATCTATTTAAACATCCTTCTGTTTGGTAATTAATCATTTCGATACATCCAAACATGTTACACATACAATGCAATAATTTTCTCTTTTGTGCATAATTTATAATCAATCATATCATCACATTCAAATAATATTAATAGCAATAACACAAACACAACAACAATAATGATAGTTCAATTGACAATCTATCCCCTACGCGAATAATACTATTACACACCGTTACGATTAAGGTCGTAGAGGTCAAATATATATACGTAAACTTATGCCTCTGCCAGTTTATGAGGACACGACGAAATTCGACTGTAATTGACAATTTATTAAGCAATAATAATACTAATATTACAGTCGCACTCTGGGGTGTCTAAATTACAAAATGGTATCGTAAACCCGTTTGGCTCTCTCGAAAAAGTAATAATAATCTTCTATAATATATTCCCGAATTTAGCACTTTGCAGTCAGCTACTATCACACACATACTGTTTAGCACTTAAAACAAAATAAACCGTAATCTATGACTACGAGGACACGAAAAAAAAAATACCGCTTAACGGTGAAAGCCGCGCGCAGTATTTATCCACAAGATAATTTAAATAATATGTAATTTACCGTCGATATGTTTACACCCAAGTCGAATTTGTTACAGAAGCGGCCAGCGGGTTATGCAACAAGAATATTCAGGAAGACGAGATGGAGAAATGTAAGGAAAAAAGTCGACTACTAGAAGTACGAGTTTTGGTCTCCGTCAAATGTTTTGACAGTGTTGAGATACAGGAAACCGAGATCAGGTCGTCGACCACTTTCACCTTTTAATGTTATCAAGAGCCCATAAAATAGCATGTGTGTCATGAGTGTGACACGGATAACGACGACGCTGAATATCGAACTAGTCCGGAATCGATTGAGCCAGAAGCTATAAATAAAATCCGTCATTAATAATAACGTACTTAGGTAAACCACCCCCCCCCCCCCAAAAAAAAAAACCAGACGTGTAGTGCCGAGGATATAAGACTTTTAGAGAAAGCCAGTCGATCACAATTAATAATTATTTTTACATTATTATTATTATTAATTTCTCAAACGCTAACACGAAATGGTCGACAGGAAGCACAAGCATAATAATATACATATTACAATCGGTTGGTTAAATCGATTATTAACTGTCGATACACAATTTGTAATACACCGTCAATATTTTAATTATAATTACTAGGAAGCAATAAAACTCCGTGGCGCCGGGTGCGCAAATCAAATTAAAATAATTTTACCTAAAAATAATACCTTAATAAGAGTTATATTCGAAAAATCCACAAAATAGCTATTTCAAAACAAAATAGTATTAATCAATTGCTTGTCGAGCAAATAATATTAACATTAATTTAGGTAGTATTTAGAATTTTATAAAAATGCACACTTGATCGTATTTCACTAGGTAATATGCAATCGCCATCATATTACATATCAATAAGCATTATATACATTCCTAAATGTAAATAAATAACGTTATCATTACAAATACCACACAATGGTTTTTTTGTTAGAGGGAAACCGAACAATATATATAGCTTCAAATAACAATACTTATCTAACTCGCAGACACAAAATAATTGTTAAAAAAAAATTATTTCCGTTGATTAATGATATTGATATTACATATTTAAAAAATAATGAGTGGAGTAATTTATTATTACCTTGACATTGTCTACACAAATTTCAATGGCTGGAACTCTAACAATTTGAATTCAAAATTAACAATTTTATATTAAAAACTATTATGTTGAGATGTAGATACAAAATCAGACAAAAATAAATAAATATTGTTATTGGCTAAATTTATATCAATGTAAACGAGTTACTACAAAAAAAATAACCGACAACAGATTTGTAACCAACTATATTAAACAACAATATAAAATTACAGTGTATAACTCGTACTACAACAAAACTTAACCTTGAAACTGTGTATCATAAATCATACGTGTATTAATAAACATATTAGGAAAAAAACAAGATCAAAAGAGTCTTAACACTTTATGAATGAAAGTTGTTTTTCATTAATGAAAATACAACTATAAACAATTATAAAAAAATCCAAGATCTATCCTTTTCTAATTTCTGAAAATCGTTTAAGATTTGAATATTAATACAAAAATCATAATTTGCAAAAAAATTAACAAAACAGTATTGGATTCCTATAAAATATATCCAACATAGACTAATTTGCCAGTGGAAATGGAATCATAATTGATACTTTAAAAGTAAAGGGTTCGACTTTTACACAAGTCGAACTAAGTTTATACACTTTCACCACACACAACTTTTCCTTATTTGACAGGGAAGACTTTAGGAAAAAGGATGTCCATACCATTTTTGGCAGCTCTTTTTGGAACTACTAAGCCAAACATTCCTTGGGTCCATTCGTTTTGGAACTGGTAGCTAAAACGTATAATCTATGTATGTTAAATCAATAAGACGGAATACCTATATAAAAAATAAAAGTGTAATTCATGTCACAGGGGTCTGATAATAATTTTATAGAACTTGTTTTGAGCTAAATAATTAGAGCAATGTCACCTTGTAGAATAAATTATTAATTAAAATCCCGTTAGGTTAGGCTGCTTTTTAAACAGTAATCAAATCATGTAATTGCTCTTACAATATTGTTGTTTTCAGTTATAAATTATGATTACGATATAGATTATAAATGATTGTGTGCTGTAATTATTAAAATTTTAACTACTATATTATATAAATAGATAAAATATTTAAATAAATATTACACTGTAATAATACTATACGTTTTTTAACCTTTGGACTTTGATAAAATAAATGTGAATCACCTCTATTTAATTAACCTTTTATTTCTGAGAGCCTAACACATTTACAAAAACAATGAATAGAAGAAACAAATATGACTACTTTTATATTATTATATACTGATTACAGGTTATTTAAAAAGTATTAACCTCAATAACATTTAATTATATAATATGATTCATTTTTAACCCATAGATTACACATTGATTTAATTGATCATATAAAACAAACTCAAGTTTTATATATAACTTGTTATTATCATGCCCTGGCACACTTATCACTAATTTGTTGCTCATTTTCCACGGCCATAAATCTTACATGTGCAAGCAACAACAAAGTCAGTCAGAATCGTCAATAAAATAGCCTCGATACATACAATAGGGTTTAAAAAAGTTCAAATTTTGATAGTCACTGACAAAATTATTTCTTTTACTTAAGCATTTTCTCACCGGGATCTCCCAATCTAGTCCTGATCTTCAACTTTTGTCTATTTACCGAGTTCTGTTGTGTTACACCAGTCATACTCTTACATGCCTTCTCATTTCCCCTATCTCGTTTACCTTCCAGTTGTATATCTTGGCTACTTTGTGGAGCATGGTTACTTTCTCTTCTATACACATGTCCAACCCATCTTAATCAAGCTTATTTTTTTGTCCTCATCAGTACCACTTTTTAGCTTCCTCTGATATACTTCCTCAATAAAATATAATGTAAATAGATACTACCTACTGTAGTTGTATTACTGAAATCTTAAATGTTTATATTTTTTAATCAACTCAAAAACCTTGCTAAACAAAAAAAAATAATAAGCAAATACTACTATTGATTTATTACGAGTAATACAGTTTTTTCCAAAAGAGTTTTTAAACAACAAAAATTAATAGTTTAAACAGCAAAAAAATATAAGTAAATTACGGATGTATTTTACATACTTAATGATAGAAATTATAGAATGTTTTACAAATTCAAATTTCAAGAGAGAATGAATTGTAAGTAAAAAAGTGTACGAGTCATAGGTACTACTTCCTACCTAATAATGATGAGACATAAAATATGAGTATAGTAATATAACTGTAATTAAATTACAGCTCTTAATAAATTACTACAATAGAAAAGCATACATTTATACTTCATGTTTTAGCCAAAATTTTTTATTAATATGCAATATACTTTATTACTTAAAATAGTTATCACCTTTGCCTCAAAAAAAGTTTTATATAAATTTCGCTTACGCTCTGAAATTAGACATTTTTTACTAAAACTGTAAGATTTAAATTATGTGCAAATTGTTTCTTGGGGTTTTTGACTTTCAACCAAAATGTTAGCAGCCATTATAATATATTATATAATATATGTTATATTGGCTAATACATTTACATAAATGTTAACATTCATGTGAAAGCAGTAAATTGTTACTTATTATTTTATTAAAATTTGCCACAATATACAATTATGTATATTCAATATCCTTCATGTTTACCACAGATTAAATGTACAGTGATACCGGGTATTTCATACTGTTTTAACAATTTTACTTAAGATTTTTAAGAAGACTTATGAACATTAGACAACTAACCATCAATTAATAATAAACTATAGATTGATGTCAACTGCACTTTAATTTGCCATTTCTTTTTCTTAAAAAAAAAGTAAAAACAATAGTTTGAATACATTCCAGTTAAATTTAACATTACATCTGTAATTTAATAATAATATTATTTACTAGTATAATACCTTATTAGAAAATAGTTTAAGTTTTACTCACAAATGTATTTTGTTTAACGGAAAAAAAAAGTTTTGATGTCAAAAAGAATATTATGTTGTATACATGTTAAATAATATTTTAATTTACCTAGTGTAAAGTATAAAATGTAAATGTTTGCTGAAACAAGTTACAGGCATTATTAGAAATGTAAATAATATCTTCATATTATTGGTTATTAATATTAAATAAACTTATTGTTTAACACAATGTAATAAAATGTACTAAGTAACAAATCATATTATCTAATCTATTAAGCCTCGGGTTATACTAATAAGTCAAATAATTGAGTACAAAGATGTTAATACAGGTTTAATCAGTTATAATTTTATTGTTGTTAAAAACCTATGATATTATAACAACTATAATTATTAGTATATAACTTTACACTAGAAATTAATATAATAAATAACACGAGTATATAGTTCCTACTAATTAAAACTACTTTTGTTTTCAACGGAATGTCGATGATTTTTACCTGTTTATAAATGAGACTTCGGTATAATTTTAGCGTAAAGAAAATCGTTGACAGTTGTTTCTTGGCTATTTTTAATGTAGACCGCAAACGAGAATGTAAAGGTCGCGTCGAAACCTACAACACATTATTACCGATATCGCCGGATGCGGAAAATCGTCTGGCACTGCGACTGGGCGGGTACCATGCAAAATTCAAACCGATCGAAACGATAGTTAAAACCAAAACTTCAATAAATACTTCAGAAATAATTTTTAAACTTGTACAATTTCAGCCGCGACGTCCCGCCGCAATGAGGGTTCTACGGTAAATAAAACGAGAGAGTAGTGAGTACTGAGTAGTTATGATTATACCTAGTGCGCTGTGCGAGCGACGACGGGTAGCGAAAAATTAACGGCCGACCCCTTTTGATAAGGCTTGATAAGGCGGCATGATGCAATACCGAACCGTGTCGGGCCGTCCCCACCAAGCGCGCACCGACCTACGACGCGACAAAACCGCACGAAGCGGCCAGGTCATCGTTTTGTGCCACCACCGCGGTTACGTGTCCGGCAACACGTCGTTTCTCGATTAAAGGATAATAAAGTATATTTTTACATGACCGCTAGATTACGATATTTTCCTATTAATGCGCGTTAAGTTATTAGTACACATTCCCTAGCCGCGGAAGATGTACTAATAAAAAATCATAACGATGATACTTATTTCTTCAAGTCTGAGGAACAGCTATCCTATCCTGCCCCAGCGCAATATTATCTAGCGAACATGCCTGACGCCTGCCTAAGTCACCCTTTCATTTAAAAACAAAAAGAGTAAATTAAAATCAATAAGATTTTTTTTTTTTTATTTATTTTTATGAATTTAAAATACTTAAATTCAGGAAAGTACAAATTAGGTTTTTTTATTATCCTATTCAATATAATATATCCATCCTATCCTAATGCATGATCTAACATACTCTTCTAAAACTTATTTTCCATTTCTTGGAAAGTTTAGTTGTCGACTTAAGCCATTGTTCCTCTGCACACCCACGTCTATAAAGACATAGTAACTCAAAATTATTATTTTAGAATGAAAAAAAACAACATTTTGACGTTAACATCATAACACGCCTTGCAATTATTTGTATTTTTTTAATCGATTGTACTTGAATTTAGAATTTTTAACGACTATTTTCACAATTAATGCATATTTGATATTTTATACAGGTGAAATCTCTGTTAACCGTTACAGAGTACAGTACTAGTAAAAACTGTACTCAGTACAGTTTTTAATTCCTCTGATATCCTCTTTGATTTTTCTGTATTACATTCAAATTTATTATTTCCTTGTAAAACAGTAGCGGCTTTGATATCAGTTTTAATTTTTTTTATAAAGTGCATTGATCTCACTTAAGTATAAAAAAATTCACCTAGTTTCAACAAAAATGTCTAAAGCGAAAATCTAAAATAAACTAAATATCAAAAATCAAAACAAGATAATATTGTTGTATTAGTTAATACATTTCATCTTATATATAAGCCACAGAAAGAATCTACATGAAATAGACTAAAGAACAAAAAATAATTTATGTTCTTACAAAGTATAAGAATGTAATACAACTAGAATTTTAAATAAACATAGATGAATTCAAGATTGTAGATGATTAGGTCCAAAAAATTAATTTATTGGACCTTGATGTTTCCCTTATCAGTTGTAGATTGTATTATATTTTAATGAAACTATAGTAAAAACTATAAAACAATGGTAACAGTTGCTGTTCTTCAAAACATGAATTTTAAATACTTTATGTTTTTTTTGTTCTCTTATGTATTATACCGTCAAAAGATTAATTAAAATTTAAATGCAATTAAAAATATAGGAAATCAGTATAGAGTTCATAATAGTCTCTATTATATATGATACACATTAAGTTATTTGTTGTGAATCAACTTGAAAGTTGACAGCAAACAGAATCCAATATACTATTTGAGCCAAATTTAATAATATCTATACTACAATTTTGTGCAAAGTATTTTAATAAATAATGAAGAGAAAGTTAATTAACTATAAAATTACTCTAATCCTTAATTCGACTATATTAGATTCATAACTTTAACATGTATTTTAATTATTCAAGTATCCACCTAATATTTTTTATTTATAACATTTCACTTGTTATTATATAACATTTAAATAATAAAAATACCAGTTTAATAATACTAGACCTACTTAAATTGAATGTATAGACGAGTTATTTTACTGACAATAATATGTATTACAAAACAATTTTTAAACATAATAATAGTAAAATATATACTAATAGGTAATATATCATTATAAACAAGTACCCAGTACCTACTTGTCGGCGAGTAAGCACGAAATAATACACGTTGAATGAAAAAGTTACTCACCTCCCAAACTATGACTCTACACTCCAATGACCTTTAAAACGAAATGTATGTCACCAAATTTTAATCATAAAATAAATTTCACACTTATAAATAATAAAAAGAGCTGAAATATGTATTTTTTTTTAAATTCAAAACAACATTTGATAGAGAAATTTCGGCTCGTCGAAAAGGAAGTTTCTAGAAATTGAGGTTACGTGCGCGGTACATATGTTATAATCATCGATCGTCTTTAAATCTCTTTGGAACGTTTTACAATATTATTCCAAAAATGATAAGCAAAGCAAAAAGCGGCATGTCGCATCTGCATGATATAAGAGATAAGAATACGATATTCCACATAGCATTCTACCGGCCTACGAGAGCTCAATTCAATTTCAATAGTCAATACTTTATACTCGATAAGAAATGGGCCATTACTGCTCACTTGGTTTGTACTTATTATATTAAGTAAAAATACTGTTGTAGTGGTTTATGTTCCCTATTTCGGTTTCCCTAATTATAAAAATTAACTACGCATAATGAATTACCGGCTTCAATATTATGTGATTATGTATACTGTATTATGTTATCATTGACGGATTCTGTTGGCAGAAGGTCGGGTGATTTCCCGGTTGGCCTACTCATAACTAGGGTTCTTTACAATTTACAAATAAAAGATTAGTTTTGTTATTTTTCAAATGTCTTATCAAATTATGAAATATACTAAGACTAAAAACCATATGGTTTGGTGCTCGTGGCACAGCATCACCCTTCCTCACCAAGTTCTTTAAGGACCATGCTACACACCCGGCCGAATTAGTGAAGATACGTTTGCCAGAGCTTAAAGACTTTCCGTATTATTAATTTACATTTATACTCACGAATCTTTAATTTTTAAAACTTTTTAATGTATTATTTAGCTATCCATTTTTCAGTTTTGTGTTTTATACCTCGGTATATTTATATTTAAATTATTACTAATTCTTAGTATGTACTAGCGCATTGACCACTTTATTATATTATTTTGTTGTTTAATATATATATATATATATATATATATATGTAAAGAAAACTGCCGTTTCTTTTAGTTGTAACACAGATTAGATAAAACAGAAAAGTTTTCTCTAATCTGTGGTTGTAATAAATTTGATAAACCTCTAATTATCAAATACACTTGATATGATAAGAAAAGAGAGGTAAGAAGTTAGGATTACTTATTATTATTTTATAAGAATGTTAAATGAAAAACGTTATTATGTTGGTGAAATTAATAAATTAAATTTGTATTAAAGAACGTATAATAGACTTTTAATGTCGTTTCCTTAATTACAGAGAAACACACTCTAGAGTCTAGTTTATTTATGCCAACCTTCAAAATACAACGTCACATTATATAGGGTATATCCATAGACCTATAAAGAAGGATCTATATAGGTCTATGGGTACATCTAAAATCCGGGACGGGACGGGATGAATGGACAATTTCCCATTGTGCAGTGTTGCCACAGAGACAAATAAAAATATATTTTTACATATCACATATTTTTTTCTATAGTCAATACGGGACATTTTAAATGACGGGACTTGTTTAATATTATTATATTAATACTATACATTAAGCGATTCTTGCGGACACGTTACAACCACGTAATTTTATTTGATAACCGTATTATTCAAAGTATAACGCTCAATACATAGTTTAGAAATAACGACTATTTTAACATTTTTAAATGAATGTAACTTTCAAAAAATGATTTTTTTTTTTAAAACGCACCGTCTTGCCCTTCGGAATATTGTTCTCTTTTAACTTTATAATAGGTGCTTTTACTCTAAAACCAAAATTAAGCAAGTTATTTTCAGTCTGCTTAAACATGTTTTTACCACTGAAAATCACCGGTGCGACGCCCTCTTACCCTTGATCACCAGTAACGTAGTCTTTAACATCGTGGTGTGTTAGAGGGACAAATGTTTTATTATTTAAATTCACTACAATATATTCATGATTTGGTTGAATGAACTCGTACTGATCGGATGTTAATTTGACCGGAAGAGATATTAATCGTTTTGTCCAAAACATATAACCATGACTATACTATCGTCATAAATTGCAATGAGATTATAGATCAGAAATAATCACTATTCAAGAGCCAGCAAGTTAAAGCATGTTCCATGTTTTATAATTTTAGCCGTTAGGCTTTAAGTAGACTGTAACTTTTATTTATTTATTTACATTTAGAAAATATTTTCAATATTAATTTGGGGTAATTTGAAATAGCTAAAATAATATTATAAATGCTGTAATTTGTATTTTTCTTCAAACGTTTTGACAAACTAATTGTATAATGCAATTTATACATAGATCAAAACGCCAGATCCGAACGAACGTTTGGAGTGACTCCCCGCGGATTTTTTGAAAATTACACAGCATGTTTGTTACAAGAAAAGAATGTTCTCAAATTTTTTTGAATTTTTTTTTTCTTTTATTTTGGCCATGGTCGTAAAAGTATTTTTAGTTTTTTTCTTGACATCTTTTTTTTATGGTGTCTTCGTCATAAAAAAAAACATTAAAAATCAGTTGTGTATGTAAAATAACTTCAGCTTTCTGAAAAAAATTATATGCTTAATTAATTGGGACTCGGACATCCAGGTCAAATGTGGGGGTCATTTCACTAAAATTTCATTTTTTTTTCATGTGTTCTAAAATTAATTTAGTAATCTATTCACCAATTATTATTAATTGGTTTAAGTAAATACTATAATTTTTGTAAGCCACATTGACCAAACTTGGCAACAAAAAACCAAAAGGAGATTGTTTGGTCAAATTGAACAAGTAGCCATTAACCAAAAAAAAGACAATTATTTTAATCGTATATTGTTTAATCACTCTTAATATTAGTTATGTAAAAATATAACCAGAAAAAGACTACTGTACTTTTAGATAATATATACCTAGCATAATCTGATTTCATTATGAACCTTTTTTAAAAAAAAAAATGCCAATGCTAGGGTTTTTTAATATTACCAAGTACTACTACTAGGTATTCTTCACTCGAAATTTTTGCTAGCTACGATTATTAGTTTTCGAATAAAAGTTTTAAAAATATTATAAGTAAATTTATTTAAATTAGTTCAAAATATTTGCCAAGACCTTAAGGATATATGATAATATTCCTAATTCAAGTATATCCTTTTTTACTCTTGTCCATTCGGCATATTTTTAACAAAATATACCTACTGCATATTCTCTATTTGTATAATATAACAAATGCCAAAATATAAAATAATATTCATACAATTAATTTATAGTTTTATTTTTAATATTAATACCATAAATTATCCGGTTCGAGCGATTTAATTATCTTATAAGTAATATAATATAACGTTTATTTTGTAATCGATGTATAGAATCATTGAGTATGCCTTTCTATTTTAAATATTGATGATTAATATTTTGATAGCTACAATCGAAATAAGTATTGGTAACATAGCGAAGTAAAGTCAGCTGAAACGTATTGTTACCTGGTACTTGTTGAGCATAATGATCTATACTGTAATAAATATAGACTGTAAGGTGTTAGAATAGGCCATAGACCTTAGACCTAGGTAATAACAAAAATTAATAGGTCATCAATTAATTAAATGTAAAATTTAAAAATAAAGATAAAACTTTTTTTTGCTATAACGTTATGTAATGTAAGTAATTAAAAAACTAAAAATCAGAATTTGGAACTACAGCTGAAGTTTGAACTGTATAATTCAACCTCTATTCATCTAAATTTGACAATATACATAGTATACTAGAGTACACTCGATGATAATGATTATGTACACATATTATGCAGGTTTAAACTCTGTACCACAGAGGTCAAATAAGGCAAGTCGCAGAAAGCAAATTTTACAGTAAAGGCAAAACGAAAATAAATACATTGTTTTTATGGTGAAATATCATAATAACGTAATGGACTTACGTTACAATACTCCTATTAAAGTTTAGGACTTACGTTAGTTTACCACTGCATCTATACACGTCTATTCAATGTTTAGTTATTTCGCATGCTTTATAATGTACATGGTTTTACAGGTATTAGAAGTTTTTACTTTTTAATACTAAAAAATAAAGCAGTTATTGTATTATGAATAGCTTTTTATTCAATGTTGGATTGCACTGTAAAACTTTTACACAAGTAGGCCTTATTAATAAAAATAATAAATAAAGTTTTGTACAACTCAGCATAAGTATTTAAAAATATTAGGCAATTCATTTCATTTTTAATCCAAAATGTTTTTATACCGAATTTGAACTACTACCTTGCATAGGCCAAATAACACCATTGTAATTTACATTAAAAAAAATTAATATTTTATCAATTTATAAATTATACATTGAAGTTTAAATTCTTCATGCATATGGCTACATAAATTAGATGCTATAAAAAATAGTATTTTCCCGTATTATTTTGTTCAAATTTTTTAATTTTTGTTATGATTACACTGCTAACCTGACTTTCTGTTTTCAGTTACAAAATTCTGTTTATTCAGAATATTTTATTATATAAAAAATAAAATGATGGGGTAAAAAAAAATCATGTGTTTAGGAGGCAAAGTGTAGTAAATTAAGCTAATATTTAAAAAAATGAAGAAGAGTAGTTATAAAATGATGACTAATAGGTAAAATTTGTTATTTAGAATTAAAGTAAATGCACGTAAAATGAGTTCATAAAATTTGCAAAATAATTGGTTTTTTTTGCATAAAATTTGAATACTTAATTAACAATTTAAAACTATTTCACATACCAAAATACTAATTTGATATGCAACAACTTTATAAACTTGTTTTCCCTACTTTTGATTTCAAAATTATTTATTTATTTTATAAGTAATTTAGTAATTTGAAGTCTAGGCATGGGCAGATTCAAAGCTCTTTTCTAATATTATATTTATATTTTCAAGGGCGATCATCATGGTATTTAAAAAAAGAAGTAACTGGTCGTAACCATAAATCAATGGAAATTTTTTTAATTAGTCGTAGCGCAGATCGTAAATTGTAAGAGTAAGAGTAGATTTTTTGAGTATTTTTTTCCCACTATTTAGAACAGTATAAACTCTCGAGTCTTGAGCTTTACTTATTTTCGAATAATTCGAAAATAATGAACATACTTAAATATATGTATACTCACAATATTATATACATTATCATAAAACCTATGATAACTTTATTGAGGATTACATAATATTGATTAACATTCATATTAAAGGAACAAAATTTTCCCTGACATAGGAATCAATTAAGTTTGTTCGTACAACTGTATATATGTATATACACATAATTTTGACTTCATATTTATTAATAAAAAAATAGATATGATGTTTGTTAAACTTTAATAATCGAGTCATAGACAGTATAAAATTTAATTAGATGTTTTATATATTTGAACTATTCATCTGCTGTTATCTCTATATTATAATATGGGCCAAATTTTGCATAGTAAAAATGTGGGATACCTAAGGTAACCTCGAATATATTAATTTTTATGCTATTTTCAATAGTACCTTTTTGATAACCTTATAAAAATATTTAAAATTCTTGAAAAAGTTTACACCAATATGAGTCATTTCGATTAGTATAAATAAAATGTTCAATAGTTGAATTCGGTAGTTATTTTTAATTATGTTTCTAATTAATTATAACAATAATTTTATAACATACATTCAATGATTTTAATCATTTTTGTCTTCATTTTCTTCAATATTTATTTCTGCAACGCTTTTGGTACTCCTTTTTGCTTCTAAAAAAGTAATTAACATTTAAATTAACCAATAATCATATAATGCATGATTTTGTAATATAAAATATACCTGGCAAATGGAATTGGTCAGCAGTTCTCTTTCGCATTTCATTTAAATTTTCACCAGCTTGAGCCCATTCAAGCACCAATCTTCTCCCATACAAATGGGTACTTTGACACATCGATTCCATGGCTGCCTTGGCTTCAGTTTTAGAGTTGTACTCAACAAAAGCAAATCCTCTATGTGTACCAGTTCCAACCATTTTTTTCGGCATTCTCAATCCTTTTAGTTCTCCAAAAGTTCTACAATGCAATAATATCAAAAAATAATTACATATCAATTATATTATTAATGTGCAATATTTGTTTTTTTTTTAAGCTATGACTCTTTTAGGTTTGTTGGGCAACTCTTGCTCTACAAGAGAGACAAGAGTTGCCATCTAAGGGAAGTAGATATGGTGTGGTGGGTTTCCGTTGCCCTACGCACCAGTAGGGTGGCCATTTCTATATCTAGATGGTTTCCCGCCCAGCTAGAGAAACGGCCAGCGACCAAAATTTGAATCACAGCTAGTGCGTGCGTTAAAGCACTGCCACAGTAACCCTCTCTTGTTTAAAATAGAATAAATAAATAATTAAAGGCATACTTAAATAATTCAATAACTTCTTGAATGGTAGCTTGAAATGGTATATTCCTCACAATAAGTTTTGTACTTTCTTCATAGGGTTTACTTTGCTTACGATCAACAACTACAGTACTCCTACAATACATTATAAATAATTAACTAACACTTACATTTAAAATTTATAAATAAGTCAATTAGTTAAATATACATACTGCAGTGTCCTATTGGAACGTTTCAGTTCTATAGAATGATCATCTAACTTGGAAAATTGTTTAAGTTTTAACGCTTCGTTAAGGGATTTTTGTCTATAAAACTGGATAAAACCATAACCCATTGATAATAACTCTCCAGGATTTTTAGGATCTTTTCTACGAGCGACTGTCACATTGGCAATTTTACCACAGCTTTCAAAGTGCTAAGCAAAACAAAAAATGTTGTATAAGTAATATTTTAAATGTCATTTTTCATAGCAATAATACTTTTGTGATATTATCTTCTGTAGTATTAAAATTAATATTTTTGATAAACAATGTGGTATCTGGCTCAGGTTCATCAATATCGTCTTCTATTATTTTATCTTCATTCGAATTTATTTTTTCTAAAATAAAACAAATGATATATTTTATTAATTACATCATTATAACACAATGTTTGCAGTCACGTAATCCAAAATTATTTTATTGATTTTTAGATATAATCCAAAGCTTAGAAGTATACACTATTGACTATATAATGTTTTGGTTTGATGACAATCACTTTTAATTTTTTTTTTTCAAGGATTAATTTTCTAAAAAAGGCTTCTTTTACCATGTTACTATAAATACATATAAAATAATAAGAATACTGTAGCTGCTTGAATGATTTTCTTATAAAATTTTAACACTATTTAATTAGGTATTTATTTTTTTAATTTAAGACTTTGATTAAGAACTACAATAAATAATTATCAAAATCAAAACATTTTTAAGCATTTATTTTTTGCACAAAGAAAAATAAATTTCAGTGGTATGATTTTGTAAAACAAGTCAACTTTGATGAGATCTCATACATTTTCACAGCTGTATAATATTAATTTAAATTAATAATAAAACTGTCTTAAATTTAACTTATTTTATGAAAAAATTTGTTTTTATATTCATAATTATATAAATATGCAATATTTTATACAAATACTAACACTGTATATTTCAAAAACTTTTAATTTACCTTTAACTTCTGGAGCATGAGAAAGTACTTGATCTGGTGCCCACTCTAAATATAGTGGTAAGTTTTTAAATTTTGTGTATGCCAGTTGACGGAAAGCATTTTTAGCTTCAGAATTTTGTATAAATTCAATAAGACCTAAAATACGATATTTTAATAAGTAACAGTAATATATTGTGTTTATAAATAATTACCAGTAATGCCACTAGGTGGTAAAACAACTCTATTGACAAGTCCAAATTTGGAAAAAAGATTTTTAATTTCTAACTCTGTTGTGTTTGCAGGTAAATTTTTAACTATAATCACATTTTTACTTCGGTTGATTACAGTCTATATAATAAATATTATAATTATCATTAGTAAATATATAGGATTTTATTGAATTAATTAGTAACATACTTGATTAAATACATCTAACTTCACACCATTGTTTTCTAGATAGGTTTTGGTATCGGATACAATTTGGGACTCACCAAGAGCTAATCTCACAGCAGCATTATCGCCAGTTAAAACCTTGTAATATAACAAAATAAATACAAAATTACTATAATACTATATGCTAAATCAAAATAAAAGTCTATTAATTTACATTTTCTTTAGTAGTGTTGTATGTTTTAGCAATAATATCTGCAACTGCATTCTGTCCTAAGAACAGACTATTCCAGTTATGAGATAACCCAGCTTCTAACTTTAGCTTTGCCATTTTTTGCTTCTTAAATGAACTCCCTTCTTTATTTGAATCTAACAAATTAAAGAAAAAATACATTAGTTTTTCTACATTCATAACCTACACAGTACTCGCAACTCAAATATAAACAAGGGCCTAATAAGAAGTAAGAAATAATAATTTTTAACATTTTCCCAGATTCAAAAAAAAAAAAAAAGAAATATAAATACGAAAAAAAATAACAATATCTACAGTAACCAATGAATTATTATTATTTAACAGAATATGTAATGAAATGTATGTTTATATATATAAGTACAGGATTTACACTTTTTATGTTTATTTTCATATTGATTACATTTTCTACATTGTTCAACAAAAAAAAAATACATTTTATGATTAAAATTAAAAAAAAAATGTCATAAGTGTAAAATAAAAATAATAATAAGGAACATATTTTCTGAAAGGTATAAAAGAGATTAAGTCGGTCCCGTGTATTTTAAGTAGCTTTGTGCCTTTTTTATGTATTTTTCCCGTAACTAAAACTTAGTCTATCCGCTACTGGATAAGAATCTAAGCAGTCTCATTGTGTGGTATAGAATAAGCACATACTTTTTTTTTATTTTAATTAAACTTATTACATATTACCGTCTTCAGTATATTCTTTAGCTTTTCCAGGTAATAAATGCATCATTCGGCCGTGGAAAATAGTCCCATCTAGTTCTGTATAAGCTTTGACTGCATGTTCGGGCATTAAAAAAGTGATCAAGCCAAATCCTTTTACTTGACGGGACACTTTATCCACTGGAATTATAGATTCTGTTACAGGACCTATAAAATACAAAACAAAACCAATATTTTAGACTAACTAAAAATGAAAGAAGTGTTAAGTTAGTAAATTATTGGCCACATGACTCAAGTATTGGCAGTGTAAACTAGGCTCTAAATTAAATTCAAGAACAATCTTCTAAAAATTAAAATTTTTCAACCACTTTTGACTGAAAGGGTTCAGGGTTGATGGTATATTTTTAGTTTTTGACACTAAAATTATAAAGTAATGGACAATTTGACAGAATGATACATAGTGAGGCGTATTTGTGTACAAATATGTAAATTTGTCAAGTGCTTTTACTCAATTTTAAAGGGGTAATGGTGAAATTGTTCAATTTATGGTCTTATAAAGTAACATAAGTACTTTATGTGTACGTGATAGTGAGATTTGTGATATGTGATAGTGAGTAGACTCATTACATAAAAAAATCCGCCTAATGATTAAGAAGTTATTGTGAATTCAGACAATAAAAAAAAATTTAAATGCCTCATTGTAAAATCAATGTCTTTTCAGCTCTGCATAAAAATTAAAAATACTTTCAAAGACAAAATACCATTTGACAATTATATCATACTTTGAAATACCATAAAACAGAAACTTTTCGAAAAGAAAAATAATAAAATAATGGTTTTCTAAATAATGCCATTGATTATAAATAATATAGATAGCCCACTGGCATGAATTTTTTGCTGTGCGTGAATTGTTGCCGTTGTAGAGCGCTTTATTCTGTTTTTAGTTATGGCGGTAGATACCGTGAGCGCTGACGATCGACGGGCAGGCGCATTTCAGCTAGGGACGACATAGTACGCTTGCGCGACGATCCTCAGCGGTCACGGTACTTATCGCCATAACTAAAAACAATATAAAGCGCTCTACTAAGGCAACAATTTACACGCAGTAAAAATTATATGCCAGTGGGCTATCTATATTATTTATAATAAATGGTAATGCCAACTTTAAAATTGATCAATCCGCATATAATTACCAAACTGTTCAAACAATTTTTGTAGTTCGTCTTCTGTAGCTATGTATGGTAAGTTTCGAACAAATATTCGACCAGATTCTGCAATACTTTCTTCATGTATCAAACTATCAGTCTGTTTCTGCCATTCTGGATTACGTATTCCATTGTTATTGTTTTGTTCTTCCTGACTGTTAGCTGGAGCTTTCATTGGATAAAACATTATTTGTTTGCCACCTATAACAATGATTTATGTAAATTAAAAATCAATATATTTTTGAATCGTTATATTGAGAGACAGCATACCTAAAAAACTTTTATTTTTTAAGAAAGCTTGTTCATAGTCACTTTGCTTCTTAAAACCAACATACGCCACACCTTTAATTTTAGGTGGTATACGAATTGAATCAAGTTTTAACGGCTTGAAAAATTCTTTTAACATGGATTTTTTCACTTTGTAAGGGAGACTACGTATGATAATTGTGTGAAATTCTGTTTTTGTTTTAGCACTTTGTGAGCTATCTAATATTGATTTTTTTCCACTTTTTATTTTCAAATACTGTAAAAATAAAAAATATATGTTTAATACAATTTTAACTTGAGGTTTTATACTGTAAATTAAACCTCAAAATCAGATATATCAGCATTGGCAATCTTATCTGCTGATTCATCCTTGTTTTCACTTTTAAAAGGCAATTCTTCATTTTTAAGTTCATCTTCATTTTTTACTTTATCTAAAATGTTTTCATGTCCGTGGGCTTCCAAAAATTCAGTAAATAAAGGATCATCCAAATGCTGAAAAATGTATTCATAATAATTTACAAAACAATACACCATATTATTAGATATTTTATTCCTTAATAAGATATTGAGGGATTGCAGAATATTTTCATCCATAGAAGTTTGAAAACATGCAGAACGGGCAGGGCTCCTCAATAACACCTGCCTTACCCTGTCCAGGCTCTTTATCTTGGGGACAGTACTTTTTGGGTCTAGTAATTTTTTTTCCAAAAATGTACCTATTGTTCGAAATTAATTTTACCCATAGCAAAAGGGTTTTAGGAGTGTGAACGAGACTAATTCTCGCGATTAATTGATATACATTAAAATAAAGTTTGTTCCATCAATAATAATTGTAACTTTTTATTAACATGAATATGTCTTTATCTGGGGGGGTCTATTAAAAATGTACGCCATGTTACATTAAGTGACCCACTAAATTACCATGGTTACCAACAGGCTATTAACAGCATGATTACATGTTTTGGATATTATTGACCACTTCTTACGCATACATTACATCCTATAGAGGAAGGAATCTATTTTATTTTTTTATTCAATATTTAAAATATCTAGTTATAAGCTAATATTTCAATAAAAAAAAAAAAAAAATGTACAATATTGATCTCATTGAAGATTTTTATTGTTATTAATATTGTAAATAACATTATAACATACACTTAAGGAAAATAGTAAAGGCTTGTCAAAATGTACCACTTAAGCCTTTTTCACACAAAACCACCATAGCAACGCGACCACAAGAAATTAACAATTAAATTAAGGTTTTCACATGTGGTGCGACCAGAACAGTAACCATTTAAATTTATATTGTTTTAATGTTAAAAAAAAGTGTATTCTTTTTTTTGGACCTACTACCAGTCGCACGTGTTGACGTTGTTTTTGGTCTAGTTGGCAATATTTTTTAATATGTATAGCTACTTTGACTCAAGAACGTTTATTCTATAAATTAAAAATCAGTCGGCAATATGGAACTCTGCATCAAATATGTTAATAGACATTCTTAAATAATTAAAAAAATTGTCCTCGTACTTTCCTAAATCTTTATAAAATAAATTGAAGAAACCTTTAGGTAGAACAGTCAAACAGATATACCCAAAACTTCCTAATTTATTTTCGTTGCTAGCTCTATTAGACTTCCATTTTGGTACTGAATCAAAACATAGAAGCGCTTCTGGAAGCATGAATAGTGGGGATACTTTTCGGTGGCGCGACCATGGTGGCTTCATGTGAAAGAGGCCTAAAAATAAAGGCACAGCCAGGAGTAACACATTTTTGTTTCTGCACTGGTTCATTCTAACTTTGAATAGAGCATACATTTTGTACTAATAAATACCTTTTTAATCTTTTCTTCAATTTCAGGTTTTAATTTGTTTTTTTTTGTTTTATTAATTTTAGAATTTTCAACATCTGATATTTCTTTGTTACTGTTTTTCTGTTTATGAATTGTACTATCAGGTGCATACTTGCTCCATGACTTTGGTTTGTTTTCATCTCCTGATAAATAAAAAGGTTATTTTTTAAAACATTTAATAATATATAGTAAAATAATAATATTATAAAACATTATAAACGCGGTTAACGCGGTAGAGTTTCTACTCATTAGCCATGGTTTTGAATTTTGTTTGCTGGCTGTTACACTAGCTGGGCCGGCAACCGTCTGGAGAGAGAAATGGTCACCTTTTGTAATAACACTAATATGTTTAAAAAATAATACCTACTACAAGACCTTACATAGTCAAACCATATTAACAAATAAATAAATAAAATATACCAAAAGAAATCATGTATCAAAGTAATAGAAGTTAATTATTTTATATACTTTATATTTACCTAAATTTGCACATTGTTCAACTTTGATGCGCGAGGAGTTCAAAAAAGAGTTGTCAAAATAGTCTATGGCGTTTTTGGCTTCTTCTTCACTTTGAAAACCAACAAATGCAAAATATCGGAACTTTCCATCTTTAGTATATTTTAGTTGAACGTCAGTAATCACACCTTTATGACTAAATGTTTCTCTCAATTTATCTTCAGTTATCTAAATTAAATAAAAATGTTTTATTGACGTTTAATACTTTTAAATTTGCTACCATTATTTTGTACTTACGGCTTTTGGTAAATTTTTTACAATTATCCTAGACATTTTACTATTAGTTGGACACGTTAATACTTAAAATACATAATATCATTCTTACATTAGACATTTGTGTTTTGACTTTTTGACGATTTAACATTTAAATAAGTATTATTATTTATCATATCATAATAATTTTATACAAATTATTGTAGACTGTTATCAGTTACCACATTACATACACCAGTCACCACGTGCTTTAAACGCTGATAAAATAACCTTACCAAATACATGTCAAAATCATTAATATTAAAATTGCTGTCAGATGCACAGATATAATTTATACGGGACATTCTGAGTAAAACCACTCGGTCATCGGCTCGACCTCGACATTTTTCGAAATTTGTTTATAATCTTCTTTTGAAATTTGTATCCCCTAAAATAGAGGGTTTTCAAGTTATCTTTCACGAACAATCGATTTCGACCAGTTTAAAAATTCTGAAATTTTCATTATAAAGTCAGACTCAAATCAAATCTTTTTGTCTAATAACGGGAATGGGCAGAGATTTAATTCTATTTTTTTTTTAATAACATTTTTTTAAAAATCTAAAATAAATTTATAATTTCATCTTTTTTATTTTAAAAAGTAAAAAATGTGCCTTACGAAAAAATTTAATTATACATTTTTTTTTCAGTGATGAAAAAAAAATGTCTTTACTAAAAAAAAAAATGGAGAATATTTGATAGCTAAGGCCCATCCTAAGGTACAAATATATCGATCGATACTATTCGATACTATCATCCAGTTGTAAATTTCAAAATTAAATATGATTTTTTATTTCATAGCTATCGATATATTGATATATCGATATATTTGGTCAATCTTTACTAAGAAGTAACTATAAGGTTAAAAGGTCTAGTGTGAGTACAATAAATTTAAGATGTAATATTATAATTTTATATTCAATTATATATATAATTAGGAAGATATATAACCTTGGTAGTAATCAGAGCACTCGGCAGTGAACACATAAATTCCTAAGAAACGATGTTATAAACATCACACAAATATAGTTAATTATATTATGTAACAGTTGTTCACTATGGTAAACATAAAAGTAAAAAATGGTATAAAATATAGATTACGAAAATAGAATAGATATTGTGTTGTAGATAAAGAAAAATGTTCTTTTAGGACACCGAATTACAATGATGCGATCTGCAGACTGCACCATAGCCTATAGGACATGTAATATTCCTCTACGATCTGCATTCACCTCGTGAATGAAACAACCTGATAATAAGTGTTAATATTACACCAACGGACATAAATTCAGATATCTCAAATTTAAAAATTACCGCCTACTCGTTTACCTTGGTAGTAGGTAGATGTTTTCAGACATGTTAATGGTTTATGGTAATTTTATTGTTATTAAAAAATAAATATCACAGAACCGGTGTGTGTTATCGTTATACGAAAATCATGACATCAATAATAAAAATTTATTGATGTAGTGAATTGTAATTTGTAGTGTGTACAGTGTACCGTGTACTAGTGCTAGCTGCTGGGAACTCTGTGCTTCGAGTTGAGATGAGATACCTATTCAGGCAAATTTATATTTTTAACAGTTCATTTTATTATTATTAAAATACTATAATAACTTTGTGTTTATTTTATATCTAATAGTGTGATAAAATTAATTAAACAATAATTGTTGAAGATTGTATACATTATTATAGTATACAAAATATGTGTTATGTAATCACTCTTAAATTAAAATTAAAATTAAACAATATTTTATTGTGTGCTTACACTATATTATTATAAAACAATAATTTTTGGGAATATTAAACCATGGCAGATCCGTCTATTCAAACATTTTGTTGTCAACGAGCTCTAGATTATCATCCAGCTTACAAACTGATGAGTGAATTTAATACAGACCGCTTTAATACGGTGTGCTTAATATCTTCACTGATTGGGGTGTTTGGTGCAACTTATCAGGTAATATATTATGAATTTTTGAAATACATTTTCTTTATCTGGCACTCATATTTTTAGTTATTTTTGTTTGCAAAATTACAGTATTATGAATCTTAAGTCAGAAATCTGCAAATTCCTTTTAGTTTAAAAAGAGTCCACTTGAGATTTTTATTCAGCATAAAAAAAATATATAATTCTGTAAAAAAATATCAAAAAAAAGGTGCTTGGTAAAGTAAATTTATAATAACATTAAATGGGTTTAACTACCCATCTGATATAATTTTGAAAAACTGCTGTACAAAATGCCATTTATTTAAAATGAGGGACGTGTAATTTAGTTTTATATAATTATTAATTGATTATGAACAGTTTTATATGTATTCATCTATGTACCTAATAGAATATATTGTTTTTCTTTTGACAGATTTTACCAAGAATGGAATCATCTGTCCCAAATCGTTTTTATTCTAATATAATGCATAGGGGAAGATATATTGTCATGTGGTTAGCTATAGCAGATTGCAGTGCCTCTCTAGGTATGGAATTATATTTTAATTTTTAAAAAAACTTTTAGTTAGTTTGTATTAGATAAAAGTACATACTGAAAAAGTATAATATATTTATTACTATCGTACATTTAATTTTATTTACATTATTGTCATCTTAAGAATGTATGCATATTTTTATTTATCTGCTAACGTTTTAAAAGCCTTTCATTTGCCAAGAAATTAGACCAAGTTAGATTTAAAATGGGGCTCAAGTTTTACAAATTAGATGGGTTTTTATTAGTTGGACTGTAGAATTTTCTCAAAAATCTGTAGTCAACTTTTTTTTTATTAAGGTAAATATAAAAAAATAAGGAAAACTACACTTTGATCATAGTCAGTTTCTAGTTTGTTATGTGTGTTAGAAATCAACAAACAACAGGTGTTAGAAAACATTTGCATAATATCATTAATTAAGATACATGGGTAACAGCAACAAATTATTAATACAGGTAGTCAACCCTAATTGTATCCACACTAAAAATTAAAATACATTTTTAAGCTCATTATTGTCTTTAGGTACAATGCTTTTATCAATATTTGTATTTCCACCATTACAGTTTGACATCAAAGATTTTATCACTTTCAGTTGTAAATAATTCATATAGACATGTAGCCTCTACAATTCAATATGCTTTATTTCCACTATATTGGCTTTTTTTTATTTGTAATAGTTTATTTTATATCCATTATTTAAAATTAATTTTTGTTTTTAATTACTTAAATACAAAATGGTCATAATTTTATAATGGACTCGAGGCCCAATACATGAATCTGTGTAAAATCTAGTTATTGGAGAAGATTATGCCTAGATCTTTATTTGTAGGAAGAATGTAGAACAGAGAACACGCATATTCTTTTATCTAAACCAATTAATATTTTTCAATTTGTTTTTTTAACATACTAAAAAAAATTAAGGGAGGCAAAATCAATTTTTTTAACAACATATATATATATATACATAAAATAATGGTAGAAATTATTCCAGACACGTTAGCATTTTAAGCAAATTTACAAATTCTATCATTTTGAGTACCACTGAAAAATCTACTTTGGTCAAAACATTTAATTTTCGTGTTAAAAATTATTTTTAGTTGCTAATTAGAACTGTTATTGAAAATTTAACTTAAAATCTTGTTTTTGAAAATTAGTTTTTTTACTTTTTGAATAAAGATACATACATGCAAGCTTATCGGGCCTTGAAGGCCCAACGCAGCTATCATGAAATTATGGTTTCTAGACAAATTCACTGTCCAAGACGGGTCGTTAGTCTGTCGCTGGAACATATTCTATATAATTTAATATAGTTTATAATTATGTAATATATAACTTGTTAATTTTTCATTAATATAATTGTATCACTCAACATTTGTCTAGGTTAAAACCATTTGATGACCTTACTTTTCTCTTACTAATTGTTTTTTCATTGGTTTGGTCGATATTTGAAACACTTATTATTGGTCATTTAATTGTTCTGTATACATTGTATTTAATAAATCAAATGTTTCATACATTCAAATATGTAATCATTCTTCTTAATTAAACAACACATTAGTAACTAAAAATACTACTTTCGTTGAAATCTTATTTTTTTTCCTTATACAATGAGTTAAAACTTTTAATGATCAGTGTTCATCTTTAAGCCATTAGCGTATGGTATATATTTATCATATTATTATACACCACAATCAATTTTACCAAAATTGTATGTAAAAATAAAATTTAATTAGACCGAGTTACCAGATTTCATGACCTCGTTCGTCGGTTCATGATTGTATTTGAACTCTCAGAGTTTAAAAATCACGTATTTACTATTTGACTTTATAAAATAGGGGTGCCCAAAATTACAATTTTTTTTGTTGTTTCTGGCAACCTCTTGATTTTATGCATATTGCACAATATATATGTGGATAATTTCTACTATAACAATATCAGTATATTCTGTTTATGTTAAACATAAAAATTAGAATTTAACATAACTTTAAGTATTACGACTATTCTATATTTGATTATTGATATTAATGTTATTATTGGTGATAAGGTACCTAATCCAATTTAACACGCCAAGTCATAGAGTATGATAGATTAAACAATTAATACATTTACGAGGAATACTGTAGACTGAGTGTGTTGTTATTATTCAATTCACTAATTACAGATGTCTCTTTCAAGATATACTTGAAGCACTAACTAATATAAGAAGCTAACACCTGTAAAACATCACGTACACCACGAATAAATGATTTATGTTTATATTTGTGCTAAAAATCATGTCAGTTTGCAAAGATTTAATACTAATTGACAATATTAGCCGTAAAATTCAACAAAACAAACGTCGGTTGTTACAATTTATTGTTCGTCTATTTTACACAATAATTAAGACCTGTAGGTCGTGAACCATATACTCTCCAAATGCGCTATTTTTTTATTATCTTTTGCAATATTATGGAAAAAACAGTAGTTTTTGTCTGCTGTCATATTTTGTATGAATACTCGTTTGAATTAATTGGATTTCTTCAAATACAGTTATTATGCATTATGCGCTCACTAGACTATAAAAACTATTGTCAATATAGCGTAAGTTTAGAACGAGAAGTACAATTGTACTTGGCACAAAAGACGATTGATACTTCATTGAAAACCTTTATCTTTTAAATTTTAACAGATTTAATTGTATATTTTTAATGAAATAGTTTTTTAACAAAATATCTAACAAAAATAGGTATAATTATAGATATAATTATGTATATAAGTATGTGTCATAATATGTTTATGCCAAATATCTTAGTAAATAGAAAATACTCTACTCTCGAGTGCAATTTTGTGTCGTTTTTTAACATTAACTGTTGGTTAAGTTAGTTAAAGATATATGATCATAATCGCAATTTGAGTTTATAATTTGACAGGAGTGGTTTAATTGTATACATACTATCTGAGCCTTCTACATCGTCCATGTTGATTTTCTAAGAAACAATATTATATTTTACGGCTAATGACCTAGTTGTCAAATCCTTTTTAAAAATAATAATAATAATAATAATAAAATAAACATGTGTTGTTATATTAATATGTTATATTATATTTTATTATTTGACGGGGAAAAATATTAGTCTTTAGTATTGTAGTTTTTCGCGAGTACTACCAACTTTTTAGTGACAATGGAATTTTCTTTTTAAATGAAACGAAGTGTAAATTTATAAAAAATTATTTTAATCGTAGGTTTTTTATTATAATTTTATGTTTTGACTAATGGACTGATTTATAATTGGTTAACTATGACACAGTTAATACCCAAAAGACTTTTACAACTGCCCGCGTTACTCTACAGAACTTCACCTCTCCTCCTTAATTTTGAACTTTAGTTTATTAGTTGTATTTATTTTTTACTATAATACTATGCTTGTAATATAATGGGGTATTTATAGAAAAACTAATAGCTAGTGAATGTGACGAAAAAATCATTATTAATCTGTGTGAAAAATTTTAATTTAATTTTGGGTTGCTTTGCTGTTAAATTTCCCTGTACTTGTAGTCATTAAAAACTCTTTTCCTTTATGTTAATGATGACTATCCTATGGTTTTAATTGAGTCTGAATCATTGGACATACATTTTTAGGATTCCTAACTTGTAATTTATAAATATATTAAATGTGTGTATGATTTTAGGTATTCTTTTAAGATCGTGTCTCAAATTAATGCATCGTTACCGCTGGTATGACGATCAACCTTACACGTTGGTTTGCATATTTTTAGCAGTGAGTACTATTTTATATAACCTATAAACTTTAACAAAATTATTTCAATAAAGAATTTATTTATTAACTAGGTTTGGATTCAGTATTTTTACATGGTAACTTGGCTTTGGACATTGTTATATGCTGTAGACATGTGGAGAGCATACCAAGACAAATACCCTCTAAGAAAATTGTACCACATAGCAGCATGGATGTTTCCAGCTGTATTCACATTTTTTGGCTTATCGTTTTTATACACGCCTAATGCTAAGTATGTTTTGATATTTAAATAAATTATTTATAAATAATATACTCTTCATAATTCAATCTAGTTGTTACAATTTGAGCCCGAACGAGAATGCAGTAATAAAATTTCTTCCAAATTACTTTTTAACATTTGTTCCTATCATTACCGTCATGATAGCCAATCCTATTTTGTATGGAATTTCTACCAAGTACATTTATCATATTATAACTTCATACATGGCACAATATTCGACAAAAGAACGAAAAATGCTTGATTTATTCAAACTCAGGTTTGCGTTAATCAACCTTGGATTTTACTTGTGTTGGAGCCCCAATCTAATAAATGCTCTAATCGTTTGGACTTCATGGGACAATTTACCTTCTGGAATAATGCTTACACTGTGGTATTTAATGGTATGACATTGAACATTTGTATAGAAATAATTGTTCTTTCTTTTTAATATACAATTAAAATTTTATTTTATTTTAGGCCATATTAAATCCAATGCAAGCATTTTTTAATACGTTTCTCTATAATATGTTAGAACACACAGAGCAAATTTTTTGTGTATGTTTTGCCAAAAGTAATCGTGTTCAGGAAATGATGGAGCGTAAACCTTTACTTTTAGCTAATGTAAAAGGTTCGTCGAATTCTCACGGATATGAAATGATTGAATAGTTATTGCAGATATATGTTTGACAAGTATAGTGTGATTCATTAATTTCCCTATTTTTGTTATTTTTGTATTTAGATTTATTATTCTACTATGATGAGGTAGGTATATTTTTTACACTATAAATTTTTTGTTGATCAAAAAACCAAACCTATTGCATTTTGTTATAAGTCAAATTTTGTAGTAGGTAACGCATTTGTTTAAATTTATTAGTGTATTTCAATGGATAATGTTTAAGACTGACAAAAATGAATTTGTACCTCTTATGTTTTTTTATTTCCTATGTCTATATATTGTTACTTAATATAAATTTGAGTTGTTTCACATTTAGAAGACAACAAATGAATAGTTTATTAGATGCATTGTAATATTAACTATTGAAAATGTTGTAACAAAATATATTTTTGTTAAATTTTATTCATATTAAATAAATTATGTTATTGATGTTTTATGATTTATTTAAATTATATTTTGTAATTGTATTATATTAATTATTATATTGTCATAGTTTATACACATATATTATAATTATTAATAACTGTATATCGGTAGACATTTAATTTTATAACATTTTTGTTTTATTAATAATAATGTAATACTATTTTTGCGTGTAATTATTTTAATATAATTTTAATTATTTAAAAAAAAATGTTCAAAGATTATATTATTATTATTTGTATGTAAATTAACAAATAATTTTATGGACTGTTATGAATCGCTCGAACAAATTCAATATTAAATACATTTTTTTCATTTAAGCCATTTTTAGACTAGATGAAATGCATTGTAAAGTAATACACTAAATTTAGTTTTAGAAATTGTATGTTTACCAAAAATAATATTATACTTTGATTTTTGTATTTTATGGTTTTTTTTTATGTAGCTATTAACAGCCCTTGAAGGCCCATAGCTGCCACTATCATAAGATATTTTTATGACGAATTTGCAGATTTTATTGTAAGTTAGTTGAATTCATTTTTATATACTTCTACTTTGTGTTATTTGGTAGTATATGTTTTATGTAAACTGTACTTTTGCTCCTATAGAGCACTATGAATAAGTAAACAATACTTTACAAGCGGTCAATTTGTATCTTTATAATACTTTTTTCTAAATTAGAATACATTACATAATATTATAAATAATATCATCGCACACCTAAATCAAAACTGTAACAACTCAAAAAGTGGGTATTTTTAGTTATTTATATATTCGGATCCTACAAACAAAGTTGCATGAACCAACAAAACCAATTTAAATTTATCTTGATTACTCTCCAAAATATGGCGCTGTAGGTACTTTTTGTAAAAATGTCTAATTCCATAATCCTAACTACCAAAACCGTCTACAACTTGAGTTTCTGTTCAGACATCAAGCAGAGTGCACGTACGATGGCTGTACAACAGTGATTTATTAAAATAAACAGTTAAAGTTTAATTAACAAATTAAAGTAATTAAACTTGAAAATACGTTTTTTGGAATTCCTGAAAAAAGGGGTTTTTTGAGTTGCTACAGTTTTGATCTAGGTGAGTGATATTTCCTCAAACATTACACTATTGCGATATGAAGTATTATAGTCACATAAATAATAATTGTACACACAGTTTAGAAAATATAAATATAATATTAAAAATAATTTTTACACACTTATTAAGAGATCTTAAATAATTACAAACATAATAATTCTAATCTAATTCTGACAGAACTATTAAGACAATATAAAATAGTATGTGTAGTGACAATTAGTATAATTAAAATAGGAAAAATGAAATATTATGTATAATCTGCCCCACAAGATAACGGGCTAAAAAATGTGTTACTCCTGTATTTACATCTGTCTAAGCATATTTAATAATGTTTTTTTTTGGGTTTCTGCACAGGTCATCTTCCAGTGATACATTATTATTTCAAATAATAATTAAACATGTTGTTAAATCACCTACTGGTTTGATTTAATGATCTTATCTAATAATATTATAAACTAATATTATAATTTGAATAAAAATATTTGCATTGAATAATCAAAACTAAAGTACGATGTTTAACTTATTTGAAAAATATTGTCGAGAATATTAATAACTAAGAGTTTTTACAACAAGCATTTAACATAAAATTAATGAGAATAAACAAATGAAAAAATTGCTTTGTTGATAATTACTCTACATACAAATAAATAATTAAGTGGTTTCCAATTTACCAAATGGGTTTGTACATAATCAAAGTATTAAATAAAATACAATCATCAATAATAATATATGTAATCATCTGACACCTTGAAAGTTTTGACTAATGCCGCAATATACTATTATAAAATAAATAAATAATACATTTATATTTATTTGATTATTAGTATGAAATGTACATGATAAATACATTCTTATGTATCATGAGTGCATACTTTTACACATTTTTGGATAAGATTGTTAATCTGCCTATTGATAAAATAGCTGTAATACAGAAGTAATGATATACAAAAATTATATTGGTTTATTGTTAATATTAATGGTTTTGAAAATGTATTTTTTTTTCAAATTTTTTTTTTTACTTTACTATTGTCATTTGTCTACATAATATAAGACTAAACTTGATAATACTTGATGTCATCCATACTCCAACGTTCAAGAAGTACATATGGATTTTTTTTTTCTTCTGTACAGCCGTTGGAAGTAAAATTAATTCTAAAAAAAAATAAACAGAATTTTTGAATAAAGTTGTGATATTATGTTGAAAAATAATTATTTCTTATGGTTTTTTATACTTAAACTTGCTTAAATAATTTAACTAACAACTTCTTACCATTGATGGGGAAAATAATGGCAATAAATAAATTTGAACCATATCTATTTATTTTTAAGGTTTATTCATATAAGTTCAGGATATTATTTTTAACTTATACAATTTTTTCTATTAATAACTACGGAAAAAACGACGAGTACTAGTAAATAGTTAATGTAAAATCATACTAAATAAAACCCAACACTAAAGAAAGAATTGTTAGTTTTAAAAATAAAATGTTAATAATAGTTGTATAATTATTAAATAAGTTTTAGTGTTTTGCAAGTTTTTTTCTGAACTATTTAGGTTAATGCAAAATAACCCCAACTTTTATGGATTTTCCTGGAAAAGTAGCAATTTCAAATGAAAATGGATGTAAAGACTTGAAATAATAAAGACAATATCCTTACACAAAGTTTTTGTTGTCGTGTGAATTTACATGCTCAATGCTTTTTTGAAAATCACTGTCACTATCATCTTCTGTACTTAGATTATTTTGTTCTGTATCTGGTCTCATTCTGAAAAGGTACAATTTTAATAATAATAGTAGTTATTGTCTTACATAAATTAAAATTATATCAATTTCATAATCTAAGATATTATATTAATAATTAACTTACAAGTAACAATTTATATCGTTCATACTCCAACGCTCAAGAAGGACATAGGGATTTTTTATTTCCTCTAACGAACACGTTGGCATTAAATTCATTCTGTAATTTTAACAAAAAAAATTTCCTATAGTAAAAATAATAATTTGAAATAAAAAAAAGGTTATACAGACTATCAAACACATATTCTGAAAACAAATGAGGATCTTTTTAGTAGATACTTATTAAAAAAAAAAAAAATGAAGGCTATTTTTAAGGACGCTATTGTGATAAAACAATATGAAATTTAATTAACAGTAGAGAATACCAATATCTACATTGATAAATATACATTTTACCTTAAAATAAAAAAATTTAAGGAAATTACTTACATTATAGATTCAATAAATATCAATGTCAAGACAAGCCAGAAATTATTGATAGCTCCAATACTTTGGAGCTATCGTTAATCATTTTATAATTCTGTAAACCATACTCAAGCATAATACAATATCAAGACTATAACTTCTCTAAGCAATTAAAATGTTATGTGTCTATCTAAAATTAAAATAGACTGTTCACATTTGTAATGCAATAACTGCACAAAACGGGAAAATTTTTTAGCAATTATTATACATATATATAGATAACATTATATTGAACTTGTACGAATATACAAAATAACATAGAAAAATTTATTACAAATGTGTTATGTACGGGGAATACTTGATATATTATGTATCTATAAATTACTTACTTTAATCCTCAGAAAATGCACAAATAGTGAATAAATATAAAGAACCAAAATTAAACGAGATAAAAACCAGTAATTAACTTTACAAATATTTATAAAAATATTCACTTAAGTTACCTGGGTAGTCAAAATGTTACTAGTAATTAAACTTTTGTAGGTATAAGTTTTAAGATACGTAAATGGTGAATTTTACAATTTTGGCCGACAGCACTAAGTTAAAGGAACTCTGAAGCGAAGAATAAATATAGATTGTGGAGTATCACTTTTTGAGGAATGGCGAAAATGTTTACTACCGTCTTTTTAAAACAATAATCACATATTGCATCGCACGTATTTTGTCAAGGTGTATTAAGACAGATTACATATTATTATAAAAGTACTTCGTACCGGGTAACATTAACCATATACCAATATTTGTTGACCAATAAAAACGATTTTCAATGATGAAATGTGGCTGCGCTTCTTGTAGTAAACGACATGCTCTGAGCATGCGCACAACCACGGATAGCATAGATTACTCGTCTAAGGTCCTTATCACCGTTTAATTATCAACAATAATCAAAATATTATATATGATCAGGTGTAAAATGTAAATATTTTGTTATAGAGTACCTATGGACTATCAGGATAGACGATAGTTGGAAATTTGAAATTAGTAATTACTTTATTTTATAATTTACAAAAATAGTTATATAAAGTAAAAAAATTGAATTATTAAGTTCTGTTTTATTCGTACATGTGACTAAAGTTGCAAGTTAACTTTGAAAATGTCAGCAAATATGAGTACCCGTGATAAACTTCTTGGTTTGCTAGACGACTTTGAGCTATTGAGCAGGTAAATTAATTTTTTTATCTGTCAATCTCTCAATGTTAATATTTGAAAATATGTGTATTGTTTATACTAAACTTTATTCTGCTCCTGTAGTCGATTAGTACGTTTAGTCAAAAAGTTTGTTACCATAAAATACAAATGTTCTTCATTTTCAAAAGAGAGAATCCTTTGGCTTTGCTTTGTAATTAAAACATAATATGTTCGATTCATGAATTTCCTTACATGTTGTATGTAGTCGATATACTTAAATATTTAGTATACACTACAATTTATCAATGAAAATAAATTCACAGTCCGTCTTTAATTCTTACAGTAGTCTACTTATTTAAATATACTTGTTTAAACAGGGTAATAGTAAAAAAAAAAATGGGGAATTGTAAGTGTATTTTTATTTTTATTGAAAAAACAAATTTTTTTTTCAATTTAATTAATTGTGTAATATATTGACATCTATAATTTAATTATCATCGTTTATTTAATTGTCGATGATTTTACTTAAAAAAAATACATTACTACATAAGTTATTTGTTTATAATTACGCCTAACCATAATGATTTAAATATTTTGTATATTTATTTTATTGATCACACTTTTGATATTTTTATTTACATCTTATAATAGTTGATTCTCTTTCAAATTAAAATTTAGAGAACTGATTGAAAACTTGAGCGCTGCTCGCCAACAAAAAATTAATGTACAACATCAATTGCTACTCACTGAACAACTAGTGGCTACTGATAATGAAATAAAAGCAACTCTTAAAGTGGCGGAAAACCAAGCAGAAGTAGAAAAAAATGTTAATGCCATTAAAGCAGAAATTGAGACACAAGACCAACATATCACACAAATGCAAAAACATTTTAAAGAAGCTGAAAACATATTGGTAATGTAGTGCAACACTAACAATATCAATAACATATTATTATAATACAATTTGTCTAATATAGGCAACAGCTTTATTTCAAGCAAAACAAAAATTGCAATCTATAAATAAGGCAAGTAAACATCCTGTGTCATCGGAAGATCTCATTAAGTATGCTCATAGAATAAGTGCGTCAAATGCTGTATGTGCTCCACTTACATGGCAGCCTGGTGATGCTCGTAGACCTTATCCCACAGGTAGTACTTTCATTGTGTAATATTATTATGTGTTTAATAACGTTTATATTGTTTTTTAGATATTGAAATGCGAATGGGATTTTTGGGTAGACTAAGTGATTTACCACTTAATGGCCATAATATGGTGCAGCCTCAAGGTTTGGCTGATATGGTGCGATCCTCTAACCAAATAGGTAATGAATTTAATTTTAAATATTATGTCAATTATGATAGGAACTTCTAGCGTATTTTTTAACATAGAATATTGCTTATGGAAAAAAGTTGAAGCAATATCCCTTAGATTTATAAGATGGAAGTATATGGAGTGAATATAGAAATGGTTACGGATAGATTTTTGGCAAGAAACAATTTAGCTGGACGACCACATTTATATGAAATAAGGTGAATAAGTAGAAAACCAGTTAAATTTTTATAAATTGTAGATCCTCAGTTTCAACCACAGTGTACTTACACTGTAGTTAAACGTTAAAAAACCAAATAGTTTTGTGATTAAAATAATAGTATAGTTATTTATACTGACAATTGTCTAGGTTTCTGCACAGTTTCTATGCAGTAGGCCTTAGGAGACAGAAGTGAGTTATTGAAATTTCATAGTTGATTATCACTAATCAATTATAGCTTAATTTTCATTTAACGTTGATTAATTGTTATAATCGAATAATCAGGATATTCTTTAATTGAATAATACATTAGTTAAAAAAAATAGGAATAAGCGATCAAACAATAATTCTATTAGTATCAGCTATTCAATTATTTCATAAAAATTAATAGAATAGTCGCCCACCCTTAGAATTTGCTTTGCCTTAACTGTCAAAGAAACCAAAATTATGTTTTTACTTTACCTCTAAAAGTATATGATCAGATAAATACAATATCTCTTTACTAAGCTAAATTTGGTCATAATTTAACCAAGGAATATGTACTGAAGTATGCAGGGTTAACTAGACTATCATTAGTAAAATATTAAAAAATTCTGTTTTGTTCTAACTGATGAATATAAATTGTTTTCAGACCGACAAACGTCTCAACAAAATCAATTTGCCTGGCATTCGACTGGCGATATGCATTTAGGAGTAAGCGGTAGTGTTATTGATACCAGAAACCATTCCAAGGATGTTGCTGAAGATGTAGAAGTCATGTCAACAGACAGTAGTAGCTCTTCATCTAGTGATTCTCAATAGTTGACTGTAAAAATGGCAATAATATTGTTATGTTTAAGTATAACGTTTAAAACTTTTTCTATAAACCTTATTTTTATTGACTGAGCTCTTAAATATACACAAAAATATAATTATAAGAAATAAAATAATCAAGTATAAAAATTATATAAGATGTTTTAACAAAATATTAAGCTATGAGTAACTCATAAATCTGTGACATTTGGGTTGGTGTAGGTAAATCCATCAAATTGAGACTGATCCATTGATTCGAGTATAGTTTTATCGACGGGTGTCAGTCTCGGTTTCTCTTTAGTAAAATGTTTGTCAAAGTAATGTGTATCTAATGGATGGTACTAAAAAAGAACAATTAATAAATAAATATAAGTCAGTAAGATATATGCTGGTACTTACGACTTTAGGCATATACGGAGGCTCTAACTCTCGCCTTTCTAATTTATTCCAGTCCAATGAACTGAAGAACGGGTGCCTAATTACATCTTCTGCTGAATGATTAGATTCCAATGAACCCAATCGTTTAGAGGCATCTTTGTCTAATAACTAATCATAATAAAAGTTTTAAGTATGTAGGGTATTATAAACCATAACATATTATTATTATTTATAATGTGATACGAACTGCAACTAGAACAGATTTTGCAGTGGTTGACAGGTATCTGGGATATTGGGGCTGCTCATTGCATATCGACCAGAATAAAGCATCTTCGTCACAACCACTAAATGGCGATTTACCAACTAACATTTCATAAAGAAGGATACCGAAAGACCACCAGTCTACACTTTGGTTGTATTTAAGTCCTTTGATGATCTGAAATGCACATTATAATTAATGTAAAATAATAACCTGCTTACATATTTAATATGATTTTGAAAACTCACCTCTGGAGCCATGTAATCTGGAGTACCGCAAAACGTGTCCGCAGTTTTATCTAAGTAAATCTGCAACTTACACATTCCGAAATCGGCGATTCTCACATGTCCATTAAAGTCTAGTAATATGTTGTCCAATTTTAAATCCCTAGTTTAAAAATTATTTTGACTAAGTATATGCAACTGGGACTAGTTTAAGTGCAGATTAATTTTACAAAAAAAAAGTATATATATTATACCTGTAGACAATTCCTTTTTTATGTAGGAACTTTAGACCAGACACTATTTCGGATGCGTAAAATCGTGCACGACCTTCGTCAAAACGACCCGACTGTTGAATGTGAAACATTAGATCGCCTCCATTTAAGTACTCCATGACAAAAAATAAATGAGACTAAACAAAGTAAAAGTGTGGTTAATAAAAATAATTAAGAACATCTTTTTATATTTTTAAAAAATTTTATTCTCATAAAAACAAAACACATTTATTAACTAAAGGCTAGGAAAATTAAAAGATTTTTGTTTTTATATAAAATGTAGTATATGTTTAATTTAATATATTGTTTCTGAAATAAAATCATTATATTAAGAATAGTTTTTAGGAAAATATTTTGTTTCTATTTAAGTTTAAAAATGAAAAATATATACACGCAACAAATTAAGGTATTCATGTAAAAATGTTTGTTAAATGCTTTTTATGTACTATCACTAATTAAATTGTGAATAAAAGTGACCGAGTACTACCTTAATGTATAGTTATAATAGGCAGAAATTGCAACATATTTTTGTGGAGTTCTAAATTCATTGTAATACTGATTAAGATTACTGAATGTTGACGAATAGAGTTCAATTGTGATTGCTTATTTTGTTTTGGAAATTATCAAAATAAGTGCAATCCTATTAAGGGTGAAAACTTAATAATTATATAAAAGTCATCTAAAGCTAGATAGGTAACGTATATTGTATAATATAACTGATATAATAACTGAAAATAGAACAATATTATTTTCGCCATAAAACTAATCATATAGGTATTAAGCGTGGCACTATGACAGAATAGCAGTTGTATATACTGTATATAGGTGGTAGGTAACTATTACACAGTCAGATCCACTAGTACACTTTGATTGCCAGACGTTTTAATAGGTCAAACATAAAATGCACGCTTTTAACCCTGAAGCAAATATATATTTGTATTTATGTATGTATTTGATTATATTTTTCAGTCCTTTAGTTACAGCAATATTACAATTAAAAGTTCGTTTCCAATAAACGTATGACTGAAAAACTGTCAATTTCCTTTTAATCATAACAAATTAAACAATTTACTGCGCTTTTCATTGCTCTCGTACCTATTAACAGAATCAGAAGTATGTCTCTTATAAATAAAATACAAATGCAACACAACGTAATGGATTATTTATGTAAAGTCCTTATTCGGGATTCTTACAATATTTCCAGTTGGGACGTTGCCAGCTGGAGGGGATGTTGACCGTTTGGACTTTGAAACAATTAGGTATACCGATTTTCTGGACGACCGATTTAATGTAATAATACCTATGTCTCGCGCAAATTAAAAATAATAATAAAACGATGTACAGTAGCAGCACATTATTGGAACTCATTTTTGAATCATTACTCAAATATTATAACTTATTTGTGAAGTTTTCAGCAATTAGTTATGTCTTGCCTAGTTAGAAGAAGAAAAAATATTTTTAAACTATTTTTTTTACTAAAACTGAAAATGTAAATTTTTTTTATAGAGTTTTGTAAATGTTTATGAGAAAATTTATGGTTGCCGACCTTAAAAATATACAAATAAAAAAAAAAGTGATTAAAGTTACAACGTACAACTTGATAACACTTATTTAGAATGTAACAATTGTGTCAACAATTGTTAAAAATCACTTGTATATACGTTTTACTTAGGTACTTTGAAAAATTTCGTAAAATCGTTTTATTTTAATTTTGTATCTAACTTGGCACTACCATCGCTAAATAATATATATTATATTTATTTTAACAATGGTCAACTTGTTCAAAGCTTTTACTGGATCTTGAGAAATAATCGAAATGCCGAATGATTACATTTTTGGTAAGTACTTACATTGATATAGGATTATCACATCTATAATAGCTAACTATAATAGAGTATCGTATCGCCTACCGGTGACACTCTATAATAGGCGCTGTCGGTGTTTAAGCACTTTTACTTTTTTTTTAGCGGAATTGTACCCCGCTGTATTGTATTGGATACAAACTTAAAAGCTAAAAAAACGTAGTTACCTCTGTTTGAAACGTGCAGAACAAGTGACACAAGTAAGGATGGTTCGTGCCTAGAGCGAGGACTTTGCGCTCGATGAGCGTACACTCAACGTCGTCATCTTCTAGGACCACGTCTTTCTTCAGGCATTTCACTGCATAGTAGTAGTCTGTGCCTTTGAGTTCAGCTAACAGCACCTATAAACAGTGGTTGGGCGTATTAGGACTGTAGTGCGGTGGAGTAGGAAGTGTATAATATAACTCCGTTCAGTTGGCTGTGTTGAAATAAATTGGAAAAAATAATTCCTCGTTATATCACGTAGCACCGATGAAAATGATTCTGTTCACCTGTATCACCAGCTGTTTGTGGATATCCAATAACTTTTTTCTAATTTTGGACATTTTAAATTGTTTTTAAAAAACTAACAGTGGTTGAGATACGGTGGTATGTCTATCCGGAGGAGAGGCGGAATACCCCTTGACAAAATCCTAAATATGCTACTGACACCGAAGCTGTGCATACCTTTCCAAAGCTGCCTTTGCCCAACACTTTCAGGAAGTTAAAATCGTCGACCGTGTACTTCCTGAATCGGGGAATGCTCGTGGCTGGCGGCACCACCCGCTTAGGTCTCGAGTGGTGTCGATAATTGTAAGAACGAATCGTTCGTTCGGCACCGCCCACAACTCCTTCGCCATTACCACTGGTCTGATACGAATTTGCCGGCGTGTCCGACGATGACGACGAATCTAAGATACAGGTAAGGACAACGATAAAACAATAAGTACTGGGTAATCTGTAGTGTCGTTAGATTTGTATAAAGCGTGTGCGTGCAGGTAGACAATTAAATAAAAAAAAGTGAGAACTGAGAAGATTGTATAGATATTACACAATCAATATTATCAAGTTCAAACTTATTTAAAGTTTTTTCATGCTCTACACTTGAAAAACGTAGAACATAATGCGGTTGCGTAACCAGAAATTGGTCAAAAGGGGAGAGGAGGAAAAATGTATATTTATAATATTATAAACTTCTTTTTCGAAGGAGGCAGCAATGAGCTGAGAAAGACCAAAGGAGGGTGTACACACTATACTCCCAACCTCCCATCCCCCTTGGATACATCACTGCTAGTGTTTAATTAAAACAAAATAATAATTTCACCGTTAAAATGTAATATTAGACTAAGTATTCTTTTTTTAAAATTGAACTTTACTACTGTAAGTAAATTGTTACTAAATCGACATACGAGTTATAAAACTTATAATAGATATGTCACCCGCTTCAGAATGAAAAACACAGTGTTTGCCTTTTAAGTTTTGAGTGGATGAAGGATAAATGAATACATATTAAGATTTTTATAGAAACAGATATTACAATGATGAATGGAGTCGATGCAATATTCTCGTTAAGCTTCGATATTAAGTTTAAGTCCTGACAAGTGATAATTCAACGCTTGTATAAAATCTGGGTAAATTCTGTTGACCTACTATCGCGGTAGATGGCGACTACTATATTTAAGTGGCTTATATTTTATTAAGTCCATCGCCATTAGCCAAAAAGCTTCTACTGGATCAAATGACAATTAAAAAAAAAAAAGTAGGCGTATTAGTTAAAAGCTTGGAGGAGACTGGCTAGAGGAGTTAGTGAGAGGTATCTGTGATAAATCTATGAGCTGGTATAAAATTATGAGATTATAGGATGCGGTCACTACCTCTACTATTTTGTGGAGATACATTAATTACACATTTAGAAATAGTGCTACTATGTATGCTTCAATTATTCTTGGGTCAATCGGTACCCAATGAGCCTATGGCAAAACTAATAAGATACCTAGCTAAAGGTTAAATATCGCCGAGCATCCAACATTTTAACGGTTTATAAATAGACGTTCAAATAAAACTTTCATATCTTAGACATAATATATGATTTTCAAAACAAATTAAGGTTCGTGCGTGTTTTGAATTTTTTGTGTCAACTTTACAGTGATATACACGGAAACTCGAGCAAAACACGACGAAGGTGCATAAAACAATTTTATATTTATAACATTCACACGCACACACACAATATACACGAGACACAACATAACAAATGCGTTGCAGGGGACTAATGCCAAAAAAAAACGTACAGGGGGCGGTGATTTCTAAGCTACTTATGACTCCTCTATCCTTCCGCCATAGGCCATAGTGGACAACGTGTAAAAATAAGTTATTTTCACGGTTTATTAAAGTCTGGTATTGGACCAGGTTCATTCATCTTGACCGTATTTCATTCATATAGTCGAAATGATGGTTTGAAAAAGTTTTCAAAAATATACAAGTGCGATTAAATGGTCAATTTGGTAGCCCACCGTTCCCTCTAGGTCAACCCTTCACTAATAACAAATTATTTTCTATATGAAGACCATGAACCACGGGCAGTTAGCACCGTTGGTTGGCTACAGACAAGTTCCAATTTTTGGGGTTGTCAACTGTGTACTACAATGTATTTGATCTAACGCAAATTATTTATCTAAATAATAATATACAAATACGTAAACAACAATATATGAAATTTTTTGGATAAAAATGTTATATACTTTATGGAGGATTTTTTCCACTGAATCCGAATGTATCCTCGATTTTCATTAGAACATTATGAATAAGTTACAAATCAAAAAATTTGAATTTTCATTTTTAATGAACATTTTACATTAATTCTGGACCAGTCTGATTTCAACTAATAAATGTAATAGAAATTTCCTGTTTAAAATAAATTGTAGAACAATTTTTTAAACCTATAGTATGTATTATAAAATGGTGGTTTAGTTTACCAATTATTGTTTGGAAAATTCTGAGACCAGATTCGGATTTAGCGAAAAATATCAAAAAACATATCTTTTGGGCAGAAAATCGGAATTAATTCCGGCCAAAAATACTATATTTTCTTTTGAACTAAAATGGTACTATGTGAAAATATATTTTTTTAAACGCTTATATTGTTGTCATAAAATTGTTTTAAATAAAAACCTTGAGCTGAGTTATCGTTTTTTGGAAAGAATAAAGAATTATTTAGACCCTGGATTAGTTTCGGAAGGAAAAACTTGTAAAAATTAAAATTTTGTAGTAAATATTATACTATTTATGTAAAAATGAGTATAAACATAATATTGTATCAGTATAGTAGTAAAATTTGGCCGGAATTAATTCCACAAACACTCGATTTGGTTTTGTTCAAAAAAGTCAACCCTTTTTTTTACAGTGTAACTACATAATATACTTTAACATGTAATAATTACCATTTTTCAAAAAGCTGTGATTTTTTTTTTAAATCTAATAAGTAAAGCAAAGTTTAATTGTAAACGAATTAAAATAATGAACCTTTCAATTCCTCACTTTGATCACTGTGCTTTCAAATTAACGTTTGAGCGAATTCTGTTATTCAAACATGTTAACGATTACAGTAATCGGATTACTTATGCATGTGTAACATTTTTATTTACAACAGTCAGAATTTGTCAGACGCCTAAATTTATTTTTTTTTAAATCGAGACGGTTGTTGAGAGTCAAGATAAATGAACCTCTGGCTATGATGCTGTAGCGCCGGTCATTGCAGTATTTCGAGAGCCGACAGTTGTTTACGCTTTCAGGTCAGCCGTAAAACATTTATAAAGCAGTCGAAACGTAAATCACGCGTGTTACAACACTAACCGAGTACCTACACCATTGTCACTCAGCGTAGAGATCCTCCCATGTGCAACAATATATGGAATATTTTTTATTTTTCAGGTAATCTTGAATCTTGGTTAAGGTTAAAAACGCCGCAGGGATGGATAAGCCCTTAGGGAAAACGGGATTTTCCCTGTGGACCCTCGTCTATATCTATCTCGGTGGCCCCCATAGTATCACTCATTTTTTTTATAATAAAATAAATACACCATGTAGGTATAACTAGAATTGTGTATGTCCTGTTGACATCAAAACGTTGTAGTTGTGTATCTAATATGTATAGCGTATACACAATATGCGGGAGGCTAGGTGTACCGTGTATTAGGTATCACGCAATTTAATACACCAAAAATATGCACTTAATAATGTATTATTTTTGAAGTAAAGGATTCGTTTTTTTTTTTATTATAGACAATATTACATTTTTACAAAGATAAATCTAAAAATGTTAACGTCCCCCACACAATTAATTAATAATTTCTATTTTATGTTTATAAAATAAACGTATCTCGGGCAGTCCGCTAATAAAAACTGTGTCTCTCTTGAATTAAAACAAACAATAAAAAGTGACCCTTTTGAAGGACATCAAATTTTGCACATGGAAGGTTTTTTTTTATGTCGAGTGACGTTACGGCTAGGATTTTTCGAGAAAACTAAATACAGATTCCCCTCTCCCCCACTCCATTTTCACTGCTTACAACGTGTAACTCAACGGTCAAGGACGGACAGTATACGTCAGTACAATGTAGAAATATGTAAAAATCGCGACGGTGATAATTTAATGTCGACAAAGCTGTTAGTACATACAAACTAAACAGTGACGGTATTACCTCGTTTGAGCGTCGCCAACGCTTCGACTACCAACTTCTGATTGACTCCGCACAAGTTTGGCATGAGCTTCTCGCATTTTCTATGGCAGTTGACGTCACAATCTAATCACGCGCGCGCACACACAAACACATCAAACAAATCCCTGATCAGTATTATTGTTATCGTCATCGACAATTATACATCAAGTAGCACGTAGGCGTAGACTGGTCCAAGTAACACTTAATGGTATATTATGGGTTCAAGTCAGTTATTATACTTATAATTTTTTTTTTACATAAATAAAGAACCACCTAACTATTTAGTTATATTATGATGAAACACAGTGTATTTAGTGTACACTAGGTTAAACGATTAAAAACAGAATAAAAAAAAATCCATAATGAGAAATTATCAAAATACAATTTCGAACTAAATTTTATTTAAATAGATTAATACTTATGAGAAAAGACGATATTTCCTTTTATATTTTCAAATAGAAATTTTTGTTTTCATAGGCTATCACTTTTCTCTTTATGAGATATATGATTTTTATTCAAGTTAACAAATTTTTAGTAGCTGCAACCCAAGTAGATGCATTCGAATGTCTTACAAATACGAAGTCATACTATACCGAGGAAAATTATTTTTATACTATTTAATTAGCCTTTAATTTACAAATAAAGGCGATACATATTGTTATCTACAATAATATTTAATACTAGTCTATCTACTTTAAGTAAAGGTTGTAATTTAATATAAAGTCTTGTTCGACTAATACCAGATTTACATCTATGGGACCCTATGTTAAGTGTTACATGGGCCGCGACCACCTTATGTTTATTACACTTATGATATAACGCTATTATGTCCCTTATTTTATGTCAAGTAGCCAGCTCTGTTTTTTATTTGCTTTAGGAAGCGACTCATGCACTGTCTATAGAAAACCACACGAAAAAATCCCAGTGTCGTAAATGGTTAAACACACACACACGGTTAATCGGTTTACCTATGGGGTCGGGTGCCGGTGTGGGAGAGGATGGTAAACCGGAATCGAACGAGGACACGCTACATGCGATTCTTTTTTCACCGTATTCGTCAGTGTCGTAGTAGTAAGTGCTGTCGCTGCTGCACAACGAAGCCGACACCGAAGATCCACAATCGTCGTCGTCGGACGAAGACTCGTCGTCTGACGATTCTTCGTCCGTTGAGTCTTCGGACTGCAGTTGTGGCGGCGGCGGTGGCGGTGGGGGCTGTTCCAATTTTGCCGGTTTAGGTTTAGGCTTCTCGAACTTGCTCATGGTGCTGCTAACTTGCGACGGCGATATGAACGTCTTGCCGAAAGACGCGCGCACGAACGGCGTGATGACCGTTTTTTTGGATTCCTGCGTGATCGCCCTGGTTACAGACGCCGTGGTTTCACCATCCACCTTCTGCACTTTTTTTTTCACCACTACTTTCTTCTTTTTCACCACTTTCTTTTTGGTCTTCAACGAACCGCTACCGTCGTCTGCGGCGTTATCGACCTTTGTTGTATTATTATTTAACTTGATTACATGCGATTGAGTTTTGGTATTACCGTCTGCATGCTGCGGTTTGGCTTGCACTACGTTATGGTTAGCGTCGAGCTTTCTACTAGCTCCACCCGTCTTTTTCTTGTTAAGCCTGAACGTAAAACTTACCGGTTGTTCCGGTCCGTTCTCCTCTTTGGACGCGGCCGACGACTCCTCCACGATCACGTCGTAGTTTAACTTCCAGTTGACTGGTTTCCTAGCGGCCACTTCCGGCGTAATAGCGGTCTCGGGCTGATTTCTTTTGTTGAGGTATGCCGCCGCTACCGCGGACGCGTCTGACCGGCGTTTCGGCCGTTTCTTGCCACCATCAACGTCCACGGGATAACTTTTTCGTCGGTCTTTTTGCCCTTCCATTTCTTCCATGATCATCGTGTCGAAAAGCGCTTCTTGTTCGCGGAGCATGTCGTCCGTGACCGACGGCCGTCTGTCGTCGGTCACCGCGACTTTAATGCCTACGGACAGGTGCCGTTTGATTGTGCCCTTCTTGGCCATTCCTCCTTGATCTTCCGGTGGTTGATTCGTTACCGCCGGCGACGGACCAGCTGGCGGCTTGTCCGGAGGCGTTCTTTTGTTTATAGTGTGCAACCGGACCACGGTGCGGCCTCGGTGGATGTTGCCGCCCGCGCTGTCGTTGGGCACTGCCGGGTCAGACAATGGTAGTGGCTTGCGGCGGGGAGTTGTCACGTCGATCTCCGCCGCGTTTATGTGCACCGGCCTAGCGTAGTGCCGGGCCGTGATGGCCGCCGGTGCCCTGCGGATGGCCCTGAGCGTTTGTTCGACCGCCATCGAGTTGTAACTCCTGGGCTGTAACCGCGGCGTCCGGCCGTTGGAGCCGGGATAGGGCTGCAGCAGCTGACTGTAATACTGCGAGGAGAACGGAACGGACCGGGCGGAAAACCCGTAATCGGAAAAAAACGGCATCGTGCAGTTCTATATTATAATAGAATATAAATCGCGTTTATAAAATTATGTATTTTACGTACGGCGGTCTTATTAAATTATATAATATATAATAATTAATTTTTTTTTATACTAAATTCTAATCAAAAATGCATAATTACTACGTAATAATTACTGTATGAAAATAATAATAATAAATATGTTTTGCATACGCCGTTAGTATACGTTGGGTTAGTATAGACATACTTAGATGATTTTCAAAAAAAACAGGCACATCTCGGTAAACGCGGATCTGCAGACCGGGTACCGCCAACGGTGACGCGTTGAAGACTAAAATCCGCTTCCCGGCAGTGGTGCGGCCGACCGAGCTGTGTTGCTATAGATGTTTTGCTAGGATATATACGTTTGGCAAGCTCCGAAAGCGAATTAAACGAATTGAATGGCAGCCAAAAGAAATTTAAAACATTGGGACACATAAAACACTTACACAAATATATTTCTGAAATTAAAAAAATAAGGAGAAATTGCATAGGGTCCCGTTTTTATAATCTTATTTTGTGTGTGTGTGTGAATTTTCCCTTTCGTCACGCCATTCACTGTAACCCAATATATTTTTTTGCTCCACTTATTATTATTTGTTTGTTGATTATACAATCGCATTTCCTGGGCGCAACTGTCGGATTTTTTTTTCGAATGGAACTCGAATACCTTTTCGTCGCTGACGGAGAATACACAAATGGTTACCAATTACCAACAAAATGATTTGTACAATGCAATACATACATTCCTTCAATCTTACTTATTGTGTGATAGGTACTGAATTTATGACCGCGAGTATATTTACTCATTTTGGTCGGTTGCCGATTAGAGATCGTTACATGACGTGTGCTTCCAAAAAACATCTTTTTTTATGCAAAAAAAAATTTGCGAGGTAGGTGATATCGGATTATTCCAAATTCGTTCGACCGCTTAAAATTAAACCCGTCACTCGGCGTATGTCAAAGCGCGGTGTGTGATTGACGCTAAAAAAATACCGGCACGTTGTTCTATGCAAAAATAGTCGCGTCGTCTCACCTAATTTGAGTCAAGGTTGACGAGTTATGCTTATGTGTTTGACGGTTACCTATAGATTTATCAAACTTTTTTCAAGCTTAAACCCGTAAAGCATGCATATTTCGACACTGACGGGTAATTCGGTTATAAAAATAAAGAAAACGGCGGCGAATTTAAATTAACCGTAGAAAACTTTTTACCGCTCACGCTTATCGCATCTTACCAAGGCCAAAATTCGGGTTTTGTATGCGAAAAAATCGCCATTGCCAAAGCTTTATCGCAAGATCACGGCGTACGCGGGCCAAAGCGCCCACCTGAAAATATACTCGGCTATAGCTTATAAAAAAACTAACCGAAAATAATAATAATAATAAAACAGAGCTCCGATGCCAATAATCTGTAGCCGGTGGATCAAATATTTTAAAAACAAAAAAATTAAATCAATGTATGATTTTTAAATAATCAAGAGCTTATTGTTATCAGTTTTTATGGTTTATCCTCAATGGAAAAATAATTGCAACTTTAGACAGATTTTAAAAGTTTTTGCACGCTTCATTTATGGATCTTAAGAGCTAAGTAGGAAAACTGTTTACAGAAAAAAATTTCCAATTATTCTGGAAGATAAGTTTATTGCTTGTATTCAACTTGGGCGAAACTAGTACCTTTCCAATTCGAAATATCGAATTTAAAAACATATTGGTTAACGCGAATTTGTACTATTTACGAATAATAGCAAGCGGTACAGATATAAGCGAATTTCGCAAATAAAACATTTTTTACTATCGAAAAACATGCGCTTGTTTTTTATCCCGGTTTGTTGGATTAACCGACAAAACCATAAATATATATGCGTAACACACATGTCTACTGTTTGAATATTTGCATTGCAAAACGGTTTCCAAACAAAAGCGATGATAGCAGTCAGAACTTATACTAGAACCCTAAAACAAAACATCATAAGGTCTATCAATTAAAAGTGAGCTACGCTATTTTTTATTTTCTGAGGAACTGTAATTTTACCGTAAGATTAGGTACACCTAAAAAAAAAATGAGAATCAAACCAAGGAGTAAGGACCTATGAATTAGGCAACAGCATGAACGACACTCGCCAGAAGTTAAAGAATATTTAAGAGACGAGAGTTCACGTATAACATATTGCATAAGGCATGATAATATTTAAAACGCTTGTGTCGAAGGGTTTACGTACAAATATTTTTAGAGGAAGGGGGGCTATTCACGGCATAAACTGTGAATTTGACTACAGGTCATATCATGCCAAATAGACAAATCGAGAAAGAACATAATATCGTCCGATTTGTCACAAATCATTTGTGTAAAAGGAATTGTTGGGTATCGTCCAAATCCGACAGAGGACCGTCACCTGATTATAATATAATCTGTTATATATTACAGTAATAAAAGTGACATAGGTATACCATATGGTATACTATAAACATACATTTTATAGTAGTGCTAAATACGGTAGAAAACCGGGACGGTAGGCTAGGGCGAGTGTCAAATGATACCCACTCAAATTTGATTATGCCCTGTAACGTCCAACATGTAATTTAAGAAATTGTGCTGCAAGAAAACAAATATTGCTTCACCATGCATATGCGCCCCTCGAACTGTAACTCTGGGGATGCTAAAATCCTGGTTAGCTATCAGACAGCAAAGTTGTAAGTTTATTAAAAATACTAATTTTTTTTTTAGAATTAATAATGAACAAAATTAAATAAAAAACTGCCAGTACAGTGGGGTTGGGGCTAAGTGAGGACTAGTATAATAGATCGTAGGAGGCCACAGGTCTGCAAGAATTAATAAAACTGAAAGTTCTTAAATCACTTTCAAATTAAGTTAAAAATCTCAATCCACCTCCCGTCCTAAAATTTAAAATTTAGTAACTTTAAAAGTAATTATCCAAAACTAGTAACGACCAGTCAAAAATTCAGCAAATTAATCTTAAATTAAAAGATAATTAAATATACTCGTTTACATTTAAACTTCAAAAGTTTATAACGCGTTAGAAAATACTACAAAAGGTGATAGTTATTAATATATGATAGTTTTATAATGTTTTTATACATTAACATAAAAAAAAGAAAAACTATAAAATTGCAATTATTTTTGAGAAAATGAGTGTCATACGTTAAATTGATCACCCTGTGTAACAACAGTAAATAACAAAATAGGTGTTATGTGTTTTTGTAAGTTCTACTTGTTCTGTTAGATTGTAATATAAAATTATTAAAACATTCATTGAAAAAGTATAAAAAAAATGTGCATTTAAATTTTTTTAGTAGCTTTTAAAATGTCTGTAGGTACGTCGCGTATTTTTATTAATTCCCTTATTAGAAAGAAATGCATTTAATTTATTTTTTTAATATTATAATACCCCTGTCCTAAAGTAGTAGGTCTGGGTTTCATAGATAAAAATTTAGATTAAGTTTTTTTGTATCTAATATTGAAAATAACACCTTTTAATAAAACATAAACAATTTGTGTACTTTGATAAGAACACAATGACGATATAAAGTGTAGAACATCTATGTAGGAAGATTTAAGAAAAACTCGAGAATTGGCTTAATGTCAAGCTATAATAAAATTGACTTAACGCGGATTGATTATAAAACATTTTCTTGGCACGCCGAGAACGCAATTTTCGCAATTACTCATTGTACATTGGAGTAGTAACTTGTTATTATTTACCAACGTCCAACACATATAGGTATAGTTTGTCATAATTTGGAAACGACGCTAAAATATTATCATCAGAAACAAAAAAACATTTATCTAATAAGTAATGGCAAGCAATAGAAATGTCCTGCAATTAAAACAAATATTAACAGTAGGTACGAGAAATATGGTTTATAATTACTATTTTATCTAATTTGGATATTTGCCACCAACAATTATTATTAATATAAGTCACATTAAGCCCCTGGCTTATAAACAGAGCTGGCTACTTGTTAGCAATGTGATATTACAGTAATAAATGTTAATAATATATGCTACAGTATATAAAAGTACTATATAATTTACAAGGTTGTCAAAAATCAGTACCTTCACATTTTAAACCCTGTTTGAATAATCCGTATAGCAAAGAACCACAATGGTCGCAGAATGTCGGTGACATGAAGTTGTATCCTTTGAACCGGTGTGGCACATCTATTTTAAACCGTTCTCTTAAATACTGTAAAATATGATAAAATCAAAGTTAAATTCAATCATAATGACATAATCGATAAGTTCTTTTATCAAAAAATATTTCAACACAAGGCTGGCATTCATACTTTTAAAAAACTTTTGAAGCTTCTTTAGAATTTGGATAAAAATTATAAACTTTAATTGGGGGACTATGCCTGATTGGTTGCTGACATTTTTTCAGAGTCTGAAGTTGAGAAGGATTTGAATTTATCTAAACCCTCTCTCTAGTTGCGTCTAGACTGTAGGTAATAAAAAAATGCTTAATTTTGTTTTTTTGGTAGTGGGATTTTTTTTATAACGTGATTTAGGGTAATATAACAATCAAATCAAGCTATAACATCAGTTAAAATTGATTTACATAACAAGTACAAATTTTTAATTATATTTTTACCGGCTTGGCCGAGATTTTTTTTTTTTAAGTGACATTCTAACCCTTGCCTGTATTCAGTACACTGTTTTATTTTTAAAATAAATGTAGGTATTGATATATTTATGAAACTATTTCCAACTAACAGATTACTCATAAACCATAAATCACTTCTACAATAACTTATTTAAGTGTTCGAGAACTTATTTTATTTAATGACTTCCTGACATTATCTGTTACCACACTGACCTAAATCAGTTAGCAGTATACCTAAGCTTTAAAGCTGGTATAAATTCATATTTGATGAGACAATATATTTAATTATAAGTTGATTTCATAATAACATAAGTTATTTTGATTATCCTAAATCAAAGACAAGTATCCTAAGATAAGAGAAATACAAAATAGATTTATTAAGCAATAGCCAATAATTATTTGTATACTATATTTATTAAAAAACAATTATTTGAAAGGAAAAATGCAATCCAATTACTCCCAAGTTTAAAAAATAATATTTGTTTATCAAAAATAAATCTATATAGGTATTAGGTATCAGTTGTTTTGTTTTAACCTATGCAAATTAATTATAACAAATATTTTCACGTACGATTTCATACAATTTAACCTAATTGGTTCATAATATTTTCATTTTTAGATAAGCTCTTTTTTGTTTTTATAACCAAATTTAATATTTCTAATTTTTATTATCACAAGTCAAAAAAATATTTTTTGGAAACATTTAAGCTGCGGGCAAAATTATAATATTTTATTACCTACATATTATATAGTTAAGTATTTTGTACTTAAAATTGCACTTAGGACTAACTAATTGCATACTTACTGAGTACTTATAACAGTGTTAAGTACTAAGTTATAAAGAATAAGCTACTTGAAAAATGATCTACTTAGAATATTAAATATTTTAAGTACCTACAAATTATTAGTATCTTCATATTTGTTGTCAAAAAATATGTTAATAAGTATTATTCAATTATAATGTAAATTAGTAAATACTACTCGTAAATAACCAATGTTACTAATTACCCAGTACTGGAAGTACTTTATACTAATAGTAAATTATAATTTATACTATAGCATAGATACTTTGTCGAGTATTAGGTACATAACTACGTGTTACTTAATATTTCTTAAAATACCAATATATACTATTAGTACTATTCGAATACTCAAAACATAAAATGATTTGAGTATGCCCAACACTGATTTTAGGTTATTAAAAATAATAATTTTAAAATCGATTTCAAATATTTATTACTGGTTTGATAATAAATTAAATTAAATAATAAGCTCATGCTGCTTAGGCAGCATTTTTATCAAAACAAAAAAATTGTTCTCAAACATCAAATATTGTTTATAAAATATTTATCACTGCATGAATTTTTAACAAGTAAATAATTCTTTAGGATGTTGCAACTAGTAACATATGGTTGGTTTGTCGTTTGGTGTATTATTTATACAGTACAGATACTTTAAAATTGAAATAAATGTGTATACCTATATTTTTTAGACCATAAATGTTAAATCTAAGCTCTAATCTAATTCCATGCGTAAATGTAAGAATCAAAATGCTGTGTAGGTTTCTAGAATGACGCACATTGAAAGGAGAGGATTTGTAGAATATTCTTTACCCAGAACAAAAAAACATGTTATTTTATTAGTATTCCGCCAATACTAATTTCATAAGCATTGATTTTAACCTAATCTCTGTTTGCCGTTTTGTGGAGTAATTTATCCCGCATCCCTCCATCAATCTACACCATTGAATTATGAACATTATGCTATTTTTCTCTAACACCTAAAATACGTTAACTATACTTCAGACATCTGTTTATTGATATTCCATTTTGCAAGACTTAAAAATTATAATAAAATACAATAAATCTTTTGTAAAAAAATATGTTTCAACAATATGCAAATACAATACATTATACTATAATATATGTTTATAAATTATAAGTATAGTTTATAATATATTATTTTGAACTCTATTAAAAGAGAATTTGTTAAAAATAATAAAATTAAAATCCAAAATTTTAACTTCAAGTTTGACTATGAATGAATGTTTGTTTCGAGTATAAAAAAAAGTTAAACAAAATAATATTGCATTTTTTTGGTAAAAAAAAATACGAAAAAATGTTTGAACATTTGTAGTTAAGTTTTATTGGCAATACACATCTGAATAATTTGTAGTACATTGTTTTTGAATAAACTTAAAAAATATAAAATTGACTAAATATTAAATATAAACTTTATTTTTTTTTAGGTATCAATTATTGCAAAAGTACTACTCTCTAAACATTTATACAGACTGCTAATTAGGTTTTGGTATTAGGTTGCCGAATGAAGGCTTTAATTAATAATACGATACACTCGTAAGAATCAGATTTCTGTTTATCTAAGAAATACTAATCCTTATTTAAGTAAAATAACCAGTAAAAGGTCAAAATATAATCATATCAATCTTTTTTACTCAAACTCAGAGTACTTAATCTATTTTAATTTTAATATTATTAAGCTATCCATACATTTGAAGTATAATAATTACAAACAATCATACATATTTCAACACATATAAAAATTAATAATCAACGTTTTGGTTTGCCATAAACATTTCTTGTACAAGAACAAACATTGGACATAATTTAAGTAAAACGTTTTTAATAATTACTCATTTAATAAATTATTTACTCGTAACAATAGGAAAAAATTAAATATAGCTTCATGTTGTTAATTAATTATAAAATTTATCAACGAATCATTTATAACTATATAGTATACTGTATAATTCGTATTAGATTATGATTCATAAACAATTACCTTTGGCAATGCGTTCTATGGGCTTTATTGAAAAAAGGCACTAGATATATTACAACCAATAAATGAAAACAACAATAAATAGGTACAAATTCGAAATCTACATTAACTTTTCTTACCTACCAACGAACAGACTTTTGATTATTATTATTATTATTATTCTCGTAATCGTATTGTGTAGCGCAGTTCGCAAATAACAATTAATTACTTTAAAACATGTGCTATTTGTTAAATGATATTTTGCAACTAGGTTTACATTTTGCCATGTGCCATATATCATATGTTCCACAAACTCTCTGTTTATTACTTTGTTTGTTCATAAATCATATGGCATTTTCAATTCGTAGATTCCTTATATTATTATGTTTTTTAATGTATCAAACGTGAAAATGTTAAAAGATAATAATAAGAGCTCTTTTTATTTATTTTTTTTTTAAATCGTAAAAACAAAATAATTTATTTGTAACGAGTGTTTTGGAATTGGCCATAATACTAGAGCGTGCTTTGAAAATTTTATATCATTCTGTAAAATATGTCATCGCCGCAATATTTTTTTATATATCTTTTTATCCATAATTTGGCTGACTCACCACTGTGCTTTCTGTGTCTCGGCCGGTGCCCGGACATTGGGTGAGGAGTTTGTCGTGACATTTTTTGTGGACAGCTGTCTGGCAGGCTAAAACCCGAAACAACATGATATAGGTATAAGGTATATCATAAAACCAAATAATTCATACGACTTGCACCATTAACGGCATTAAGTCGTACGAATCGCATTGCAACATAAAACGTTGATCCGCACGTGATACTTACTCTGACACTGATATCCTTGTTTTCCGAATCCCCTACAATGTGAAATGTAAATTATTATTAAAAGGATTACAAGTATAGATTAATGCATACTTAAATTGCTTACCACAAAAAATCCTTACAAAATGCACAGAACGTGGGCTGCCGAAAAAACTTTGCTAAAAACTTGTGTCCTTTGACTATATGGACCTTTTGATGTTTGATAGCCCCTCGCCTTCGAGTGATAGCATGACCTCTAGCAATATCAACGCGTTGAAGCACTGCGATAAAAAAAATACAACTAAACTAAATCGATACGTATTTAAACTACGATATAATATCGCAGTATGAAAGTTTATTCGATTGTGCCTTTGAAATACTTACAATTATCTACGATATTTGCGTCTATTGAGTCATGATTATAACTAGGATATAAGCATTGTGGTGGTCCCTTACTTCGGCTTCTGCCCTGTTAAACAACAAAAGTATAGTATAATAAAATTATTATTATCATCTAAAAATGGAAATATAATGTACAAATAATATTATAAAAAATATACAAGTAATAATATATTCGTAATTTTTAATATTGCTCAAGTTTAGATTTCATTAGAAAGTGTTTAAAATGTGACAAAATAGCTAGATGTGTCCCCACGAACCCAATATCGTTAAACATATTTTACACAACTAAATAAAAGTATGAGGTATGACGACTTCAAATTTCAATAATTTATAAATGCTTTATGCTATTCTACGCCATATTATTAATAGTGAGAATGAGATATGATGCAATAGTTAAATTTCCGAGGAGTATGGTGAAGTATATTTAAGCAAGGTTTTAGTAACAGTTTGTCCAAAAAGTATAAGCGGTGTACCTATTAATAACAAATGGAAGTCATTTATGTATTATAATTAATAAAATACACACAATATACAGAACGACAAAAATTGTCAACATTTTTGTCAATTTGTATAGTCGATCTATACATTACCTGTTTTTTTAATACTTAGCTTGATAATTATTAAAAATATATATATTTCTAAAAATGTTTAAAATAAAGTAAAATAAATAATAATTTGTTACATGATGATCTATATTTATAATAAAACTCCATACAATTGTCAACACATTTATTAACTCGTTCTTCGACCGATCGATTGATACTTCCCGAGCATCAACTTGTCAGCCATCAGCTGATCGTGGTCAAACATTGCTTTACATCTATCGATCAAAACGCATATAGAAGTTAAAACTTAACGAAGTAGGTACATTATCTATTGTTTTTATAAATGACACATATTTATAAATAATACTATTTCATCAAAAGACCTTATGGTTTAAATGGTCGATGAAATGTATACTCAAATATTGACCTTAATCCGTATCCTAGAATAAATGCAGTCATTCTCTGCAGAATAATCAGATAGGTACTAAAAAGCTCTCCGCTCTCGAATACAATTATAATGAAGTATTCTCACTTATATTGTTCGGTTAAGTAACGGGCACATAAAGGTTACGTGGTTTATGTAGCGGTGTAAGTGATGATTATTTATTTATTATTTATTAGGTGTTAATTAAAATCAATACTACAAACTTTTATTTTCAAGAATTTTTTGTTCTATACCCCATTTTACTGAACTCCTTAACTCCGTTAATACCGGGATCGTTAATAGAAACAAGGTAAACCGACCGGCTCAGTGAGAATTTCTATATAAAAACGTAAGCCTGTTTCGTAACACTGTTCATAACGCTGTGGAGGATTTCAGCCTCCATTAAGTTGAAACAGTGTGCATTCATTGTTCATGATCAAGCGGCAAGCCTACGGGCTACGAGTGAACTACCCCCGAATCGATTTTCTAAGTCCATTTACATTGTGGAGAAGCATTGGGCGTGTTAAATGTTTCTCATTAATGACGTGTCAAGTGTGAAGTGTATGCAGCACGAGTAAGGTTGACGACGATTGCGGCGGCGGCAGTATCTGTTCGCGTCTTCTATTCTATTTCCGTCTGTGGGCTCATCCGAGGATCGCGCATCCGAATATTTTCACCGACGCACGTTGACGGTGCGCGTGTTGTTCTATACATTTATAATAAATAATATTACAATAACGTATGACGGTACCAGCGATTCTGCTTAAAAACGTCTTATTCTTTTAAATTTAAATTTTCAGCCAAACAAAATGCCGACGGCGTCGACGTAGAGCCTAGAGGTACCTACCCAACACTACAATGTCCAACGCCTGTATAGGTGGTATACCCGCCCTCCATAAATATCGGTTATGATGTCGGTCATGGGCGCCAAAAGCTGGCGGACTGCGCGATGCTGACTTACCTCGGAATGATGATGATAGTAGTAATTATTGTTGTTGCTCCTGGACCGATTGTCCGTTTGTCGTTTCTGCGAGTTGTTGCTGCAACTGCGCTTTCTGTTGCCGGTGAACATCATCGTGTCAGCGTCACTCTGTATTCTCATTCTGCACCGAATAATGTCAGTTGGGAGACGCGGTCACTACCATGCCGTGACGACCGTTCGGCTCGTACGGCAACGTGTTCTGCTACATAACAATGTTGTTTTGTCTCATATTGTACACATACACATACACACACGCCCGCTAATGATTATTTTACCCGGAATGACGCAACAATGACAACCGGCAATACCTACAGGAACACAGCGTAGCGCGTTTGATTCGACCGATTGGATTTATTTATTTTTTCATACAACAGTGTCTGGATATTGAATAAATAACAATAATAATTGTCGCGATAATTGTTGTCGACCGCCGCCCGATCATAGTGCGGAGACGCGGGCCGTCGAGTTTCGTTTATTATACAAAAAAACAAGACACGCGAACATGGCCGTGTGGCGGACGGCGGCGTGTTCTATTAATAGACATATCGTAGATGAACCGCGGCGCATCGTGGCTGGAGAGTGGTCCATTCCACCACCGGCGGCCAACGTTTTTGTTGTTTTTCACTACGCTTAAACCGTAACCGAAAGGTACGTATTTATTGGCGTGGTCAATTACAACGAAATCTTAACTTGCAATGGGGTATAGGCTGTATGATAACTATTAAAGTAGATAGTAGATGTTTCTTTTGAGGTTTGGAATTTATAAGTTTTGACACAAAATTGTAAAAAAATAAGACACGACTGAAAAAGCCTTTAGTATTAAAACTCACAGAATGCAATGGAACTTGTTAGTTTTGATTCTAATGACCATTTGCATGACTAAATCTAACCTGCTCTCAAACAAACTGACATCAGATTCGGATTCGCAATCACTAATCCAAAAGACAGTTTTTACAAATAATTTTCCCATTTTTTGAATCATGATAGTTTTGATTACACTCTACTCAATTATCCTTAATTATAATTAAACCACTGACCTCAGAATCACATAAACTGTCAAGAAAGGGGGAGGGCTCATCATTCAGTCATTAATTTGACTTTTCTCAGTTCAGAGATTCCTAACAAGTGTTCAAAATAACATTTTGACGCGGTACGTCTTTGACCAATGTAGCGTGTGAAATTACGATATGGTTAAATCACAAAAAAAAATAGAGATGTTATTATTTAACTTTTAGAATTGAATTTGCATGTATATATGGAATGTATACGGTAGATAATCTTCTATATTTTTTCAAAAAGGTATTTTTTTGTTTCAATTCCTTTTTCACAATTGCACTGTGGTCTGTGCACATTATATTATCTGTCCAAAAATCGAAAATTAGTGTTCGTGTATGAAGTATAATACGAGATGTCAAGGACGGTTTTTTTTGTTTAATTTTTTTTTATCCCAACCGCGACGGCGGTTCTAATGAACATATATTTTTCTTCGAATGCGAAGTATTCGCGCGCGCCAACTAGTAATGATATTAATATTATAATAATTATTATACTTCGTTTTAATATAAAAACAAAATGAGTGTTGAAAAATTCAGATAAAAACTAGACAAGCGCTTTATATTAATGTTAGAAAAACAGGTTTAAATACGTAATACTTAAGTCAAATCGAATATAATGATACCAATTGTCATTTTAAAAAGTGTCTTGTCTGGTTTTTTCCCGGTACTCTTCACTTGTGATAATTACCACAAGCAACTAACACAACTAACATTGTATAAGGGTTATTTAAATGTAGATTTTTGAATACTTAGGCAAAATATACTTTTCTAAAAATCATAAATTACAACTAAAGAAACGAGCAACATTCTTTCTTCAGAATATTATTTATTGTAACCAAAATTAATAATATTATGAGAGTACTTTATTATTATTATTTATTGAAAAGTTATATACAGGTATTAAGAACGATGCCTTTTAAGTGTCAGGAGGTACTGAATATGGTTTTTACAATGACAATAGTCAGTCAATATAAAATAACAATTTTAATTCATGCTCCTAAATTCTTACATCATTATATACACTACACATTAAAATCTAGTTGTCATAGTAATAATAATACATAACAACTGGTGAGTATAAACTATACTCAGTTATTTTCACTCTGAAAATATTACAATTAGGAACATAGGAGACATTAATTCTATCCATAGTTGCATACAAAGTATAAGTATTAATACTTAAATTAAAATGCACAATCTTTACTATTATTCTGAGTTTTAACGATTTATGATAAATAATGTTATGCAAAACATTTTTTTTTTAATGAGATAAATATAAAATTGAAAGTAAAATAGATTTATGAATCTGAATAGCTTTTTCTTCAAAAATAAAACTTGAGCACATTAAGGGGGAAGTATATTTTTGATTCATGCATGTCATCATATAAATTTAATTTTATTTAAAATTTCTTTTCAGCATTCAATAACTTAAAAATACAAAATACTTTTTACGTAAAAAAATGAATAAAATTGTTTTCATCAAAAAATTTAATTTTTCTATCAAAATATCTGATAAAAAAAAAATTAATAACAGTAAATTAGATCATTTTAATTTTCTAATCTAATTTATTTTCATTTTTCTTTTCATCGGTTAAAATATTATTTTTTTTATCAGCTTCTTTATGTCTCTCAATTCGTGTTTGTAAAATATTTACAAATTCATTCATATTTTTTGCAGGACCCAGAACAAGGAATACTTTAATTGAATCTTCTTCGAATGCAGTCAATCGCACATTTTTTTCACTTACTCTTTCTACTTTCATATCTGCCCAGATCTATATACAAACATAAAAAAAAAACAATGAACTAATTAAGATAGTCTTAACAATATTATGAAATAGTACACAGTAACTGATGTAATAATTACTTTTGTGTTTAATATGACTTTCAAATTTCCATTATTGCGCATAACTACTCTAGACGACTGTCCTCCATCCATGTCATTTACACGAAGTTGTCCACGGCCTTTTTCAACCCAATTGGATTTGGAATTGTCATACATATATAATTTACACACATTTAGTTGAAATACATTTACATCATTTTCTTCTCCCGTCATGCAGTCTACTTCTTCATATTTTCGTTTTGCTGCACGTGATTCTTCATATTCTTTGGCAGCTTCCATTAATCGTCTTTTAGAATCTTCCGCAGATTCATCTATTTTACCATTCTAAAAACGAAAAATTTGTTTATATCATGATTACATTATATTTTTAATACCTTATACTTATAAACACAGAAACGCAAAATAATATATAGTTTTTCATGGTTTATATAATTAATATACGTATAAATATTTATTTTCATATATTTTGACACACACATTTCAAACCAAAAATCCATAGATGTTGTGATATTGAAATTAGAACTTTATATAATGTAACATAATTCGTTTGCTATTTAATGTTTTTGAATAATAAAAATTGTTAGAAAATAAAGGTTAATGTGATGAGTGCTGCCATGTTTGTTAAGTACAATAGCGCAAAGCTGCGGCAAAATATACAAAGAACATTTATCAACTCCATGTTAAACCCAGACAAAGAGCCCCTACAACAGTTGTCAGCTACCCTTCGGTCTCCACTCATTATGTTAGTTAAAATATTATATAGAATGTTTGTTTTAAATTTATATAAGGACAATTAGTTTATTCAGTTATCTTATTAGTTTTCCCTCCATACACATCCATTTTGTAAAAAAAAACAAAAATTATAAGAGTCAAACAGATTTTGGGTTTGAGTTAACTGTATTCAAATGAATTTAATCTGACTAAAATTTAAAATAAAAAAAATGAATGCAGAACACAGTGTAATTAATGATTTTTAATATTATGATTATACCTCTCCATTGTCCTCATTTTTAACATTTCCAAATGTTGGAGAAATAACACAGGAAGATGAAACCTCAGCTTCTTGAGTATCATTTGTATTTTTTTCATCTTCTGATGTTGAATCAGCCTCTTTATTTAATTCGACACGTTCATGTAGATTTTGGCCAAATACAAAACCACTAGCTAAAGATAGTTCTTTTGGTTTATGAGTAACACTCTTTTGCACAACTGCACCAAATACAACTGGTGGAGATTTAACAGGCATTTCTGCTTTAGGCAGTGATGATTCTGATTCAGACTCAGGTTCATTTGGAACTTGGTTATCTGTTGAACTAGAAGGTTTTGCTATAACAAGATCCAATAAAAATATTTAAGTTATAATTTATTTTCTATTAATTCAATTTTATAAAAGTGGAATATTTATATGCCAAAAATCAAGAAATTAGTAAAAAAAATATGCGAGGCAAAATGGAAAAAGGTAACTTTTGTCGCAAAAAACAAGTTTTGAGTTGTTGGTTATTCCAAATTCTGCACTAAATTCTATAACAATAGGTGGCAGGCGGTAGTGACTAACAGCCTCCGCCGCAATAGCCTATTAACAATCACGCGAAAATATGCAAATTTCATGTTTCTATAATATTGGAACGAGAGGAGTCCACCAATTTTTTACTTCAGATTTGTTATAAGCGTAAAAAATACTATAAGATAGTAAAAAATAAAAATGCAAAAAAAAAAGGGTGTCCGGTAAAGTGCATTTATGCCGGTTTTTTTAAGAAATATGCTTTGAAGTTTTGAAATATTGCCAACTCTGTATTTTACATACTTATGGAATAAAACGGACCGAAAATCAAAATAAAGTGCAGCTAACATATTTTTTTTTCTCAAATATGTTTCCAACCCTGATTGATGTTTTAGCCTCTTCTGCGATTTGGATTCTTGCAACAAAAAGTCCCTTTCCGCCTCACATATTATAATAAATTGTTACTTACGAGTGGATATTGAAGAGTTCAAACTTAAACGTGATGGATTTAACGAAAATGACTTAGAAGGTCTAGGAGTATCTGGTTTTCTTAGATTTAAATCAAATCTAAATGATGACGAAGATGGTAATAATGATGGCCGTAAAAACATTGGACTGCTTGATTGATTTTCTGCTGAAAATCAAAATCAAAATGATCAAAATTCTAACACCCAATAATACTATTTGCTTTCGCTTAACCCAATGTAGCACATATTTAAAAGGATTAGTCTATTTATATACACCAGTAGCATAACTACCGTGGGTGCAGAGGGCGCATGATATTTTAGGACATTTTTGTACTGTTTACTATACATGTTAACGTGTAATATAGAGTGCAAAAAAATGTCTTGCTCCTGGGCTCTTTAGCCATTAGTTACGCTATATACACTTTGACCCAATTCTTCAATCTAATACTATTATTTGAATGTAATTAAAATTACATTGTTCTTATTTAACACACAGAAACTTAAACTTCTTTTATATTAGCTGTTATTTTGAAAAAAAGGATATTTTTTATTATTATACAGAACTAAATATTGAGCTTTTTATTAGAAAATCTTATACATTACTCAAGTATGTTTACATTGTTAGTATAAACGAAAATTTCCTTACCAGTCTTACTTTGATACCTAGGTATTGATGTGGAAGGTTTTGTTCTTTCGGGTGTTTCATGATCATTGGTATTGGTAAGAAGATTCTCTGAAAATATAATTTTTTTTATATTTATGATTATTATGTTATAAGGTAATAAAATATACATATAAATTACACAGCACTCTTCAAAAAATACATACTTCTAGACATTTCAAAATGAATTCATAATAATATTCTTTAATAAAATATATGTATTTATGTATTATAATTAACAAATATTAATTATGTCAAATAACAATTCCTGTCACCAGATTATGGAATTATAGTTTAAGGTATATTTCAATTTCAAAAAATTACTACAGTATTATTATTTAATACAAATGATTTAAAAAAGAAATTATTATCATACTAATGTGTTAAATAAAAAACTACATTTACATAAATAATCATATTGTAAATGTTTAATTTATTAAAAAATTTTGCTGTAAACATAAAACCTTAGAAACAACGTCTGTTGGTGTATTATGGAGCCTCTCTGTACATCCATATATTATTAAACTTCACATAGGTACAAGGGAAAAATTATAAGTAAAAATTTCTTAAACTAATTACCTTTAACTTTTACTTGTTCAGTCATTGTTAACTTGCGAATGATTTTTCCAAAAGGCAATGTTTTTTTGGTTAAAATACCTAACATATTAAACAGAAAATTAAAAATAAAAATATTACTAATATAAGCCATTAGGTATATTCATTTTTTATAAACACTAAAATACCATAAAATGCAAATTGTGTTAATTATGAAACAAAAACTTCAATATTAAAAAATTACATCTAAAGTAAATTGTTATTATAAAAGTTTTATCAACAAATGGAAGGCAACTTTCACAATTATTATTGTATGACAGCTGTGTATGATAGATATTTAAACAAATTATAAAATAAAATAATTCACCATTCACCTAATATAAATTTATTAATTCAGCATTAACGATACAATATGTATTCAATAGATATCATCCAATTAAATTAGTTACGATATTATATCGAAATTCAAAATATTAAAAAATAGGATTAAACAAATTTTACTTTGAAGTATCACTGGTATATTATGGTGTCAATGTAAAATGTAAATTGTAAAAAAAAAATAATAATTGCTGATCACTGGAGAGTGGAAACTAATCAAATAATCGGCATAGACAGTGTGACATCAAAAGAAAAACAATTTTGTAAAAAAAATTATTTTGTGAATTAAATTTTCAATGAAATTTTATTTCAAATATGATTGAACTAGTTTAACTATTTAACTAACATTTAAAATAAGAATTCATATAGTGTCGAAATTTAATAAAACATGACTTATTATATTTATTATTTTATAAATTATAGCTGATCTATTAGGATTTATGTTAGTTTTTATTCTTTGTTTTTGGCTGCACTGATTTTCGTTCCTTACTACAGAAACATTAAATTGCACCACTTGGGCAACATTAACAAATTCACTATTACCACAACAGCTCTTAAAATCATAGTACCATCATTTTCGCCAAGTCGCGCTGAACGTGTGGACTATACTCGTTGACGAATTATTAACAGCGTTTTTTCGAGAATATTCTACCATTTCCTGAATAACATACGAATTTGTATTTTACAGTCAAGCCGCAAGCGATTGATTTCCTGAATTAAATTAAAAAGGTAAATTACACATTATTAGTTTACTATTACTAGTTTTATTTTAGAAGCGTCAATAATCTATATCCGTTAGGTCTTCGAGTGTTAAAGGTAGAATCGTTCATATTGGCGAACCAATATTTTTTATCGTTATTTTTTCGCAATTGGTAAATAATTTAAATCTGTAATTCTTGTTGTTAATAGTACGTTATGTTATAAGTATTTACTAATATATTCTTGCACGGGGTTTAGAACCGGCTCATAAGGAGTAACCATGCGTTCTCCCCACCAATTCGGCAAAATTAATACATTTTATTAAGCGAAAATATGTATATATTTTATTCGTGTTACAAGATGCTGCAATTAATTATTCGTTCTATTATAATGTCCTGTAGACTATATCCTTGGGTTCCCATGTGATGATTATCACCCTAAATATTGAGGTTAGGTTTAAGTAATTTTATTTTCAAACCGCTTTTTGCTTGTTGTAATAGGTAGATACAAATTAAATTAATAGTTGGTACGATCAACTATTGTGCTACAGTTTCACTAAAATTTAAATCACGAGTTATCATTACTCCTGATATTATAACATTATATGTTACATAGGTTTCAAATATTTTAATAGTTTTAAAAATTAATGTTTCATCAATTTATTAACCCTTATGTGCATACTTATTTAACCTTTATATGAACAATGTGGTAGAGTGCCACAGCGTACACTTAAGGTTAAAAATTTTGTTACCAGAGAAGTTTTTTTATTTATTTGGAATCTGTGTACTATTTTTTGCTGAATATGAGTATCTGATTTGGAAAATTACATATCTATCTCTTTCTTTTCATTAGTCTTTCCTTGTTTTTTTTTTTTAATGGTTTTAAATTTAATAATATAAAAATGTATTAATACTATATCAGCCAGATACTAATTAAAAATATAACTGCTGGACTTATCAATTTAGGTTATGTTAATAAGAGTAGATCCAACAAATACTAATGTTTAAAGTACCTATTAAAAAAAATAAAAATTGATATAATTAAAAACAAATTATTATGTGGTTTTATGTGTTAATTTTCTTAAAATAAATTGTTATTTCTATTTAAGTAATCTAGATTCAGTAAAAAAATATTTTTTTTTTATTCTTAATGTGAGTTGCATTTAAAAAATAAATTTTTATATAATATTTCGATAGAAGTTTAATTTGTCTAACTCAATTATAAATCATTTGTATAAACGTCTTCTTAATAATTACAAAATAAGTTTTTATTTGTATATTATTTATTATAAGTCATTACTTATTAAAATAAAAACTGATGATAAAACATAATAATGTTGCAAAAACATCAGTGAATAATTAAAATAAAAAAGAAAGAATTTGCTTTATGGTGAACACACAAATTTGTATTTCTATAATTTGTTTACCAATTTTAAAAATATTACTGAAAAAAAAAATCATTTTGATGAAAGATATTTGAGTATCATACTTATCTAATTAAAATTGCCTGCTAATTTTATGTAACTTTTATATCCTTGTTTTATACGAGTATAATTGTATATTTCATTATTCATGTATTTAATTTTTTAGTTAAACATACTACTTTTACAATAGGTTATTGTTATTCAATAGTACAGCATTACATTTTCTTGATGGACTGTCTGCTTGCATTTCAATTTTTAACTTTATGGTTTATGGTTATCCTTGAATTAAAATTACTTTTTATCACATCTAGTTTTAATTAGATAAAATAGTTGGCTTTTTGAGTAGGAATTTTGTATATCTTATTATCATATTCAAGCGACCGACTTAGGACATTGGTACGTTTCAGATGAAATAAACACTTCGATCAAAATCATACATTCACGCATATCTGTTTGTTTTATATAACAAAATTGGTATAACGATGGAAGACAAAGGCCTAAGTTTTGCTGACCAATCCCTTGCTCTCAATTCTGCAGAAGATGCCAAAACTATAGTGACCGCAATTGAGAAATGTCCATGCTTGGTCTACTTCAACCTCCAGGGAAATACACTAGGAGTAGAAGCATCAAAAGAAATTGGTAGAGCTCTCGGTAAACACGGTTCCCATCTTAAACGTGCTCTATGGCAAGACATGTTCACTGGGCGCCTTAAATCTGAAATTCCTATTGTTTTAGAGCATTTATCAACTGGTTTATTAGCAGCTAATGTGCATTTATCTGAGCTCGATCTGAGTAATAATGCATTTGGGCCCATTGGAATGGAAGGTTTAGTTAAACTTCTAAATTCACCTGTATGCTATGAATTACAAACTTTGCGTTTAATGAATAATGGATTAGGTATTGGTGGTGCTAAAATGTTAGCAAAAGCATTGATAGACAATTACACAGCGAGTAGTGCAGCTGGTTCTCCTTTTAAACTTAAAGTACTTGTGGCAGGAAGAAATCGTCTTGAAAATGATGGTATCATTGCATTATCACGTTTTTTCAGTCTTGTAAAGACAATGGAAGAAATAACTATTCCTCAAAATGGGATTTATTGTAAAGGCATATTAGCACTTTCTAGTAGCTTATTAGATAACCCAAATTTAAAAGTGCTCGATGTTCAAGATAACTTACTCACTCCCCTTGGAGCTGAAGCATTAGCCAAAGTTCTACCTAAGCTAAAAAATCTAAAACGTCTAAATATTGCTGATTGTTTAATAAAGTCAAGAGGTGCCCTGGCAATAGCAGAAGCATTATATATTCATGAATCTCTAGAAGTTTTGGATGCTAGCTATAATGAAATCAATGGAGAAAGTGGTTTAAAACTGACTAACTCTGTGTGTAATAAAATTAGCTTGAAAGAATATAATGTAAATGGTAACAGATTTGGTGATGAAAATATTGAGGAAATATCAAATATGTTAAAAGTATCTGACAAAGATGAAACCCTTGGTTCTTTTAGTGGTGATGAAGGTGAATGCAGTTCTGATGAAGATGATGATAATGAAGAAGCCGAAGAAGAAGAAGAAGGAAGTATGTCTGATGAAGATACTTCTGTAACTGATAAGAATGAAATTGATAAAACAGCAGTTCTTATTAGTGGTATAAAAGTTGGAGATTTTAAAGTATCTGATAAGTCGTCTGAAATATCGGATATGAATGTATTTGTCGATCAAATTATGGATATTGCTGGAAAATATATAGATGACCAAGAAACTTTAAACAAATGTTTTGAGCTTTACAAGAAAGCATACTCAAATGCTACTAAGAACATGAAATTTCTTGAACTCACAAATATGTTGTTAGTTAAACATGGTTTGATTAAAAGTGAAGACAAGCACTACCAACTTAGAAAAGATGTTGGTAGATGTTTAGAAGTATTGAAACAAGCTGTTGAAAGTAAAACTGTTATTCCAGAACCATCTCAATGTGTTTTAAACTTTATGCTAAAGAAAAAGTACACCGTCTAAATATATTAATTGTTATTATAATTACACTTTCCATACAATAGTATGTCAATAATTGTGTATTGATTGCACAGTTAAAAAAAAAACTTACTACTAATATATATATATATTTTTTTTTTATTGTAAAAATTAAGAATTTATCAAATTTTATTAAGTTTTTTATGTAAATTTATGTTTCGACTTATTTACTATTATAAGACTCATTTTTCTTTCATACACAAGTTCTTAATAATTATTTAAGTTCATCCTAGCGAAATTTCTTGGTTCTCAAATTCTTTAAAGATTTACAAGTCTCTTCCCCTTACAAGAATCCTTGGGATAAGTTACCTCAAACATACCATCGTCCATGGCAGCAAATACGATTATCTGCATGTCTATTTTAATATTTACAAGCCAAATTAAACTATTTGGCAGTTAATTTCTTATAAAAAAAACTTTTTTTAATATTCATAAAGTGTGGTCTGGTAGACAAATGTAAAAATTACATCCTCTGCATGCTGTCTTATAATTGAACATTATTACATCATGCCTTTTAATTTTCCTAAGGTTTCATTGCCTTCATAGCTAGTTATTATATTTTTAAAGTGGTATTAAAAAAAAAAAAAAATTATATTTTCTATTATTTCTTACATTAACCTAACTCCCGTTCTATAACAGTTCAACAGTATCAAACTATACTGATGATACAATAAAAATATAATTAAAAGTTTCTAGCTATTTCAACTAAATTTTATATATATTTCCAATGGAATTAAAAGCAAGTTTGGTTTGAGTGAAATTGTTAACTATTTCTATGAAAAGAAAAATATGCCTTTAGAGGCATGGTCAGAGTTATTGTAAATATTGTCTTTTTATTAGTATCCATTTTGGAATAACAAGTTAAAATTGTTCTTCAATAGTTAATCGATTTGTGTAGTAGGCAATTTTGCTCCAATTCTTATTACTGAGTAAGATGTGATGCAATTTATACCTTCAAATTTCAGTTTTGTTACTTTTGGAAATGACTAAATTCACTGTAAATACACAGAGGATGATTAAAAAACTACCTTTGTTTAGGCCTAAAAGTGAGCATATAAGGTGAAAAAATAAATAAGAAAATATTGTAACTGGTTTAATGGGTACAAACATTTATGCTCATTATCATTACCATTGTATAAAAATATTTATTATATTATATAATATATATATTTATACTTTACACGCCATCTAAAATATACAATCTTAGAACTTGCCAATCAATGTTATACTGTGTTATTTTTATTGCAGATACGATAATCGAGTTTATTTTGATCTGCTATCAAATATGTTATATTAAACTACATAAAACAAAATTTTAACAGTAATGCTTAAAAAAAAATATATTTTTATATAAATGACCCATAACACACATTATGTTATATTTTAATTACATAATTAAATGTATGATTAAAAAATTGTTTATAGCACTTACGAAAATTTCAAATTTAAGTATAAAATATCTCTTACAATATTTAAGCAATTTTCAACATACAGTGTCATGAACATGGAACAAAACAAACACAATAATTATCCTAAATAATAAAGTTCCTTTAATAAAAAAAATGTTTGTATTAAACCAAATCTAAGTTAAGTGTTGTATATTTTATCGGTGTTCTATGGATTTTGTTAAACCATTTACATTCTATTTATGTATGTAGCTCTAGATATTTCAATAGGTTTATTGAGTATTACTTCCAAATAAGTTACTGTCTACTAACACGGAAAATATATAAAGTGTTAAATGTGCCAAATGGCAGTAAATGATGATACTGTTGGAATTACCGTTTGAAATAATTCATTGTTTATGATGAAAATCTCAACTGGCTGCTATATTTATCTGATATCTTTTAGCTTTTTGCTTTATTATAGTTAACATTATACTTTAAGTGCAATATCATTAAAATAAGTATTAAATCTGTGATGATACTGTTGGAATTACCGTTTGAAATAATTCATTATTTATGATGAAAATCTCAACTGGCTGCTATTACATCTGATATTATATACTTTTCTTTTTGATGCATTTAAAGTTGATTTTACTAGTAATATCTTAAATTTAAAAAACAAAAAGTTGTGTTCTCCATATTTGATACTTAATTTTTTTCTGGAATTTATTAATTTGTTATATAGGTAAAGCATTAGTTAGAAATCGTTATAAACTAAATGATGATACTGTTGGAATTACCGTTTGAAATAATTCATTATTTATGATGAAAATCTCAACTGGCTGCTATTACATCTGATATTATATACTTTTCTTTTTGATGCATTTAAAGTTGATTTTACTAGTAATATCTAAAATTTAAAAAACAAAAAGTTGTGTTCTCCATATTTGATACTTAATTTTTTTCTGGAATTTATTAATTTGTTATATAGGTAAAGCATTAGTTAGAAATCGTTATAAACTAAATGATGATACTGTTGGAATTACCGTTTGAAATAATTCATTATTTATGATGAAAATCTCAACTGGCTGCTATTACATCTGATATTATATACTTTTCTTTTTGATGCATTTAAAGTTGATTTTACTAGTAATATCTAAAATTTAAAAAACAAAAAGTTGTATTCTCCATATTTGATACTTAATTTTTTTCTGGAATTTATTAATTTGTTATATAGGTAAAGCATTAGTTAGAAATCGTTATAAACTAAATGATGATACTGTTGGAATTACCGTTTGAAATAATTCATTATTTATGATGAAAATCTCAACTGGCTGCTAAATTATCTGATTTTATATTTTGTGTTTGTTAATAGCTGTTATTTATCAACTTTTGTCGGTAACACTATTTATTGCTATTATAGAATTTTAAATATTTATATTTGTATTTTAATAGTATAGTTATTATACAAATTAGTCAATACTAATTTAGTAGTATGTATATTGAAACTTTTCTTTTATCTTAAGATCTCACAGAAATTTCTGTGTGCCAAGTTTATTATAATTAGTACTATTTATTTATTTATAGGTTTATTTATTTATATTACATATATTATGATACTAACGTAATAGTGTTATTGTTATTATTACTAAGCTTCATTTAATTCTTATTATTAATTGTTATTTTACAGGACTTAATCTACAGAAGTCTATATCTTCTTCACAATGTTGAGTGCTGCAAAGTATATAACTCAGCGGGCTGCTGAGCAGTCTTTTCTTATTAAGCCTGAATTCATTGCAAAATCGTCATGCCTCAGCCTGTTTCAATGTCGTTCTTCATCTTCTAAAGGTGTCCAAGGTCATGTCATTGGTATTGATCTTGGTACTACTAACTCATGTGTAGCTGTTATGGAAGGAAAAACGCCGAGAGTGATTGAAAACTCTGAAGGTTCCCGGACTACTCCATCAGTTGTGGCGTTCACCAAAGATGGTGAACGTTTAGTTGGCACCCCTGCCAAAAGGCAGGCTGTGACTAATACCCAAAATACATTTTATGCCACCAAACGACTCATAGGACGTCGGTATGAAGATCCAGAAATTAAAGAAGATATGAAAAATTTAACTTACAAAATTGTAAAAGCAACAAATGGTGATGCGTGGGTACAAGGTACTGATGGTAAAATGTATTCTCCCAGTCAAATTGGAGCGTTTGTATTAATGAAAATGAAAGAAACTGCAGATTCGTTTTTGGGAACAAATGTGAAAAATGCTGTTATCACTGTTCCTGCTTATTTCAATGATTCTCAAAGACAAGCGACCAAAGATGCTGGACAAATATCTGGACTTAATGTATTGCGTGTTATCAATGAGCCTACTGCTGCTGCTTTGGCATATGGCATGGAAAAGGACTCTGATAAACTGATTGCCGTTTATGATTTAGGTGGTGGTACTTTTGATGTTTCTATTTTAGAAATTCAAAAAGGTGTTTTTGAAGTTAAATCAACCAATGGAGACACGTTATTAGGCGGTGAAGATTTTGATAACTTGTTAGTTAATTATCTTGTATCTGAATTTAAAAAAGAACAAGGTGTGGATTTAAACTCGGATGTCATGGCTATGCAACGTGTTAAAGAAGCTGCTGAAAAAGCGAAAGTTGAATTGTCATCCTCTGTTCAGACAGATATCAATTTACCATATGTAACTGTTGATAGTTCAGGTCCAAAACATCTAAATATGAAATTAACTCGTGCTAAATTTGAATCATTAGTAGGAGATTTAATAAAAAGAACAGTAGGACCTTGTCAAAAAGCTGTGAAAGATGCAGCAATCAAAACATCTGACATTTCCGATGTATTATTAGTAGGAGGAATGACACGTATGCCAAAAGTTCAGGCTCTTGTACAGGAAATATTTGGTAAACAACCTAGTAAAGCAGTAAATCCAGATGAAGCAGTTGCTGTGGGTGCTGCGGTTCAAGGAGGAGTTCTCTCAGGATGTGTGACTGATGTATTATTACTCGACGTTACTCCGTTGTCCCTTGGTATTGAAACAATGGGTGGTGTCTTTACAAGTCTCATTTCACGAAACACTACAATTCCAACAAAAAAGAGTCAAGTTTTCTCAACAGCTGCTGATTCCCAGACACAAGTAGAAATTAAGGTATTCCAAGGAGAAAGAGCAATTGCTGCAGATAACAAACTTCTTGGTCAATTTTCTTTAGTTGGAATTCCACCAGCCCCAAGAGGTGTTCCACAGATAGAAGTTACATTCGATATTGATGCTAACGGTATTGTACATGTATCGGCACGTGACAAAGGAACTGGACGGGAACAACAAATATCTATTCAATCATCTGGTGGTTTGAGTAAAGACGAAATAGAAAACATGGTCAAAAATGCCGAACAGTATGCCCAGCAAGACAAAGTTAAAAGAGACCGTGTTGAAGCTTTAAATCAAGCTGATTCTATTGTTAATGATACTGAAAGTAAACTAGCAGAATACAAAGTGCATGTACCAGAAGAAGAGTCTACCAAAATAAATGAATTAATCAAAGAAGTAAGAGAAAAAATTGCACATGCACAGACGAATGCAGATAGTGATGCTGAAGAATTAAAAGCTAGTACTCAAAAACTTCAACAAGCTTCACTAAAATTATTTGAAGTAGCATACAAAAAGATGGCAGCTGAACGGGAACAAGGAAGTAGTAATGCTAGTCAAAGTCAGAGCGAAGATAATCAAACTGAACAGAAAGAAAAGGACAAAAAGGACAACAATTAGTAAAATCACAATTCCTCATAGTAGTAGTACCAATATTATGAACTTATTAATTTTTGTTTTTTATATGAGTTACAATGCATAGTATCTATGTAAATATTCTTTCTTTTTTTTTAATATTATTTATATGTATATAAACACGTTTATATTGGTTAGGAAAGTTATAAAATATAAAAAATAAATGTCTTATATATTTTTAATTATAAATGTTTAAACTGTAGTTGATTGATATCCTGTCTTTTCTTAATAGATTTTAATGTAATTTATGTCTGTAATATTATAAACATAAAGTATTAAGTTTTTATGCCATTTTTAAACTCCCTGAGTTTTTATATTTCATCATACTCTACCTATGCTAACGGTGTGTTTAATAATTATGTAGGCAACGCTAGTATTAATATGGATTTTTATTGTAGGCTGCAAAAAAAAAAAATACATTTTAAATGGTGTTCAAGAAACAAAATATTAGATGACATATTCAATTTAACACTTTATATGGAACAATAAAGTAGTATCGATAATAATCAATAGGTACAATAATAAAAAGTTGACATACAAAATTTATTATTTTTGTATCGTCGTCTTCCATCACAATTTTTAAAACATTACCTGCCAGAACTGTTCATTCTACAATTGATAACAAAAACAAAATAATGGGTAAGACGGGTTATGTTAAGTGTGTCTATATGAAAGTATTATTCATCTGGCTTTTTTTTTTTTAACTATTGAATATTTGTATGATATATATCATGTGTTATTTTATTATATACATATAATAGAATTTATGAAATAAAAAAATTTTCAAAAATTATACATAACACAAAAATAAAAGACTAATGTCTTTCTTATCAGTTTAAATGAAAAACAAAATTAGTGAGAATAATTATAGTTGCAGTAGGTACACCTTTATAATTTAGTTTATATTAAATTTAATTTTTCAAATTTGTTAAATTCTGATTTAGTTTTTTACAAGATAAATGTTGTATTTGTTTAATTTAACTTATATTAATAGGAAATATACACTATGAGTAATTTGGGGGAGAGCTTAGCTTAGTTACATCTATGTATGTATGAAATAACAAAGATAAGGTGTAGGTACCATAGCTTTTATTTTATTATTGTAACAAAAGTATAACAAATAACAATAATTTATTACTTTTAAACACAATACAATATTTTATTTTATGTAAAATATTTTGTTTTTATCTTAAAAATAAATACTGCATGACTTCTTGTACCTGTTTTCTGAAATCATTTTAAAGTACCTTAATAAATAAGTAGATTATCATATAACCTAATTTTTTTTACAAGATAGAAAAATTAATTAGTAGTTATATACAATACATAAACAATAAGTCTTAAAAAAAAGAAAAAAATCTTTATTTTTGAGAAATTGGTTGGACATTTTGAAGAAGTGAATAAAACGATAGGTAAAAAATTGAGATATTAAGGTGTATCAGCATAAAATAAAGCATGGGAGTTTTAGCCAAACAAATTAAAAAATAATTGTTTAATTAGAATACAGTAATAAAATGTTCTTGTTTAAAAGAGAACAAATTAATTAACATTCTTTTACCTTAGCTTTTAATAATAAATATTAAATGTTTTTTGTGAAATGGTCAGTCTTCAGGTTAGGTATAGCTTGGTGTCCTGGATCATATCCCAAATGTCTTAAACCATATCCTTTTAAAATTGATTCTAACTTATCTAAAAATATAAATAAGGTATTCAAACTAAATGTTTATTGGGAGATATTAGATTTTTCAAAAGATACTAACTCTAAATCCTTTTTTTTATAATTTTTTATGATCAAATTTTAGGTAAAAAAAATAGTATTTTTAAAATATTTTCAAACTTGTTTTAAATATAGTATAAAGGTATTGTCATGAAACTTTATGTTACATAAAAGTTATTTACAAAATACCTATGATTTAACTATGAGAAATATTTTTAAAACATTTATATAACATTTTTGAAACATTATATATCTTACCAAAACACCTTTATAACATGTATTTAAAATATGTTTGACGACATAATTTATTTGGAATAAATGGAAATTAGACAAAATAAATCTCTTACTATAATATTAGATAATATTTATACATATTAATGAAAGGAAAATATTAATTTTTATATTTTAAGACTACTTTATATCTACAAAAAAGCGAGAAGGTAAAGTAAGCCACCTAACAAGTAGGTAATTAGTTTCAAATAAAAATGAGACTTCAAGGTACCTGGAAAGTTTTTTGTCGCCTTATTTTCATTACTATATTGTTTTGCAATAGATCTTGTCTGAAATTCTAATACATTTGTTGATGAAATATTTACAGTCCACTTATATGGAAAATCGTCAATATCGTTCATCTTAAAATTTAAAACTGTAGAGTTAAAATAGTGTGGTGTATATGTCAATAAAGCTGACTCAACTCTTTCCTTTGATTTATTAGAATAAAATGGAAACCATCGGCTAAAATTCATAAACAGCAATCACAACCTTTACACTTATAAATTATAAGAGAAATTCTAAGTAAACGTTATTTTCAGACAGAATACCTTATAAATATTTGTACGTCGTGGATAGATACATACTCAGTGGGAGAATTTTTTATAGCTAAATATATAAGATGAAACCATTTGAAAGGAGGACAACCCTAAAAACATATTGTATTTATTAATGTTAATTGTATTGTTATTATTACATACTTACACGTGTTTGTATGTTTGAAGTATCAGTTGTAATATTTAATGTATCTGATTCATTTATTACATTATCACAAATCACGTTGTCAATATAAAAATATGAATTACTAATAATGGGCTCTTCAACATTTATATTGTTTTTCCCAAAAGAAGTAACATTAGGATTATATTGAAACTGTTTAGCTTTAATATGGACAAATGGTTTAGATCTAATTGCAGTAGGTAAAGTTTTATTTATTTTTGGACTGACAAACGTTATAGGTAAAGCTTGCTGAGGTGTTCTAAAATCTATATGTCTATTATTTCCATGGTCATTTTTCAGATAGTCTACATTATTTTTAAAACAAAATACTTTTTTAGCTTCTTTAAGTATTCTTTCTTTGTAATTCTCCTTTCTTGGTAGGGTTTTATAAAAATTATTTAGTGTTGATTGTTTTTTGGAAATCTCTGGTGCCTTAACATTAGTATTTGGTAAATAATAATAACTTATATTTTCTGTCATTAGAGATTTGTCTTTTGTTTTTTGCTCCTGTAAAAGAAAAATTCATTAGTATAAATAAAAACATTATTGTATTTGAGGTTGTTTAAGAAAATGTTTAAAATAGGGTCATAGTGACATCTTACATTCATAATAATTTCATATTTCTCTTGTTCCTTTTTTAAAAGATTGACTATCTGGCTTAAAGGGCTTTGCTCTGAAACATTGTCATAAACTGTAACATGGACATCTTCTTCACTAGAATAACCAGACATATTCAACCAATCAGGCAAAGAATCGCTATACTTATCATTTTCATGATTATTTATATTGATTAATGAGTTACAACTATTATTTAACATGTCTTGAGAAAATCTTTTTAGCCTTGGCAATAAATTTAATTTAGTTGACACTTTTTCTTCTGTGTTAAAGTAGTTGTGCTCTTGTATTACATAAGAACCATTTTTATTTCTTTTCATATTTTTATCGTCATCTAGTAAAGTTGATTTTCTTTTTCCCATAATTTTCTCAATATCTTTAGAAAGTCCATGAGATATACTGTTAAGTTCCTCTTCCATTACGTTCCAAGTAATTATTACTGAATTTCAACATATAGTCTTATTAAATGTATACTAGTAACATTTATATGCTTATTTAATAATTTATCAACTTAATTGAAGATTATTTTTAATCTGCTAAATAACATTAACTTCTGAAAAATAATTAGACAATTTTTTATTATTGCGAAATTAAATGTTTTTATAGTACACAATTATTTATAAAAAATTGAGGAATTTATATTAAAATAATAAGCATTGACACTTTCGTGAACTTTGTTATATTAAAGATTTTTAAATTCCAAAAATAGAGTACATATTACCAATAATATCTCGATATTGATTGGAATTTTTTTGTATAATATAAAAAAATACTTAATACCTAATAACTTGTAATTATTAATAATCACTATTTTATATATTATACTTCAAATAAGTCGCACCGTTGATTATATTATAATATAATTATATATTACAAAATTATAAAATCTTATATAAATATATAATAATATACCAATGGGTTGCCGTCTACGTATTTAAACCACTGAACTCTATATATATATATATATATATATATATATATATATATATAGAGTTCAGTGGTTTAAATACGTAGACGGCAACCCATTGGTATATTATTATATATTTATATAAGATTTATATATATATATATATATATATATAGAACGCGTATTGCTAATAGTCGGCTGCTAACTGCTTATAAAAATGTCAACTGATTGAAGGCTGCCATTTTGTGGACAGTTATTGTTTTGTCCATGTTATCATCACCTAACCTAACATTTTAATACGTATCATGGAAAAATGACGTAGCATTTTTACTTTCTATGAAATTAGTACACAAAATGACTGCTTCCTGGGTCTATCTGAATACGAGTTCCATATAATATATCATATTGAGTTCAGTGTTTTAAACGTATACTTAAAACTATGTCTGAACGCCATTTGAAGCTTGAGCAATGTTTCTATTATATTTCATTGTGATATAATCAGAGAATAAACCAGAAGGGAAACTTTAACAAAATGACATGGGTTGTTATTAGTCTCCGAAAGAGGTTAACTGCCATATTGTTTTCGCCGGAGTTAGATTATAACAGATATATAAGAAATGTATTATACTTATCTACGGAATGCGGACTATAATAGATGGACTATAGATAATTCCAGGAAAAATCATAATAATTGTAAGTAATCCGCAAACAAAATGTCTTGACACTTATCAGTCCTAGCCTAGATTTCCCTTCTGGTTATTCTGTGATATAATAATTATATTATACAATTATTATTTCCACGGTCAAAGGTTCCCAGTCACCCGTACAGTATTATTCTTTTAATGATATAACTCGGGTTATATCCTGGTAAAAAAAAAGGATGTTGGCATTAACAGTCATAACCTTAAAAACCGTTTACACGATGGCAGAAAATCGTCATAAATATATGCCACAACAGTACTATCTATAATTATACAGCTTGGCTAGATGGTGTGATATTATTGTCGCAGCTACTATCGAATGATTAACACGGCGACAGTTCCTACCGTGACATTAACAATCACCATTTACTGTCGACGTGTAAACGGGCCTTAAGTGGTTGTTATAATCTGGGAACCTATGACCATGAGAACTTATGACCGTATACCTATAATTAATATATTATATTATCTGTGATAAAAAATAATAATTGTGATAATTTATAAGCTTGAGAATTGACTTACTAGTATATTATGGCCGCCAAATAAGAAAAGCAAAAATTTAAAAACGGCTATTATAGGTTTATAATTATATACAATCTGTGAGCACACTATAAATCTCCCTGGACATCACATGGAAGATATTATATGATAATAATATATCTGATAACCTATGATAGTAGCTGATAGCAGCCTAATCTCTTAGTATAAAAAAGTATTGTTTAATGCTGTATTATAATTATTATCAACAACTGTGTAACATATTTCTTAGGAAATCAAAATTTAGTTTTTTTTTAAGTATACGTTGTATAATAAATTACATAAAAATTAAATTTAAGAGAGAAAATTATAGATGTTTATTACTAAATAATTATTAGTCTAAACATAAAAATGATGAGTCTAAGTGAATGATTATTAAAAAACTAAAAATTACCATCTGTTACCAGTGAACATGCCATTGCCATACCATTTTATATACTATTTTACCATTATACATACCATTTTAAATATGCAAAGTACAGCATTTAACAACACAATCACAATTAACAACACAACACATGCACCTTCTGACGTTAAACTGTAATGTTTCAGAACTTTCAGTAAAACAAATCGAGTGAAATAAATTCTTATCACTGTCAAAGAGTAAATAGTTACTTCTACCATGGTCGATAGTATAGATCAAACATAGATAAGAAAATTGATAACAAACTGTGTTAAACAGGTATAACAACTATACTTTCTTAAATAAACGTTAAGGGTATAACGAAATCACAATAATTACTTATTGAGTTTTCAATAAGTGATTGAACAACAAATAATAATTTTTAAAAACGGGAATTAAGTCTTACTCGATTTAAGTATGCGACTTACCCGTAACCAAATATAACTGATTAAATAGTAGGTCTAGCTGTTTCAATTGCTCTTGATTGACTACTGGTCAACACTGTAACTAAAATAACGTCTTTTTTTTATTCATAGCATCGATAAGTTTAAACTTTAGATCAATAACTAAATGTTTGTGCTTGTAACCTACCGATAAACGGAACGAAACATATAGCTATGCTTAAGCGTGTAAGCGGGTTGAATTTCTTACTAGGATCGAATGTTGTCATTTTATATTTATGTATGGTTATAATCATTAATCCAGTGGTAATAATTCATCTTTATTATACCAAAACATTAATGTCAAAGCTAAACTGTAATCAATAAAATGTAAAAACCTATACTCTATCGCATACAAGAGCGGTACTGCGCAAAATTCAAAACACGTCTCTCCTGGCTGCATAGGCGCATACAAGAGTAATGCGTTTCGGAATGAAGTATACAGCTTACCTTATATTATTTAAAATTATTATTTAATAATAAATAATAAATAATAAATAATAATAAATTAATTTCTACGACATATCTATAAATGTATAGATATTTTTTAAGTCGATGATAAAACTTATCAAAATCATAAACAAATATACCTACATATTATAATATCTGTAACAACTATGAATAATAAAATTATAAGTGTGTAAGTCGATTTCAGTAATTTTACAGGAGAACGATTTAAAACTTGAAAGAAACCATTTAAGTACCTCTAAAGTATTTATTAATATAAGAGGATCATAAAAAAATGTTTTAAATAAAATCCTAATTTATGGCAGCTGGTTAAAGTTTAAAACCGCTCCCCTGCATAATCACTGAAATCGCCTTACACACTTATTAACAATTGTTACAGATATTATGGTCCTCTATATAGGATTTATGTACAATTATACCAGTTTTTACAACAACTCCTAAACAACAGTCACAAGAGATGAACTTCTACAAAAAAAAACGCTTTGCATCGAAGCTAAAAATGAAGGGTGCTTAAGCACCGGAAATATTAAGACCTTCGCTCTGTACAACTTTACGTATGAGCATATAAACAATTAAAGAAAAATTAAAAAATATACAAGCGTACAAACAATTTTGGGGATGCTAAACACACCCTAGCTCCTCTCTCCAAATTGTGCTAATACTTTTATATTTGTGAAAGAAAAGAACATGATTAAGAAACATTACATCTAAAGGTTAGAAAATATAACATTTTATATATGTTTTAAATTATTTATATCGGAAGTATGGTTAAACATCGAAACTAATAAACTTATCTATACAGTATACTCTGTTCGCCGAAAGAATAATATGGTTGCGCAGAGACAAATACTAATTACTATCGTATACGCCTGCGCAGATAAGAGTAATGCGATTTTGTTGGTGCGCAACCATATTCTTTTGGCAAACGGAGTAAAGGTACTGTAGATTTATAAATTGATAGGACTATTAAGTGGGTTGGCACTAATAATATTGACCGACTATAAAAACATTAAAATAGGTGTATCGTATAGATGTGATTAGTAAACTAGCTAAAAATGTAAGAAAAATTAGTTTTGTGCTTTAAAAATATAAAAAGTTACATTTTTTATGTATATTGAAAAAATTAAAGTGTAAACATACAAAGATAGCTGACATTACTTTTAATGACTAAATATGATGTAGGTAATAAGTGCAATGCCGTATCGGGGGGAGGGGTCTATGGATTATGGGATTCGACTTCTTCCCCCTCAGGAATTTTTTCAATGTCTTGTCATGTTAAAACGTCATGGCTTTATTCTTTATTTTGGTCCTCTCCCGAAAAATAGGCAGAGAAAGATTAATTATATAGAATTTAGCTAAACCAATGGAAGAAAGGCAGTATAACAGATAGGTTTACAACGTAATATTTAAACTTTGGTTATGTCAAAAAGCTTAACTGCTGTGGTACTAAACTTTCCTGTAGTTTGAATTTAGAAACTAGTAGTAAATACAGTTGATTAATTCAAGTAAGTACTCGGATTTTGTTAAAGACAATATTATAAAAGGTTTTTTATATTCTTCGCAATTCGTTACATTTTCATTTCAACATTTTTTAATTTGATCTTTTGTTTAAATTAACTACGGTATTTTCAAATGTATCTTTATAGTAAATTAATTTAATAACATTAGCTTTTCCAGAACTCAGAAGTCCTCTAAGGAGAGACAAATATTCAAACCCATTAATAAGGTAAGTACTAGGTGGAATAATGATTTTTTTCAATCGACAGTCGTCAAGGCATACAGTTCTGCAGTGAAATATGTACCTACAATGTTAATATTAGGTATGAGTTTAATAAATCTAAATGTAATGTACAATTGCTTAAAAACATGTTATTAAGAATTCTGTCTATGAAGAAAAAAATCACCCTGTGCGATGAGCTAAAGAGGACAGCACTTCGTCATTTTAGGCGTACTAGATATTGCTTAAAATTTAAGCCTTTTTTTTTTTTGAGGTGGTATTGTATACCCGTAATTGTGGAAACATCTAGAAAACTATTGTTTTTGTATACATCTCCAATAGTTTAATTTGTATTAATTATTTAAAATTCACTTATTCGTTTTTAATTATTTTAACTTAACCGTTTTTAATTGTAATCTCTCTTACGTTTAATGTCTATTATTCCTGCCGATCGGAGCTTAGACGGTTTAGATTTGGCATTTGTGGACCTAACACTACCAGACAAGTTTGCCCCAGAGGTTTTTAATTGTAATAAAAACCTATATAGTTACCAAAAATAAAAAACGTCCATGTACATCGTATAGTTAATATTGTTTTTTAAGTATTATCAAAATTTGATAGGTTTATAGCTGACCATTAATTATGAGAAAAAACGTTGAAAATAACCTTGTTTCTCTTTATATACTCGCCTGTGGGGTTAAATTTAATATTAAGATTTTGGAAATAAATAAATATGAGGATCATATTAATATAATATGTATAATTATCTACATAATATTACGTACATCGTCTTCTCAAGATATTATGCCCATGTTGAATCATACGTGATCCCTTATTTATGTAAACAATAATAATGCACTAATTAATAATAAGTATTCCAATTACCCTTATAAAAATTTCACTAAATTTAAAAGACTTTTCTGTTTTTCTTATTCAGATTCAATCAATATTTATAGAATATGATATTGTTATAAATTATGAAAGCTAGAGATCTTTACTTAAAAAGTTATAGAACCTGCAACCTGTTAATTGTTAAATGCATGCGTCTATAGAGAGCCTGTATTCTAAAAAAGGGCAGTCAACCTCCTAAATCCTAATGTGCTTTGATTGGCCAGAGTATACATTGTATGTTACATGGGTTCCACTGCAATTTAAGATAATAATTATCGTGGTTGCGCCCCAAATAGTTTTTTTTACATTAATAGCTATTAGTTTTCGGTTATAGGTTCAGTTAATTGGAACGTCTTAAATGGCGACCTATGAAGCTGTAAGAAGACTGCCCACTTTTAGATTATAGGCTTTCTAGTCTAAATTAGTTTGGTTTTTGGTTTCGGCAAAGACAATGTAAAACTTTTACGTTTATCTAATCTGTGGTGTTGTTGTATAAACAATCAATAAAACCAGTGCATGATCCCTTGGTTGTGCCTAATGTTGGCTGCACTGGTTACGTGTGAATGCCAACAGCAATACTATCGATAGTTTGGTTGACCTCCCACCAATGGCAATCAATTTCCATTATGATTGCTCGAGTCCCGACAAAGACGGGGTACGGAGTACGGGCACAGGCACACAGCGCATTTAGGTTGATACTCGGTTCTATAGTATTGTACACTATAAATACAATTTTTGTGCGTTGTGTCAAGTCTTAAATTAAATTCGGTCTTTTTTACCTTTTTACATTTTACTAATTACACACCGTTCGTGTTCGTGCTTCGTGTAATGGATTTCTACAAATAAAGGTATACACATTTTGTCAGTATTTCTCGTGATATGCGAAATCTAATTTGACGGCCAATACAGCGTCACTGTATGACTAATGTTCACGGAAATACCGTGTTCGGCTTTGTTTTGTTGTTAATGTGTTTAATTCAATTGTTTTGAGTCTGTTGGCAGTCTCGTAGCATTTGATGGTGTTCCGATGTTGGGTAAAAAGTTTTTGGACGTGTTTTTTTCGCAAAATTCAGGTTAGGGGTTTTCAGAAGAACCCTTTTTTTATTAGTAGTTTGGATGCGGAGGTGGAAGGGTGGGGTTTAAAGATGAGTATGCCTTGCCCCTCCCCCGTTTTATGTCCGGGTTTTTTTCTTAATAAAGACAATTTTTTTTCGCGTTTGTCAACCATTGATCATTAGAGTAGTACCTAGAGTTTATTGATCTCTGTTGATCTTAACCTATAAGTAACCATGAAATAAGGTTACCTACTTACTGGTAATATTTAGCTAATATGTCCTAGTTTATTTTGATTATCATCTAGGTATTTAGGGTAATTTTTTGAAAATTTTTATTCTGACAAATATAACTTATAAAAACATTGACAACGAGTATAAGAACAAAATATATCATTTACCAACACATGCATTAGTTATCTTTAAAAAACATTACTATTTAGTACCTACATCTAGAAATAACTGAAGCACTTGTGGTATTTATAGTACCTACAATTTTTATACAAAAGTATTTTTTTTTTAAATAAGTTTTATAGTCTCACTAGGCATTTTAAAATTATAAAAATGTATAAATAAAAAAAGGAAGTAAAGAAAGGTCAATGAACTGTAAGTTTTGGTACTGGTGAATTATTTAAAAAACTCAAATTTAATAATTAGTATATTTTGTTTAGATATTCCATTACATACCTCTATTTTCAATGTACATTATCAGATTTTCAAGTAGATGTATATTTGTGTTGTATAGTTTCTGTAAGATCTGATTATAATAATATTTTAGCAATTTTAAGTTTTTACTTCCTAAAACTGTAAAATTATGAAGACAATTAGGATACCTCCTTGTTTGAAAGATAAAGTCAAATTATTATATGGAATAAATACACTTACCAAACACCCATTTCTTGAGATTTTTTTTAACATTGTAGTATTTTTTATGCTAATTACAAATCTGAAACAAAAAATTGGCGGTGTCCATTGTCTTAGGTAGTTAAAATTTGTAAATTTTTGCGTGTTTAATAATAGGCAGCGGCAACTGGTGGTTGCGGCAGAGTTTGCCTGCCGTCTATTGTTATACGTGGAAATTTGCAAATTTCAAGTTGCTCTAACTTTGAAACTAGATGAGTCCGGCAATTTTTTATTTCAGATTTTTAATTAGCTTAAAAAGTACTACAAGATGGTGTAAAAAGAATAACATAAAAAGGATGTCCGGTAATATGCATTTATGCCTTTTTTAAAAATTAATTTAATACTTATTTCTAAAGATATAATTAAAAATTAATTTCAACACTTTTCGTAGTTATATCCCTAATATTTGTTTATATTTTCAACTTTTAACCTTATTTTTATTTTTTGAAATAACTACTTATTACTACATTATTAAAAAAAAATTGTGAATAATTAGTCTCTAGAAAATAATGTAAATTTAGTTGCAATAAAAGAAATAATGTAAAATAAATTTTTCCAGTCTAGGAAAAAAATATATTTTAATTGAATGAATCAAGGTAAAATTCGTACAAATTATTCCAAACTTAAGAAAACTTTTTTTGCTAAACCTTAATAATTATATATAATGATACTTAGAATGTTTCCAAAATTTTACCATATCTTACTATGTTGGGAATTTCAAAATATATGGCGAATGATTATTCAAAATTAAAAAAATATTTATCAATTATTAAAACATTTTGATTATATAAACATAATTTGTTGATTTTTTCTTATCTATTTGTATTTTTGTGTTTCAGAAATTGCATGAAAGTTTAACTGTGATATTCAGCTGTTGAAGACTTATTATTATTATTTTTTAAATTATATTGTTCCAAAATTTACACCTATATTGGTGTCTTATTATAAATTAATTGGTCAGCTGTTCGACAAGAAGGAAGAAGAGTCATATTCGTCCCCGCAGGCGACACGTAAAGACACGACGGACGTCTACGCAGAACGCGGGGGTGCTTCTCGTGTCTTCGGAGGAAGGGACGACGCCCGTTCCGAATCCAATCAGCAACCGCGTTGGATACCTCCCTCGATAATCAGACGCGATGCACTCGCCCAAGAGGACGCTAACGATGCAGTGTTTCGCAAAGTTCGCGGAATACTTAATAAGCTTACGCCTGACAAATTCCAAAAACTGAGTGATGACATACTGCAAATTGGCTTAAATACTAGTGTTGTATTGAAAGGTGTCATATTTCTGATATTTGAAAAGGCTCTAGATGAACCTAAGTATAGTTCTATGTACGCACAGCTGTGCAAAAGGCTCAGTGATGAGGCATCAAATTTCTTAATTGATCAAGATCCAAACACTTTTCGTGAACTGCTATTGAAAAGGTGTAAAGTAGAGTTTGACAACCGCTCTAAGGCGACTGCAGAGTTTGAAAATGATAATGGGACACCACTTTCTCCGGAAGATGAAGAACGTCGACAGGTTTGTACATTTTTTTAGGTATTATCACATACAGTATTATTACATGATTATTCAAATACATAATTTTGATAGGTGGCGAAGCGCAAAATGTTGGGAAACATACGCTTCATCGGCGAACTTGGTAAATTGGAGATTGTGGCTGAACAAATATTGCACTTGTGCATTCAACAGTTATTCCCGCGCAAGTCCAATGTCAAGGACGCGGCGGAGGACCTCGAGTGCTTGTGTCAGATAATGAAGACATGTGGGCGCATATTGGACACTGAGAAAGCAAAACCACTGATGAATCAGTATTTTGATCGAATTGCTCAGTATGCTGAACATCCCGAATTGCCATTGAGAATTAAATTCATGTTGCTGGATACTATCCAACTACGTAAAGACAACTGGATACCCCGAAAAGCTACGACTACAGAAGGTCCTATGCTTATGGATCAGGTTAGTTTTAGTTAGTAATTATGAATTTTACATGTTCATCAAAACAATGTGACACAAAACAATTCTAAAAATCACATGTTAGGTAATTAAGTATCAATAAAATAAACATTACATGCTAGTGCACTTATATTTAATGAAAACAACTTAAATTTAATTCAATATATCTAAAATGTCTTTTATCTTTTGTAATATTTACAGCTTTTATTTTTTTTCCTTTTAAATTTTTTTAGGTCTGCTGATTTTCAACTATTTAAAAAAATGTTCACTCATAATAGTTATTCACTCTTTCGAACTACTGAATTTCTCCATTTAAGTGTACCAATAACTGTTTAAAAATGTACTATTTTTCGACATTTTTATTTTTTGATATAAATTAGCATCAGATATTTATTTTTAACTTATATTTAATCTCTAAATAAATTCTAACTCTTATGGCAAATTAGTACACTAAATAATATAAATTGATAACATTTATGTATTTTTGGTTATAGGTAACTGATATTGTTAGTGGAGAATCTAATGGGCAAAACCAAAGGAATATTCAAATGCAAAACGTTAACCAGTCAAAAGAGATGTTCAGAAGGTCATTGAAGATACGAGATGATATGATAAGTTCTACTCCGGTATTGCCTTTTAACTCGACAATGCCGGATAAATTCAACTCAATAAATGGTTTTACCAATTCATCAAATAACTATTATAATGTGAATGGACGAAAAAATCCAGGACTTTTAAATCTAAACTCTGGTAACAACTATTATTCACCAGCTAGAGTGAATTACACAATTAACACACAACAAACAAATAATACTAATAATAATATGAACAACAACAACATGAAAGATCTGGGTCCAAATATTAAAAAACTTCTACGTGCGCAACAAGGTACTAAACCAGAAGATGTTTCATTACGTCCAGCTGCCAACAGCATGCTATGTAAACCGATTCAAATTAAACCTCCTCCGATATCAATGACTCATATGGGTCAAACAAATCCAATTAAGCCTATTACAGAAGTTCAGCAGCTACAGTTTAAACAATCTGGCCATGAAAAACATAAGCATCTAAAGAAAGATAAAGGCGTTTCTAAAGAAGAGGCTATAAAAAAAAGCTTAGATATTTTAGACAAACTTGGTACTGATCCTTCTATGGATGCTGTTAAAGCAGCTAAAGCATATGCTGATATAAAAATACCTGAGCGGTATTTGGCAGATGTTATGTATGTCCTTCTTTTTGATCGACTTCGTAAACGAGTCGATCTTGATGAAGAATTGCTTTTCCGTTTTATACAAGAAACCAAGAAACAAAATGCTGTTTCTAATGTTATCGCTATAGATTGTCTCAAAAAATTTATAATGAAAGGCCCGGAATATGAATCTGATGATGACAAAACATTATATAAGCGTTTTGCCAAATATGCAGCAGAAATCTGTCAAAGTTCAACTACATCTCTTAGTGAACTGGCAGAGGCTGTAGAAAATGGAAAAAGATACCCGGCGTTCTTGATGTTATTACAAGAATTAAGTGGAAGTATTGGGAAACCTGAACTCTTATTGGTATTTAAAGAGAGCAAAGTAAATTTGATAAATATATTACCAGAACCATTGAGAACGAAAGAACAGTTGGCTGAAATATTACAAGAGCGGAACTTAACTTTCTTGTTTCCATTATTACGTATACAATCAGATTTATGGAAGCAAATTACTAGTGACCCAAATCCCACTCAGTTTTACAAATGGATTAAAGAGAACTTGGATCCAATTCACTACACTGATCCTGGCTTTATTACTGCGTTGACTACTGTTCTGGTGAAATTTATAACACAAGAGACCAATAGTGCAGAAACGTCTGCTCCCAAGACTGATCTTGAAAAAGAAAAGAGTCTTTTAGAAAAATTCAAACCGATTATGAGAACATTTTTTGATGAACGTATTGATTTACAAATGAATGCCATTTATGCTTTACAGACCTATTTTTTTTCACTTGATTTCCCTAAAGGTTTATTGTTAAGATGGTTCAATTTAATGTATGAACTGGAAATAGTAGAAGAAGAAGCATTTTTAAAGTGGCGTGAAGATGTTACGGATGTATATCCAGGTAAAGGAAAAGCTTTATTCCAAGTGAACACGTGGCTCACTTGGTTGGCTGAAGCAGAGTCTGAAGACGAAGAAGATGATGACGATTGAATATTTAGTTGAATTAATGAAGTGCTATCATTTTTTTCTGGTTTTTGGTACTCTTGTAGCTTTAATTATTTTTTTTTTAATATAATATTTTACTTCCTCCTGTGAATGCCTTATTTATAAGGCATTTATGTAACTCCTTGTACTACCACCAACTCTTGTTAACAGTAAAATTATAAATAATATGACACTAAAAATTACCATGAAAAATTGACGACATTATAAATTGTAAACAAAAACTAATTTTCCTAAATTTTGTGTTATACTCTAGATTATACCTCTTTTTGGTTAATTTTTTATCAACATTTTTTCGTTTATCAGTTCCCTAATATCTATATGATTTATGTTACAACATTTAAAGTTTCTATCAATAAATGTGTGCTAGAAGTATACTGTACCATTGCTGACTAGTATGTTATAAGTGTTATTTTAAATTTTGTAGTTAACCTAACAACTAATAGTGTTGTAAAGTGTAGATAAACATAAAAAAGAATAAATTCTAATTGATCAGTATAACTTATTTCTTAGGAATGTAGTTAATAGTTCATTGGATTGATACAAACAAATATATAAAACTTAAAATTTCTGTTCAATATTTTTAAATGCTCATTACTCAGATATATTTATATTACAGAAATACTATTGTATAGCATTAAAATAAATTGACAATAAGAGGTCATATAAATTGTTAAAGAATAGATCACTTTTGAAATTTGCATAAAATATAAACTAAAACACTCGGGTAGATACTGTGGGAAAAAAGTGACCTAATTTGATTACTAACAATTAATTTTAAATAATTGGTATTATTTTTAATTTAAATCATTTTGTCTACGAGTAAAAGACATTTGAGTTAATATAATAGTACATTTTTTATCCATCGCATAGGCTGAACCAGTATCTGATAAGTAATCTGAAAATAGATTTGAATTTTTCATGAAGTTTACTTGAGATCAGTTTGCATACTTTTTTGGTATCTTATTCCTACTAGGTACGCATAAAACAAGTTTGAACGTTTTATACAATTTCAAATTGTAAAAAAAAATTTGGAAAGTTAAAATTAATTTTTTAAAAATATTCTGACCGATCTCAAGTAAACTTCATGACGAATTCATATTTGTTTTTAGATTGATTATCGCATCAATGGTTTGGCCTGTGCGATGGACAAAAAATTATGTGTTTTGGCTGAAAAAAAAGGTCGGTATCCAGGTACCGGAATGAATATTAGTAATTCATTTAGCTTTTGGACCATAAAATAATAATAGTATGCAGTAAGATAACAATTTGTAAAGCTAACCATAAAAAAGTTCAATTTTCATCTCTAACTATGTATTTTCCTAAAATAAATTCAGTTATAATATAATATGCTTTGTTCTATAATGAATCATGCATCAAACTATATTTTGTAAAAAAAATGGTCAGCGACTAAAATGTTTTTTATCTTTGTCACACGTGTTTCAGCTTTTTTTTTTATATGAGTTGTGGTTTTTTTTTAACATAGTCTATATGAAATTTAATTGAAGGCCCACTGGACTACAAAATCTTGATATGATTACTTAAAAATAAATTAGTGTCATTTACTACGAATCAATAAAATGAGGGTTTAAAAAAAATTGAAGTTAAGTGCACTTTTTTTTAAAGAATGGAATATCGACCAACTAATGTAAATTCCGGAATTTACTATTTATAAAATAAAAGTACCTGGTGACTTAAAAAGTATATTAAGCATCAGAAATGATAATTCAGGGGTAGGTTTGTTTATTTTAATAGATCGGGCCGTTCAAATAATAAATTGTTACTGAAGTACTGCATATTGTGTACTAACTGCAACTCTACATTGTTATTTGTTGTTAAAATTATATTCATATTTTATGGTAAGAAATTGATAAAGGATTTTAAATTATTGAAGGAGGATGAGAGGGTTAGGTTAAAATATTATATCGAATTATACTAGCCTAGAGAATTTAGATAATTATTTTAGTGTCGAACAAACGCAGAGGGAATCGACATTAAAATCACACAATTTTTCTTACACGATGTTCATATTTTGTCAATAAAGATATTGATAAGAACTAAGATGTAAAAACACGATCTTATCAGTTATCAATGAACAAAGTAATACATTTTACCAAATACTATTGTATTTATAGTATTTGATTATACCTATTACCTAATGCCGAAAGTTGAAACCCTGAAACGCTTTGAGGTTTTAATTAAGAGTTTAAAGTTGTTATAATTCACTTAAGACGTAGATTTTTGGCAACATTTTGTACTAATTTGAAATACAATTAGTTAACGTCGTTTAAAATGAATTTACAACTAGTTACTAAAATTTTAAGGTGAGTTTTTTCATTATTTTAATATACCTACTTTTAAAAGTGAAAATGTTTAGCCTAATTACCTAAGGCTAAATTACTAAACTTTCGTATGTGTCTTGCATACTAGATATAAAAATCAATAGTGTTTGGAATTTTATTTACATTACAATTTTTTTTTTAAAATTGATGTAATATTTTGATTTGAAAATATATAAATATTGTAGAACAAACCATCGTTAAAGAAACTACACTAGTTTTTAGTTAATCAAGAATTATTGTCAATCCCTAACTTGGTGAGAGGCTAGCCAAGTAATATGTAGAATAGGGACTTATTAAAACAGAAATAATATGATCTACTTCAAAATATTATTAACTTCTAACATTTAACACACATGCCTGAAAATTCTTTGACATAAGAAACATTAACAATCTTATTTAATTTAGTAACTAATTGTTTTTTTTTAAGTAAAAATCTGTAAAGACAAGATGTTCCTGTTCAGTGCTGCCGCTATTGTTGTTAGTCTCCAAATGGGTGTTCATTCGAACATTTTACTCATTCTCATAACCTCCACAAACCTCATTGTAACAAGCTAATAACCACTGAATATGTCGAAGTGGTAAAAAATGAACCTCCTGTCTTAATTAAAATATCACCACAAAAGTTTAAACAGTTTATATTGACAATTATAGAGAAACATTTGTATTCCATAAGGCCGCTTGTACACACAATGATATTGGATGTTAGTCAGGTGCATTGCATAAGCATTAATTTTAATAAACTTGTTGCACACGAACCCTGATTTGATAAAAATATTGTACCAACTATCCAATATTGGTGTATTAGTCAACCGATGGTCGGATTGGTGCATTCATATAATAACATTATCGGGCATCGACATCGTCATGTGTGCATGTGGCCTAAACGCTATCAACAGACAGAAATCGCACAGGCAAACACACACACGGACAGAATGCCAAGTTTTTCTATTTTCTAAAAGGATACATATAGTCTTACTCCCATATCGACATTAAAAAGAAAATGTTTCGGGGAACCATAAAGCTTCTCTTTGAGAAAGCAAAAAAACTATTGCCTTATTATTAGACTAATATATTTTGTGATCTAGATAATTATACTGGACAACAATTTTTTTCTTTTTATTTGTTGCTATAGAATTGACCTAGTAGACCTTGGAATTTAGAATATTGTAGGACATAATTGGTGTACTTTTTAAAAAAAAGTTTTACAAGTTTATTTTATATTGGCTCTAGTTTTAAAGATACAGCACACTACAATTACCATAAATAATGATTTAATATAGGCCTTCTGTCAAAATTCTGAGTTACTAATAAAATTACTATTTTGTGTTGATATAATATCAACAAAAATGTAAGTGCTATTAACACCAATAATAATAATATAATGCTTGATACATTATTTTCTATAAGTCAATAGTAAGAAATACTAACTCGTACACTGATTAGTCTTTAACACACGAGAAATTGGTGTTTTCACACATTTTGGTGTTTTTATCTACAAGAATTATTGCTAGGACAGTCCTTTTGAAAGTTTTACCAGTTTTTAGTACAAATTATTACAAATATTGACATAATAGCTTATTAATATATTTCTTTTTTTTACAACCGTTAGGTCAGTTTGACAACACTTGAATAAACAAATAAGAGTTATTATCCTAGGGGTATATGATGGTGCAGTGGTTTCTTGTTTTATTTCTGCACATAAATTATGTTATGTAAATATCTTTTAAAATAGAATTACTGGATGAAAATAATGTAATTTTGTAAAACCAATATATTATGCTAGTTAATAACTCTTCAGATAACTAAATTTATGTTTGCCTGTTTTTTTGGGGAGATAGTAACGATTATATTTCACCTGATTTCTCGCCTTAAAACTACTTACTCAGCACCTCATACGGTAGGTAGCGACAACAGACGCACACATAGGCTAATGTACTTACTACTTGTCTAGCCTAGCAGGATCGTTACACTATAAAACAATCCTTTGAATATTAACAGAGATTTGTATGGACCCCCTTTTAGCGATTTGTAATAGTTATTTTTGTATATTAGGTTTAATATTATTAGATTTGCCGACTATTTTTTTTTATAATTTCTATTTAACAAAATACAAGTTTTATTCAGTGTATGTAATTCTATTTAATTATTTTTTAGAATTAATCGTCCATTCAGTAGTAATTCAGCTTCCATAACAAAAATTCATAGAAAAATATATCCACAGCACTACTTGACCAAAATTGTTAAACCCGATGGTTCCAGTTTCACTGTACGATATCATGAACCACGAATGATTATTAAAGTGAGTATACCTATAAATTTTACAATATACAAATAAGCAGTGTAAATACTCTTTAACAGCTATATTTGTATGTTAATTTTCTACCATCAGATTTTGTGCAGAGCTCAGTTTATGTGTACATTTTTAATCAATGGATTATTCTTTGACAACTCCAAGTCTTTGTATAACTCCTTGTACTATCTTCTGTTAATGTTTTCAGTTACCACTAGATTTAAATTTAATCAGTGAAGAGGAAAAAAAGCGAAGAATTGAGGCCAGACGACCAAAGAAGAAAGTAAAAATCGTTGAAGAACTGAATGATTCATTTGATAGATCTAAATATTTAAAATATTTTAAAAAATAAGAATATGTTATTTTTTAACCTTAAATCAGTATATTTGTATGTAGAATGAAAAAATAAAAATAAAGTACCACGTAAACTTTTTTTTAATGACAAGTTATTTGATAGAATTGACACATCGGACAGATGAAAATATTTAGCAAAAACAAGTACAAATATAGAAGTAAATATATATAATCATAAGTTATAAAATAAAAAAAAATAATTTATTATAAACAATATAAATGCAATTTGTACTATGGTACACATCTGGCCGACAGTCACAAACGAACTCATATTTACAAAATAATTTATCCGACACTGATTAAACTACTATAATAATAATCCTATTTACTTAATATATACTTATAAAATTGAATTATCTAAAATGCTATACTACTGAACATTTGTATATGTCTTACATATTACAAATCAGTTGCATTTGGTTAACTGAATTTTAAATTTACAAAAAAAAAATTGTTTTTAAAATGTAGAAAAATGTTGATAGAAAAACACATCATATATATATATTAAACACAATATATATTTATAGATACTGGCGGTAGTTTTTATTTTACTAAAACAAGGGAAACACAACACTACCTATTGGTAAATGATATCTTTAATTATTGTTAATACATAAATATCTTTAACAACTTAGTCTGCAAAAACCACCGTATTTTTTCACAATACTAATTGAGGGTAGTCACAATATCAAAATACAGAAAAATATAACCCCCCTTCTTTACAGTTCCTTATATCTTTGCATACTTAGAATTAAAATAATTGAAATTATGCAAGAAAATGAATAGAAGCTTGACCAATAATTGTGAATAATATTGATTTAAAGATAATCAAATTCTTCAAATAATTTTGATTTTAAACAGTCGTTAGAAATTGTTTACATAAAAAAAAAACGTTTCTTAAATAAAATGGATGGACTGAATCGTTAATTTATAATTTAACTATCATTAAAATGTTTTATATTATGTTTTATACAATATATATTGTATAAAAGATATTATAGAATATTTTGATAAAGTTATCTCTTAATATTTTTAAACATAGGAAGTAAAAAATCTTAAGTTTTGTTTCTTATCGTGTAGACATAATATTTCTCTATTGTACAAACTACATTTAATAAATATATAATTTAAAGAAACATTAGTTTTATTTTTAAGATTCATAAATCCAAATAATAGTAAATATAAGCACTTGTTTCAAGAAATATGTAATATTTTGTTAAAACAAGAGCTCATAAATACAAGTGGATAATTTTAAAACACTAGAATAATGTTTCTTTATTGATAAGAAAATACAATATTTTTTTTATCTACGATGAGAATATTAAGACTTTTTTACTTCTTATACTAAAAATGTTTCAAACAGTTATTTTTTACATTTTCTTTTTTTTTTTATACAATTTTTACTTAATAAGCATTAAATTTAGTAGTATGGTAAGGTAAAATGCAGATTCATTGTGTTAAAATAAGTTAATTATCTTTCAACCTTTATTATACAATACATAGTTTAATCTTAAAATCATGAGTTTAATAATTTATCAGTTATGACATATCCTATTCTCACGTATATTTCGCTATGATACAACCATTGTAACTTTAAAGTTTTTGAATACTAAATAATAGTATAAAAACATCAAGTATTAGTATCACAAACCCATGTTCATTACATGTAATCAGTGAATGCCTGTTGTATATTATTATAATATACACAAGCTGAGTTGCCCACATCTTATATATTTCTCAATATTGATATAGGCCTACTTATAAATTTACGTTTAGGACTCGGTATGCTCGGCGTTACATTTTTGGTCAACACATAGCTTCCTTTGAACACTGGTTGCTGATAAGGTCGTTTATTACTGATCACAGTCTTATTCTGGGATTGAACGACATACGTCATAGGCAAATCTTGAACGGAAATCAAATCATCAAAATTTGTTTTGTATTCTGATGCTTCAATACCAAAGCTGCCATCATTTGAACTCTCTTCAATTTCTTCTTCTTCTTCAATCTAAATTACAAAATAATATATTAATAACGAATTCAAATAATTATATTTAAATAGTAAGCATCAATGGTACATACATCATTGCCGATATCATTTAAATTGGCCAAGTCATCCAAGCCAAAAGTTATCAATTGATATGGAGAATCATCTTTATCATTCCTTGAATCACCATCTGATTCTTCTTCTATATCGCTATCAACAATCCTGTCTTCTTCTTCAGATGTTGTCATTTCCTGATTGATGATTTCCTCTTCTTCCTCATCATCTAGATAGTAACTATCTCGTCGATCATAGCTGTCATTCATTTCACCACGTTCAAGTGCATCCAAATGTTCTATTTAAAGCAATGAAATCAAATTGAAAACTAATATTCTAGACCAATTAGTAGTCAATAAATTACCTGGATTGAGCATTGCACGTTTTATAGCCGATGGATCTTTGCGAGACCATTTTTGCATTTCATCATCCATTTTAGCGATCTTGCTAGGATTCATTGTCCATAGACAACCTTTCCTAGGCGCACCTGTACTTCCTATTGGTTTTTCAATCTTCTCAAAACACTTATTTAAACTAAGATTGTGACGGACAGAATTTTTCCATCCGCTACTGGCAGTCTTAAAATATGGAAAATGTTTGCTAAAATAAAGAAAATCAAAATTATTAATTCAACAAAAAAATATGACCAATAATTTTCAATTTTACTCACCACATAAAGTTATAAATTTCTGAAACCGGTAAGGAACCAGTACTTGAGTTTTTTAATGCCATGGCAATTAAACACGAGTAGGAATATGTGGGTCTTGGGTATAAACCCAAATGATCATTACCCTTAGAACCATTGATTCTAGATTGAATTGGTTTTATTTGCTGCTTAGGTCTAACTATCTTATAATGCCCAGCAATACTATTATTAACAAATGAAACAGGAACCGTCCTTGATGTCACAGTTGTTTTTACACTAGGCACTGATGAAGGCATCGTCACTCGGACAGTCATCATCTCAGTTTTTTGTTGGCTATTACTAGAGGTTTGACTAAGGAGATCGGATAACCGGATAGCTTTTTGAATAGGTTTCAGTTCTTCAACTTTTGTAACTTCTATAGGCTTTTTTTCTATTTTCCTAGGTTCTTCGATCGGTTCAGATTTAATGATGATTTCCTGAGGCTCTAAAACAGTCTCTTCTTTTTTAATTGTAATTAAAGCAGGAATTTCTTTGGGTGGACTTAATTCTATGATAGGTTCTTCTTTAATTTTCTTTTCAGCTGCCTCAGCGGATGATGGAATTACTGAATTAGGGTTGACCATAATTGCAGACTCAATATCTCCTCCAATGAAGTCCAAATGATGATTAGAATTTGAGTTAAGCCAAAGACCAGAATTAAGTGGATCCATCATAGACATCATATTGTCGTCATTTAAAGATAGAGAATCATCATAGTTAAAACTACTATTGGAAAGCACTCGATCATAATCGCTTTTCATGTCAAAGTCTATACAATCTTGATAGAATGTAAGACTGTCTAACATACCAAGATCCATGTTGAAAGTTTAGAAAATACCTGAAAAATAAAAACACATAAAACTCGATTAAAATAAAGTTAAAGCATAAAAAAAATACTATTATTAAATTATGTAAATAGTGCTTTTAAATAATTTTGACAGTTACAGAAATTAGTTCAAAATTAATTCACAAGATGGCGCTAGTAAACTTAGAATGAAATAAAAATCAATGGCTCCCCCGTATTATAAAATAATTTTTTTTTTTAAATAATATGATTGCTCATAGATGTTTAATAATTTAATAAGAACAAAATTATTAAAACTGAGAAAATGCAACAAATAAATTGTTAACAATAAAAATCCACAAATTCCCCCAAAAAAAAAATAGATTTTGTGATTAAAATCAGTTGGCGGTTAATAGAATAGTGTAATCTACATTTCTTAGTACTTTGATTTCCCGAATTATTTATACTTGATAATTGTTACTAAAAATAAACGGGATTATAAACGGGCAATGGGTTTTTATGAATGCCCGATTGCAGTATAACTGAATGGAGAAGGCCGAATGACGCGCGATTACTATGAGCCATCGACTGAGGACCAATATAATATTACTACTAATATTGTGATAGTCTCTTACAAATTAAGACATGTATTTTCAATAATACCCAAGTCGAAGAGATAATTGAGCGTTTATCAATAAACTCTTATCGAAACATTCTACTATGTATTGTTAAAATACAATCACGATAAACGTAAATTACATCTATATATTTTATTATTACACTACAATGGTGATGATAATTTACCACGGGACGTTTGCCATACTACAAAGGCGACATGACTGACCTACAACTACCTTTTGAATTTAAATTATTTTATTGTAACTATCATTTTTTTTGCAATTAAAATCTTTAATTAAGCATTTATTAGTTATGCTAGCCTTTATGTTTAGCCAACCATGACGCAATGTTTACTATCAACAGGTTCTAGTTGCTAAGGAAAATTCCTATTGAAAACAACACGTTGAACATATCGCGGTTTGTAAACACACAATTAGATATTCAAATTCTCATGAGGAATGAAACCCAATTGTACCTAACCTGTCAAAATTCCGTTAATTGACCAATATTAAAAATCTTATTCATTTGTTCCAATTGAGCTGGAGACTACTTGGAATTAGTTGAAGCGATCTATTTCAAAGGAATCTGATATAGCAAAGGAACATTTAATGATTTTAGATACTTTACTAAAAGTATTTAAACTGTTTACAGTCAAGATGAACAGCTTTCGAACGGCGAGCTAATGGTGACCTCTCGTCACACGTGTTTTTCTTTTGTTTCGGTTGCTCATGATAATGGTAATTGTTGTTATTTTATTACAGAGCACAGAAACATTCGGAACGGAGGGAGGCGAGAGCAAAATATACCGTGTTTTACACACACACACACAACATACCTACCAACACAATATTATACAATATACCAAAGCACTGAATATGACGGGGGTAGTCATGGCAACGGGTCGGCTATACGCGATCCATTATGGCGGGACCCCGGGTTGACCTTGTATTCTTTTATCTACCGGCGGCTGCCACCCGGCAACCGGCGGCGGCGGGCTCGGGCCGTTCAGCGGGAAAGCGGCCGCTGTCGCCGGTAACGAATCACGCCGCGAAAACCTTATCGGACGGCCGGCGGCAAAAAAAAAATGCGGGAAATTATATTTTCACTTACCTCTAGCAATTTGATTTTTGAAGATTTTTCCACCGTAGTAATGTATGCCGTCTCCCGCGCACGCGCTCTCTCTTCTATGGTTAGCCGGCCGCACACAATCAACGCCGTGCACACAGCGCGCGAAACACAAAATATAACACACCGAATACTTACACAGAACTATTCTACGCGGCTGTGTTGGCCTGATATGGTATTGCAATTTCGTACATCGGTCGTAAATTCGGTAGGCACGCGTAGTTTTAAGTGTGTAACGACACAGTGTACGCTTAAAAAAAAAAAAAAAACTAACGACAATTTGGCGCGCTAGGTGTGGAACCGGGAACGACGACCATTAGTGTGCGCGGCTCAAACAGCACCGGCTTATGGTGAGGGGCGGGGCGCGACGCGCAGGGGGAATTCGATGCGTAAATACGTTAGCCGGCCGGACAAAGAAAAATCCTAGTACCACGGCCCGCCGACCAATCGCAGCGCTTCCCGCGACCGCCGCCCACGGCCACTCCACAACCGTGTTCCATTCATCGCCCCCGGCCACCGGTTGGCGGCACTGTACCGGCTCGGCGGCGACCGCAGAAACTAGAAAGTGGTCGATAATAATATAATATTGTAGCAGACAGCACTCAGCAGTTTGCTGACAAAAATGTTGTTTACTCTGAAAAATCTAGGTTCACCCTTGTGGCGTAAAACAAAAATGTATTCCGTAATTGTAATGTTTATATTTCTTTGTCAACTATTCATTTAACATTTTACAAAAACGTCTGTTGTTAAATACACATTACAGATTTGTTATACAGTTATATTTAATAGTGCTATTAAAGTTTTAAATGATCCTAAAATATGGTTCTATATTCACGATATTCTCGCCAGTTGCTATTTATCAACTTAACAATGTTGCCCCTAATTCTGATTTTGATATTTAACACCTATTTTTGGTAGAAAGTATATTTAAAAATCTAATTTTGAAATAATTAAGTTTTACAAATTTTGTAAATATAATACCGTAGAATAATTTTATGTATTATACAAGAAAAAGGAATACACTATATTTTGAATAATTATAATAATTAACATGTAAAAGCAGAAACATTTACAAATTATCGTCTTGACTTGATTTTCGACTGGTTTTCAAATGTTGCGTTGAGCAACCTTGCCGAAGTCGCTGGAGCTTGTCGAACGTGTATAATAAATAATAATTAATACCTTATTCAGTACAATAATATAGTATAGCAAGATTGTATGTTGGAAGTACTAGGAATTTCGATTGATCAGTGTCGCCAACGTTTTATTTCGACGATTCAGTGAACGAAACATAATATGAAATGTGTATTATTATTATTTATTGGACACTGTACAGCACAGTGAACTTAATCGGTATATAATAATTTAAAAATTAAAAGTATTAAATATCGTTTTTATATAATGTTAAGATATAGTGAGAAATATTCGTAAACCGTATTACAAACACTTACATCTTAACAGAAAACAGATTTTCAGTACGCTTTCCTTATCATATCACGGAACATCCCGTATTGGATCAATGAGTATTTTTCGTTGTCGATAGATCATGGCCCATAGGCGATGATAAAATATACTTCCGTTTTGAAACGTGCGTGCAAAAGTCTAAAACCCTTCGTCAAAAATGGCGAGGAACGCAGAAAAAGCCATGTGAGTAATTATTTTAACAGTTCAAAACACTTAGGAAATCATACAAATTAATCATGTTTAATCAAAAATTCAGTTAGTTCGACTTATCAATAAAATTTACACAGCCCTTAAATGCGTACAAAATAATCAAAATTTTTGTTATGCCTTCTTCAATAGTTTTGTAAACTAGTAAAAAAATTAGTAATTAATAATTAGGTATATGGATCACAGAAAAAACATTTATACATAATATGTATATAAATGGTAGGGACTAGTCATATTAATGCAATATTTATGTATTGCCGTTTCCAACCTGTTGTTGATCAATTTTATATCTTGTAGGACAACGCTTGCTCGTTGGCGGGCAGCTCAAGTGAAGGAACATGGTGGCAAAGAAGAACGTAGGCCTTACTTAGCCACTGAGTGTACAGACTTAAAAGCAGCTGAAAAATGGAGAGTTCAAATCATTAGAGAAATTTCTAAAAAAGTAGCACAAATTCAAAATGGTATATATTTAAACTAGAATGCATAAATTATAAATAAGTATCTTATTAATTTGTTTATGAAAATAATAAATCGTGTATTTTGTTAATTTATAGCTGGATTAGGTGAGTTTAGGCTGCGTGATCTCAATGATGAAATCAATAAATTACTACGTGAAAAAAAGCACTGGGAATACCAAATCCGTGAACTAGGTGGTCCAGATTTTTTAAGGATGGGCCCTCGCATGCTCGACCATGAAGGCAGAGAAGTCCCTGGAAATAGGGGTTATAAATATTTTGGAGCTGCTAAAGATCTACCGGGTGTTCGTGAGCTATTTGAGCATGAACCACCTCCACCACCACGTCGTACTAGAGCCGAACTAATGAAAAATATAGATGCCGATTATTATGGCTATATGGATGAAGAAGATGGTTTATTGTTGGCAATGGAATCGAAAAAAGAAAAAATATGTATGTTTGCTTTTAATATTTTATTATGCAACTTCTTCTTTTCTAAAGGCAGCCTTGTCATAGCAAAAAAATATTGATTTAAAAAAATTATGCAACAAGTAATATTAATTTTTATGTTTATTTTTTAAGTGTTAGAAAAGGAAGGAAAAAAACCATCAATTCGAGAAGATATTGATTTGGTTAGTAAATTTATTGAAGTAAAAAATGTTTTAAATTAAATATTTGTCATCAATTTTTTTTTCTTTTAGGCTTTTGAAGAAGTTGATAGCGATGATGAAGATATATCTAATATGTTTAGCAGCTCTCGTTATATACAACCACCACCTGTTCCAACGGACCAAAACATTCAGGACTTGATATTACAACATAAAAAACGTGAACTACTAGAGACCTTTGCTGGCATTGGAGGAGGGCAAGAACATGAAGAATTGGAAGACCTCGCTAATTTATCATCATCAGACGATGAAGCAAAATGATAAATAATATTTTACTAAATACATTTCATACTTTTATAAATAATTTTTACCTGTTATAAATAGTTCATAATATTATGATTCTGGGTAAGAATCTACTTCAATTAATCCTCGGCAAATAAATGAAAACTCTTTGACAGCATCTTGTAAAGTTTTCTTATTGGTTTTTTCCCTGTTAAAAAATAAACAACAAGTTAAATCTACTTTATATGTGTATATATACTAATATACCTCAATATATTTTTAAAAAAAGTAGATTTTGCATTATCAGAAATGTTTGGTAACTCGAGCTTTTGTACTGTTACTATATTGTACAACCATCTACGTAAATTTTCACTGTATTTCTTATTTAAAATTAAAAGAACTTCGCACATAGGATCCAAATTTGTTTTAACTGAATCCCCTCCTAAAAAAAAAAAATTAATAATTGTTTTATCCTTAGCAGTAATAATATAAAGTCACTAATAACATACTAATAATGCATATCATCTTCATCACTAAAAACTCTCCATTGTCTTCAACTACTTTAAACAAAGACCTTTTTTCTCGGCTCGTTGATATGAATGCCGTTAAGAAATATGTTGCTATTTTGACAACGTATATTTCATTGACACATAACGCTTCACAAGCTGTCATAAGGATACAATTTATAAAATTTAATTAGTTTATTAAGATTTGTGTTAAACAAAATGCTTTTAAATCTATTGAGTATTGCATATAAAATTGGTTTTGCAATATACTGCATTTAAGAAAGCATTGATTAATAATTTGTTGTACACAGTATATTTAACCAGGCTAGAATATTTTTGTTTTAGAAAATTAAGTTAAATTTTTTTTACCAATTCTAAAAACAAATACAAAATCCACATTTGGATTATCGATAGCTATTGATGGAAGCTTCCTAAATACATGTCCTTGAAGTGATAAGTATGATTCTACAATATCCCCAATGCCTTCTTGAGTAGATGACGCTTGTTCTAGCATAAATTTAACTCTTAGACAGATTTCTTCATAAGTTGCTTTTATTATAGGAACAAAAGCTTCTTGACGGCCAAACATTATTAATATCTAAAAAAAATTGTTTTTTATTGAATATCCATACATTATTATTTTAATTGGCATTACTTCTTTAAATAATAGCATTCCTGTTGGTTGAGGTGATTTTCTGAAGCCAATCATTAAAATTTCTATTATTATATTTAATGCTATTGAACAATTCTCTTGAAGTTTCGAAACAACAGATTTAAAGAAATCACAAACTCCCTGAAAAAACAATCAATTTCAAAAACATCAAGCTACGGTCAAATGTTTTTATAATTTTTCATAAAACTATTTAGCAATTTTACAGCGTGTCCTAAAAAAAATGTCCTTATTATCTCGACGCATACTATTTGAACAGATTTTTTTTTTGGAATATATAAAATATATACATATTTATGTAATATACAATTTTAGAAACAAATGCATTTTTCATAACATTTGCCCACTTATTAATAGCATATTATTACTTATTCAAATTCTCATTATTATTAATACTTATTACTCCTAAGCAGATGCATAATACATTTTGTTAAAAAAAGGGATTTCGAATTAGTTATACACTGTATGCCTATAGGATTAGAGGAATTTTTAATTTTTTTCAAGGTCACACTTTTTTTTTAGGATACTGTACATATAGAAATTTTGTGATAATTACTGTATATAATAAATCTTCAGGGCAAGCAATGAAACATTTTACAGCCATAACGTGTAGTAAAGGAGTACTCATTTCTATCATATGATAAACAGCATCTTTCTGATCAATTGCAGATACTAAAGAGCCCAAAACTTTAATTCTCTTCTGTAATTCGGGCCTGTGTTTAATGCATTCATTACTGTCCTGAAAGCAAAATTATATTGTTACTAATGGTGTATAGAGCATTTATTTTAAAATTGCTTACATTTAATTAAAAAAATTCATCTATTTAATACAAACCTCGATAGCTAATATACTTTTCATAACATCTAAACTCGGATTTATGAACATATCCAATGATTGTTTACCATCAGGAAATGGCATTGAAGAAAGAATAACTCCAATTGTATAAATAAGACGTAGCTCTTCTTTTAGTTTATCAACTTGCTTCAGTACAGTCTAAAAACAATGTATTAATACATATTTATAACTGGACTACTCATTAGTTTTTAATGCAGTGATGGACAAAAATGATTTCCATAAGTATATTTCCTATTTAACCCTGGACTTTTAAATAATACATTTATTTTAAAAATCTATAATTTCAAATATTTTATTTAAATATATTTTTTTGGCAGTTTTAAATAAACTATTAAACTTAAAATAAAAATGTATTCAGTTTTTATATTTTCATTTTGACTTAAAAGTATTAAATTATTTAGTTAAAAATGAAAATGTATTTAATTAACTTTTTGTATAAGTAATTGTTTTTAAAAATAATTTATGCATTATCTTAATTTTAATTTTATGGTTATTAATCCAAATGAGTTTTAATTAGTCTAAAAAACTATACTCAATAATTTTAATTAACTAAAATTTTTATTCTCTAACAAACAGGATGCCCATGACTGTTTTAATTCAGCGACAGTGAGCGCCACACACATTATCCACTCAACCACTTGTCCTCAGAGGCTATATTTTAACTGTTTGTAATATAAAATGTTCAACGCTATCTTTTTGAAAACTTTTAACATATTTTAGCCAGCTTATTACTTAAATTTTAAAAACATATGAATCTAGAAAAGGAAAATAGTTTTAGAAAAAAGAACTATTTAAGTTTTAATTTCCGTCATCTTACACAACATAGTTTAACCTTTAAGTGCATGCTTAAAGGCACTGTGTACAGTATTCCTATGATTTTCCATGTAAGAGTTAAATTTAAATTATACAACACTACTGTTTAATATACATAATATTTAACTACCATTGATGTGGTTAAAATAACATTATTGTAGGGTGCTATAGACTGCCTACATTCTTTAGCAATATCACGAAGTGCTATGGAAGCTGATGAAAACATGTTACTATTATGAAGGCCCATCATCAACAGAGGAACTACCAAGTCTAAATATGATGGGTGAGTTTCCATCCAATAATAATATGCTCCTTAAAAAGAAAATGACATATTACATATTTTTAAAATATAATTAACTAATAACTACAATTTATAGAGAGTACATACCAATAGTATCCATTGCAGATATTGCTGCTTTTTTATCAATTTGTTCATATGGTAAAGTACCCAATGATGATATGAGCTGTTCAATGTGAGGATGGTCTTCGTGATTTTGAAGCGGTTCTGCTATTGCAGTAAATGCATACAAACACGCCTCCACAGTTTGCCATTGGCTTATAGCAGTTTTAGCATTGCAGGTGACTTGTTTGTAAATAGTCAACAATACATCCAACATTTCCGTTTGCAATATGAAATAACAGTAAGTCTGTAATTTAACGTTAATAACTTAAAACACATTTTAATTCAATATTATTTATAAAGTCTTACAAATGTATCAGATATATCTTGTCTATAGCAGCGAAATAACTCTCTTTCATCTGGAGTCCAAGTGTCTAAGTTTTTAGGATAGGCGACTTTTTTTATTAATACTTGGGTTAACGATACGTACAAAGGTTTGACAATTGTCAATAATGTGTTGTCAGGTCCAGCATCATTTGATAGTAAATCATCCTGTAAATAATGATTTATAATATTTTATAAATAGAAAAAAGTTATAATTTAAACTCACTTGTAATAAAAACCAAAATGTAAACGTTTTCTCACTGTAGTTTTCATTTACAGGGTAATACCCAGGTGCATTGGTACATGTCAAGTATAAATTGAAAAATTTAGTACAAAGTTCTCTAGTGTTATAATTTAATAAACCCTGAACTACTGGCCGAAAATGTTGATCGCCAATACCCAAAAATAAATCAAAGAGTTTATCAACTACAATATCCTGAAATATATTACATTTTTATAACAGAACTTAAAAAAGTTAATAAACAATTAAAAAAACTTACAGGTTCTTCTGTTACTTCTAGATTGAATAATTTGTCAGATAAAATTATTACTTTATTCAAAACTTCAAAAACTGTAGCTTCACATGCAGAAGTTCGAGGATGTGTACAAAGGGATTTCAGAGCATCTATAGCCAATAAAACACATCTAGAAGAAGAAAAAAAATATGATAATTGAAAATAGAATTCTTATACAATTTAAGTATAATTTTGAACTTACTCTTGATTTCTTTGAGGGTTTAAAATAACTGATATGAATGTATCTGTTAGACGATGACACTTAATGAGATCAAATCCAACATCCAACCAGGACGCTGCACACTTCAATGCATGTATGACAATTGGATCCATACTATCACTTTGAAGAATACTATCCACAATGGTTAATACTAAAACATTATTACAATGAATTATGTTACCTGATTTAAAATATTTACTATTTTTGTAACAAAGAAAAATATAACTTTTTAATCACCTTGTAATGATGATTTTTCAAGCTCTCTTCGTACTTCATTTCGTCGCACTTGTGATAATGTTGAGGCACTAAACTATGACCAAAAGGTATACAATTTTTTTGTCCATAAATATTAAAAAAATAAATATTAATATATCTTACTTCTTCTGGTAAAGCCATTAATATTTCCAAAATCATAACACTGACATTGATAGACGACTGAGATAAAGAATTTCGAAACGTATCCATTAATTGAGGTATAGCATCCGGCCAATGGCTTGGTACAGTTCGTACAACATATGCACATAGCTGAAGAAAACGCAAGCGTAAACAAATTTAAATACAAATAAATTAATAAATTACAAATTATTTAACAGTAATTATCAAAGCTATAGATATAATAATAAGAAGAGGTACTAAGGAATACTTATAATAATTTAATGAATAAAAATATATATTACTTAATTAAATTTAAAAAAAAATGAAAAAGTGTTTTTATGTATAAATGGTTTAGTTTGTACTATACAACTTTAACATTACTTACACAATAACACAATTTATTTGTTACATTTGAAGGTCCTGTACAATTATAGTATTTAATTAATGTGTCCATAATTTTGTCTCTCAAGAGTATGTAATCAGTTCGCTTCAATTGTAACCATTGTTTGGTAATTTTTATATGAAGTGTAGTGGCACCAAAGAATTGTACTTCATGAGGCTAAAAAACAAATTTAGATATAAAAATATATAAATTTTAAACAGTTATTGAATACTAAAATATTTCATACTTTAGAAGTGTGTAACATATCCCATACAAGATTCCAAGCATCTGCTGAGTTTTGAAATTCTAACAACATTTTGTGTACTTCGACGTTTTGATTACAATAAAACTCTGCTAAAGCATGCTCGACAGTTTCAAGAGACATTTTGGAGCTTATAGGCTAAGAATACGATTTAAGTTGAATATAAGATGATTAACTCATAATCATTACAAATGAGAAAACTTACTTGTTTTTACTTTCTAAATTACAAAAACAATAGAACTTAATCAATTAGGCTTATATATATTTTTTAAAACGTATATAATCAAATAAATATTAGTAGTACTAATTAAAAATATTGTTTATTCAGTATTCACTATTGAATTAAATAATTTAACTGACTAGTAACTACTATAGGAGAGTTGATAACTTGAACTCTTTAACCAAACAATTATAAACAATATTATCTATAATAGATATTAGGTATTTTGAAATAGTTGATCTGATTACAGAGTGTGGCAACTATAAAAACACAATATTTCCCATTCGTTATCAAAATTTTCACGGACCAGAATATATCACCAGGACGTGTCACTACTCACTACTCACTAGGTTCCGGTGACACCTGGTATTACAACTTACACTTAACTACCGGGTAATATGGGGATAATAATCTATATAATATAGATAATAAAATATATTTTTTTTACCTATATTATATATTTCTACCTATTTATCATATTTATATATACGCCATACCGGCCAGAGTAGTCACTGGGATTTAAGAGGGACGTTAATGGTTATACCACAGAATATATGAAAGCAGAAGGGTCACTTTCAGTGTAAACAAAAAAGTGACGGCCATTTTGTGACGGACTATTTTGTATTATAAGTTATATCTATACATTATATTATTACTACTTTAAGATCTATACACAACAAATAATAATAATTTATAAATATTATAGTGGTGTAGCTTTAATAAGATGGCCGCCGTGTTTTTGTGTGATAAGTATATTCCCTGTGTTAATTTTTATCAGTGTTCGGGGCCTGGTTCTACACCCTATTTATTAAGGAGTTAGGTATAGGCAATTTTGTGCAAAATTTTAATTTAAAGATTAAACTGTGATGTGTAACTTTTATTAGTTCAGTCATTAGTACTTTTTTTTTGGCAGTTTTATTTATTTATTTTTCGGACAATCACAGCATCCTTGACAAAGATTAAAAAAAAAATCTAAACATAGCTACGCAGAATGCGTTTTACTCGGTACATAATAATACTGATTTTAGAACAATAATACTTTTTATAAAATCGAAAGATAGCAACATATCGGAGAGAATGTCATATCCTATAACCTATTTTGAAAATAACGTAAAAGAAAGTTGGTTAATTTAAAAAAGTAAATAAATGACATTTAAAACTAAATATTAGGGTTTTCAAAAAAAGGATATAACATTGACTCCAAAACATTGTTATCATTAATTTTTGTTATAAGTACCTATTATTTCTCTAAAATTTTATCATGAACCGAGTAAAATGCATTCTGCGTAGGTATGTTTTAACGCTAAGAAATTGGGTGTATAACATGATTTTAAGGTGTAAAAACTATTATTGTTGGGAATACGCTAAAATTGTTCTTTTTTTAGAAAAGAATTATTTTTATTTTTATTTGGGATAATCCGTCTGACAAATTTAACTAGTCTGGCTTAGTCGGTCTCTAACTTACCAAAAAAATAATAAGCCATCAGTGTACGTTCCATCTCGCTTTCGAGTTTCGAGTATTATAGTTTGTATTCTTATATTATTACACAACGATTAATACTAGTCACTAGATCTAGTTTTCTACTTATTATATCTATATGTGTAGTTATTGGATAGTATAATTGTAGAGAGTGATTTAATAAGGATAACTGTTAAAGTTTTCATAATATTCATTTATGGATATCTTCTATTTTCTTCGTCGTATTTCTATTTAGAATTTCTAAATTTTAGTTTTCCTCTACGACTTAATTATTTACAAACAGTTTATTTAAATGTAATATGCAATATTTAATTATTTTCAAAGTCAATCAAATGAGTGACTTATCCTCAATGAATGGTCCGCAATACATGTAAAGAGAGACCTTTTTATACACACGTATATACTTTGTTGTGTGTGATTATAGATAAGGTTAAATGCGCGAGAAGTAAAACTTTTAAGTGTTTTATAAAAGTAGTTTGTATCCTACTTCAGACAATATGCTGATGCGCTAATGGACTTTCTCGTTAAGGGGTATTGTTATGTAAGCTTTTAAGCTATGTATCTCACAACATGAACATTCGAGAAAAGACCACTCCCGCTGGTTACAAAATTGCACCAATTGGCCATGCTATGACAGCATGCGGTTACCATACGAATTCCAAAAAAACGTGTTTATTTAACAGCTAATATAATGTTCGTCCGATAGTTTGTTTTGCTCAAACTTTATAGTAGAGAATAACGAAATGTCTCGGTAGTCGGTATCTATGTCATTTCGGCTGAACAGTTTTATTAAGCTCAACAGCTAGCTCAGGCCGCCGGCCTCATGTACGGTAGCACTGGCGCCTACGACGGCCGGTCCAAACGCCGAAAGACCGGCGCTGCGGTAATGATGACGGCGAAACGCCTCGCGTTGGTCGTCAGATAGCGCACCCGGTGTGACACTTTATCGACGCCGACGACGGAAGGGCCTGGCCGACTGGCGCGGGGGCGTCGTCGCGGCTGCCCAGAGTGAGGCCGCTGGGGAGGTGTGCGTGCGCCGCACCCGCGTACAGCCTGTGACGTCCGTCGCGTCGCTTTGGCCGCCTGCTCCCGTGCGTCTGTGCGTGTGTGTTTATGTACAGCGTATACTGTACGGTGTATGCGAGTGTGTGAGTTTGTGTATGCGAGTGTGGCGCGCGCGATAATCCAACGACGGTGTCCCGCGTCCCCCTGGTGCGCTGGTTGTGTGTTGACCGTGCCGCGACGATGGAATACGGACCAGAAATAACGTGATCATCTGCGGCCCCGGGGGCGATCAGTCGGACCGAATTTTTTGTTTGTTTATTTTTAATAAGTACGGTTTTTTAAAAAAAATATTTTTGGTTACGCCGTACGGATACGTATTGAACGCGTCCCATCTGACGGGCACACGCGGCGGGCACGTCGTGCGGTATCCGTGCCGGCGGTAGCGACAACGTTTGTGTTGCGCGTCGTTCACATTGACCGCGCCATAAACAATGTAGTAACGTCGTAAATGTGTGATAGTAATTACGATAGCCGACCGTATTTATAGTGTTTCATCTGTGGTGCGTGGTGCGGTACAGGTGACGTGTTTGCCGACCGGGTTTCGGCACATATAGGAAATCTGGCTGGGACAGACGCGGCCGGGCGCCGGTGCGGGTGGCGGTGGGGAAGGCGGTGGCGGCGGCGGTGCTGCTCGCACAATGGCGGACTGCCGAGGGCACGTATTCACCAAGAAAACCTTCCACCTACCGGCCTACTGTCACAATTGCACCAATTTGCTATGGGGCGTCGTGACGCAGGGCAATTTCTGCACAGGTTTGTCCCTTTTCGTCGGTCCCGGAATCGCAGGGATGACGGCCAGCCGCGTCTCGTTTACGGGACCGTTACTATCGCGGGAAAGGGGGAACTTAATAACACGTTTGGTGGAAAGAATCCACTAGGACGTAATTATTTTTCTGTCCTTGTCTGTAATTGTTAATTATTTGTCCTTAGGGACGAGGTAATTAATATAGGAACATTCGATATATTTCCCCGGCCTATAATAACATTCAGTAGACAACTAAGACCATCAGATTTTAAGATATGTTTGAATTATTCGATGTGCTTCGACAAATAATGTTTTGTAGTTAGAAACAGCAGGCCTGGACAGGGCTGGTGGGCAAATGCCCACTAAATTGCTCCTGCTTAAGGTCATAGGACCGATTTGTAACATAATATTTATGTGTCATGGGCATAGGCCAAAAGGGGTACTATGATAAATAAGATAAACAATTATTCAATATTCTTAGACTTTTCTTGCCCCGAGAAACGGTAGTCAGTACCTGTTACAAATAGTTTGTGTGTGTATGTGTGTATAATGTTAAATTCCCAAGTTGTTGTGAAATTGCAAATAATCATTGCGTATTGTTCATTAGATTATGTTCATAGAATGTTTTATTTCATGCATAATATGACGGTATTTAGATTAAATTTTTTCATTTTTAATATATAATATTTTAGTTCTGAAAATAATTTTTAAGTTACAGAGCCAACTTGGACGTAACACGCGCTCAGAAAAAAAATGCATGCACGCTTGTCATAATATGACTATATACTATATTATAGTAGTTAAAAACATAATATATTTTTCCACGATATCGTTCGGTTGTATCAAAACAGAATTCAACACAATATATTATTTTTACAATTGTAACCGCATACATTTACATTTAAAACGTCCCGCAGTGCCAATGTTCTTACACGGTTATTATTGTATTAGTAGCTATATGTGACCTATTTGGACGTGTCGACGTCACACAACATTTTTTTCTTCATTAATATTAGGTAGATCGAACGTCGAGAAATAGTAAATACAAACAAAGCAAAATAGTTTTAACATACACTCTGCAAAATACATTTAAAATAAGAAAAAATTAACAAAATCTTACAATAGTGGTACAGTATTTTGAATGATGCTGCAAGAATCAACTATTTTCTGTTAATTTTCAAAAATTCATGAAATCAATAAAAAATTAAAACTCTAAACAGAATATGTCGGTAAAAAATATAGTAGTGAATTATAGAACTATCAGAAATTTTTTGAGTAATTTGTAAGCTAATAAGTAATCATTATCTTAAAACAGTCATAAAATAAAGCATACAACTTTGTGACTAAGTAAAAAAAATCATGAAGTGTGATTAAAATTCATGAGATTGTGTTTACTAAAAAGTATTATTAGTTTAGTAACATTTTACCTCTAAAATCATCTAAAATTGTATTAAATGGTACAAAGACAATGTGTGAAACGTTATTTTTTATACTAATATATTTGATACTTTGTTTTTATGTTGGCCGTGAAATATTGCCGAGGCCGTATTTGGTTACACTAGTTTATTGTTATTGAACGGCGCTCTGTGTATGCAATATGAGTACATATCAATTGTATAGAACTATTGTGGGAAAATAATACCTATCTATATTTCGATTAATACTATTATTAAAATGAAAAATTTATCAAAAGTTTTTGTTTTAAAAAAAGTCATGTACCTTTTTTAACATTAATATCTACTGTATCGTAAATGTGTTGTGTTTCCAACACTGTTAGCAAACATCTCCGTGACGTCAAAGGCAAAAACTTGCTCGACCTGTATTCCCCGGCGCACTGTAATCCCTGCGGGACTTGCCCCTCGGACAATTTTATGCTGTTACAAAACGCCCATAACTATATTACTACTCTCAACCCATCTCGTGTCTCTCCTCTAGGCTCTATACATAAATATATACATATATATAATTATATTAACATCGATTACTTTTATTTAGTAGAATGTAGATTACAGTTAAAAAAAATGATTAAACTTATAATTTTACCCAAGAGTGCATAGACATAACCGTTGTGTGACAGAACACGAATACATTATCTGATTGAAACCTATTAAAGTATTATGAAATTTATAAAACGTGCGTGATTTTTTAAATAATATTATCGTAGTATATTTAATACATCGTAATTGTGTCGGAATCCCGACGGAATTCGAGTATTTCTATATTATCTATAATCGCATAGTTAGCTATAACTTATAAGTTATACCTACACTCTACAGGTATCGTTCCTGAATGTTTTTAATGTGAATCGCTACTAATATAGCTTCAGAATAGCTTCAGAATATAGTTGCTATTGGAACTATTAGTCATTAGATAAATCAATTTTTATTACATTATAGTCTATATTCTATAGATAAGTAAAACGGTTTTAGTTAAATAAATCACCCTGTATATACTATATTATTACAAAATGTATCCTAAAAAAATTCATTATTTATATTTTATATTTTATTGTACATAAATAATTTTTATTGATAATTTTTCTCAATACTAAATAATAAAAAGACATCTTTAAATAAACATGTTTAGTGTTTACTAATAATTAATTTAAGAAAATAATCAACTAAATTTAAAAAAAATTGTGTTGCATATAGGTCGGCCTGAGGCCGCTTACATGGCCGGGACCACAGCTGTGCTGGGGTTTTGGAAGCCTCGGAGGCCCCCTAGGGCCTGGTAATTTAATACGATACGTGGGCGTATTTGCTAGATAAAAATACTGTAAAGTTGTGTGTTAAATATATAAAATGAACAAGTCAAATTGTTCTAGGGCCACTCTTAGAGTTTTTATTACAAAGCCCTTAGGTTCCACAGGCCCACCCTGGTTGCATAAATATCTAATAAAAAATATTGCATTTTAATAAAGTGCTATAGAAGCTAAAGGCCATCGCTGCCGAAGCTAAAATAAAAAAAACCGTTATAGAAATTAACCAGGCGACAGACTGACGACTCGTTCCAAATGGTGAATCCGTTAGGAAACCTCCAGGCAGCAATGACCCGACGTGGACTTAAGCTGTTTCTAAATAGAAATTAACCATGTTGGTTTGTAAATTGTATATTGTAAATTCTATACAGCTAATAAAAGTTTGTCTATATTTTCATTTTTGTATGACAGTTATGTTCAATATAGCTTCATAATAATCAGAAGAAACCTTTTTAGACAGTTTTTAATATTTAATAAGAATTAAAAATATATCATAACGCGGGTCTCGGATAATAAATCGATCACACTTAAATTAGTTTTTTTTTGTTCTCAGATTGGCGTCTAGCGTTAGAAATTTACTTAGGGTAAACACAGTCTGGTATCACCCACTTATTTTCCAACTATAGGCTGTCTGTTACTAATAATAATATTTTTTATTCGTTTTGAATAATATCCTGTTATTTTACTATACTTGAATTATTAACCCCCCACTACATGATTTTTTTTAACCATATGCTATAAATGTACTTAATACTACTTAAAAAAATAAAACATTTTTTTTTTTTTTGAGTTTTGGTTTCATGGAAAACGCTAATTAAAGAATTGTACCAAATATGGAACATTGTGCATCAAAGATGTATAGCATGAGCAGATATAAACAATAAATACAATTGTTCCATAGATGGAACATTGTGCAGTGAAGGGCAGAGACGTATTTAGGGGGGGGGGCAGGGGGGGCTTGGGCCCCGGGCGGTAAAATTTTAGGGGTGGTAAATTTTGGAGAGCATTTTTGTATAATACGGTAGGTCATTTGGGTGATAAAAAAAGTAATGATACTAATAAATGTATTATTGTGGTTTTCATTTGTCACGAAACATGCATTGAAAATACCAGGACATGGAAAAGTATATTGTAGTTTGAGCATTAAGATACACAGAATATGGCCGCCCAAAAATATTTCGTAGACATGTTTAAACGGTCGTGCCAACTGTCAGTAATAATAATCTTAGTTCGTAACGTTTATGTACTCGTAATCTATTATCTATGTTCGTAATCACAAAGAAACAAAAAAAGATTTGTAACCGTATGTAGAAATTTCGTTACGAATTTTTGTTTCTAGCCCTACAGGCTACATCTAACTGTTCTGCTGAGAGGTTTTTTTCAGTCTTAAAAATGGTCAAGTCCTATTTGAGATCAAGTACTACCGACGAAAGGCTAAACTCTTTGGCTGTTTTAACTATAGAGTCAGATTTAACAAAGAAGTTAGATTATGATGATATCATTGATACGCTTGGCGTAAATTCTACTGCTTTTGCTCGCCTTTTAATGGCGTTTTTATTGAAAAAGCTCGGCGTAAACATTTTTAATTTTAAAATTTTTAATATTCTTATACATATGGGGAATTATATATATAAAGGGATTTTTTTTTAAATGTTGTTAATTAACCTATTACATTTAGGTTTTTTGTATAATTAATAATAAATATACCTAATATAATTATGTAATATGTACTTCAATAAATGTTTTTTTACATGCTTTTCTTTAGCTCGCTAACACGTACGTACGTACGTTTGTACGGTTTTTTTTCAAATCTTGCAAAATTAATTTAACCCACTTCCCGATGTCGTATAGGGCTGAAACTTGGCACAGACACTCGCCTTAGATGACAATACAATATTCTGTAATCATATTGGGACTCGGACATCCAGGTCGCCCTACACAGGGTCAAATGTGGGGGTCATTTCACTAAAATTTCATTTTTTTCCAAATCTTTCAAAATTAATTTAGTAATCTATTCAGCAATTATTAAATACTTTTAATAGGACTAAAAAGTAAAAAAATAAAATAAATAATTAAAAAAAAAAACTTTTTTAAAAACATGCTTTTCTAAAAAAAAAAAATAGTAAAAAGTGAACTAAAGAGTAAAAAATAATTTTATTACAAGAACAATTTACCAATCAATTGTAGCATATTTTATTTAAAATGTCAATTACTTTGAAAACAACCGAAAATTAATTTTTGACTAAAAAGAAAAGCATTGTGCCCTATTCAATAAAGTCCCTAATAAATTTATCAGATAATGTTTTATATTGTAAGTTTTTTTTGTAATTTAAATTTGGTTTAATATTAGTGTGTGATACATACATTTCTTAATACTTAACTCAATAAATTTGGACTTTGTTGAATAAGGCCCACGCTTTTCTTTTTAGTCAAAAATTTATTTTCGATTGTTTTCAAAGTAATTGACATTTTAAATAAAATATGCTACAATTGATTGGTAAATTGTTCTTGTAATAAAATTATTTTTACTTTTTAGTTCACTTTTTACTATTTTTTTTTTTTTAGAAAAGCATGTTTTTAAAAACGTTTTTTTTTATGTATACCTAATATACCTTTCAGATTATGAGTTTAGCGAAGAATGCATTGGTTTCACTATCATATGTTTTTTTTTTACAAATACACCTATTGATGAAGAAATATAGGTTGGGAAGGGGGTGTTTATTTTTCTTACCAGGGGCGCAAAATTCCTAAATACGTCTCTGGTGAAGGGTTAAATTAAAAAATAAAAATCACACATTACACATAGACTGCCAACGTGTTATGACATAATACATTATTTACTGAAATCGATTTGTTATAGTATGTAGTTTAATTTATAAGTATAAATATATTTTTTTTTTATGTTACAGTATGTAATTATATAGCTCACGAAAGTTGTTTAAAAAAGATTGGCATATCACCTTGCCATAGTGTAGCAGCTAGCTTAATTAAGGTTAGTACAAGTAATTATACGCATGTTAAATACTATTAAGTACTATTATTGCTATAGTTAGTTTTTAATCTAATCGTTAACTGTATTAGAATCCAGTATCCCATTGTTGGTCCGAACCAGTAAGGAGCAGAAGTCAAAAATGTTGTAACGTTTGTCGGAAGAAACTCGACCACCGCACTCAGAGCAGCGTCACTTGCGAAAGTAAGTAACTTTTAAGTAATTTAATAGTTCTTTAACAACTCGTTTTGTACATTACATTTAATTGTTAATATTGATACCGATATTATCTACAATAATTATATCTATTTGGTATCTAAAATATGATCAATAAACGTCAAATACCTACCATTAAAGTTTGAACAGCAAGCAGATTATGCTCTACCATTGTCCAAAGTACTAATGCCAAATTATGGACTATTGACAATTGTGAAATCCAGGGAAATTATAAGTTCAACAATTTTAAGTTCATTACTGGGTATTCTTTGCGGATACTCCCCTTGTACTGATCAGTGTTATTAGAAATGCGTTTTAATGTGTGTATCATTTTTATTTCATTATCATTGAACTTATTTATAAATTACAATAAGTGTATTCGGGTTATCTTTAAACTAGAGCTCATGTTTTGTAACTTGTTTTAACTTACACGTTACTCGGCTTAATGAATCCGAACCTGAACCAATTAAGGTCCATGTATTTTAAATAGAATTCCGGAAAATGTATAAATTAATTTGATTAATTTATATAGGTAAATAGACGGATTCACGAACGTTAATACACAGGTAAATGGATGGCAATACACACGCGTACATGCGGATACACCTGTATTTTAATTACACGAACTTCAACACCGTTAAAATAAAAATGCGGCTATCCTTGTTCTAAGCTACACGTGAAATAGATACCTCTACTTTAACCGTTCTATTAAAACGTTATAACTGTGTATTGGAATTTACTTAATTGTTTAACATTTTCCTTTCGACTAGACTACTTGTCAAATAAAACAAAATTATAGCTTATTGGCACTACAATGATATGTGCCTAATTCAACTTAACTACAATTTAATGTTTGTTTCAGTTTGTCATTACTATGCTCATGTAGATTGTCTGCCATCAGCCGTCGCTGATTGTAAAGAAACGGCTACGTACCATCCCGGTAAGTTGTTGGACTCTGTACATCACGAACATCATTGGAGAGAAGGTAATCTAAGACCTGGAGCAGTATGTTACGCATGTGCCAAACCCTGCTGGACAACTGATTGTCTTGCTGGATACCGATGTGAATGGTGTGGTATAACGGTGAGTTTACGACTTAATTCTGTAGAGTGCGTTTTTAATTCTTATTTAACTAATAAATTGGATCTATTTATCCTGTCTTAAAAAAACATTAACGTGTCATACAGTTAGTATAAAAACATAATGTGTTTACTTCAGCTGCTGTTTCAGCGAGTCGACTGTCCTGATTAATTGGCTTAGTATATTTTAAAGTTTTTTTTAGTGATATACCATTTTGTATAAGATACAATTGTATGTCTCTGTATTTTGTATTATACTAAAAGCCAGATAAAGACCCTACAGATCCCCAGTACTGAGTTTGACAGACTTATATTCGTTAAATTATCATGCTGTACATTTTGTTAAAATGTTTGTTTTTCTTGTAGGCCCATGCGACATGTCGCGTCCAAATATCTTATGCATGTGACTTCGGTATTCTCGCCCCAATATACTTACCACCACATGCAGTCAGCATTCCTCGAACAGAAGTGCCTATGGAGTCGATTATTGGTGTGCAAGTTCGCAGAAAAGAAAAGACTACACGTAAGATGGTTTTTATGCAAAATTAAAAAAATCTAAATCGAATACGTTTGTTCTCTAATTAGCACGAAGTATATCCGTGGAGTTTAGCAGTGGGGAAAGCAAAACCCGAGATCCCGAGGAGGAAGAACTTTATGAGGTGGAGAAAACTAAAGAAGACAGAAACGAAGGTATGTGTAATGGTTTAAAGTAATACCGAATACGCTTGAACAAAACGTTTGGTTAATTTGATGTAATATATGAACAGAACTAGTCAAAGTATACGATGGAGATGCTTCATACTTAAAACACACAAGTTTCACGGTAAAAGTTCAAAAAGCCGTAAAAACTGAAACACTTATTGCTACAATACTTCAATCATTAAACATATGCCAATCTACGGGTAATTATAGATAGAACATTAGTCGAAATAATATTTCTTGTATAAATGTACGAAACCATCATCTCAAGATGGCAGCATTGGGCCTTAAAGACCTGTTAAGCTGATGATGATGATGATGATGATATTATATAAACGAGAAAACTTCTCAATATGCAAATATTATTTAACAAAATACATCATTATATAATTTATAAAATTTCGGTTTCATCAAAACTGAAAAGGTGTTACAATATGTATATGATGTATTCATGTAACATGTACATGAAAAATGTAATACAAACATTTTACTGTGGAAAATTTGTCTTTAGAAATGTTTGCCTAAAGGTGTACTTGCTTATACTTATTACTTAATTTAAGGGGTATCTATATATATATATATATATATATATATATATATTGTATAATTTCATTTATTCTTTATTTATTTTTGTGCGCTTTGCTTATGCAGAAAATTTTTATTTGACTGATGCCTATGGTTTGAATGAACCGGTATTGGAAGACCCAAATCCTATGGCCAACGTTACCAGATTGGGAGGCAAGAAACCCGCTGTATTTCTACGGTTGAAGTAAGTAAACGAACAAAAATATATTCACCGTGTATTTTGCTTAACCAAATGTTTCTTCCGCAGACAAGACAGCCACGGCGGACTAGTAAGAGTGTATCCTGGACGTCTACAAACCGACATGCCGTTCTGTGTGGTTTCAGTAGACCGACGGACTACGGCCAAAGACTTGATCGTCGAGTCTTTGGATCGATTTGGCTTCACTTCTCACAGTTCGACCGATTACAGGCTTAGTCAGGTGTTACTTGAACACGGAGGTGCGTATTGCTGGCAGACATTTCAGGATTAATGAATAATATAATTTGCATTCGTTTGGGGTTAACAGTTACGGAACGAGTACTGGATTATGATGAAAAACCGCTAGACATAATCAAAAACATCGGACAGGAATCTCTCAGACAAATGGAATTAATGCGATTTTACTTACAACTCAAACAAGATCCACATGGGCCCAACATAGCCCTGTTCATCGGGAATTTGCCTACAAATTTGTCCCAACGTACTTATGAAACCATTCTAATGACATTTTTAGGAGAAGGTACGATAATCTACGATAATGTAATTTCCATGGTTTGTATGTGGCTCGTTTGACGTAACGTTTTTTTTTTGTTTACAGACTGTAGATTCATTACTATAGGGCCGATTTATTACGAATACGGTTCAATGGTAATCACATATAACGACACTGCCGTAGCCGTCAACGCCATGTACATCCTTAGAGACTCCTCGTACGAGGACAAGCATTTATTAGTCATGCTGCTACCTAATATAGATCCGAAAATGGTGCCTGGTGAAACGCAACCACTGTTGGTATTTGTTAACGTGAAGTCGGGTGGTTGCCAAGGATTGAGTTTGATATCTAGCTTTCGCAAACTTCTTAATCCGTACCAGGTGTTTGACTTAGAGAACGGAGGACCACTGCCTGGGTAATTATACTCGAACTTGTTTATATAATATAATAAATAAAGTATCTAATATACCACCTCCATGTAAGATGATAGCGTCGATAGATTTAACAATATACTTTCAACATTCAACTTACGTTTAAACTGGAATACTAATTTCAATAGTTAATCTTAACATTTTTTTTTCATGATACTATCGTAGGTTGTACGTGTTCAGACACATTAGAGATTACAAAATATTGGTGTGCGGAGGTGATGGGACCATTGGTTGGGTCCTTCAGTGTTTGGACAACGTAGGCCAAGACAGCGAGTGTTCGTCACCGCCATGTGCAATTGTTCCACTAGGCACGGGCAATGACCTGGCTCGAGTTCTAAAATGGGGCGCAGGGTACAACGGTTCGGATGAGCCAATACACCTGTTGGAGGACGTTATAGAAGCAGAGAAGATCAGATTAGATAGATGGACCGTCGTCATTCATCATGAAGACAGATCTGATGATCGCCCGATACCAGTGCCCAATTCTATTGGTAAGTTTCTGACCGTTTACGAATACAATAACTAACCCATTTTTCACATTTGGTTTTCTTATTGTGTTAAATTCCACATTAAAAAGGAATGAACGAAGATAACACTCAAATTTTTGTGATGAATAATTATTTCGGTATTGGAATCGATGCCGACCTCTGTCTAGCATTCCACAAAGCTCGAGAAAAAAATCCAGAAAGATTTAACAGCCGGTAAGAGTGTTCGATTCCAAAAATACTGATGAATATGTTATTTGTTTACACTTGGGATAAATAGCTTCGGGATATGAAATAATTTATGATATATTTTATTCGCAGAATCGGTAATAAAATTGAATATCTAAACGTTGGTCTACGCAAAATCATTCATCCGCCTTGCAAAAATCTACAGCATGGCGTGCGCCTTGAGGTGGACGGAAAACTTGTAGAACTTCCTCAACTTGAAGGGTTAATAATTCTAAATATCTTGAGGTTTGTAACTTGCTGTAATCTGAATGTGTTAAAGCTTTCATGGATTGAAATAGATAACATATATATAATATCTCTACACATACATATTAATATATTATATATGTATGTATAGAGATTTACTGTAACTTTTAACTCGAAACCGGATTAATAATAGCTGTTTGATTTTTAATATACTAATTTTTGTTTTCAATAGTTGGGGTTCTGGAGCGAAACCTTGGGGTCGAAACAGTAACGAAGAACAGTTTTCCACTCCTAACCACTGGGATGGTATGCTGGAAGTTGTTGCTGTTTCAGGCGTTATTCACTTAGGACAAATACAAACGGGACTCAGATACGCTAAACGAATCGCCCAGGTAATTATTTGCATACATTCTATAACTCTATAGCAGTAATAACGATCAACTTCCCTTTGATTTTCATACTTAAAGGTTTTTTAACTATATGAAATAATACAAGTGTTATTAGTTATTACCCACGAGATGTTAAACTATCTATAAGACGTTAATTTTTTTTCTGGTAGTTTTCGTATCTTCCTTAAAGATCCTGTACAGCCGTACCTATTACACATTTTTCTTAGAGTTACTCACTGAAGCCGGCTTACGATTATTGTAAGACCTGAGAAAATGCATTTGATCAAGTTTGAATACGATCTATGATTTTCCACTGTACTTTTTTCAATTGTATCTCCATTTGTATATCTTTTAATCGCCAATATAAGAAAGTTTATTATCAATATATTAATCATATTTTTTGTAAGTCTGGAAAATATATTACATAAATAAGTATATCCGAATAAAACTTATATTAACTTGAAAAGTACAGGGAATTCTAATTAAGCCATTCTTCAAAAAATGTTTTTACATGTAATGCAGATATTATTATTTATAAAAATGTGTCGTTAAAAAAAAAGTTTCAAAAACATTAAAATAAGAAAGTTAAATAAAAAAAAAATTACTGTACTAGGTATGAAGTTGTCAATCTTTATATACTTTAAAACAAATTTAAAAATTGACTTATTTTTTTCCTGCACTTTTTACATATTTCAGGTTATTTTCTCAAACTTTGTATCTATAATTTATTTTATTTGGGTAAAATAAACAGATGCTGGTGTCAAAATTTAATTAAGTAATGATTGTTTTTCTTTTTAAGGGGGGTCATGTGAAAATAAATTTGACCAACGAGGTTCCCGTACAAATCGACGGCGAACCATGGGTTCAAGGACCTGGCGAACTAGTCATCCTTAAATCGGCTTTAAAAGTAATATCGAATCACTCACAACAAATGTCTATCTAGTATGTGTAAAATCAAAATCGTTAATTTTAGGCCACTATGCTGAAAAAAGTAAAACGTACAGAACGGAAACAAACTTCTCGAACAAGAGCTGCAAAGTACATGGCCAGTCTTCAAGCTGTACCATCCATAAATGGAAGCGAAAACGATTGAAGACATGGTGAACATATACTAATCTAAAAAAATGGAAAATATTTTCACCTTTTAAATAAAAAAAGTAGCTGAACCTCAAGGTTACTGCTACACATAGTATAAAGTTAATTTTGATCGATCGATAATTATTTAGGATATTAATTTTAAGATAAAATAATTTATTGTAGCAAAACTATTTTAGCGTAGAAGCTAAAATCATTTATTAACTATTGTATTTTAAGACAAAATTCTGATTCTTGCTTTTTGAATCATTTTAATAATACAGGTACTTTCTTGTACTTAAAATATATCAGAATAATGTGACCAAATAGATCTGATGATAAATTAAAATAAAACATTTTGATTTGCACAATTTATTTTACCCATATAAATCATAGAATGTATTATTATTTATGTATTATTTTTATTGCTTTCATATTATAAATATTTATTAATTATTATTATTACATGTTTTGTTTTATTTCAAATAAAGTATTTTGAACCAACATTATTGATGAGATAATTGCTTAAGGGCTCATTCGTTGTGTCCATTTACGAATGGGCATAATGAAAAGAGCAATTGTATCATTGATTTACATGTTAGTTCTTAATTTTTGTTGTTTAAGTTTGTATATTACAAATGAATCGGTCATTAGAGAAACCCCATAAATCAGTATTTTAACCATAATGGTTTTTTTTGTTCTTATCAATTATACAGGTGTAGACACACATGAAGAAACACCTCTTGCCACGGAGATTTCTCCCGTTCTAGATAGGGATTTGGATTTGCCATTCATAGGTTAAACTGTTTATCCAATTTAATGAAAATTTATCCCATTAGTCCCGACTTAAGGTGTTTCTGCAAACAATGCAATTCCTTTGAGGAACGCCCTAAGTCCAGCCAATTTAAATTCAAATTTTTGCTAATTAAATAAAATTTAAAAAATTATCAATCATGTAAACTACTTTGATTTAGGGTACTAACAAACAATTATGTATTTTCAAACGCTTACTGCCTCTCTATGTAGGCGGAAGAAGTTTTTTTCCTTTTTTGTAATATTTAGCTTTTGTGACTTAATGAGTTTCTCACTTGACCGGTTCAAATATAGGATAACAAATTAGGCTTCTTCGTTATACAAATATTCGCAGTTCAACTATAGAAAAATGTAATTTTATTTTTTATTGTGTTATAAAACTTTAAATGTTTGATTAAAAGAAAACCTGTAAACTGTCTCGTGTTTCTTGATGTGTTGTTCTATACTTTAATTATCTATTCTATATATTATTCCTTAAACATCTCCTGCTTTGACATTCGTTTGGTGTCAAAATTAGTGCCATGGTGTTTTATGGGGTTAGAACCTCTGCCTCTCCAGTTTTACACGTTCCTTGTTACGTGTATGATTTTGTTTCCTACGTTCTCGATAAATATCGAGAACGTAGGATGTGGTATTTGAAATAAAAGACTAAATGTTGCCTAGACAACATCTCAACCAAAATATGCCACTAGGAAAGTCATTATGGTCTACGGTATACTTAATGAGCAGAAACTACAATTATTGTCAAGTATGTTAGCTTAGTAAAAAAAAAAGCTTTAACTATGATCAACATTGAACTTTCCCTAATCAGTAATAACTTTATAGTAATAGTTTCTATTTCTCTCTACATAGATAATAAGTTATATTAATGATCCAACTAAATCCAAAAATAATAATAATTAACAGGATACCTAAAGATACCTAAAGAAGATGGACCCAGCAATGGGCCCAAAACGTCAGCTTACTAATAACATGGATAGATCCGAAAATTATTAAATAGTTCAATCCATGAAAATTTTAACACATTTATAAGTTTTATGTTGTGATCTAATATACCCACTATACTTTTTTTTATAGAACAATCGCCAATCGGTTATCAACGAATGTATTTTGTTAGAAAAACCTTATTGTTACCTTATTTCCTTAGGTACAATGTACATAATGATCTGATTTCTGAGGTTGTGTTTAATAAACGTTTACGTTAACTAGTACAACCTGTATAAGTTATTATGATTTGTAAGTAGTAACTGCAGTGAATAAGCAGATCATTTTATTATACCTATGTGCTACAATAAAATCATACATTTATATCAGGGGCGATAAAGGCACGAGCTCTTTTCAAAATTGGCTTTATCCTACCAGAAAATGTAGGAAATTAAAAACGTATAATGTATATTGTATGCGCCAAAAAAAGGAATGTAGCCATAATTGAATAAAATGTATAGGTAATGTAATGTGGTATATCTTTGGTTAAAACTATACCCACAGAAGATCTACTTGGTGCTTATGCCTTAAACCATATGGGCTATGGCATATTGTTATATTCTGTGATGTAAAAAATTGTCAATACTCAATAGCATTATTTTGATATATTTTATTATCGGTTTTAATTGGTATACCAAACCGACAATAGAGCGCGCCTTTTTTAATATTACGGTCCATGGATACCAACCGTGTGTATTGTATTTTTATCAATAATTGTAAATTGTAAATTGTTATACCATATAGTATTATATTTAATTTTTATTAATAATAATTTTAATAAAACAATCATTCATTTTTTATATAATATTTAATTATTTATAATACGTATTTATAATTATAATACATTATAAATTCCGAAACATGGCTTACCTGTGCAGGCATCAACAAGTACCTTTCTGCTGATAACAGAACGCAGTATGCACCTATTTTGAAATAAACAAAAACAATGCTGAAGTCTGAACCCGTCATAACTCCACCCAGTCAAATTCAAAAATTCCGACATTGGGTTGTGCTTAATGGTTAAAACGAACTCTGAACGATTAACGATCTCAATTTTATTGTAGATAAAGTAACTTAATTCGAGTTGTTTTATTATTATTTTATTTCGTTTATTAAATTAAAGTAATAACTATTTTCAACATTTTACCGTTGTGTTTTTTACTGAGTTGTAAAATGCCGAATTAACTATTCCGCCCTAAGATGTTTAAGTTTGTATTTTTATTGTTTATAATCGTCATAAGTACGGACGGTCAATATGAATGGCAACCAAAAGATGCGGTTGATGAAATACGTCTCAGACTAGACAAGATCAATGGCGATAACTGCGGTATTCAGCCCCTTAGTGAAATTTACTTACCTGAAGACACCGTATCACACCTGCCTGACATCAAGGATGTTGTTATTAATCCAGTGTTTCCTAATCGTACAGCTCTGTTGCATCTAAGCAATATGGCCCTGAACAGAGGATTCTTTTTTAGTTATATATCCCAAGCAAGGTTCATTCGACCGGCCATCAATGACACTTATGATCCAGGAATGATGTATTTCTTCTTATCAACAGTTGCCGATGTATCAGCTAATTCACATATAAATGCTAGTTCCATATACTTTGCACCTAATACGTCGTATTCTCCATCATACAGAGGTTTTTTTAATAAAACCTTTCCATATTTTGCCCCAAGAACATTTAGGTAATATTTAAATCTATGAAAGTATAATATAACTATATTATATGGCTATTATTATTTTAGAGCTGATGACTTCAACGATCCTATTCATCTTGAAAAAATTTCAACTTTAAATACATTTACAGTTAGAGATTTGGGAGCTTTTTCTAATGAGAGTCTTACACAAGATTATACTTCTAAGCACTATGGAATTAATGAATGGTAAAATAAATTTGAGGTTATTTTTAATTTGAATGTTAAGTTATTGTGTATAATTATTCTTATTGCAAATAGGTACTCAAAATGGTTACCTGATAATGTTGTTGGTCGTCATGATACTAAAACAACTTACCAAGTAGAGATTAGGTACGCCAATAATACAAATGAAACGCATACATTCCATGGCCCGCCAGGTAAATATATTTATTTACAACAGTATTAAATGCTTATAAAAAAAACTTCATGACAAATTAAAAAAAAAAAAATCTTCATTTGCAATATGCATAGATAATATGAAAATAGGTGAATTAGTGGATGGATATTAATTTCTTTAATTAGAATAATGAAAAAACAATTTTAGTTAAAACCATATAAATGGCTAAGAGTGCCTCAATTAACTAAACAAGTCTCAACTTTAAATCATCCTATGTTTTTATCTGTAATTTTAATTTTATAGCAAATTAAACAAGAATATTCATTTTTGTATTATTTAATTTAGAAAATATAAATAATAGTTTATTCATTACCAAATAATGTTTAATTAAATTTGAGTTATTATTATTTAATAATACTTTTCAAAGTATTGTTGAGGTTGATGTAAATGTAAAACCTAATTATAAAATCTAGTATTTTTTACTAAAACTACAAATTTATTTTTATTTAAGCTAATATATTAATTTTTTAAAGGTGCTGATGACATTCCCGGTCCTATAAAATGGACAAGACCATACTTTGATTGTGGCCGAAGTAATAAGTGGCTGGTGGCAGCTGTTGTACCTATTGCTGACATATATCCTAGGCACACAGGATTTAGACATGTTGAATATCCTACGTATGAGATTTTATATTATTTATGTAGGCAAAATTGTTAATTCAGTTTTTTTACAGTTACACTGCAGTATCAGTAATTGAAATGGATTTTGAAAGAATTGATATCAATCAGTGTCCAATAAGTGCAGGAAATTCTGGTCCTAATCGATTTGCAGATACAGCACGTTGTAAAAAAGAAACAACTTTGGTTAGTTTTTTATGTGACTATATTCTAGTATGGCTAAATAGATAATCACTAATATAATACATTTAAGATTATCCAACTAATATATTTTTTTAAATTCTTTATTTGACTTTATGTCTTTAGTTTTGCATAACTGACAATAAAAAATGTTTTTCTAGTGTGAACCGCTGGATGGTTGGGGATTCAGGCGTGGTGGCTATCAGTGTCGTTGCCTACCAGGCTATCGATTAGATAAAAATGTTCGTCGTCCGTTTCTTGGAGAAATTATAGAACGCGCAACTTTAGAACAGTACTATAGTGGTGTATTTGACTGCAATCGTATTGGCTGTAAGTGAAAGTGTAAAACTCTAAAACTATAGTAGAAAAGTAATTTACTATACACTTATTTTCAGGGCTTCAAAGCAAAATTGTTTTTCCTAGTCAGTTAGATCCTTATCTTAGAGAGCAATATTTAGAAAAGAATTTTGAGTACAAAAATTACACATCAGGACTAGGATCTGTAAAAGACCCTCAAATAAATATACACGAAGTAATCGGCTCTATACGTGGAGTTAATCCTAGTAATTGTCACGAGTAAGATACTTTTTGGGTGTTTCTTTTTTTGCTATTATATTTTATAATGTTGTGTGTTAAAATCCAGGTACCGCAAAGAAGACTTAGAATTGTTGGGCGATTATGGTTTTGGTGCAGATCAACAGTATTCTAATGAAGCTAAAATGGCTGTCCGGCTTGCTAATTTTATAAGTGCCTTCTTACAAGTGAGAAATCTTGGAATCTTAAAAAAAAAGAATCCCATTTTTAAAATCTTAATTTTTAGGTATCTGATCCCAAAGAGGTCTATTCAGGCAAACGTGTTGCCGACAAACCCTTGTCTGAAGATGAAATGATTGGTGAAGCATTGGCAATTGTAATGGCCGATTTTAAAATTTGGTCATCAGGCATTTTTTGGGATAAAAACAAATTTCCTAATCGTACATTATTTGCTCCATATGCTTATAAAACTGTTAACTACGGACGGAAATTCTTTGTAGAAGATTTAGCTAGACTAAATAAGTCTGGTAAAGTTTAATTTTTTTACTTATGTTGGTTATCCGAAACTAATGCGTATTTGACTTTCTTTAGTATTTATTCGGACATAAATAAAATCTATTCATTTCGGATTAAATTAAAATATATTCGTTCCTTCTGTTATTTGTTTTGTTATAGAGCAAATCAAATTTATATTTCCTCTAGAATAAAATAGAGGGAATGAATCAATTGTATTGGCTCTGGAAATAGGAGTCAAAAATCAAATAGCCATTAATTCTGGACTCCTGACTTATATTAATTAATTTTGGTCGTTTTACTTATATGGATGTCAAATTTTAGATGAAGTATACACCAATGCGCCATGGTTTACTTTTACTAAACAACGATGGTCTACCAATTTTGACAATTTAGAAAAATATTATATTAAATTGAAGTTACGTTACGATGAAGAAGGAAAGCATTTAAATAAATTTGAACATTATCCGACTTATTATAAGTGAGATAATAGAAATATTTAAACATTATTTACCTGCTTCAATTTTACTAATTATATTCCATTGTTTTTTTTTTTTTTAATTATTAGAGCTGCAAATTTGAAACATGGATTTTGGTCGTCTCCCTATTTTGATTGCCATGGTAAAACTAAGGACTGGTTCATTCGTTATGCTGTTCCATTCTTTGGCTGGGACAGCCTTAAAGTTAAATTAGAATTCAAGTTAGATATTTGTACTTATTTGTTGACTTATATATTAAAGACACCATGCACATCTGATTTATCCTAATTTTTATTTATTTTTTCAGAGGAGTAGTTGCGGTTACTATGCCACTTTTAAATCTCGACATAAACCAATGCCCTGCAAAATTTTACGAACCCAATGCTTTCAAAGGAACACACAAATGTGATAAACGTACTTCATACGTAAGATTCTTTTTAATGATAAATCTTGAATACTTTATTTCTTGTGGAATTAGGCATTTATGAAATTTTTTTCTTTCTTTAATTATTGTATGTAGTGCATACCAATACAAGGTCGTGGTTATGATACTGGAGGCTATAAATGTGAATGTATACAAGGTTATGAATTTCCATTTGAGGAAGAAGATTTCACTTATTTCGATGGTCAAATGATGGAAGCTGAATTTATGCACATGTATCATAATAACAAAACCAGGTACAATTATTTTCAGATACTATGACTAAGCTAACTAATTTAAAATACATTTTTTAATTAAAATTGTATGATACGTTTTTAGATATGACACTTTTAAATGTCGTATAGCTGGTGCTGCACAACCTTTAAGTAATATTGTTTATGTTCTGACAATGGTCCTTTTTAGCTTATTGATGTGGACTAAAAATTAAGAGTAGTAAAAAGGTAATGAAGTGTTCACAAAACTGACATTATACGTTAGATCTGAAATAACAACTTTTATTATTAGGATTTATTTTGTATTAATATATTTTATATTAATGTGTTTTTGGTCTGAACTATTCACTTTGTATTCACTAGATTTGGTAAGAGTATTTTTTTTATTTTTAAGAGTTGATTATTTTAAGCTGGCACATTCAATACAATTTTATTTTAATATGAACAATGTCAGGCCAAATAATTAAATTTATTGTTCATTATAAACTTCTCAAATTGTATTTCTTTTAACAACTTAAAAATGATTATTAATCCGTCCAGTATTTGCATGATTAAGTGTAAAATTAAATCCGTCCATTAAATTGTGATTTAATAATAAATTATTTATTTTATAATAATATTAATTTTTAATGTTTTACAATTTTCTATAAAATATATATTCATTTTTTTTTTTTTTTGTATACTTTGTGTTTTTATAAAATTAAACAATGCAAATAAACTATTTTTTTTTTATCAGAGTAGATTTTATAAACATTTATTTTTACAGCCAAAGGTGTTAAATTGTTTTGAAGCAGTTTTCAATTCTTACAGTTCCTATATCTAACCTTAGCACAATTAATTTGTTTCATAATTGTATTTTAAGGAAACTCGTCATATTTTTGTGCTGTAAGTGTCATAGTTAGATTAAAACTATTCACTGAAATAACTGTAACATACGTCTATTATTTGTAAATAATTTTAAAGAACACAAATTTTTTTTTACACAAAATATTTGTTATGACAGAATCAAACTAATCTGAAAGTTAAATACTACAATATTACGTAATAAAACCAACACATTTCTAATAGGTTAAGTAAATTATCTTATTAGCATTATATTTTGAGTTTGGTGTTTTGTTAACTCCTTACTTCTTAGTTATAATATTAAAAGTATTGGAACAAAATACAATTATTTAATAACCATAAAATAAACAATCATTATTAACAGAATTGTAATTGTAACTATCCAATCTTTTGAATTAGTAATAAAAAGATAATAGTAATAATAATTAAAGTTAATTTTTAATAATGGATCATTGTAATTCTACTTACTATACAGTAATATCTAATAATAATTGAATAATTTTTTTAATAAGAGATCAAAATTATTCAAATGTAAATAATCATGTTCCTAATTTTTTAATTGAGAAGGAATATAGTTTAGATCACAATTACTCATATAAAACACATCTGTGTACATATATTTAAATTTTATTGCTATTTCACATTTAAAAAAACTAAAAATTGGCACAATACTTGTATTATCATCATTGAGTATATATTATATATTCAATGGTATCGTTTATAAGAACAAACGCTTTCTAACAATAAGCAATTAATTCCTAACAATTACTAGGATAATTTAATCTAAAACTAAAGTATTAAAACAAATTGTAACTAGTGTAAAGAATAGAAGACTAACAATTTAAAATAAAAGAATGTACAGATATGATTTCTAGAACAATATTAGGTACATATTGTACATATATATATATATTGTCAATTTGTCTCATAATAAAAACAAAACAATAACACCACTCTAAAAAGCTAAGTTCATGCGCAACAGGAAGTCTTATCACAAAAAATTTTGATCCCCTCATAATAAACCAAATTAACTCTTGTATATATATATAAAAAATTAAAAAAAAACAGTAATCAGTTCTGCTATTTTACTGTTTTATCTTTGTCAGACAGGTAATTATAATTTATGAATCTCCCATACTGGACCAACTGAGCAACTTCATTTGTTGCATGACACGCAAATAACAGCATATTCCGTGGTTGTACTTGCCATGCAAACCGCATAAAGACCATTGAATACATACACAGCGCTGAAAAATTAGCTTTGTACTTACTTACATTCGTATCGCCTATTACGATAAAATAATAATAATTACCTCCAGTCATTTTGCCACTGATCATGTCTGGTTCTTTCCTCAAGTCTGACAGTGCCGCTATTGGTATACCCCAATTTGCGATTGGACCCCAAAAATGGGTACTAACACACGATAGAAACATTCAGTCATTTTGAGACGTTTAAATGATAATATTTAAAAAAAATTACCTCATCAAATAGGTGCGGAACTCTTTACTTTTGATTTGCTCGAACAATTTCTTGCCTAACGACGCCATTGCTATGTTTTAATAAGTAGTGCTTGTAACGAAGAAACGGAATGTAGGTTTATGTGGAATTTGGTAAATATCAGGACTAGAAATATTGAATGTCAAATGAAAAACTGTACAGTTCACGCGGCTAAAGTGGTCGATTTTCGAATAACATTCTAATGGGGACTTAGAGGTCAACGTTTGGTCATAACCAATTCACATCTGAATATTACTTATTATTTATTAGTATCACTAATGTTTATCGTCAAGCACACTGAAATGATAATAAGTATCAGTTTTATTACTATTTAGTAACGTGGTTATAGACAAAATATTCTCCTGATGGTGATAAAAATTCTACAGGTGTTCATATCATTATCAATTATCATTGGATAATGAGAAAATTATTAATTTTGAATATATTCAATAATTTGTTTTTATTATCATTATATTATTTAATAATTTTAACGAGCGACGTCTAAATGTGTACTTTGCAGTTATCATTAGTGTTTTTCTGAGCTAATGTTGTTTACGGCGAATGTACAGGTATACGCATGTCAGGTTTTTCCAAAGTCCGCCTAAAGTCATTGGAAGAATTCACGGTTCCCATTATACGAAACGTACTTTTCGATGGTCTTTAAAAGTGTAGTTAAATTGAAAATCTAAATCGCAGTTTCCCTGGAGTTGAGCGATTTATCCTCCAACAGTTACAGTCGTCACTCGTCTGATAATGCGCACGTGGTGCATGCACCAACCTGATAGTAATGACTTATGTTAAAAATTCCCAATAAAAAAATCCGATGTGAACATATAAACATGGTTAAGCACTTTTGAAAGATTTGAAACGTTTCTAAATAAAATGTAAAATATAATTTAAAAAAATTAATTACAAACGCACCTAACCGAATGACATCCGTTAAGTTTGTACTTTGTAAAGCACGATATAATAAAAACAGCTGTTGAAGTTTGACTACTGTTTAATTACTATTGTAATACATTAAAAATTTAACTGGGCGAAGTTATAAGCACATAGATTAGACCAGATTTATCATTTAGGACAGGACCTAGTATAGTATACTATACTTGTCTATGGACACGACGACAGATATAAGAAACGAGCAACGACTAACAGATTATTCGATTAGACAGATATTATTTAATATATGAACCTATGTCGTCTATATATTATTATGATAGTGCAAATTTTAAATAATAATTAATTCGTCTACCGACATGGCGACAATCAGGGCCGGTGCTAAGAAATATGCAAGGGGGGTGTCAAAATGAAGATGTCGACTTTAAAATTTTAATTGCCGACTAAAATATTTGGGTACTTTCGTAAATATTTTATGACTTGATTTTTTTTATTTTTAAAATGTTTTTTGAGCATAGAAATATTTTAGGCAGCTAACAAATTTATTTATTACTACATTTTCAATTCTCAGTCACCAATACTAAAACAATTTGAGCCCTACTTTTGATTTTGAAATAAGGTTCGAAATTAATTCCGTTAAAGGCGTGTAGGATTAAATTTGGTTGAGTGAGTTAACAGATAATGTGGGTTTGGAAAAAAGTTTCATTTGAGGAGACGAAAAAATGTTAGAAATCTAGCGGACACAGGAAGTAGCAGACGTGTTCAAATATATGTTTGTAAGTAACTTGGTTGTATGAAATTTGATTCGAGTGTATAAGAAAAAATCTACAGCAAGACAAATTAAAATAAGCTAAATTGCTGTCAAGGATGCCTTGATAGTCCGAAAAAATAAAAAAACTACCAAAAAAAGAGTTCTATTACTGAAGTAATAATTACAGATTACCCTTTAAATTAAGATCTTGTAAAAAATTGCCTACACCTATCTCCTTAATAAATAGAGGGCACAACATCATTTTTATAGGATTTCAATTTGATTGCTTTGTATTGCTTGAACTTTATTTTTCTATTAACTATAGCCATAACTGAATTGAGTAATTTTTTTTAAAACAAAATTACCTAACGAGAAAAACAATCATGGTTTTATTTGCAAAACCATTTTTAGTCGAAATTTAAGACCCCAAAATTTCCCAAATTTTAAATGGTACTACATACTTATACAAATTACATTATCAAAAATAACTTAATATATAAATAAATTAAAAACCTTAAAATAATATAATAATAGTAAAAAAATATAAAAAAATTGACAGTTAAAAAAAACATCAAAAATAAAAAAGGAATATAAATATATAAAACAAATATATAAATATTTATATACTATTACATGTTACATTAATACAAAAACACAATTCAAGTGTTAAGAAGAGAAAGACAAAGGAGGTGCCAAATATAATTGAAGAAATTAATACATTGCTTGAGAAAAAATTGATTAAATACAATGTACAACACTATTAATTTGATGAAACCGGTTCTCCAGGATATCTATTTAAAAGCTGAAACAAAAACAAATTTTAAATGGTAATACACACTTATACAAATTATATTATCAAAAAAGACTTAATAAATATTTCTCACTATTTCAATATGTTTTCTTAATTCTGTTGGACTAATTTGACGAAGTAATTTTTCATGTTCATGGAATGGAATAACATCTTCGTACTTTGATTTTTCATTATTTACTACTTTTTTTTGGTATTTTACTTCACTATTTCCTTTCTAAAATGTATAATATTGCTGTTAATTTAAAATAAAAACATTGTCATAAAAATGTACATTACCGGTATTACAGGCTGATTGTCAACATTAACGTTTTTTACTACACCCATCACACTTTGTACTAGTTGTCGTTTTTCTTTAATCTCAGATGCTAATTGTTTTTCTAAAGCATTTATACAATAAGATTTTTCTTTTAATGTATTTTCTAAGATTTCTAAATCTGTTGAATACTTCTGTTTTAACTGGATTTTATCCTTTTCATACCTATTTAATAATATGAATAATATTTAATTAAATTTTAGTTATTGTCATATTATTAATGTAGTATAAATTTAAAAAAAAAAGTATATTCACACCTTTCTTTTAGGGCTGATAATTTATTAGCCATTTGCCTTTTAATTAAGTTGTTCTCTTCATTTGTCATTTGTACTATTCCATCGAGTTTTCTTTGATAGTCTATTACTTTTTCAGCTAACATAGCATCTAGCTGTTTCTGATAAAACAGCTTTAGTTCATTTTTTACAGTTTTAATTTCTTCTTTGGCCTCGTTTAGTTCATCGATTGTTTGTGCCTAAAATATTAGCATCAAGAACAAATTACAAACAAAACTTATACTTATATTATATAAGTTATGGTCCAAGGGGATAAATCGGTCATTATAATAAAATGACCGGGCTGGGTATTCAATGCCCACAATATTTGGGCTACGTTAATTTTAAAAATGTATTTCCTATATATACTAGTCATTGTTTACATTACTTAAACTGGTCCGGGCAATGTGAACTTTAGACAGATGTAATAACTATTGTGTTCATACTGTCAATTTTATATATTGATTGATTTATATATTTAGTTTGTTTGTGTGTATTTGATCTATTGTACAGCTATATCAGGTTTATAGTTTTTAAGAAATTAAACCTAAAAATAAAAACTTGTTCATAATAGGGACAAGTAGAAATAATATTTATGTTCCTATTTCTAATGGTAAATTAATTTTCATATTTTAAAATCATAAAATATTTGGTGCCCCTTGAACTCGCATTTTGGATCCCTAATTGTCTATATTATATAATATTTTGGAATTATTATGTCTGGTGATATTTTTTACAAAGGCCCTATTTTCCAAAAAAAATTATTATTCAGTGCATCAAAACATACCTCTTTATTTTTCATTTCATTAACTATTTCTTCAATTCTACGCTTTTGATCCAAAAGCTGGTCATATCTTACAGTCTTTTCATTTAGTGCCTTTTTTTCATGATCCACTAATAGCATATCACTTTCTAATTGGCAGCATTTTTTAATTGTATTTTCATACATGTTTTTTAGCTAATGAAATATAACATAGATTACATAATTTATAAAATACTTAATTTTTTTTTCGTACGGATATTTAAAAAATAATTAATAAAATTACTTGCTTACATTTTTATTTTCTTCTTTGGTAGTAATTAATTCATTTTGAATAATTTCAATTTCTTTATATTTCTGTTCTAGATCCAATCGCATTTTATCCAAATGTTCTTTAACTTTTTTATTATTATTTATTACTTCATTTAATCTTTTTTCTGCGGCTTCTGTTCTATCTTTATAAGAATTTATTTGTATATTAGCTTCATTTAAATCACTTTTATAGCATTCAATTTTTTCTTTCATGGCTACTAAGGCAGCTTGTTTGGTTTTACGTTCAGCTATCAAATCTTGACTTATCTTTTCATTAATATTACTATATTTTCTAACTTGATTTAGAATCATTGCAGATCGTGCAGCTAGTTCATCAAGTAAATTGGTTTTTTGATGATCTATTTCTTTACATTCTGTTAATTTCTTCTCATAATGTGAAATCTTTTCTTCTAAATTAACGACTTTTTGTTCAATATTCTGTACAAACAAATAACAATAATGGATAACTGTAAATTATATAAAAAAAATATATTTATAGATAGTAATGAGAATTTCATATGACTAAAAAAATTAGTTGTATACTTGTCTTTGATAAATTTCTTTTCCGAGCTTTAACCATAAATTTTCTTTTGACACAGAATCAAAATTATCTACATCTCCCAGTATTGATATATTTGAGTTAATATTATCTGGATTAGTACAGGGGCTAAATTAAAAAAAAAACTTGATAAACATAAAAAAAATCAAGGATAATTTTGAAATTATTTGTTACCTTTGTTGATTATTGTTTGCTTCATTGTTAAATTCTCGAGCCTTCTTAGATAACTTATCTTTTTCTTCACAAAAACTAGCATTTCGAGATGAATAGTTCTTTTCTAGTGTTTTAAAAATCTTATTATTATACTCATATGTTTTAACCATATCATTCATCAACGTTTCAATCGAGTCAAACCCAATTTGTTTTTCTTTTTTCCTAGTTCGCCTAATTGGAGAAGATGCACTTAATGGACTAGAAAGACCATTATTTATATAGGTTGTTTCCATCTTCTCAATATCATATAACTGATTGGTTAAGGAGTCTAAGTTTGTTACTAAATTGTCAATAACTTCTTTAAAACTACTTGATTCAATAGATACTTCTTCAGTAACTGTATCTTCAATAGTTTCACTGTCCGAAGTATGTACTTGAAAAAAATCTGAAGGTAATGATACTAAAAAGTCAGTATTTTCACTACATGAATCGCTCATTATAAATGTTTACAATGATAACCGAACCAATTTCCAATAGAAATCATAAGACATAAAGTATAATTTATTATAGCGGTACAATAATAGAAAAAATGTATCTTACAATTATTATTGTTTAAATCATTGGAATTTACAATTATCGGACAACGTTATCGCTTATTATCATCATATTGTATAAATAAATACATTTTTGTCTTGTTTACAAAATGGAAACGTTGCACACATACACATAAGATGTATTAGATTGCTAACTGGATGTGATAAGTGAAGCCAAAATTTAACATGGTTTATAGCTTTATGTCAATGTTAAAAATGGCAGCTGACGGCTTCAAGCTAACCCAACATCTACTATATCAGTGGTAAACATAAACCGTTGATGCGATAGATGGTATCATAATTTGTGATAGGAAAATTTAAGGCAGATAAAGAAAAAACAAGCATTTTATGAATTATGTCTTATGATGATAACGTGGGTTATACAATTATTGTTTATTACACATAAGTACTACACATGAAGATTTTTTTTTGTAAATATTTAATTATAAGTTTAATATTATAATCGAATTTTATTGGAAATATGGCTAGTAAATTTGAATTGTAAGTGTAGGTACAACTTTATTTCGGTTGTGTATGATTTTAAAATGCTTATTTCCATTTCAGGTCAAAAACAGTGAGTGAAGATGAGAATACGACGTCCAAAGACATGATGCTCGCTGACAAAATAGTAAATGTTAGTAATGGAAATTTTATTATTTTGTTTGTCATTTTATGATTCTACAAAATCCTGTGTATGCACTTCTTTAATTTATCAAAAACTGTAGTTTTTCTCTAATTTCATTATTACATCTTTTATAACATTGAAATTTTATTAATAATACTTTCTTAGCTCCGAATCAAAGCTAAAAAAGTAAAATTATAGTATTCTATCTCTAAAGAATGTAGTAATATTTGTTTTATTATTATTCTGGTCAGTAATATAACAACATTGTCTAATAAGTATGTTCAAGTTATTATTTACATTAGTTAATACATACAACTAATTACATTTTTCAGTTTATAATTATATAAGTACAAAATTCTATATGAATACTTAATAAAAACTGAGTTATGTTTTTTACTAATAATAAAATGAACATCATATAATCTATTTAGATAATATGTTCTAAATATTATTTTAAAACATACCATTACACATTATTACTGCTAATTAACCAATATATTTACACTTGGTAATTACCCATCACTTAAGATTCTAATTAATAGGCAAAAAATTACTAGTGACATTACATTAATTGTTTATAATTTTTAATCTAAAAAAAATGTATACATATCCGATGTTATAAATTATGAAATAGGTGTGTAATTGGTTTGAATAATTAGTTATTATGATGTGAGAATGTTTTTAAATAGAAGTATTCCAAGTAGTTAATAGTCCTAATAATAAAAAACCACATTTAACTATTTTTTTAGTTTAGGATTTAATGAAAACAATTTTAAAGGTGTTATGTGATACTGTAGTGATTACTAGTTAAAGGAAAACAAGAACTTAATAACATGTATATTTTAAAAATATATTTAGATACCTTTGACAATACCTAATGGAGACCATAAACTTCAACATCAATATTGGTTTTGGTTCAGTCGCCGATTTCCTGGAAAACCTGGTAATACTCCCAGTTATGACCAGAATCTTAAATATCTTGCAAGATTTGGATCAGTTGAACAATTTTGGACAATTTATAGTCACATGGTTAGACCCTGTGCGTTGCAATCGCATTGCGAGTTTCATTTATTTAAAGTTGGAATCAAACCCATGTGGGAGGTAGAAAAAAATAAAATCTTAATTATTGCAGTTCATTTTTATATTAAATTTAATAACATTTTTTATCTTTTCAGGATGAATCTAATGCAAGAGGAGGAAAATGGGTTTTGCGAATACGTAAGGGTTTGGCATCTAGATGCTGGGAAAATCTTATTCTAGCTATGCTCGGTGAGCAATTTATGGTAGGTGATGAAATATGTGGTGCAGTTGTTTCATTAAGATTTCAAGTAATTAAAAATAAATTATGTAAATAAAATTATTTATAAGCTAGATATAAATTTAATAAAACCACGTTTATTTAGGAAGACATAATATCAATTTGGAATAAAACTTCTTACGATCAAGGTGCAACAAATAGAATTAGAGATACTTTACGAAGAGTATTAAATTTGCCACCTAATACCATTCTAGAATACAAGACGCATAATGAGAGTATCAAATCTGTATCAAGCGTTTATAAGATGTAAGTGAAAAAAAAAACAAAATGTGAATTATATAATATAAAACTATTTAAAAAAAAAAATAATAATAATAAAAAATAAACTCTTTGATGATACAATTTGATGTACACAAGCTTTGTACTTTATTAATGTAAGCAAATAGTTATTACATTAATAGATAGAAGTTGATTCTTTTTGTAGATTTAAGTCATTCAATAGAATTCATTTTTTTTTAGACATAATACAGTGAAACCTGCCAACAGACCTTAAAAAATTGAGCAAACTGGATACTACCAAATTTGTATATGGTCCCACCTAACTACTTTGCGTATATATTTTACTGATTAAGACAGAGAGCTGCTTTACTTTCAGTCCTGTGCAATGTGTCTTGGACAGGTTTCACTGTATAAATTCGTACTGGTCCATACATCACTAAAATAATGTTAAACCACACTAATTTTAGTTCCTGATACATACATTTTTGTGTTCAAACATATTATGATTCCTAAAGTTGTGCATTGAACAATTATTACTATTTCAGTATATTAATAGGTATATTAAGATTTACAATTTGTATATCTCTATTACTAATTGTGTGTTAAGATGTACTTTAAATCTATTTATTATTTATAAATAGTTTGTAGCTTTCAATATTACCCTAAAGGAATTTTTTTTTTTTTAATTCAAATCAGTTCAATACTCAATAGCATTAATATTCATTTTGTTTAGATAAGAACATACATATAAAAAATAATTACAAAATAAAAATGTTTCTATATTTGTTATAAGAAACATATTTACCTAAATCATATTGGTATGAATAATGTAAGTTTTTTTATTAACTTAAAAAAATATAGATGATAAAAAAAATACTTAGTTGAGATAAAAAAAATATTTGCACTTTCAGATACAGTTATAGTATCTTTTTCATAAAACTATATATTAAATTTTGGTCTGTAAATAATTACCATGGAAAAAGTTTAACTATATTAAAACTATTCAATAAATAAATAGGTGGAGTTTGCTGTTAAATGTAAAGCACGCAAACCTACTAACATCATAAAATATTTACATACACCAATAAAAATAAGTTAGTTTTACAAGAAATAATTTTTGTAAAATATATGTTTTGACTTCGAAGACTAGAAACGCATTTGAAACAATTAGCATTTTTTTTCTTTTTGAGATTAAAACATTTTCGAGTTGGCGAGTCCTGTTAAATATTACTCAGTGATGTTGAAGTATCGTTATTGTGGTCATACCTAAAAAAAAAAAAATTATAAATATTGAAAAATAAAAATTGATACCAAGAAATCAAAAGACGTTACAACCTAATCTGGTCATTTTTTATTTAAATGATAATTTTTTTTTTAAATAATGGGTTTTTTAGATTCATCAGATAATTGTTTACTTTAAATAAATTTGTATTTACTGTATTATATTTGAAGTACAATACACTGTATCAAATAATAAATTTTAAAATAATTTATTATTTTACATATAATACTATTTCTTTAAAATATTTTTTTATTTGACTGTTTTGAATAGTTTGTTATTTGGAATACAAATTTACTTGATTTTATTATTTTAAATTTGATTTTAATACTTCCCAGGTTAGGTAACAACTTTTAAACTTGACAAGCATCAAGTTTGTTTACACTTAAAAATATTATTTGGTATTTTCTTTTTCATGGATATGTAAAATTTTTGTTTTAATATATTTTCATCGTTTTTTATACCTTATTTATGTGTATAAACAAAAATGTGTTACACAATATATTATAATCACAGACTTAAAATTACATAATTTTCCTATTTTATATTTTTAATCATAATTATTTACACCATTATAAACTAAATAATTTTTTTTACATAGGCTACTTGAAATTACACTGTTCCTTTTTATTCTAAATATTTGATATGCATTGATTGATAATAAGGTAATTTTAGAAATAATATTTCTTCATTAAAAAATTCAATATCATTATTTTTAATTAAATTAATTTACTTTAATTTAATAGTAACTATGTTTTAGTACTTGTAATCTATCTATAAAATAACAATTATTATTATGACACATCTATGATGTTTAAAAAACAATTTGAAATTAAATATAATAGCATTTTTAAAAGTTGTAACCTACAAATTTGATAATCCTAAATTATTTTATGTACTTTGGTATTATTTTGATAGTGTTCTAACAATATTTAATGCCCTTTTTTGTGTTATCAACATTTTACCTTATTCCCTGTCACCATAATCATAAATGAAATATTATGTAACTGAAAGGAGGGTTACCCCAGGGCCTCACTAATTATGCTATAAAAAAATCCTAAATTATAGGTACATTGTTTTAGTAAAATACACTATGCTGCTCACCTAAAACAAAAGCAAATGCCAGTTTGAGGTTGAAAGAAATACGAAATTTCAAAATTTCTGTATCTTCTGATGATGGTAACAATAATCCACATATACATACACCGGCCATGAGCAACGTTGTAAGATTAGGACCAGAAGAATCTAAAAAGAGTTCCAATATGTTTGATGATAAATACTTCATTAATTGAAATAAAAAAAGGTTATTAATGTTAGCTTCCAAAACAGAAATTTATAATAATTTATTCATGCTTCTATGTATAAAAAAATCTCTTTGAAAGCAAAATATATTATAATTTAAAATAAAAGTAGACCCGAGTGCGTTTAAAAGTTGTCCATACAGATTAAGTAAATTAAAAAAAAAAAATGTATAATTATGATAGGTATATAATTATAAAAATTATCATTATTTACTTTTATTTTTAAATTAAACAACTATCTATTTCTATATAATATAAAAAAAAATTAAATAATGTCAATAAGTAAAATGATGCACTTACTTTTATTATAACTTTGCCTTATTTCAGAATCATTGTCAAAGTTATCGATAGAACTATCGTTTTTTAGTAGTTTAAAATTCTCTGCTGCTGGCTCATAGTTGTCTGAAGATCGTAACAATATTGTTTCTACATCTTTGTGACCAATAACTTTTTTTGTTGTGTAATATTGCATTTGTATACGGAATTTATCCTTGATATCACAAAAAGCTGGAGCTGGAGCATTATGTCTAACTACTATGTCCACTCGAGAACTCGCATTTATTGAACCTTCTGGTTCAACAACTGTATATTTCTTTGTACATGTGCAAAAAACTAAAAAATATTATAAAGACATCATGTGATTTGTAATTTATTTTAAAAGTTACCTTTAAATTTGACTGGGAAATCGTATGGGTTGAACAAAGTGATAATTTGTCTGTGAGATGTTTTGTCGTCCAAACTGAAAGTTAATGACTGAGGACTTACAAACACAGGTACCTTGTAGTCAGCCATTATAACTTTAGTTTTAAGATAAACGAAATTTATGAACTTCACATTTATGATTTAATTTTTTACACGTAGTTGCAGAAAGTAGTTACTATTGTAGTTTTATAATTTATACGCAACTTTTTGTGTTATTGTTTGGTTTTTATCATAATCATTGTTCTGTTATCTCTTATCTATGTGTCTTGTATGATGTTTATCACAGCCTATTCAGCTGTTTTCAAGACTGGTGAATAGGTATTATGAGATTTGTACTTATAATATATTATGACTTATACATATACTTAGAATTTATTGTTAATTTATAAAAAATCCTAAAGGACCGACAATTTTTTACATAATTTAAAATCCATATTAAATCTTGATTCATATTTCATACCAATTAAGTTTTATTATGGGATCTTTGATACTAATAGTTAATAATCACAATTTATTTTGTAGTAGTAGATTTTGGACAAAAGTGTATTTGTTTGTTTGGAATATTCTTTATTGTAATTTATGGATACGCGGGAATTAAATAATAAGTAAATCTCAACTTTTGTAGGGAATAAACTACTTTAAGAAAATTTTAATTTGAGTGATGCTATTATTTTTTGATAATATAAGTGATTTTTACATAATGTAGGTTACATCTTGCAATACAATATTCGGTGTAGTTTTTGATCATGATTCTTTGTACACCAAAAAGGTGTGTCATCGTAATAGCTTATAAAATATAATTTATATTATAGAGCGACGATTAATTTCTTGAAAGTTGAAATAAATTTAATCAAATGTCAAACATTAAGATATTTAATTTAATAAAACATACAAACTTTGTTTGGCAATAAAATTATACTTCATACTTTTAATATGTAATACTTTCTTTCTTATTATTACCCCTTACTATATTTATTTACCCCAGTTTGACCAGAGCTTTTCCATATTGAAGTATTTGGAATCAGACTATTTATAATGGTACACATTGTTACATTACTTACACTTATTAAATTTAAAAAGTTATAAACATTATTCATTGTAAATGTAATGACCATTCATTTAACTATAAAGTATAATACAAAATAAAAACTTAATTATTTTATTATTTCAGTTTAGTTATAATTTTGTTTATATTGTTTCAGAAATGGTGCTTTTATGCATTAATTTTTTCTCGAGTATGTTTACAAAAGCAATAAAAATATAAAAAAGGAATAAGTGCAACTAAACAAGAGGATTTTTATGATGGAATAACAAACAGTCAAGTGATAAAGTAAATATAAATGCATTACAAAATATTATTTATAATACACAAATAAAATATAATAAAAATAATTCTAAGTTATAATTACATCCACGTTTTTATTTTTTTATTTTACACATTATGCATTCTATCCCAACGCCAAATAGTACCATCATCACATACACATATTAGAATATTTCCGTCACGGCTAAATGTAGTTTGACGAATTACTGTATTACATTTAGGATGAGCTAGAGTAGTTACGCGCATTGATGCTTGATCATTGGAATTCAAATCCCACACGTATATTTTACCGATAGTATTACCAAGTGCTAGTATCTAAAATATATATTGTTAGTTATAAACAAATACCTAATAATAATTTATGAGGCCTTCAACAAAAGTTTTTTTTTTAAATTAACCGTTCAATATTTGATCATAATGTATTAAACATCAAAATTATTACCATACTTCAGTATGATAACGGTATTAAAAATAGCTAAAATAAGATTTCAATACTGATATTTTGGTCTGAAGATTGAAATTGTTGAAGACCCGTAATGACATAATTATATTAAATAAAAATTGTAAATTACTCTTTGTGAGAAGTCCATAGAAAATCGAATAAACCATACATCACAGTCTTTAAAATCGTAATACCATATCTGTGACACTGCGGTATCATTTGGTTTTAATTCGTTATCTTTTAAATGACCAGGTTTCCAACAAACCATACAGTTTTCACATGACTAATAATATAAAAAATACATAGGAATATTGTTGTTTTATAAAATTATCATACTTAAAACATTTACTTTAGAAATGACGTAATCGCCGATCCATCGAACACAATCTACATAGTTTCTATGTATATCTCGAGTTGAAAATATTGGGAAATGCTCTTTGATAGTATCAAAAGGTCGAGCCGATCTATTTGGATTGAACGAATAAGACTGTTTGATGGAATCTTGAATATAATCTTTTTCTAAACTCCACAATTTTAATGAATGGTCCATTCCACATGACATGATTCTTGTTCCATCAATATTGAAGTCCTAAAAACATTACTTTGATTTACTTTACACATTTGGGTTGTACGTTTTAAAATTTGCGATAAACTTAAAAGTATAAATTGGAACTGGTATACTCAATTATTTTAATTTTAATTACCGCCGAGAGTACTTCGTCTCTGTGTCCTTCAGCTCCACCGAAAATTACAATACACACATCACTTTTGATATTCCATAAGCGCAAGGTATGATCTTTAGACACAGACAGTAACATGTTAGTATCGATTGGGTGAAACTGAAGTTCGTTAATTGCTTGTCCGTGACCTAAAATTGGATTAAAAAATGTATTGAATATTGAATGTTGTTTACCAAAAATATTACCAATGTAATGCCGAATAGAAGACATGGTAGCAGGACTAATAATACGAATGATGCCCCGATTGCCAGCAACTGCAAGGAGTGGTTTACCATTTTCATCTAGTGACCAAGCACAGGTATAAAATGTTTCATTGGACTTATAATGGATAAATTAAGAAAAATTATGATTAATTAAAAAATAAAATAAATTACATTTTAACAGTGGTTACATACACATATTAATAAACAAAATGTAAATTCGGTTTTAAGAAAGAACAAAATGTTTTTATAATATTTGAAGATTGAAATGTCATAGTGAAAATTATAAAAAAGGATACGTCAGGATCTGCATAGCTTTGCAACAAATTTATACTTCCATCATCTAAACACTGATAGACTGATACTCTGTTACTTCCCACTGAAGCGAATATCGACGGTTGATCATCATTCAGCAAGTGATTAAATTGAACACCAAACAATGATTGACCATGGTCTTCTCTTAAGGCACATCTATTAAAAAATAAGTAAAACACAATATTAATACAGATACAATTTGAATTTCTAAAATAATTAGTAATTGCTTAAATATTAATGATATAAGGTTAAAAGGAGAATAAAATAAATACGTACGAGAATTTGTACTGAAGTTTTACATTCTTTGTATTATTGGAAGGTTTAGATTTCTTCTGTCGACCACGTTTGGCGGGTGTGTGACTTCGTGATGTTCTGTCAGTTGTTGAACTATCTATACTTGATGCATCATCCTATAGGAAATAACATAATTATTTTAAGGTAAATTTTTAGGTTGTGCAAAAAAACACTATTGCACCCACGTCAAAGGAGTTATAGGTTAATTTTAACAACCCCTGTGATTATACTATTGTTTTTTGCATAATTACTATTAAAATGTATGCCATAATAGGTATTACTAATTTTAATTAAATATTTTAAATTTACAACAGCTTATCTCAAAAACAACATAAGCACAAATATTATAGTAAATATATAAGATATTGTTAGATAGTTAATAATAATTAAACATATACATATTGGTAAATAAAAAGTTCTAATTAGCATTGGCTCTCAGGAATGTGACTAAAAAAATGTTATTCTAGCTAACTTAAAGGGTATACATTATTCCTATGGGCAACACATTTTATCTTACTAGCTAAGTATAAATACAAATAGTTCATGGTAATTTAGCAAAAAAAAATAAATAAATAATTGAATAGAATAAAGTAAGTAAAAAAAAAAACAATTTGTCGTTATGGTTTAAAAAGTTGAATATTTTTGTCAATTATAGTTCTAATATAACATCTAGGTCTTCCATCCACTTTACTGCTTCTTTTCTCACTTGATGAATATCATGTATGGTACCGGTGAATGCTCGCAGTGGGCATTCGTTAATGATGTGACATGCTTCAGAATCACGCATTCTCCGTTTAAACATCATGTGACCACTTTTAATGCGGTTTAGTGTACTCCAAATTTTCCTTGTTAGGTCAAATCCTGGGTGTTTGGCAGTTAGGTGTGTTACTGGTGTATACACATTAAAAGGGTTATAAGTTTTGAGATATATATATATATATTCAAATTAAAAAAGTTTGTTAAAAATGTTTTAAGAATACAAAATTGAAAGAAAAAAAAATTAATTAACATAAAAAAATTTGAATTTTTTATTATGTTACATAATATTATAACAAAATCAACAAAATAGGTAAGTAAATCTTAAATCTATAATTATTCATGTAATATGATTAGGTATAACCAAAAGTATTGTTTGACAAAGTACTACATTATGTTGTATTTAATTATTCATTTAACTGTTAAGTAAATACTTACAGATTCTATTTGATTAGCGTCAGACATTGTTAATTAAAAATTACAAAAAAAGTCAAAAGTTAAAAATCACAACTGTCTATGAAAAATTATCTCCAATTTGAAAGCTTTTTAATAGTAAACAAACAATGAATACAATACAGGTATAATAACTGGAATCTAGATAAAGAATTTAAAACTCCGGTTTTTTAAATTGCCATAATCATAAGCAAATGATAATAGAGGACGCTAGCGATAACAGTCGTCAGACAGTCTCGGTAACATACACATACAAAAATTTAACGTCTTTCCTCCTGTTTATTATTTTAAAATATTATGTCAAGTTTTTAGTGCATTGTTCTTGAACGTTGGAATGAATCTTAGATCATTGTTAAACAAAATATAATATAGTTTAATGAACTGACGAACCGACTATACCTATAGAGGATAAGCTATGTATTATTATTTTTAGTAATTCATTTGAATTAAAAAATCCAAAAAGTTTCAGATCCCTAACTCAACTCTACTTACTCATGATTTTTTTGTTGCATTTGAATAACAAGGGTCATTTTAATTGTTCATTAAAAAATTCTAACTTGACTAAAAATGTACGATACTTGGAATTTGGTGGAAATCATTCTTCGTGATAATTCTTTTTTTTAGTATGCTCTCAAGTTTTCAGTTAAATCGCAATGTTAATGGTCTGGAACTTGATAAAAATTATTTTTATCGTGAATATAAATATCAAGAGAGTGAATTTGAAATGTCATATTTCATTATAACCTTTTTTCGAATTGTAAAAATGTTGACTAGTTTTTAAGTTTTTAATGAAAAAATAAAATTTTACATGTTATCACTTGCAAAAGGGAAAAATTCACGAGGAAGTACTTGAGTTAAATTAGGGATTACTTATTCTTATTTTTCATTTATGTTGTTTTCAATTATGATTAGCCGTTAGTGCATTAAAACAAAAGAGTTGTCGGATAGTGAAGGACTCGTAAAGATATATAGATTTTCATTTTCATTTAGTTTGAAAGCTATGTGCAAAACAAATGGAAGGAATAACCATTTTAGGGCAAATTCGCTAAAACAATTATTAGGGTACAGCGTATAACTGATACACATAAATAACAAGACATTGATACTGGCTTAAGGCGCAGTGTTTGTTTAACTAATTCAAGACCCGTCTAATAGTCACCAAACAATATACAGCGAATAGCCGTGCTTATGTTACGACTGACGAAGTTTATTTTGTTTTGGTCCACTTAAAATTATAATTTATTTTTACTTGATATCATATCAACTACTGGTCTAGATATGGGAATTTATACAAACTTGGTCGATATTTCGTTTATAAAGATTTTGTTTACGGATAAATGTAATATTTTAAAATGCGGTCGAATCATTGACTCATGTGTATAATGATATAGAGGAATACAAAGGATAAAAGTGTTGTGTATCCATAATCCCAGTAAACGAGGACCGCGTTATTTTAAACGCATTACATTCATAGTATAGGTAATATACGTGTTTGGTTTTCAAAATGAGTTCAGTCCTAAAACAAAAAACCTACCAAGAATATTCAACTTGATCTCGAAGTTTTAAAGACTCATCGATCTTTTTCTTGGATACAGTTCTGGTCAAAATAAACGATAAGGCCGAGAACATATTCCTGTAAGAATTCTATATTTCAAATCTAATAGATATCGTCGCTGAATTATTTATGTTGTATGCTATAACTCTAGCGCAACGAAGTCTGAGACGGTTAGAATACAAAAGTTTCTTATTTTGCAAAAATATGTTCAATGCCGATAGCTCGTATTAAGCAATTACATTTTTAATGGCTTACTATGGTCTATGTAAGTTGGAAAACGATTGTTATCATTTATCAAATTTGAACAGTATTACGGCGTGTGTAAAAAAAATTAAGTATTTTTTGTGGAATTCAATATGACCGGCAAATGTATGAAGGATAAGTATTGCGGGTATGAATGAACTTGAACCTGTTTAATCATTGAGATTGCAAGAGCAATAAAATAAGCAGAGTTTAAACTGAAAATAAAGTTACGAGAGCTTTAAACAGGATTTTATGGGTTGTAAAACGTTTAAATGTTTGTTACCAAATTGAAAACATTTGTATAATATAGACTGCAATACTATACAAATTAAATTTCCGGTACTCTTAGGTATATACTTATAAACTGACAACATAAGATTTAGTTTTTATTTTATAAAACAAACCCCAGTTGTGATTTATTAGGAAATTAAAAATTATAAGTTATAACGCTGTAAACCATTTAAATTACTAGTATTTTTGAAAATTAGGTTTGTTGAGTACATTTAAATTGTATTTAACTCAAGGAACATTTCTAGTTTGTTCACTAATATAAGGAAATATAAAGTAGAAAGCAAGTAGGTGTAGATAGCAAGGTGTAAGTACTATACAATTATACAATATACGTATATTATATGTATATATCTTTATATATGTATTTATAATTTTTTTTATAAAAGGCCAGGGCAGGGCCGTATTTAGACATTTTCCGACCCTAGGCATCACGAATTGACCGCCCGTCCCTCCTCAAAAAAATGAACACGTATTTTTTTGATTAAAACGAAAATAAGCATACAGAAAAAACTTACCCACATTTCTAAACCAAAATATATAATAAACAAAAACAAGATACAATTGTTTGTTTTAATTACTCTGAATGAACAAAAAATATAACAAAACTAAAATATGCCAAAAGCAATACAATAAGTTTATAAAAATAATCAGGCATCCTTCATATTTACTTGGAGTATTATGACTTGTGAAAAAAATGACTAATTTTTCTTGTTTTAACTACAACAGATACTATTTTTTTTACTTTTTGAAGAGCAATTTTCTCATAAGCTGCTCTACTTAATCGATTTCGTTTCATTTTAATTGTTTTTAAAACAGAATACCTTAATATATTAAATAATATAAAAAGAGTACGTCAGTTCTTAATGTTATCACTCATCACTCATCACTTATTACACAAATCATATCCCATATTTGATATTTTTTTTATATTTTTGCCATGCTGTCTAGTGCCGTAGTTAATATACATCTATTTTAATTAAATGTACACTAACTTAATTGTTGCCCTTGTTAAAAAAAAAAAATTATCAGATGAAATTTGCTGGTCCAGTAAAAATTTGCTGTCCTTTCAAATATTGTCTCTAAGGGCAACACGGGACTGTTATCCTTCCCAAATTCGGCCCTGGTGACGCCCGTGACGGTATAATGTATTTTAAACGTCTGTAGTCGATTACTTTATTTATTTTTCAAGTTGTTAGGATAGGTTCATGTGGCGAATTATTTGTTTTTAAGTCCTAAGATAAAAGGCGGAAAACGCGCGCAATGCTTTCTAATTTAACTGGCATTATTTCATACAAGCGCGTCATGTACCACCGCCGCCGCTGGAGTACGTCCTTTGCAACGGTCATGCGCACCGCGAGCTGTTCGATCCGCCGCTCAGCCGCCGTCGGCGGGCCTCACTGTTTACATCGGCTCCAGTATACCAAACGCTTACGCACGCGGCACACTCGAGCGGGGCGGGTGCCGAATAAGAAAACGGCTCGGCTTGCGTGTTTTTTTTTTTATACACACGAACCGCTTGTCCGGACAAGAACAACGCAAAGCGGACGGCTGACAACACCGTCGTCATGCGGCCGTCTGCGGCTTTCGGTAAACCGTTTACGTATCTGGCGGTCGCACCACCGGCTAACGAGTCACAATCGCCGGTGCCGGCCGTTGTGGCTACACCGCCGGCACCACCGGTTAGGGGTGTCACTAAGCGGAAACCACCGGTGCCTCCGCCCAGAGGCGAACAGACTCGGCTGACGACTGTGCAGCCCGCCATAAAGTCGGAGACGACCGCGTCGGTACCGACGACACCGGTCACTCCTGCACCCCAAGTACCGCACACGCCGGTACTCATATCGGCTATAGCGACAACGCCGACACTGACAACACCTGCATCACCAATACCGTCGCCGATAGTGGTACCGACACCAACATCGAAGGCACACACGCCGTCAGAACCTGAAGAGGACTTGTCTGCGTCCGCGTTGATAAGCAAGTTCGAAAACAGCTGTGCCGTGACGTCAGCAGTGGCGGCAGCGGCGACTATCATCACTAGACAATCTTCTCAGGATCACAGGCCGTCCGAAGTGGATTCGGGCACCTCTACGTTGGCTGAGAGCACCGACGACGATGACGACGCTAATGGGGACGTCAACGAAGAAGACGACGGTGCCGCCGACATATGGATAAGGACTATCGATTCGCCGGTAAAGAACGTACAAAATCCGCAAAAGGTCCGACACCATTCGGACAGCGCTATCAAGACGCTACCGCGAGGACCGTCTCCGTTAGTCGAAAAACGAGGGAGTCTGCCGTCGGATCCCGCCAAAGAGGGGAACGCCGTAACGGAAAATAAGTCGTCACCTTTATTACCGACGAAGGATCAGGTGAGATCTTCGTTTCGGTCGAGTAGTCGTTGTTCGTCACCTGCGCTGCTCGCTCTTACCAGTCAACAGCAACAGCCGCTAAAGAGAATCAGCGCCGCCGAAGCCCTCGGCGTGATCGCTAAGCCTTGTCCTCGAATAATACCTTCGGCCATGGACGCATGCAGGCGTCAATCGTTGGGCAACCTGTCGGAATCGAAATTCGGCGGCACCATGGCCTCCCGAGCGTCGTGGGCTCAGCCGTCGGGCGTACAAACCGACGTGGAGTCAACCCAAAGTGAACCGTCGTTCGATTATAGGCGCAAAAAGTTCACTAAACGCTGTTCCAGCGCGGACGGTCGGAATCCGGTGCATCACCATCATCACCATCACCATTATCACACGCTGTCCAGTAGGGTGACGGCCGCGCGCGATCCTGACTTCGGTGCAAAGCGGGCTTTCATCCAAGAGAAACTCTCGGGTGGCCAACCGAACACATCATGCACGCTTCCACGTCCTCCTCTTGCCACGCAGAACGGCGGCGACTGTCGGTCGGCCGGCCGGTCGTCTTGTAACTGTGGGCAACATCAGGCAACGTCCAGGCCAATACTGATGAGCAAACGGACCGTGTCGGCCGAAGAACTTTTACCACCGTCCGAAATCGACGAATTCAACACTAGCCCGCCAGTCAATGCGGCCGGTCGCGGTTCGTTTGGCAGACCGCAGCGGGTGACTTTCGCACTGGACCAACAACTCCTCACCTCCAAGCCGACGGGATGCGCACCACTCTTGACGAAAAAACCGTTCAAGAGTAACTTGAAGATGAAGGATCCCGTTTTCACCACTTCGGTAGATCTTATTGACGCCAACGTCAACACTCGGTTGCCGCCGCAACACCCGCATCCGTACGGACTGGCCTACAGACTTCCAGTGGTCACCGCGGATGTTTTGCAGGTTGTATGCTTTAATCTAATACCGATAAACGATTATTTTAATCTATGCAAATTGTCATCGGTTTTGAAATTCCTAGATGTTGGTGTGATTAGATATGATTACACAATCCAAGAATTTAGCTGGGTATAGTGATACAGTTTAGTTTCACACTGTTGGTGAAACTTAAGTTTTATACTTTAGTGTCATTTAACAAAAACATATTCGAAGGGTATAATTAGCATTTTAAGAAGGCTTTTCTGAGTCCCCTAGCTTTCCCTAGTTGCGACACTGGTTGGGTCGTATAGCAATCAAAACTTATATTATATTATGAAGACCCTAAAAGTCAAAGAGAATAATTGTACAAGTGCTATTTATAAAACAATTGAGTTAAGTGCACAGTTATTTATGTAATAATGGTCTTTATATGGAAATCTTTAAGTATAGTATTGGTTGTTTCAATCATCAAGCACAAGTGATAAAAATAATCAGTTCAAATATGTCCATACAAAGACTACTATTATATAACCCAGATTGTGCAATTAACCAATTCATTTTTTATTCAATTATTCCCCATTGGTTTCTAGCAGAATCCGATTTAGAAATATCGAGATCCAATGACTTGATGTATAATATGGTTCTCCCCTATTAGTTACGTTATCATCCCCATTCTTATCATTTTAACAGAGTTTTTTCTCATTTAGTTTACTACATTTTATTTATAGGCAGTTTATTTATGTTTTCAAATTCAGAAATCGTTATTACATAAATGAATGGTAGTACCATTCATTTACCATTATGGTACTCTATTTAGAAATGTATTGATGCAACTGTATCAAAATATAACTGTTTCAACCAGGTCATTTAAAACTATGGCCTTCTATAATTTCTAAAATATGAAACTTGAATTAGTTAGTTGTTTAGTTTATAAGATTAGTTTTATAATAATGTAAATCTTAGACATTACTCGGTTTTATTTATCTATGTAAGATTGTCAAACACATTTTTATTTTAATTAAACTCGCGATGCAAGTTAAACCAAACAGCGTTTGTCCATTATAAATTTGTAATTACTATAGTGAAAATTTTATTCCAAGCCGAGTAACCGTGTTTCAAATAAAAATGTTGAACTCTAAAGTTGGCGTTTGTTTGTTTGTATTAACTACAGCGGATAGAAAAAAAATACGCATGTTGATTTAAACATAATTATTTTACTAGATTTGGATGAGAAGTTCGCGAATAAAGTAAACGAGTAATAATTTACAGAATAATTATTAATCCCGTGTACTCGAGTGGGTATTCCAAACGGCGTTCCAAATAATTATTTTACAAGGTCGTGCTTGTTGGATACGTTGTTTCGGCTAGTAATTAAACCGTCGATCGTTATCAAATGCTTAAGTGTATTATTGTATCCGGATCAGGTACTTTTGACCGGAACCGGGTCGCACTCGGTGTCGGAGAGTATGAGGAATAATACGGTTGAACTTTGAACACATGCCGCGTTATTATATTATGATTTATGAGAATGTTTTTTTCCGTGAGCTCGGACACGGTAATTCAAAAATTAATTTCTCCGCTTCTTCTCTGTACACATAATTTTTATATTGAAAAATAAAAAAAATACACAGTTATTTTAGTATAATATACTCTCCAGTTTTATGGAAATTTGAGCATTTTTTTAAGTATAAAAAACAAATTGTAACTGAAATTAAGTATTTTTTCTTGTAAGTTTAAAAACTTTGATTTATAAAAATATGAAAAATAATAATTAATTGTGGCAAAAAACACTTATTTTAAATGATATCACTACGTAATTGAGAGAGTTAAGCAAATATTAATGATTTTGAATATTATTATTTTTTTAAACTTTTTTTTTAAAATAGTGAATACCCATATAATACTACTACAATAACTAGAATAACTATAATAATACTATACTTTTATACCTATACTATAACTACTATAACTATACAATACTCTTCATATTTTACATATTGCGTATGTAGACATGCTGTCTTAAAAATATTAATATGTTTTTGTGCTGTGTAGGCGGATTCATTAAAAAATGAAATAACATTATGGCGTTATGTAGACCAAAGCGTTGCAAGATGTTTTAGCTGTTGGACTTGCGCGTCCTAACGGGTACGCTTTAATTATTCCATGACTTAGCGTTCTTGAAATAGGCCTCTAAAAATTCCACCCAATCCGAGTTAACCAATAAAATATAATATTGTATCAAGAACGCAAGAGTTTAAATTCAAATAGGGTTTTAAGCTTGACTGCTCGAATTTATTTGGAATTGTTTTGTTTTAATGTTTCGTTATGATTTTCCTTTATTGTGTTTAATATTAATCATAAATTATCAGCGTATTGGTTATAGTTGATTTGGCGTTTTGAATAAAGTGATGACAATAAAATACAGCTTGTCGCTGGAGCCAATAGATAAAAGACAAATGACTTGTTGGTGACACAGGTTTGGCTCAGATTTTCCTACAAAAATAAAATAATTATATTGGAAAGCATCGAAAACTAGGTGTTCAAATGTTTTACAGATTTTAACCCTGAAAGCAATCCGATCATCGAATCCACAGTCAATGATTTTAGAGAATTTACACGCTCCCAAAAAAGTTATTTGGCGATTGTATTACATTTTGTGAGTTAAAACTTGAAATGTAAACTTTAGCGTCGAGTAATCAAATTGGACGCGCGCAATATTGTTATAAAATATATAAAGTTTTTTTTGTCCATTACCGTATGCAAATATGTACTCTCGGTTTTTACATGATATAATTTTCTTCTTGATACTTGAACGGGATACAGTACGTCAAAAAACGGTATCATGCTTATTAAGTTTAGCGGTCCCCTAACTCTGTTAGACGAGCAGCACTTGGCGATTTGCCTAAACGAATAAAATATAATGAATATATTGCCAGCGAAATCGCATTAAATTACTTTTGTCACATAACTCACATTATGGAAAGTATTTTATGCTAACCTTTATTTTTTTCTCCGACTAAAAATGCAATGGTATTTCTTTTAAATCTTCTCAAATTTATTTATGGAAAAGTGAAAATTGAAAAAAACAAAACCAATAAAATTTTAAATTATTAATTTCAATTCTTAAGCTGTTACATTTTTACCGAATAAATTTGCTCTCCCAAAATTAAATAAGTATTTCTATAATTCTATGACTAAAGTATTTAATTATAATATTTTTATACGAGTTTTAAAACCGATACAACTCAGTAATTACAATTTATTGTCGTGGAATGTGGCGATGCTAAAATCAAAAATGTATAGCCTGACCTGCGAATGGTTTATGGCTAAATCTATGCAGTATGCATAGGTTTGATATGAAATGGAATTTAATTTGTCCGAAACTAGCACAAGCCGTTGAAAATATATATAATATGTAATTATAGAAAGGGAAATAGCCTATATAGTAGATGTATGATAATATGATAAAATATGGTATTTGAAGGATTTATGTTTTTACAAGCGTCTACCCATCGTAGAAGCCAGTCTGGTGAAGTACAGTTGATCTTTCCTACCGAGTTTTCTGTTGAATAAAAATAGGGCGCGCTACAACTTTACAAATTAGTTTCAAGTTTAGGGTATTCTTAAAAAATAAAACCCTACTGATTTGCAGTCAGAAACCTAGACAAAAACATTATTTATTCATATATTTATGTATAATTTTATCGGTTATCCATATTATATTTATTATTTTAACCATAACAGATTCGCATGGAAATTTTTCTGCCTCTCAGTTATAATAATTCTTACAGGACGCTCTGACCTCACTACGTTCCGCTGCAACTGCGTTGGATTTATTATGTATTTTTATGAAATCGCTGAACCGATTTTTTAATCAACATCTCTATTGTTCAGAAATCGTAGCCGAAAGACCGTATATTTCTTCTAAAAATAGAGAAAACGTCTAAAAGTGATTTTTATTTTCAAGTATTCACTTTTTTTGTGTTTTATACAAAAATGTATTAGCTCAAATCTAAATGATCTTCGTTCACTAGAATCGGTAAAAAGGTGATTAATTCAAAATTAACCGTACCAATCAAGATTATGTTTGATACGCTATTTTAAAAATTACAATTTTTTTATTATGGACACCCGTGACCAGACTAAGATAGCTCCAAACGGCTGTACTATCGATCCAATCTCATCCTCAAATCTTTCTTCGAATACTCAATAGATTTAAGAAGTTGTATTTTCGAATACTTTATTGTTGTATACTTTTGGCGCGTTACTCGATAGATAGACGCTAAAAGCGTCTACAGTTGCACGCATTTGTCGACGTCGTCTTGTACAATACAACACATATCGCACGCAATATATAACAAGGGACAATGGCTTCGTATAGTTCTAGCCACATAGTAAAAAAAAAAGTGAGAGAGAGAGAGAGAGAAGAAACTATAAAATAATAATAATTACCCATCGTGTCCATATAGTCGACGGTCGTTATGGCAGAAGTGAGAAAAACAATATATAACTTAACTCAGGCGACACTGCCGAGCACACGGCCTTTGCGAAATTTAATGTCGGCTACTGTATTTTATGTGTGGTTTGCTGCCACGATCGCACTGCTAAAAGTTATGTATACATTTATAGTTTACCGGGTTCGAAGTGTCGTTGCTATTTTTTATTATTATTAAACAGTCGGATGACATTTTGCGTTTGCTAACAAGCCGAAATTCCAAAATCGATAAACCTTTTGCGTTACCGCCTAAACGAGGGCGGCGTACATCATACTACTATATAGTTTAAACAGACAAATGTATTATACAATGTACATATTGTCCGTACACGCTAAATAGTGCGTTCGTTTATACCGGTATAAATCATTTGGAAAACAATCAACGCGATATAGTGACTAACAATTCTGATTTCATAACATTTGTTTGCATTACAAAAAAGTAACAATAGTCACACGGAAAATGTTTACCAAAAAATTTGATTAAAGAAATTGTTTAATTTTATTGTTATTTGTTGATATTATGGTCGATAATCAAGTCTGGTTGTATATTAATAAATAATACATAAACAATCGATGTGTTTCAGATTACTATCAATAATCTGACTAATTTTGATTCAAGATCGGTTTTGTGTTGACTTATTATTTTTATAACATGGTGTATAAATGCTGAACTTCTATTTTTTTATTCTATAAAAAACCATTGGTTATTCCATTAAATTAATTTCTATTATTCAATTATAAACATTGTTATCAATATTTTATAATTGTATCTTAGATATGATCATTGTAACCGTAGCCGATGTGTGCTGACGCCTGATTTTTTGATAAATTCATTATATAGATCTACAGCCGTTTTTAGCTTCGGTGTTTTTTTATATGTTTTTGATCAGTAATGTAAAACTTATGGTTAGGTATCCTGTTAAAATTTGAACGACATAAATAATTATTTTATCATATTATGTCCTATCTGTGTAATTGTTAAGATTTGGAAATATTATGTAAATGTGTTCAGTGATGGATCTAGCCGGTAAATAATGAGTAGGATAGAATTTTCCTTCTTATTTTCCTAATAATCTAATATTCAAGTACTTTTTTTAGATTTTTCCGACTCCGTAAAGGGTAATTTATGTATTCACTCGATTAATCAAAGAGATTTATAGGTAATTAATCACGGGATTTGCTGACAAACGAAAAAGGCTTTAAGTAAATTAATGTTGCTACCTTAATTAAATTAGCATTTGAAACTATGAAAGAACCGCAGTGATATCGGTTTTTATAAACCCGATTTGGTGTAGGGTTTGGGTGTGCTCAATACCACTTGTTTTGATAAACTTCTTTGAATTAAAAATATTTTTGAGTTCATAAAAACGGGTTCATTATGAAAATACATTAAGGGATAAATATGAATACAATCAATTCGATTTTGAAGGAAATACGACTTACGTTACTCAAAAATTAAAAATATATAGGTTAAATATTATATGTTGTAATATAATTTTACAAAGGTAACATTTTTTTTTAAAGGTTTTGTTTCCCATTTTTATTGATAATAAAATTTATGTTATATGACTGTTTTTTTTTATTACAAACACGTGCTAATCACAATATAGCAGTGGCGTATTTTAATGGGGGATAGATCCTTCCCCTTGGCCTTTTTAGAATAGTTAGAAAACAGATATACTTAAAAGTAATAGTATCTTATAGATACGTCATTGTAATAGAGTAACTTTAATTTCTTTATCAGAGTTTTAATAATAAGATAGTTCAATTACAAATTGTTTGAAATAAGTTGCTAATCAATAACCATAGGTCATAGTGTTTTTTACATAGGCGTGAAAACATTATTATCGGCGATCGTTTAATAGCTTTAACCATTTATTAAATTATTATTTAATGTCAAATAGACAAAATGGTTTTTTTGTTTGGTATTTTTTTTTTTTGGTTTGAATAAAATATTATTAATATGTATCGTGTTAAATGATTGTGGGTACTTCGAAACATGTATACAACCTAGGACAAAACACAAAAAATAAACTTGTATAGGTAGGGAAATCATCTGCATATCAATGTTATTATCCTCCGTTCATATATTTGTACACAAAGTTGAGGGTAGCTAAATTGTAAAAACCCCAATATTAAGAGCTGAAAAAATTTGGGTAGACATCTCTAAATTCATTATACAAGTATAATTTTTATATGTTTTAACCAGCATAATATTTAACCACACAGTTAGGGTTTAAGTTACAAACTACAAGTAAGAATATACATTTTGAAAGATGTCCTTGATTGTTAACTGTTTTCTGTACGCGAACAAATTATTTAGTACATTATTCAGTTTTTTATTTGTATTATCCCTCGACAAGCGATACGATTTAGCCCTGGAAGAATAAACTTCCTCGTTTTCCTCAATTGCTACACATATTATATTTTGTGATATTACACTTTCTAATTTGTATTCGGAGCATGCTATCATTGTTTATTTGTAGCCTTTTTTTTATTATGTTTTATGGTCTTTGATATGACGTCATCTTCGAAGGGGTGAATTATTTTGCAATATGGACGGAGGGTAAAAAACGAACCCGTCCGGAGCAGCAGAACGGTTGTAGGATAAATAACAACAAAATACAATGGAAAAGTCGGTCGTTAGAACACATTTTGTAAATTATCACACCTACGAACAACGTTTAGGCAATTTCCCTTACCGTCTTAAAACTGTTGGCTGTGACACAAACAGATGCACGTTTGGTTGGCTTATGTTCAGATTAACGGCGCACCGATGGAGGACATTGCGTTAGTTTTGAGTTTCGAAGTAACTCGAATCGCGTCTCCCGTCTTATCCTTTTTTCCTCTCACATTAATGAGTTCAAGTTGTTGTTCTCGTTATTTGTTGAAAACGAGAAAATCCCAGATAACAAAAACAATCAAATACAAACGTGAGGTGATATCTGGAAGTCTGAACATAAATTATAATAATATATTATATACTTTACCTACCTATCAAGAGACATGTGCCGGATTCTAAATGCTAACACTGTTTGAGAACTCAAGTAACAAACTGAAATTGCATACATTTCTATTGACAACACCGGAAACACGACATTTTGGCATGTTCCCAAACACCTTTATATTTCCTTTAAATTAATATTTAGCTAACATTCAAATACACGCAGAGGTTGCGTGTAAAACTAAAATAAAACGAAGGAAATCTAACAATAAAGATAAAAATGTTTTAAGAGAAGCATCGTCATTGATACTTCTCTTAAAACATTAAAAAAAAACCCATTTTTTTTTTTTATCAGAAGGAATACAATAAGCACAATAAGTACATGTTTTAAAGAAACCACTCATTAGAGACACTTCCCATGATTTTTATTTTTAAATTTAAATTAACTTATTTATTCTTTTATTTATTTTTTAAAATTATTATTATTAAAAAAACAGATGTTGGCGCCACTTATTGGATATAATTATGCAAAAATAGTTACGTTTATTTTCATCCCATCATTCTAAAATCATAGGAAACATTATTTCTTTATTTTTTTTAGTTATCACTATACAAATTTATCCAAACGATTGTCGAAGGTGAAATTTAACTCAACAAATTGTGGATTTTAAATAAAGCAACACAAAACAAATGGTTAGTCGCCACAGCTAAATAGTAAAATTAGTACTTGCATAATTTAGGTGTGATACTAAAATGTCAAAGAAGAAAGGTCTACGAACAAATTGTTCAACGTAGTTCTATAATTTTAAATGTACACCTGTGGACACTATGGTCTAGAGATCACAGCTCTTAACTCAATTATATTTTCTTTTTCATTGTAGCTGTTGTTTATTTTACTGGAATCCGTCCGATGGGTGTGTGGGAGTTACAGAAAAACGAAATTCCATTGCACAAACTGTAGTTTATTTTTAAACTAGTATATTGTAACAAGTAGATGTTACACTCATTGACGTACAAATGTGTAACATATCAAATAAATAATAATGATAGTTTTGTTTAATTTCAAGTTTGCTTTTGCTACCTCCATTATTATTTTAAAGACTCTTGCTTAAGAGGCAAAACGAGTAAATGATTTATTGCTTTGCTCACTATTTTATACTTCCTAATGGTTTTAGAGTGACGAACGGGTTCAGGCTCTTAGTAACTCGAAAATGAAATTAACATATTTATTATTTTAACAGTTTATGTACAGCTTAATTAAATGATGTCTGGTATTTTTAGCGCTTAAATTATAGTGTAACAAAAACAGACTCAAAGTTGGTATAAAATCAAGTGTTTAAATGTTTGAATCTACATTGAAATAATATACATTTTAAGTAACAAATGTTCATTTGCGTGTTACATAAAATAAAAGGTAAAATTTCAAGTATAACACTAACGTGTGTTTCACAATATTGGGTAAACTGATGTATATTATATTGTACGTATAGAAATATGCTTAAAACTGTATAAACTTTATACACTAAAAGTTTTGAACGATGATAAAATTATTATTCTTATCGCTTACGTTAGGACTGTGAACAAAAGAAGAACAGATTATACTCTGTCAAGTCATCACTTACTCCCTCGAGTTTGAGTTTGTTTTCCTCTTCTGGTCGAGAAGTCAAAGGGCTGTTGTTCCATAGGCTATAATAAATCAGGCAAAATGTATAAACTACTTGAACTTCATTGGCTGTATCAGAGGATTTAAGTGCATAGGGATCAGACGTCCTTTTGAGAAGAACAAAAAAAAAGTTGTTATTTTGGTATGCAAAGAGTACTTGATATTTAATCATGTCTACCATGTATACAACGCATGTATGTATATATACTATATTGTGTGGGAAAGGCTTTAAATTATTGGTGGCAGTTTGTGTATACAATTTTGAAATTCTATACAAAATTAGCTGTCAGAAAACAAGTATTATTTAGGTTTTAATAACAGCTTATGTAGTTTAATAATTTAATTTCCTTTATTAGTAAAATTTGGAAAATTTTTTTCAAAATTCGTTGGAATATTTTTTTAACATTAAATTTGTTTTGTATGATTTCAGAACAAAGGAAATTCTGGGGTGATGAAAACGTTGCACAAACCAAAGGTAAGCCACGATTTTTATGTTAAATCATAAAAATGCTTACCCCAGTAACTTTCATTATAATAATATGTAGTAATTCATTTCTATACAAATAATATAAGTGATTTACTAGATTAACCTAGATTAGATATTTTTTTATAATTATATGATCTTTAATTATTATTAGTTTTTACATTTTTACACTTTTTTAACTAAACATACTAATAATAATTGTGTTATATATTTTTTTGTAACTTATTTCCTACCGAGATTTTTTTTATATAATTGGGTACTTAAAAGTTTCAAGGATTATTGTATTATTTTAACAGTTTTCATCTTATTTATGAAAACTATTAAAATTTGTTTTTTTTATGTTTTATAACTGTATAATTATCTGCAAAGATCAAAGTGACATAACAAGTCATAACGTGTGCTAATGAATAAAGAGTGTTTATAATCATGATCAAATACAGTTTTAGTACATTTAGCTTGTTTCTTTTTTGTATAACTTATTTTAATACATATCCCTCTGTAGCATGTACATAATATGTATGTAACTGCTGAATTTCCTAGAAAAATGTTAAACTGCATGCGCCTTTATCGTTTTTTTAGCACACAGAAAATTATTACAAGACAGGTCTTGTGTAATATATACAATTGGTATTTTTTTGTAAAAAGGGCGTTTTCTACAAACGTGAAATTTATCAGTGATAAATGCACTTTTTTAGGTGGCCTCGTATATTTTAAACGCGTTGTACGTCTACTGTCGTGGTCTTTTGACCCTTAAAATTTATACTTTGTTTAAAATTTTTAAAAAAGTATACTTTTATTTTCGTTGCGTAACGCTCTTTTCATAACACTATATTGATTTATTTGCTACACATATTAAAAATTATTATATATTTATATATATTAATGTTCCCCCCAAAAAAAATTAATGGAATCAATGGTTTAAAGATACATAACCCAGAGCAAAAGTGTATTAATACATAAAATGTAAATTTTACAGGAAAGAAAAATAATGTATTAATTAAATTTATTTAAATGGATTAACTTAAATGGACTCATCTAAGAGTCCAAACGTATAAGGTAGGTCAGTAAATAAAGCGCTAAATTTAAATCTAGGTGAGCAAAAAAACCGGGATATTGAAATTTTCGACTTATTACACTTTTAGGTATGTATATAAACAAATATTTAGTCGGTGTTTATTGTCAAACTGACTAACTCTAAGTCATTGTAACTAATTAAAAATAGAAGAAAAAACACAAATGTAAATACATATTTTAAAGGTCAGTTTTCAGGATCTTTTTTTAAAGTTTTAAACATATTTATAAGTTTGAAGTTATGACCATTTTAATGAAAAAGTATCTTTTATGTGTTAATTAAATGATGAAAATATAGCTCTATAAGAACCACTTATCTAGTTATCCTAGAAAGCTTAAATTTTTAACATTTCTTCTTTTTGGCAAACAAAAATATAAAAACGATTTAAGGGGTAGCAACATTTTTGTTTTGGTAGAAACAGTTATAACAGGGAATTGATCAGGGGGTTATAGTTATATTACATTATACTATTATGAGGTCGAAGAAAGTTTTTCAGCGAACAGTGTCATAAATAATAATTGAACGCACATTTCCATATGAGAGAGAATGGGCGTTATCTAGAAATCTCAGTTTCAGACAAAGGGTGGTGCCTAATGTTATTTCTTTGTTAACATAATACTATTATAATATACGAACAAACGTTATGGAAAATCTATACTCGATGGTTTAATTGGCAGTTCTCTGCAAAAAAATGTTTAGACAAAGGCAAATGTTTTTAAAAGCATTATGCAGAATTCCTCATGTAAAAATTCAGATAATTGTTTATCGAAGAATTGCATACACAAATATATGTCCTCTTATTTTTATCATATAAAATAGTAACACAAATACATAATGATTTGCTTTGTATTTCAAAACTGGCAAGGTCTTGGTGTCTTAAAACATTTTAAATAATATAAAAAAACTTTAAATTATAATAAGTTTTTTACTTTTACCAACGTTGTATCACTCACTACTTACAATATGGCGAGTACTGCTTTTACTGTTACCCTTAATATAATAACAAAACGTAGCATGATGAGATTATGAGGATTTTTTTTTCACTAGCTATGTATATAAAACAAAAATGTATTAATTAAAACAATGTAACTGAAATAAATTAGTTTGTTACACGGTGTTTCTTTTTTTAAATCTCTCAAAAGTTTTAAATTAAAAACTTGTCGACCCCGTTAAATATTAAGCTCTTTAATATTTAACGGATAATTTTGTTTACAAACTTGAGTATAATCAATGTAATAAATAAATAAAATAATATTGCTTCAGTGTTTTCTTAATCGACACCGAATTTTTTAGAATAAATATTTATATATTATATTTTTATGCGTTATTGGTTTATGACACAGACTAAATAATACATGTGTTCTATGTATATTAATAAAGTTTGTTTTCAAAAACAATAACAATGCTACTTAAACGCTTAATTTTGGAATTAATGTTGATACCAATCAATTTCTACAGATTGCCTAATTGGCTGTTACTAATCTTACAAAGTGAAATTAGAACAGTATTAGAAAGCGGCACGGCACGGCAAGGAAACGGTAAAACTAAAAACTTAGCAAAGTTACGAGCAAATACGGTCTCAGTGGCACAATCGAGAAGTCTGGCCTAAAAATGTTTAACTGAATGTTTTTTTTGAATATATGAATATTGCTAGCTATATTTTAAAAATAACATTTTTATATTTCTGTATGTGACATCAGTATAATAATAATAATAATGTTTATAAAAATGTAGTTTTTATAATATCATGTTTACCTTAACATATTTTTACTCAAAGAAATTGTCTCTATTATTTTCTTTTTAAAATTCAACGCGAAAAAAGTAAATAATAATATTTCTGCTTGTATGAATGCACATGACACAATCAGTACAGGCGCAAGTGCACATAATAGTAAAAAATCATGACTCCGGAAATTGTAGCCTGCTTTCAACAGTTTGGCGAGTTTCTGTGCGGATCCGCTTACTCGTTTTAAAGTACTTATTTGAATTTGGGCATTAAATAAATTACTAGGTTATATAATACCCAACTCGGTCACGATCAATATCTGATATTCATAAAAGCATTAGATAAATTTGCTGATATCATGTTATTGTACTTATTTCAATTTATATTACAATTACTAATCTTTTGTAATTACAATGCTTATAAAAACATTAAACAAGCTTATTTGACGATACGGTTATAATTTAAAAATAATTATTCGGCAAAAATTATTCGTAATACTTATATAAATATCCTTCATTATGTTTCATACAGTCAGTCAATATTCACTTGCAATTATTCACTTACACTCCCCTTTTAAATTCAACCTAAACATGGCAGTAGTGCAAATTTTAAAAACATATTCCATGTTTGCTAATTTAATTTGTGGAGTGTGTAAACTAACCTAATAGATTTGTTTTTAATTGAGGAAAAACCAAAACAAAGTTTATATTTACGTTTCACCTATATAATGAATTACCTATATTTATATATTTTAATACTTTTTACCTTATTTTACAGATTTCCATCGAAGGTTGATTTTTAATGTAAACACTAACTGAAGATTTGTACACACATATATTTTATCACATCGATTATTGCGAGAAATAATAATAAGAGATATAAAGCCATAGTGGTGTAAATCACATTTCGTAAAGCGTATAAGTTTCGTAAAGTTTTGTAAGCATGCCTTAGGAAGGCAACGCAACAGTATAGTTTATGTGTGTGTGTCTACAATAGAATTACAAATGACCATTTACTCGTTAAGTATGAATTTATTATTAAACGTTTGGGTAATAAATAATGGTAAAATACATTAAAAGTATCATATAAATCATTAATTACACCTACTGCGCCGGACCGGTATATCGCATCGTGTATATGACACGATGAATATTTTTTTGTACCCTAAAAACATTTATGTCCGTCCTGTTGCTTTGTGCCTAAAGTTCAGTTTTGTATTGTGTGATTTGAATACGCGCTTTGTGTCCCGTACAAATATTTTCATTCGCTCAACATTATTTATCAACCGGTGACCGTGTCGGTCGGCAAATAATACTAAACGTTCTTTGGCATTTTACAATAATATTAGTGACGTACAATTTTTTTGTCAATCCATTTTTTTCTTTGAATTTTAATCTTACATATTTTTTGGGACTATTTCAATGAGAAAAATTATTTCGAATTACAAGGATCAAAGTGCTTTTAATAATACTCGGAAACAATTTTTACCGGCGATTTTAATAATGTAATATCTTTATCACTCCTCTCGACCGGCAACCGGCTGAGTGCTGTTCATCGCCGCCGGACCCGACAGACACCCCGTGAATCGATTGCACCCCTAGTGCACCACGTTGGCACCACTGCGCCGCACTACCTGCCGCTGTGGCTACACAATCGTATTGTATATTGTTGTGTTCCTGTGTTCTCGTCGCCGTTGCTGCTGCCGTCGTCCGTCAACGCGGTGCATCCGTCCCACACGCGACCCCCTCCTTCCACCGGAACGAGTACGCGATCGCCGTCGCGGTCGTCACCGCAACCGTCGTCGTGCCGCACTGGCCGCCGGCAGCGCCATCGTTACCGAGACGTGCCCGTGCCGGTTGCCGAACGTGTAGTGTGGTAGTGTGCCCGTTGCCGTGTCTGTGGTGCCGCGTGCCGTATTTCGCGTTTTCTTTGCTCGATGGTGCGCCTCCGTTACGATTGTGCCGTTTCGCGCCTTTTCGCGTGCCGTTCGGTTACCACAACTTCGGTGCCGTTGGCTTTTTAACCTTGTTGCGCATTTCTCGAGGATAAAAAAACAATTGCTTATACCCAAGTGCTGCGCTCTCGTTCAAGGTTAGTACCGCTAACGATGCATACAGTACATACATGATACCAAAGAGCCTAGCAGCTGCCGTCTCGAAATTTGTACGTTTTATACCAAAAAGTTCCCTAGCG